ACGGAAGTCTATGACCATCTCCTTTGTCTTTGAGGTGTTGAGGAGGAGGCAGTTTTTGTGACTCCAGTCACTGAAGGCTCTTATTAGATCTCTGTATTCAGCTTCTTGTCCATTTCTGATACATGCCACAATAGTGGTGTCATCTGAGTATTTCTGGATGTGGCAGGACTCAGTGCTGTATTTGAAGTCTGACGTATACAGTGTGAACAGGAATGGCGCCAGCACTGTCCCTTGTGGAGCCCCTGTACTGCTCATTAATGTCCCAGTAACACAGTTCCCCAGCCTGACAAACTGTGGCCTTCCTGTCAGGTAATATGTGATCCAGGAAACACAGGAAGGATCCACTCCCATCTCCACTCCCATTGTCTTTGAGTATGGTGGGTTGGATGGTGTTGAATGCACTTGAAAAGTCATGGTTGAAGTCTCCCGATATTATTATTAGTGCCTCAGGGTGTTGAGTCTGTAGCCTGGCAACACTATTATGCAAAAAAATCACAACATTCTTCAGTTTGAATGTAAACAACTACTGTTATGATATGACTAAATTCTCTTGAAACATAATATGGCCAAAGAGCAACTGCCAACAGTTGAATATCTGGACAACACAACTTCTCCTTGACAGTTATGTGTGAAGGGTTACACCATCTCTGGTTGACAAATAAAGCCAGACCTCCTCCTTTCTTCTTGAAAGTGCAGTTTCCTGTGTTTTACTGAAATCTGGTTGAATCAAAACAACTCGGACTCCAGTGTGGATCTACCTTAGCCTGGCTGGGCCATCCTGTTGCGTGAATCACTTGCCGTTCCTTCCCACATCCGTCTGGTCTTCGGCCCATTGGGAGCATCTATTCCCGGACAGAAAATAATCGCAGAAGACGTCAGATATAAACGATTTCTGCCGACTTTGCAAGGTCAACTGCAGAATTAACGGCGTTCTGAATGAACGGCGCTTTGAAAAGTCCTGCAGCATGTGTTAGACGTCACCATCTACACATGGACCAATCAAGGGCTGCCTTTCCCTGTTGTCCAGGTAACAGTGGAAACGCGGTCTCTGAATTGGCCCGGTTATTTTCTGATCAGGAATACACGCTCCCAATGGGCAGAAGTCCAGACTGTTGTGGGAAGGAACGGCAAGTGATTCACACAACAGGATGGCCCAGCCAGGCTAAGGTAGATCCACACTGGAGTCCGAGTTGTTTTGATTCAACCAGGTTTCAGTAAAACACAGGAAACTGCACTCACAGTGTGCTTTCTCAGTGTTCACCACAATCTCCAGCTCATCGCTTTTGTTGGGCAGAGAGTTGACGTTTCCCATGATGATTGATGGAAGAAATGGTTTATTGTGATTGTTATCTGTTCTTTTCATTTTTTTCACAAGTTTATATTCACATAGTTATTTGAAAGGGTATGGGATGTCATGACTGCTCTACTGACAAATGCGGCTCCTGCAGTATTTTTACCACATTAGCTGACCAGAGGAAGAACGCTGAGTGAAAACAAAACAAACTCCATCACAATATAGTCACTGAACTTTCCAATGTCATGAGCGTCAAAAAGCTCTAGAATCTGTCTTGCTTCTGACTGTACCAATCTGAGGGATTTATTCATGATACTGTTTCAAAGAAAAGATGCAATGTCATCCCCATGCTACCACCAGCTTCTTCTCTAAAGCAGAATTTTCACTTCACATCCTACAACTGGAGGAGGTGACCATATAATGTCTATATTAATATCCAGTCAATGGTACTGTCTAACACCAGTTAGCAGTGCAGTATTGATTTAGTGATACAGCTTTGATGAACTGTTCACATCAGAAAAGAAGTCTGATACTAAAAAAATTCTTCTGTGAAATAAATCCTGCCGTCTTTTGATTTTTATGATTTTCTTTCTGTTCGCTTTAAAGTTGCAATTTGAGGCTGTTTACTTTTTATGATTTGATTATTTTTTTCTAAATTGCATTTATTGATTAAAATCAAGACAATCTAATATACAGTGTACACAAAAGCTCCCAAATCTGAATGAAATGTATCCCATCTTGCACTTGTAAGTAGCAGTGTTTAAACATGTGACACCTGTTCCTCTTTACTCAAGTGATTTTCCTATGTGCGGTAGTCATAGTTGTTGAGACCCTGTGCACCTTATGTATGCAGTGGTTGTTCAAAATGCACCTGCAACCTGGCTATCTTTCTTGTAGCTTTCCTTTTGTTATTGAGAGAACCCACTCTTCTTTTCAGAGCTCTGCCAAAGGTGATGCATACTGGTAATTGATAGTGTACTTTCTATGAGTCACATCTGTGGCTGTCATTGTGGAGTAGTGGTGATTTACTATGAGTGTAAAATTATGTAACACAATAGAGTTTCAAGAGTCTTGGGGACATAATACCAAATACAACACCTTCAAATGCAACACTGAATGCTGATTCAAATTTAAGTGTACATATACTGCACTTGTTTATGAATTTGAATAGGTTTTTTTCTTTGCGTTATAATATTAATTGAGTCAACAGGTTTGACTTTGTGGTGAAGCACATTTGTGACCCTCTTTTTCAAAGGCTGATTAGAGTGAAATGCAGTCCAATCATATCCAAATTTGCAGTAACATTTTGTATGAAAGCATTCTGGGCAGAAATTCATAGATCAGTACTTTCTAAATGTAACATCGTCTCTCTCTGTAGGGAAACGCTGCTACTGCAGTGGGCGCCATCGTCATGGTTGACTGCCGTCTTGGAAGAAGGGACTATTTTGTCAGGATAATGCGGTCACACACTGAGTGAATAGGGGGGTCTTGAGAGAAGAAGGCAGAGATAAGAGAATGGAGAACATTCCATTAAAGATAGCGATGCTATCAAGTCGAGGCTCGGGGAAAGACTATTCTGCACCTTGAAAAAAAAAAAAAAAACACTGCAGCACCCATCCAGTGCAAGGTGCATCTGTTACCATGGTACCAAGCTTAGGCAGCCTCCTTTCATGTCTGTCAAGACTGGGGAGGTAGGGAGACGAGCAATACGTTAGTCTCGTCTGCAGTTGGAGCTCAAACAGACATGTGTGTTGCCTCTTTTTGCGTGTTTTCTGCATGTATATGTTCCCAGCAGTTCCCAGGGTTTAAGACGCTGTATGCTGAAAGAGGCTCGTCACATGACATGAATCATTTAGTCACCACAGCAGAGTTGGAAATGTCACGTCTCATCAGTGTTCCTCATGCCTCAGTGGCCCTGAACCGTTTACATCTCTGGGAATAAAAAAGGAGGGACTTGATTAAAGAGAGGAGCTGAGATTTTTAGATGCAAACAGACATTTATTGCATTGGGAAGCAGTGGTGTACATTTTCCCCCCACAGAATCGTTTGCAATACTGTAGCACTTTACCAGATCACAGTCTGCTGTGCAGTTGTCCTTACCAAGTTTCTTAACAAATCAGGACAGAGTGTGGATTTTAATTATTTGCTTGTCTTCTTTTTTCCCACCCATGTCTCCTTCCATATCTGATCTTCCCAAAAAATAGGATGCTACTTTTCTCACAGTGGAAAATGCTGACTTGGCCTTACCAGGCAGCCAGGTAGTTAATCCAGTAATAACAGGAGAAATCTGTACAAGGAACATATCGAAAAGTCATCCTGCTTTACGCCTTTTTCTTCATCTACCTCATACAAAACTATACTTTTGTGTTTTTGCTACAGTTTAAAACAATTTCAAAACAAGAAAAGCAACATCAAGTACAGCATTCCTCACTGTAAACCACAATCAATACTAAACAGTAAATAGTACTTTGTCATAATCTTTATTACAAGATATTAGGCCACTGTACAAATCAGTGTGAATCGTACAGTACAATGCAGAATTAAGACTGTTTCTCGAGGTTCGTCATTCAAAGCTGTATACGAGGTGCTTCAAGAATACACAAGAGTTTCAGAACTTCTGCCGTGCATGCATGATGTCAATATTTTGCCATGCATGAGTTGGTATTTCAGTGTTTTTAAGAAAGAGCCCTAAAAAATGGCAACCAAACAAAACAACTGAAATGTATGGGGAAATGTAGAAAGCACAAAAAGAACAAGTAGTCCAGTTACAGTTTATCCCCTTATGAGATTTGGCACACACGATAATGCACAATGCAATATAAATAGTTTATCAATAGGGTGTGTACAGTCAAGTTACAGTATCAACCAATCCAGGTGAAAGCCTGGGAAGCTTACAAACAGGTGGGAGGTACACGGTATATAAATGACTTGTTAGCTGCAAAGTATGGTAACAAAAAACACTCAGGCAACATCGAGAATCATAAAGTGAAAAATAATGTTACTCTCATTCACTCTGTTTTGTTCCTCAGCATACAAAAAACACTCCCTCTGGCCTTTCATCACAGCAAAAAAGAAAAAAAAAAACAGATTTCAGAGGATCAATAAATAAAGTCATCAACACAGAGAACAAACCAGTTTACAGCCTCCCACTTTGTGCAAGAAAATATGGGCTACCCTTTCCATATTTACAAACTCAGTTATTGGTCTGCCCTCAATTAAAACGAAGAGCAGAAAGAATGGTACCATAAGTTTGATTGGTAAGATATAGGAGAAGTGTGTGCTTTAGTTTTAAATCAGATTTATTCTGTTTCCTGTCCCTGATTTCTGCATTTCGACAGCATAGCCTCCTCCTCTTTTCTCCTCACCCCCCCATCTTGTTGTGGTCTGCTGCGCTTGGATTTATGGCGAAAACCCTGGAATCAGAGTTTGTATGCATGAGTATGTCTGTGCATGTGTGCGACTGTGTCGAGGGGGCGGGGTGTCCACCTTGGGGTCTCCTTATGCTTGCTGCCATCTCCTGCCCCTGCCAGTGTGTGTCACCCGGATGGCCATGACTGACTGGGAGAGGAGGGCGTGGAAGTGCTGCTTGCTGCCACATGAGAGAAAGTGCTTATATACAGTGTCTTTGGATTAAAACTGGTAAATATCGCCATAAAAAAAATTTCAAGAGAGTCTTTTGGGGGTTGTTTGCAACAAGCGGAGTGCTCTAAGCCTCTGCCGGGGTCTTCTCTGTCCCATTTTTTGCCTCATCGTCGCCATTCTCATCCTCAATCACAACTGTGGATGACAGGGAGAGAGAGAGAGAGTTAATGAAGGGACTGAGGTTAGGGGTTGGGGGGGGGGCTCGTCTTGGTATGGCGTCTTGAAAATTCATCTTGAAAATTCACCATTGAACTGACAGCAGGGCATGAAAGCCCAGAACCATTAGCACTGCGCTGTCGGAGCAGAGGCGATGTGTGCATGCATGACAGAGCAGGGGGGCATGCAGAAAGAGACGGATAAACATGAGCATGATCCTCTGTGTGTGAGAGAGAGAGAAAGAGAGAGAGAGAGACAGTGTGTGTGTGTGTGTGTGTGTGTGTGTGTGTGTGTGTGTGTGTGTGTGTGTGTGTGTGTGTGTGTGTGTGATGCACATTTCCGAATGTGCATTGCTGGAATTCTGCATGTGCACCTTTAGATGCAGAGAGCTTTCATGTCTGCCTGTTTGCCATGTTAGTCCATGTTGTGTCTGTGCTCTTGTGTGTGCATCTGTCTGTGCATGTTTGGGCAACCACAATAAGTCTCAGTTTTTTCAAGGAAATGCAAAAACAAGAGGAAAACAGCAAGAGATCATGCAAACATAAAAATCATGACACTACGGGCTGGATCTCAATCATTCCATCCATTCAGTGAAGAAGTGACACTGTTGAGTAGCATTCAGAAAGCATTTAACAGCACGCACTGCGCATCCAACTTGTGTTGCAATGCGAATAGAATATTTAAAATCTAATTCATCCCACTCAAATGCATGCAAACAGATTATAGAGTCTCTGCAGAGGAGCATGTCTAGGCAGGGGTGCAGCCTCTCTGTCTCCACACAGACATCCTTAATGAAGGTGGTAACCTATGTGCGCATGAAACACATCAGCATGCAAACAAAAGAAGGGCTTAATTCGATAATCACCCCGTTTGCTCCTTCCTATTTGCCCGAGTTTGGGCGGACGTTTGTTCTGTGAGCCATTGAAGAAGTTGTTGGTGTCTTGAAGACGACAGGTGAAGGAAAGGTGTCCCTCGTCGCCTTCATTTCCATAATGACTCATATTTTCTTCGTTGAAAGGTAGCACTTCCGACATCTCCAAAATGCGTCTTTATAACCAAGGCGCACGAAGTGAAATAAAGAGCTGGTCGCCGAGCCTGAACTCGGTCGTCTATATCAAACAAAAACGGAGGGTGAAGATAAAAAATACAATGCTATCAACTGACACGATCTAGCCCTTTCTGTTTACCCTGAAAACACGTGTCTGTCTCCGGAGGTACGCAACAGAAATAACGCTAAATCAAAAATGTCCTCAGTTTCCTCGCTCGTTCAGCTTCGGCAACATCATTTAAAACTGTCCAGGGGTTTCTTCTTCCTCTATCTCCGTGCGTATTGCTTTGGAAATGGAGGCGCACATACGACAAGAGCCGTGGAGCGCCCGCTGGTTTCGAGCGGCTGAACCCGTCGCACGGAAAATCTGAGGAAGAAATGCAAATTGGGGAGCGATGCAAAACACGGATTCCGGGGAGACCTGGCAAAGGGAGCTGCACGGGGGTTTTCTGGTGCAGCCCAGAGAAGCTTCCAGCTGGAGTCGTGAGGTGGTAATAATGCTCCACTCTCCGGGATCTAGACGCAATCAAACAGTGGCGATTCTATAGGCTGATCAAAGATGGCACACTAATGTGAGCCAAAATGCAAACGCACACACACACACACTCACACACACGTAGTTTAGGCGCCACCACTCGACGAGATAAAGGCGTCAAATGTTGCAACCTGTTTAACCGTATGACATATTTTGAGATTTCCTCTGCCAAAAGGATGTCATATGTCTTAAGTGTGACCTTCTCGGTGGATGGTGGTGTTTTCATGAGGTGAGGTGTGACTTTTGGCCCCATGGCGCACTTCCAGCTTCAATGCTAAGGGCCTACACTATTTTCCACACTAAGATCTAGAGTAGGGGAGAGTGGGGTAAGTTGTGCCAAAGGGTAAGTTGATCCTTCCCCTGTTGCTTGGAAATGGTAAAAGAAATTGATCATGTGACCAAATATTTAGGAGATGGGTATCAATTCATGGAGTCTGTGAAGGTTAGAAGCACATGGGTGAAGAGGTTAGACATTTATTTACAAAAAAAAAAACATTTTTCACTCTTGAAAGTCAATTTAGTCTGTCATAAGTTTCATCAGAATTGTGTTCAGACCAAAAAAAAATGTAATTTTTAATTTGTTTAATACATCAAGTGTGGTATCTATGAGCTACAACATGAGGTCAAAAAGCTAGCGTAAAAGTCTGCCATTTTAGCTTAGAGGACTAATAAAGTCATAATAGTAGTTCTGGGGTAAGTTGAGCCAGTGGCTCAACTGAGAAAGTAAAGGTCAACTTATCCCATACACGGGGTAAGTTTATAATAGGAGACTACTTTTTTTGGCATGCTATATTATCAAGACAGTTATGTTTAGACTCATTCTGTTGGTTTGCAGGGATGCACAACATCTTTAAATATATGCAGATACATGAGTTAGAGACAAAACTATGATTGCCTTGATGTAGTGATCTGAAATTTGAAAAATGGCTCATCTTACCCCACCCTCCCCTCCTACAATACATACAATACATACAATACATGTAAGATGTCCTCAGGAATCTACTCCAGGTTGCAGAGCCTTAAAGCTCATCATTTTTCAGTTTATTAATGAAGAATCATTACTCCAGATTTTGTGATTTGATTTATTTTTGGCAGGAAACAACGCAGGATCAGCTCTGCCATTTTTATTAGAGCTATTAAACAGTGATTCATAACATAGGCTAGATGACAAATTCATAGTAAACAGGATGATTCATAGTATGCAAATTTACAATGTCCTCGAATCTAACAGAAATCAGTCAGCGAACATTTGGGTGTTTGATATCACAGGTGTAAAGTTGCCAGATCACAGGGGCAGATAACTAATGTGCTTTGTTGAATGAAACCCCCTGAGATCACCTTTATGTTGAGAATGACTCTCTTCAGGACTTACACCCAGCAAAACCTTTACTGTTTACGTTGATCCACCTTCTCCTGGAACAGCAGCACAAAAAGCAGATATAGAGAAAGGACAAAGAGTGATGAAGCAAGTATTAAGTCATGACATAGGCTAACCTTTCTCAGAGAAACTTTACCAAATATCATGTCACAGACAATGACATGAAAGTTGATATGTAGGCCTGCAGCAGAATTAAATTTAAATACACCATTAACTGTTCACAGAGAAGGCGCAGTCATGACACACCTGTTCCCTGTGGACATGCTAAGGTTGTGATTTTCATCTAAGGCTCATCTATCAGAACATCTTAAGATCAGTTACTCATTGTTTAATGACATGTGATCAGGTTGTCATTTTATTTAATTTATTAGCAAGTTTGAACAAAACAAATATGCCCCCATAATGACAATCCAATCTTACTTATATTGCGCTAAGCTGTGTATCACTGAATACACACATATGCCAGGGAATAAAGACTGATCGTGTGCATCAGATGAGACACACAAACAGGACTTTGACCAAGGGGATTGCAGATCAAATCCTTTAAGAAATAAGATGTCATTTTAGACTTATCCACTCAAAAGTTTGTAAACCAAACAAGCGTGAATTACATGCCAAAAATCCTAAAAGGGATGGAGAAAATCCTTAAAAATTGATCCAGTTATTGATCACCCTCTCAAGAGGTTGGGTTCAATAACAACAACAGAAAAAAACCTTGTGAGAAAACACAAGAACTACCAGTGATGTTCATTGATAACCCATGGCTAATTTGATGACAGTAATAATATGAAAGAAAAAAATGGGACTTTAAAGGCATGGTTGACAATTGGAGAGATTGGTAATTATTATGAACCTCGTCTATATGGTGATCATGGTCCTATAGTGCGATTTCCACAAAGAAAAGAGTAAAAAGAATGGAAAAAATCTGTTCACCTTAGCAGGTGCAGGGCTGCAATAACATTGACCAATGGGAACCATCCGTCCCGGACAGCTCCTATTGGTAAATCTCCGCTGTATTCGACACATCCCTCTCCCATAGTTTCGACTCGTCGCCTCCCACTCAACCGGCCCTCCTTGGAGCTCTGAGCAGCCAAAAGTAGCGTAGCAGCTTAGCTACAGGAGCTGTGATGGAGAAGGACGCAAAAAAACCCCACTTTTTTTGTGCAAAACGCAAGCCGACAGAAGAAAGGGGAGAGGAATGTGACCAAGGGAGGAATCTAATGCGAATAAACATCAGGTCATTCTTCGAGAGGTGGAGAAAGCTCGGCCAGGATTTTGGCCTGAAAACAGATGCAAAGACAGCAGAGTTTTTGTTAAACAGGTAACTTTTGCCTTTTATCGCGGCACATGTTACATAAATAAGTCTTATTAAGGTCCTCACATACAGCGGCTGACGGGAATATAGAATGCGAAATGACGAAATATTCGGAGGAGAATTTTGACGCGCCTGACTTTACACATCAAGCCTGATGCGATTTAGCAACTTTCCGGGGGAGAAAAGACACGTCCCAGGTGGAAGCGAGAAGACTGACACAACAGCAGACTGAGTGTTTTCAGTTCTGGTTAGACACTAGTGTTGAGATGGCTGTTTGTAGCATGTAGCATATTATTCTGCTGGACTATAGATAGCATTTCATGAGTCGGGGCCAGTACCAGATAGGCACATTAAACTATGATCCATAAACATAAGGTAACAACTGAGACCTAACGGTGCTGTGACAGCAACGCGATTGAGTCATTGAAAATACATATGGTATGTTGTATCTGAACAGGTTAGCTTACGAGCTAAAGTTACTTAGCACAGATGAAAGTTAAAAACAAAGACGTTTAGCAAACTGTTAAAGCACACAAACCATCGTCATATGAGGGATCCGACACTATGACTCTCCACAAGTTGTCCTTAAGGTTGTTATCTTTGTAATGTTTGGGTCTTTTATCAAAAAGCACTACAATCAGATGTCGCAAAACACACAATCTGATTGGTCAGAAGTGGAAACAGTATGAGGGAAAACGTCGCTGATGTGAATGCTTGTATTGACAGGATACAGGTTCGAAAAAAAATATTGACGTCCGAAATAATCGCATGTAAAAAACGGTCCCGGTGTAAAAGGACCTTTAGTCTCTGCAATGTCAACATGGTAGCTGTCCAGATAGCTGCAGACAGTGTTCGCTAGCAGAGCTGGCGGCGTTAGTCACTAGCAGTCCGACATGGTTGATCCTATTTGAAGCTAGCGTAGGATCTTCTGCCGACCGGCTTCTTGCTCTGCCAGAGGGGGTGGGTCGTAGGGAGGGTGATACAGGTTCGGGGGGGAGTTATCGTGGAGCACAGAGGTGCTCCGTTTTTTTCAACTTCTTCTCAGATCATCAACCATGCCTTTAAGATCTACAGATGCAAAAATTCGCTGATGTTACGACTCTGAACTTTTCAGCTGAACACGCATATGCAACAGTGAATCAGAACCAAAGAACTGTTAACATTTGAGTATTTATTGAAAAGTATTTATGACAGGTTAGGAGCTTCATGTTACTGTATCTATAAAGAGGACAGTAGGGTCACTGTATTACATTCAACAATAACTGTGGCAGGCAAGACTGATGGTTTTAGCAAGATGATTTTGAAACATTTTTTGTTCTTGTCTTCATCAGTATCTGGTACAGCGATAGTGAGAGCGGTAGATGGTTTGGTCTATCCACCGACGGAATTTAGACACCGCTGTGTAGACCCCAGGAAACTTGGCGTTACCACAGCCATGGCCCCAAGAGACCATGCCATAGACACGACCCCCACACACCAGCGGCCCCCCGGAGTCTCCCTGCAAAGACAAGATCACACAATGAACCGGCTGTCATGACACAATAAACTCCATTGAAAAAAATCCCATAATTCACTTGACAGTGATGTAGGATTATTGCAAAGGATTGACTGATGAAGTAACACCTGCACGATAGTTTAAGCAGGCAACTTGAGCTGTGCTGATTTCACACTGGCGTGCCATTCTCTTAATCAGCTGACAAACACATCCTCTCAGTGTGCCGGTCCGTTTAAGCTGCAAGATTTCCAGCCACTGCCTCTGCTTTGCCGGTGCCACTAGTGCCCTGCACCGCTTCCCCAGCATCCACCTGCCAGCTTTTAAGATACTGTCGCATCCCAAGTGAAATTAATCTTCAAGGAGAGATTCTGAGCCTCAACACCAAAACAAACATTGGTCTCCTTCTGTAATAAACTTTTAAAGCCACAGTGCGTCATTATTGGCAGTATTCTGTGAAGCAGACCCAGTAGAAACAGAATTCCCTCAATGTGTTTGAATAAATGTATAAACACGTGAACTTAACTCACAATGAACTCCATATGTAAAAAGGAGCAGGTCCCCCTGAATGGACGCTGCCATCTTGCACAACCATATTACTACAGTGGCACTGTAAGACAAGCCAGTGAAATGCACATGTTGTTTGACATTTTTTCTTATAGTATAAACTTGACAAAGGGAGAACTGTACTCATGCATTACGTGAGCATCTTGTTTTAAAGGCCATGGTTGCTACTATGATGGGAGAGGTGAGCAAGGGTGCTTTTTAATTTGGAATCTGACGGCTACATAAGGCTAAATATCCCCATTTCTACACATTGTACCTGTGAGCCAAAATAATACAAGTTTTGTGACTGAAATGAGTACAATGAATAATACTTACAAATCCAGTCGTATTTACCCAAGTCTGTAAAGGTTATTTCTGTTTTGTGCAGCAGTTTACAGATGTATCTTAACAAAGCATTTAAGTTTTCATATATAGTGCAGCAAAATTCCTGTAATGTCAGACACTTCCTTGCAAAAAACATCATCAAATCATAATTTGACATAGACCTATTATTTATATATTTAAGCATATTGTATTCTATATTAAAGGTTGAATGAGTGTTTTAAATGACATAAGTACACAGATATGAAAAATATAACACCTCAAATGTTGTTTAACCTGTAACGGGCTTACAGTGCGTGTGGATTTAATGTAATTTCAAACCTTAGAAAAAAGGTTCTTTGTGTTCACTTGTGATTTGATGTTTTATGTTTATAAAATCTGAAAGTCACACGTACTCGCATGTGTTAATCACGTGTCAGTGTTACACCTATGAAAGAAGCGTGATCATATGTGACAAACGTAGTTCCCCCATAATGTTTTTATGTCATGGGGGAGATTTTAAGAAATTAAAAACAGGCTTATAGACAAATGGCAGTCCCCTCACAGTATGGTTGAATTCATGAAATCATAAGCCCTCGCTGCACTTGGAGATGCCGACACATAAAGTTGCCTACTGCAGGGTTAAATATAGCACATTTTAATTAGTCATTCAGCTCTTTACCTCAGGCAGAATGAAGCCCACTGGTATATCACACATTGAATTTCATGTTCTACTCACACCAAATGTTGAGGCAGAAGTTCTTTCACAACACAAACAAACAAATCAGAAAATGACGCTGGCAGTGGCTTCAATTGTCAGTACTTTAGATTTACAACAAGGTTTTCAGCCTTGATGCTATTTCAGGCTTGCTTCATCTCTCCTGTAACTATCAAAACTCCTGAGGGTGGACTGCCACGTCTGCTTAATAAAAGCTTGTAGCTGAATCAACACTGACATGATGAACTACATCCTCATACTGTCAGGGGAATGAGCTTCCCAAAACTGTGTTATTGTATTGCTTTGATATGTGCTGATGAAAAGAGGATGACCCTGTGCTACTTGATACAGGCACTGAGAAACAGGGCTGCTACCGTTGTGAATTTGTTATTTATAAATGGATGTTATAGTTTTGCATTGATAAAAGGATTATTGTTTTGAAAATGACAGTATGTGTGCAAACCTTGCATGCATCTTTTCCTCCAGTCCTGTAGCCAGCACAGATCATGTTTGCTGTGATGTTCCCATTAAAAGACTCACTGCTGTTACACCTTGCGGTTGAAACAATGGGCACAGTGACTGTCCTGAGTGTGAAGGGGGCCCGGCCTCCACCTGCACTGTTGTAACCCCAACCAGACACCCTGCACACCAGGCCTTCAACCACTCCTGTCCCCTGCCTGGGAAGAGGCGCCAGCGAAACATATCGGTTTAGCACCATGGGGGCTCGTAACTAGACACAAGACCAGGGTAGAGGTTTGAGACAAAATATCGAACAACCATCACTCATATCTTCACATTTCAACTCTGATGTCAAGTTTGATCACCTAACATCAACCCAAAACCTAAAATCTTGGTCTGCAGTACCTTAATGAGCATGATGTCAGCATTGTTAGTGCTCTCATTGTAGAGCGGATGGGTGACCAGCCTGTGTGGTTTAGCGTACTGCTCAGTGCCCTCGAAGGAATTCACAATGTAGTCACCCGCCACAATCATCATGTGCTCTGCCCTGGAGAAAGACAGAGTGTTTTCATTTTACTTGACACATATTAAAAGAAAAGACAAAAAACACACTACACTCTCAAATCATAAAACGGGTTGAAGGTCACAGCACAGAGTAAGGAGATGAAGTCATCAACCAGGAAAGAGAGGTTTACTGTGAGCAGACAGGCAGAGCAAGGACCGCATTACAGAAACACAGCTGATTTCCAGGATACAGACAAGATCACACTTCACACACACACACATACACGCACACACTGATGATGTGATGGTGTTGGCTGACTTGGCCACATCTGTGCGTTGTTTGTGGTGCAAGTGGCCTGTGTACTGGTTTACTCTGCGTCATAGTCAAGCGGCATCACTTTGACGCTGGCTACTCATAGTCGAGTGGATGTTTGCATTTAGGCATCTGTTGGGACCATCTGCTCTCACTATAAAACCATGCCAAGTACGCTTCGACACACTGACTTCTACGAGGTTCACTGTGAAAGCACCGGAGGAACATCAATGCCTGTGCAAGTGTTACAAAAACTGTTTGAGCTGTCAGGTAACAATTTTGAGAGAAGTGCTAATAGTAATTAATCCAGGAGGCTGAAAAACAGCCTTGGTTTATTCTTATTTATTCCCTTAACACAGTGGGTGTGGGTTCTTTAAACCAAAGGAGATAGAACAAGATTGATGCTAAGATGCTAAAGCCATGCTAGCAGCTCTTTTCAGCTGTAAACAGACACATATTGCTTGAGCTAAATGTTTAAATGGTGTGTTGGTATACCAACGTGCATTTATAATGTTTAACCTTGTAAGTCCTTTAGAAACGCTGGCTGCATTGGAAATGTTTATCCAATGACATCTGGACAGCTCAAAATCTCATACCAAGTTACTCTCCTATTAAAGGGTCAAATGCTGCTGAGAGCTAAGAGTTGCCAGTACCTAGCTAAAACATTACCTAAAGTTACAATATCGCATGCTCACATTTTTCATTGCCCTTTTGTTTGCTTCTTGACCACAGACTGTATAAAGAATGGACAGAGTCTGCCTCCTCGCTGGGTGAAGCCTCCCTAAGAACAGCACCCTCTGATGGTGGGCTGCAGTATAGGTCATAAATCCCGCCTCCGCCAGCAAAGCTTATGGGGCTGTGGACATTGGGATTTTGCCATGTAGTTATTGTAAGACAGGTTTGTGCTCAAGTCCTCTTTTTTTCTGTACAGCTTCATTTTTAAAAGTTATTAGGGGGTTCATGTTTTCTATGATTGACACTTGATACAGCCTATGGGCATATGAAGATTGCGTAGCTCAGCCGGGGGATACGCTCTCTGAGCCGAGCGTCATCACAGCGACTCTCCGCAACTCTTCCGCCTAACCAAGTTGTCCATAGTATATCCAGTCTATGTTCGTGACCGTCCCCCCTGATGATATTTCCATAACTTGGGGAACTTTGTCTCGGTCATTGCAAATGGGGCAGATGCTTGCCTCCTCCAATTTATGTGACTTGCAAAAACTAATAATTTGAGGCCCCATCAGCACAAATGGTACATTTTTTTCTGTGGTTCAACCATAGACTGTAAACATGGAAAGCCAATACTGTCCATGAGGTCACTGGTTGGAGTTTTGAATCCTGCTTAAGAGGTATAAATATAAATATATATTCACCCCTTGTACACTGTACAGGCAGAGAAATTAGGTATTTTGGCCAACATTGATAAACTTTTTTCAACAGGTTTGTATGTAGTTTGTGGTACTTTCAGAGCCAATTTCAAGTGAGCACTCAAGAAACTGCAGTTTTTAACACTAATGCATAAGCTCTATTTCTCAAGTCTAGAGGTTGTCAAATTTTTATGGCACCAAAAAATAAATAAATAAATAAAATTAACCTGCCAATGTGGAGATCTAAAAATGCTGCTCAGTTGTTCAAAGTTTTGGGAAACACTGATGTATTTGTGTGTGGCAGTTGTTATAAATTTATTGTGCATGCACCAAGATGGCAGGTGCATGAACCTCACCTAACTTCATCATACTGCATCAAACAATAAATATATCATACATTATAATTCTTGATTTCCTTCTCCATACAGAATTTAAAGATGAATGTTTACAATTACTGCTTGCTCAAAAAGTTACTCGATATATGCATGCTTGTAGTGTTCATGGTGTGAATATGAATATTAGAGACTGACTACAAGTCAATGAATATTCAAATAGCACGTCTGCTTTAAACAAACACAGGAACCTGTTCTGCTGTTGACTTCCAGTTAGAGAGATCTTTGCCAGATTATTGATAAGTAAAATTTGAGTTTTGGTAAGCAAAAGGGAAGTCAAAACCCCACTAGTACTGTCTGATCAATACTGCATCTGATCGATACTGATTGACTGTGACTTCAAATGACCTCACCAGCACATTTGCTCAGCGCTGATTGCCCAGGCTATTTTGGTTTCACTGTAGTGCAAAAGGAGACGGTGCAGACAGGTGGTCCATCTTTTTATACTGTCAATACCTATCATTTAACAATAACATCAAAAAGATCAGTGGGTGCTTAATCATTCTTACCCAATATTACAGTGTGCTGCAGTCAGCACCCAGTACCTGTGAACCAACGATCCACCGCAGAAGTGTTGACCTCTGGTGCTCTGCAGAGACACGATGTATTTAATGGAGTTTGGTGCAGCAGTGTGTCCACCTACAATACGGTCCTGCATGAGCACATGACCTGTGTGACGACAAATCTATTTACTTATTGCTGTCAAGTTTCTTGAGGATATTTTCATGTTTCATCAAAAAGTTTACTGAATCCTTTTTTGTTTTTTTTTATTAAGAGTGGACTTTGCAACCACTCCCCCCCTCCCAAAAAAGTCACTGTAATGGAAAAGTACAGTATTATATTCAAAAAGTGAAATGGTTCCTAGATGCTTTCTTCTAAATACTCAACACATTATATCTGTGGTAGCTGATCTTCAAGGTATGGATTTCATACTTCTAAAGAGTGCATCTTATAAAACATGAAGAGCCTTTGAGGGAACAAAACCCAGACATAAAGAGTGAGGCCCCCTTAATCCCACCTTCCAAGCCCATTGACTTGGCCTAACAATTAGTGGTTTTCTGTCACCTGGGAGGCCACCACGTAATGACGGTAATCCAATATAACCTGACCTTCTAGTGTCACCACCTCACTCTAGGCTCTGAAACATAAGAGAGAGGGAGCTCCATGTCTGCCTTATGCAACAGCTCAACTTCTGTACATTCGCCCCAAGGTATACAGAGGGAAGCATGGTGGGAACAGTAAAGATTAACTCCTGGAAATTCCTGCTCTTTGTTGCTCATAGCTGAAACCAGTCGAAGTACTATTCGTAATATTATGAGAGGGATAGTTATTTGCTTCTGGATGAAATCTTCTTAATCAAATCCGTACACACAGTAAGAAAATGGCTATTTTCAATTTTACATGGACTTATGTGCCAGAACAGTTGCCAGGCAACTAGTGAACATCCCAAGAAGTTTCTGTTCCCAGCAACAAAACAAACAAGATTACTGTAATATGTGAGATCTAGTGGTGCCAAGACACAGGTCATTACAGATGTAAGGAGCTAGGCTAGCTTTCCCCTTTGTTTCCATTATTTGTGCTAAACTAAGCTTATCTATTGCTTGTTTGAGCTTCAAATGACTGTGATTTAGATAGATAGATAGATAGATAGATAGATAGAGAGAGAGAGAGAGAGAGAGAGAGAGAGAGAGAGAGAGAATGCACAGTTAATTGTGATGGGCTGAGTAGTGCCAAACAGTAAAGTGCAAATGTCCAAACAACATGTTCCCTAAAAATTTGAGTTGTATCACAAGATAGACAGAGCCATTATAAAATGAAAAGTCCAGAGCTGTCTCTTGGGCCAAAAGTTTATCCATCGGTTTGTTTCACAAGTCAGATCCTCGGATCTAATTCTAATGGACATATTTTGCACATTATCCATTATTTTGATGAAATCCTGAAAATAAAGAAGATTCCAAGATGAGTACTTACGGTGGCCTGTTGTGAGGTCCAGAAGCAGGCACCATAAACACACGAACAGGCTCTTCATGGCTGTGCAGGTCTCAGGCCGTTATCCTAAACCATACTGACCCACTGTTTTCAGAGAACCAGTGTCCTCTGCTCCTGTCTGCCAGCACAGCCTCTGGGATAGTTTCCTTTTGGGGAAACATTAGAGTCCCTCCAGCTTTTATCCTCAAGTTTCCTCTGAGATTGCAAAAAAAAAAAAGGTTGGATTTCGTTCTTGACCATGACAGGAAGCATTGACTGAAGAGGAAAAGGAGAAGCAAAGTTCACCTTCAGAAACTGTCCACAGCTAACCTCCCCACACACACACACATATACACACACTCTCACACCGCTTTCTCCTGACCCTCCTGACTTGTCGAAAGGGCCTTACACTGTTGCCATGGCAACACAGGCTACTGCGCTGAGCAGGTTCATCTATACTGTATCTGCACGCTCTGTCTATGTCATCATCCAGGCTTATCCGTGCTGAAATGTTTCAACAACCCACTGTGTATTTGTGTGTGTGTGTGTGTGTGTGTGTGTGTGTGTGTGTGTGTGTCTGCGTCTGTGTCTGTCTGTGTGTGTATTCTGTTGCCGAGGGGGTATTCTACGCAGCTGAGACGCACAAATGCTCCTCTGTGTGTATGAGTCATGATTGACTCTGTATCCACAATGATAATAACTTCCTATCAAAAGGCCGACCATCATTGTAATTATCATCATCACCATCATCATCATCATCTTCATCATCAGAAGCCCTCTGGCGAGTCAGCATCTTTGGCAGCATGTGAGGAGAATCTCGCCTGACCTCCTCATGTCCCACATTTAGAGCGAGCTGAATAATTGATGCTTCACCCAGTCGAGCGGGAGAGGAGGCTTTGTGTGGCCTCCTGCTGTCAGGTGTTTCCTGGACTAACACTTGTCAGTTTTCACACAGTCACCTTCAAATATACAGTGAATATTAATTGTTCAGAGCAAACACAAAAAGGGAAACATTTGTAATGTAAAAAACAACATTTGAAGATCATTTTAATGGGGAAATCTTTTTTTCTACATATTCCACTTTTTTTGGACTATCATTCAAACAGATCAGGTGCATTTTGTGTGTTTGCAGCCTCACATAATGCGCCTGGTCATGAGATAAAGGAAGGGGAAGAGAGTGGTGATTGTCGGTAAAGCCATTTATTTCGTTGGATGTGTTTTAATGGTTAAAATTTGTCAATTGGGGAATCATACTACTCATCTGTTGCAAGAGCTTCTTGTCCTTGAAGGCCGCTGTCTATTTATTGATGGTAGGAGTGAGCAAGGGAGCATTTCAATTCAGAATCTGACTGCTAGAAAACATTAGATATTGCCAAGTTACTGTTCTTTTAAAACACCAAGATGCTAAATTCTTTCATTAAGTTGGGCTAACGGCTAACTTGACTAAACTAGGCTTGCTGTTTCCCAGTGTAACATCTATGCTTGCTGTTCGCTGACTGTTTCCTATGTTTTATGCCAGAGCCGGCCCAAGCCTCAATGGGACCTTAAGCAAAATTTGATTTTGGGGCCCTCTATTTCTGCCAAATATCGATTGTTGATCATTCACACACCTTCATAAATCTCTTTGATTAACATTCCATGACATGCAAACACACCTTTATCTTGGCGTTTTTACTCTTCCTCCTCTTTCTTCCTCTTTCTTTTCTCTGCTCCTGAAGGATATGTCCTTTTTTGCGACATTGTTTTGCCCCACAAATACCTGCACTTTGGATGCTCAGTGCACATTGCACAGCAGACGGCACATAACAGTAGCAGAGCTTTGACATAACGGCAGTAAGAATCATAGGCCTACATCAGCAGCAGCACTAAAATGTTTTTAACAATAACAATTTTTTTTTAACAATAATATATATTTGAACATACAGAAAGCATCACTCATACACGCAAAAAATAAAAAACACTTTTTTTGATTGCTCTTGGGGGTCCCCTATTGGCCGTGGGGCCCTAAGCAGGCGCTTAGTTTGCTTATAATTTGTTTCATGTTTCCAAAGCTAATCTTTTCCCAAGCTTCTCCCAAGATAACAGTTTTTCTTGCTAACTGTCGGCATTAGAATACAAGGACAAACATGAGAGGAGCCTTGTCTGACCTATATTTTGGTAATAAATGAGCAGGCTTATGCTGCATTCGAGTTATCTCGGAAGCCAGATGTCCTAGCCAGGAATGACGTCAGTGTTTCAGTTACCAAGTCGGAAAAAAGCAAAATCGTAGGCGGAAACAAGATGGCTACATCTACCAAAGGGGATGCTAAAATAACTAAAATAACAAGCACTAAAATAATTTTCATAGATGTTGCTTTTTTCCGACTTGGTAACTGAAACGCTGGAAACTTGGTTGTGACGTCATTCCCAGCTTGGACATCTGGCTTCCGAGATAACTCGAATACAGCATGCACCAGACTACAAAATTTGTATTCATATTTTTTTGTTTTTAAGATTACAACTCTGGCTTGGACAATATGACAATTGACGCAGTTAAATTGTACTTTTCATAACAATAATAAGTGTAATGGCAAAATGAGAAATTGTCTATAAGTGCTTTAACCACTGCAAATGACATCCCATAAAACAAAACCTGTACCATGCTCATTCTGTGAGAAAGGGAACCTAACTGATGTTTGACAAATCCAGACTATCTGCATGGCAACCCAACTGGATGTAAATTAAAGACTCTTTGGTGAGTTTGTTAAACTGACCTTTTAAATACACAGTTTGAAGTACTTCTTGTTGTTGGCATATACAGATTGTAGAGCTGACATTAACAAAAAAAATGTAGTCATGAATGTTTTTTTCTTGACAAGACACCACAGAGGGCTTTTAAAATTGAAAACTGTCAACATACTGTGTACACAGTGACTAAATCTCAAACAGTGACACATTCAGACTTCTAATTTTATCACATTTCAGTGACACGTGTACTGCCCAGACTTACCACCGATGTGTCTACTTGGAACTCTGTGCGAAGCATCCCTCTCATTATATCTCTATCACACACATGCACGCACGCACGCACACACACACACACGAAGGCATCTTGTTTGTGAAAACAGCTTTGCACCTGAGGCAGAGTGGAGCAGACTATCACCTTTCACCCCAACAGTTGGAATGACACCTCTGGGAGAGCAGGCTGTATGGACGCTATGTGTTAGGAATCAAACATCCTTGTATGTGGGAACCAGGAGGACAGGAGGAGCTGTGAAGATGCATTTCAAGACAGTGCATGCTTTAGTGATGCTGCTTTAACACTGTTTGCTTTGATTGTCCTATACTGATCCTCACCAGTATTGCAAAAAAATAAATAAAATAAAATAAAATCCTGGGTCACTGTAAGTCACAGCTCAAGTAAAAACCCTTGCTAAATTAAGAAATAAAGTACTCACATGGGTCAGGGCTGTTATTTTTGCTGCAGCTCACTGGAGGATAATATTTAATTCCCAGACATCCCACAATCTTTTGTCCTGCCCTCTGTAGCATCCCTGAAACATGTCTGGCAAGTCTTCTTATCATTTTTCCTGACTTTGTCTGGACTACCAGAAAAGAGGCTGAATCTGGTACAACAAAGGCCATAGAAAGGGAGGCCCTTTGAAAACCAAGGCTGCTGTTATTGTTTTTTTTTTTTTTCATGTTCTAGGTCACACTCTATGCTGTCTTTGGATATATGATGGACAAAGGCAGAGAACAATGACAGCAGCAGGTATGGTTACGGTATAAAAGAGGCCCAAGTTTTCTCCTGCTTTACAGTGTGCTGTGGTATGAGAAAAGTCTGTATGTGTTTTGTGGATTCTGGACTTGGATAGTTTTTCACTTGACTCTCGATAAGGTGAGACAGCATTGTTACAATTTAAGAAAGTGGAATTTCATGAAACCCTTGTAGGACAAAGGAAATAGTACCAAATGATAAATACTTATCATTACACGCAAAATTTAGTTATTCAAACATTGGATGCAAGAGGTGATTTCCATGTTCATGTCAAATTTCAAAGTATCAGTGTTATTACAAACTAAACTACAAAAATGTTTCACGGCACATTTAATATTGAGAGATAGAATATTTGACGTTTGATAAAACTGGATTAGACGTCTCATAAAACAAACAAATAAATAAATTATTTTATTTTTTGTTTTGTTTTGTTTTTTGTGGTTTGGTGATATTATAGCCATTTAAATCTAATAAATACTAGATTTAAAGCTACTGTGGAGATTTGTTGGTTATTGATGATTTCCTCACCATCTGTGGAGAGAGAGAGAGAGAGAGAGAGAGAGAGAGAGCTGTAACTCTTTTTGAGACAATTTTTGCTTTTATATATGAGTAATATATAAGTATAATATAAGTAAGTATATTAATTTAGAGAAAAAATCTAAACTGTCTTTCTTTGAAAAATCTGAGTGAAGGGCAGCATGCAGTGAAGCATTTGTCTGAACAATTACCCTATGCATTAGTTTCAGGCATTAATACAGAAGCACAGGATTCATTGTTTTAAAGACAAAGTTCATGTTAGGGTCTTCCTTACGCCACTCTCTTGTGATAGCTTTCTTCTACCCCACTTCAAGTATTTCTACCAGGTGTCTGTCTGTGTTTTGTGTGTTCCCCTTTTGTAAGTTTTCCCAGGTATAACACCTCACACGACTGAGGTAGCTCATATCTTCAAACTGTTTTCATTCATTTTCCAACTTCATCTTAACGCTGAGCTATTTTCACACAATACCATGTGTGTGATCAACATCATGCTCTCCTCACCTTCTCCAGCAGGGCTGTGGAGCGGGTACAAACCTTTTGAGTTTTGGTGTAAAAAAATGTCTGACGATATCCCTCCAGCAGGACTCCCTCCAATATCTAGAGTGTCTTGAGTGTTTTCCCTTTTTAGTTCCTTTCCCACTTATCTCTTCTATACAGTGTTGACATTGTTTTACCCTATCGTACTTTGATACAGCATTAAGATAACTCTAGATTGTGTACCTGTGCACATGGCAGTGTGGAGGTCAGGCCATGTAATTCTCATGGGCAGCCCACTCATAACTCCTTATTGTAATAGTCTCTGACTTGTAAATAAGGAACCATTAATATTTGACAAAATCATGCTGTTACCGTTTCCTCCGTGGTCTCTGACACTGACCCCTATGTGTGTCTTTTTTTTTGTTTCTTTGTTTGTTTTAGCCACAATGTTGAACCTGATTCCACACTCTTACCTCTCCCTGCTCTTTCTGCTTGCTGCAAACTTAACAGGTGAGGAGGAATGTCATGTGAAAATCCATGGATATTACATCCGGCCTTTTTGACCTTGAAACCCACAGTTACATACAAATTATCTTGATTTGGCTATACCTCAATAGTGACTAGAATCTAGTAGTTATCGACTTAAATATGTCTGTAATATATTCTCCATGTATATACTCTAAGGGGTGTATGGGAAGAGAATCATCGGAGGTTTGGAGGTATCCCCCTACTCTGTGAAATATCAGGCCTCTCTGCTGTTCAGAGGCTACCACTTCTGTGGAGGCACCCTCATCCACCCACAGTGGGTGGTGTCTGCTGCCCACTGCTGGAGACCGTGAGTTACTGCAGTTTTACCAGGACATGTTTTATTCACAACTGTGCAATAGAAAGAAGACAGTGTGAAACAGCACATCCTCGTGAAGTTATTTTTGATTGATCTGTATTTGGCAAGATAAAACATCTTTACAATCAAGTCATTTCCTCTTTTAGGAGTCACATGATCAAAGTGGTCCTCAATGATCACAACATCGTGAAGGTGGATGGCTTTGAGCAGGTGTTTAACGTAACTGTGATTGTCAGACACTACCAGTATCAAGCATGGACTTTTGACAATGACATCATGCTGCTGAAGGTAAGAGATGGTCGTGGTAATACAGTTTGTACACGGTTACTGATTTGATAGAGATCCTGTGATTCAGGTTGTAAATTGAAACATTTCTAACATTGGTTCAGCAACTGTCTTATGAAGAAAATTTGAAGATCCAAGTTCAATATAAAAAAAAAAAGAGTGGCGTTTTAAAATGCACTCAACGTAACATCTCAAACAGCTAAAAACTGAGTGAATATTTATTTCATTGCAAACAAAAAAAAAAATTCAACCCTTAAACTGTAAATGAATTGTAGCTAATTGGTGCTGCTATGTTAAACTGAAAAGGTTGCTCCAGTAGTGAAGGGATGTACTGTCACAAAATTGTCTGATTAATCTAGATCAATGATTGAAATGCATGCATGCAGCAAATATTGTGATTTTTTTAGGTAATGGTTAAATTCCTCAAAAGCTGCATCCATCACTTACCAGAACATACATGAACAATATCTTTGAAGTGAACTTTACATGCCCATATGTATGTTTAGAAGAGTCAAACTTTACTGCAGAGTGGAACAGATGCTCCTCTTAGTTGCGGACAGCTTATTCAAAAACTTTTCTAGTGTAAAAGATCTTAACACAACAAACACATCTAAAATAACCTTTTACAAGTTACAATAGAGTCTAAAAGTATTTATCAAGTACTTAAGCGTATAGAGTTATCAGGGCTATTGACAACATATTATGCTAAATATCATGAAAAGTATTAATAACAGCACCTAAAACCCAAATGTTGTGATGCTCTGTAATAGATGGCTAAGGTGAAGCAGATTTTTGCTTTTTTATGATTTGCTGGATTTTTGATCTGCATTTAACCTGAACTTGAGGTCTAAAATCCCAGAAGTTTCTATTGCAGTGAGAATATTTCAAACACATTAAATTCTCTGTAAGAAACTTTCAATTTGTGTCAACTTTGGCGCCCCACTGTGGACAAAGTGTTTTCTTTTTATCTTGTACTCCACATGCTTTAGTTGTGTCTTTAACAAAAAATAAAAAATCTCATCCTGCGGATTTTTGATAGTCTGATGTCCGATGGATCTTTTTGAAGAATATGTAAAAACAAGATTTTCCCCATAGCTGCTTGGCTGACACCTTCACCCCTAAACACCAATTTTAGGTATTCAAAATTACAACGTAAAAATAGCCCACCTTGTCGCTGATGGTTTTGTTTGCATTTTGATATCATGAAAGACACGTGAATTTCAGTCTATTTCACGAATGGCAAAAAACTCATCACAGGAGCTTTAATTAAACTTTTAAAGATATTTGAAGGAGTGGAATTTCCTTCATTGATTTATCACATCACTTGCCTCAGTGTTGACACATTGAGACAGACGTCTGATGTCCGCTGACTCAACCCTCTTTACTCACATTGGAAACTTTGATAGAAAAAGCTCAAACCTGACTGAAAGACATGTTTTCTGTGGGTCAGCTGGATCGCCCAGCTGTCCTTAACGCCATGGTGGAGCCAGCCATCTTGCCTGATCCAAACTCACCACCTTTGGACAACAGTGCCAGCTGCACAGTGAGTGGCTGGGGTGTGACCTGGCTCAACGCCTACAAACTGTCACCTGTGCTTAGGTATGTGAATGTGGACATCTTCCCCAACTGCTGGCGCTACTACTACTTCAGGATCACACAGAACATGGTGTGTGCGGGCTCAGTCTACGGAGGGAAAGACTCCTGTCAGGTGAGGGACACGTCTGTGCTGTGATGATCAATTTTTGAAGTGTCAGAGGAAAAAAACCACATATGTCATAATGACTAATGACGTTATAATGTGACACAGGAAACTGGTCATCAGACACTATTGGGCAATAATGAGGGCTTCTTTCAACAGATGGGGTTGTTAGAGATCATCATGCTGTTATAGTGTATCCTGAAAACACAAAGTAGATAAGGGAAGAGTTGAGGGCCAGAAAACTTTAAAGACCAATCCAATTGTTAAATCTTAAAGGGATATTCCCATGTAAAATTAATTTAGGGTCAAACACACCCTAACACTGAGGTAGACACCCACTGGAGAGATGAATGTTGCCGACTGCTGGCCACCAAACATCTTTTTAGTTTTGCCTGATTTCTTTAGCAAAGAGACTAAACACAACTCACCTACTCTCTTCCAGCAGCCGCTTGTCTGTGGCGAGACCTTGGACAAATCCATTATGGATTGCTGTGGGGTGACGCAGCTCAAGGAAGAACATTTATGATCATTTTTGTATCATTTTCTTTTGGTAATCACCATATTAATCATTTTGCACTGCAGACGCGGTAGTTCTTCTACCTTAGCATCTCAGTCTGATTGCATTTCCATGAAGAATTGATAGTAAATTTTCTTCCTCGAGCTGCATCAACCCACTGTAGTCGGTAATGGACTGGCCCGAGGTCTTGCTACAAACAAACGGCTGCTGTAGGAGAGTAGGTGAGTTGTGTTTAGTCTGTTTGCTAAAGAAATCAGACAAAGTTAAAAAGATGTTTGATGGCTAGTACTATGGCTGGCACCCTATATGTACTGTTGATGAAGTTAGGTGCTGTTCTGAGCATTATTTGTGGCTATAGAGTGGCGTTTTGGTTTAGCACGTGGCTCTCTGTATTGCTATCATGTGGTCATTACTGAAGTTGGTATAACTAGAGAAGCATGCGGTCGGCAACATTCATCTCTCAACGGGGTGTCTAACCCGGTGTTATGGTGTGTTTGACCCTAAATTAATTTTACGCTGGAATATCCCTTTAAGTGACTATATAAAAAAATTTCCAAGTATTTATTCATTAATCCATTTATTTTACTACCATTCATTTTTATGTTGAATATCTTTCACACCATTTTTGCTTGTCTAATGAGTCATGGCAGCTGATAAAACCCTTCACACTATCGATTTTAACACAAAACAAGACCACGCTTTTTGCCTTTATCCAAAAGCAAATACACCAAATTCAAGTGTGAACATCTTACACTCTGCACAATGTAACTGTGTATTTTTCCATCCTCAGGGTGACTCAGGAGGACCTCTTATTTGTGACGGTAAATTTGAGGGCATTGTGTCGTGGGGCATTGGCTGTGCCTATGCTTACTACCCAGGTGTCTACACCAAAGTCAGGAACTACCTCAGCTGGATCAATGGAGTTATTCAGAACAGCTAATGAGAATCTCACCTTCATCTCTACTGTGTTGGGGATTTGAATGGATCTTGATGGACTAATAAAGCCTAAATGGATATTTTCTTATGTTGTCTTTTATACAAATCGTATCTGTGATATACAGACACAGGCAAAAACACGGAGAGGAGACTCGCTTCAATATCACCTAAAAGAGAAGACTTGGGTGTGATTTCAATTGACCTGTTGCACATGTTTTAAAACTGGTTTTATAGTTTTATAACTGTGGTGATGCTGTCCAAATTATAATTGAACCAAGTCACACCCAGGAGTCATTGTAACACCAAAGACTTCAAGTTACCATTCTTTCCATCATGGTTAAACTTTAACAAACAAGTTTTTCATTAAGTTAATGACACAAACCAAAAAGGTTGTTATTTACCAAAAGGCAAAAACAGCTGTGTTCAAAGATCACATAAAATTCACTAACATATAGCAGAACAGACTAGGTAGACATTGAATCAAATATTCACAGGCATTTTATTTAGTGCACACCTGAATCAGCTGAACAGTTTGTTTTTGTTAACTTAATGAGTTTTTTATATCTACAAATGTATCTACGTATGAGCAGGCCCTCACAGAGGCCATCATCTCTTATCTCCATGTTTCTTAAATTAGAATAAACTGGAAAAACTTAAAACATTTGCTTATAAAATGGTAGAAGAAGAAGAAGAAGAGTGGTTGTTGAGCTCAGAGAATATAAATTAATAGAAATGTTTTATTTTAAAAAATGATAATGATAATGGAGAATAGCATTTATGTATAACTGGGGCTCTTTGTCCTCGAAGGCTACCGTTGCTTTACAGACTGAAGGGGTCAGTAAAGAAGTTCAATCTATAATCTAACAGCTAGATCTCACCAAATATTCCCACTTCTTATTTCAAAAACAATTCTTTGTTGATTGGAGACAGCTTAGATTTTTGGACCCATTCTTAAAATGGCAATTTTTTTTACAAGCAACTAAGCAACCTTATATTGCACCTATAAAAAGCCTCCTAGGTCACAGGAAGATAGGACTTAAAATGACACATTTTAATGAACACTGTCATGTATAATTTATCAGTCAACCTCAACAAACTGGTCTCAAAGGTGTGTCAAAAATACTTTCCAGAACATTTAACAAACACTAACAACTGAAGTGCCTCACATTTCCACCTGACAGCATATTGACAGCCCTGCGTGTGATTGGCTGTGACTGCTCCCTCTCCCTCCCTTGACACTGCCCTCTGTCACATATAAAGCAGAGAGCTTTAAAAGACTCATTCACTGAATCGCAGAGTAAAACAGACAGGCACACGAACCCCTGGAGCAAGTATGGAACATCAAGAGTTCAATGAGGTTAAGCAGGTCAAGGAACATGAATCCAAGCTTCTGTCCCAGGATAAAGTGGAGAATCTGATTCAACAGGCTCAGGAGGCCAAGGTGTCGGCCTACTGTCCTTACAGCAAGTTCAGAGTGGGTGCTGCTCTGCTGACCACCAGCGACTGTGTCTTTACAGGTAAGGTACAAGTGTTTTTTGTACCCAGTTTGTTTAATTTGAGAGAGTGTTCGACTTCAAGGTTAAAATGTTGGTTTAGAATCAATATGGAAGCTTGTTTTTTAATTATGCTCCTTATCCTTTTACAGGGAAATTAAAGAATCTGTAAACATCTCATAAAGTCAGATATACAGCACTACACAACATCTTTGATTTAGGTATTTTGACAGATCACTGATAATATAATAAAAAGTCACAACAAATCCTTTCAGGTTTCAAAAAGTTTTACAACACTTTGATAGCAGTTTCAACTTGATGCTTAAGTCTGCGAAAAGGTTTTATTTCATAGTACTGACACAACTGACAGCAGTTACTCATTTCTAAATCCTTCCCTGCAGATGTAAAAATTAAATCTCATCTCTCATAATGAGTAACGATGCTCACTTTCCCATGAGCTACACTCACCTTATGCCATTGCATCATGTGTGCTATTTACACAGACAGGGAAGTCAAATCATTGTTAACAGTCAGGAAAAGTCACAACTCCCCTGTCTATTGCTGGACAATACAAAGCAAAGCGAGTCACGTGCCTGGGGGGGCAAATAGCTGGCAAACAGCTGTGAGAGCAAAGACCCTTTGAGTAACTATTTGACCAGGACAGAAGTAAACAGTCCATGTGTTTGATGGTGGAAAGGATGTCTTTTTTCTGTTTCATTTCAGTAAAGCAACTTAAATGATATATTTCTGCCACAGGCTGCAATGTGGAGAACGCCTGTTACAACCTGGGCATATGTGCTGAAAGAGTCGCTATCTCAAAGGCAGTGTCTGAGGGCCACAACAAATTCAAAGCTGTTGCAGTTGCCAGGTAAATTTCCCTACACTTGTGAAAGACCCCTGTCTGCCCTTTGCACAGGTCTGAAGTCATCATTCCTGTATCGCAATACAGTGACTCACCCCAATTATATCCTGTTTCATTTTTTATCTCACCAAAATGATCAAACCCGACCCTATTGAGTTAGTCAGGAATTTTAGGTCGAATGTTGACCAACAGCAGGAGGAAGATGAACGTAATCCTTTGTTACCTATGAGTTTTGATTTAGCTAGACCATGATTACTAAGACTGTACAGGCATAGCAAGAAATGCTTTATGATATAGCTATGGTAGTGAAATTTCATTCACTTAAAGGACTTGTAATGACAGCGCAGTCATTTAGAGACTGTGGGTGATGTTGAAACACAGGGCAATCTACATTAACCAGATTTGTGTCAAAGCAGCACTATTATCTGTGCAAAATATCTTTCTGGAGTTCCAAAGGTGTTATGTCTAACATTTACAGTATAAGTTTAATTCATATAGCTTGGTTTACGTCTTAGTATTTCTCACCATTTTTTATACATGAAGATTATATTGAAAAATTTGCTCATTCTATTTTCATATCTTTTACTATGCACCAAGAAACCCTAAACAACAACCCCCCGACCCCCTTGTTTTTTTTCTCTTTTTTTTTTGCAGTGACATGAGTGACCAGTTCATCTCCCCATGTGGTGCCTGCAGGCAGTTCATGAGAGAGGTATGGGATTAAATGGTTTGCACAAGCTTTTAATTTAACAGTGATTTATTAACTACAACCTAAAGTCCCAAAAAGTTGGGACATTGTTAAAATGTAATTAAAAACAGATTTCAAAAAAGGATCTTTAAAAGATTCAGAAAACCTGTTGAAATCTGTAGAAAGGTACGAGGCTGAAAACCAATACTGGATGACTGTGATCCTTTGGCCCTCGGACAGCACAGCATAATAAACAGATGTGACTCTGTACTGGAAATTACTGCATGGGCTCAAAAGCACTGTCTGTGAAGCCAGTTTGCCACAGCATCCACAAATACGGGATAAAAATAACATACAGAGAGGAAACCACCAGGAAACGTGATCCGAGTCAGAAGTCCAGTGGCCTGGCAAATCAAAACCTGACACTCATCTGGAAATCATGGGCAATTAATTCATTAATGCATCAGATTTCATATAGCGCTTTACATTGGATAAATCCTTCATTTGCTCACACAGTCACACCATGGTGGTGGTAAACTACCTCAGTAGTCACAGCTGCCCTGGGGCAGATTGACGGAAACGTGGCTGCCAGTTTGCACCTACGGCCTCTCCGACCACCACAACACAACACTCACATTCATACACCAGTGGAGGACACACACTGGGAGCAAGGTGGGTTAAGTGTCTTGCCCAAGGACACAACGGACAGACAATGCATCCTCCTCTCTACTGCGGAAAGGGACCTCCTGGATTTTTACACAGTTCAAATAAGATAAGAAGAACTGTGTTTATCCTGACGTGTAATTTGATAATGCCTGCATCCCTGATGATACAGGGATGCACTGATTCCAATAACATAGGTACCCTGCACATCCAAGAAAGCACCAATAAATCTGTACAAACAATATCAATGTAGGTTTTGAAGCAATTTGCTTCCATCTACACCATGCCTTTTGTCAGGCATATGCATATTTCAGAAAGACAATGCCAAATCACAGTCTGCATTACAACAGCATGGATCCAGAAAAGTCTGGGTACAAAACTGGCCTGCCCACAATCTCAATTCATGACCTACTGAAAACAATGACTGCACAATGAAACCTAAATCCCCAACAAAGTAGACTGTGAACTGTAGCGCAGCTGAAATCCTCCGTCAGGCAAGATTGGGATATTTCATTTTCAAAACTTCACAAACTCCACAGTTACCAAACATTTGCAAGAGTGCTGTTTAGCGGTGATGCAACACAGTGGCAAACATGCTCTCGTCCCAGCTATATCGAAATGAGTTGGCAACATTAGTGTTGACATAAGCATACACTTTGCATTAGACAAATGCCCACTGTTTAGAGCTTAAGTTGTACTGAAAAAAAGTGTTTAAAGGTTTCTCTGTATGGAGATTATTAACTTCTTCCTGCAACTTTTTTGACTTTTTTTCCTGACAGTTTGGGTCTGACTGGCTTGTGTACCTGTCCAAACCGGATGGCACATACCTAGAGATGACTGTGAATCAGCTGCTGCCTGTCTCTTTTGGACCGGATGATCTGTCCATGAACAAAGTGGCTAACTGAGCCCACATTGGAGAACAGCCAACACACATAAGTGTTGGATTTGTGCACCGTATAACATGCTGTGTGTGGGAATGCAACAAGCAAGATTCTTATTTTTGGTACATGTTTGTTTTTGTATGATTTTTAATTGTGAATTCTCTAAAAGCAAAGAAAACGAGACGAATGTCAAAGCAGGTCTTCCATTTTAATAAATTAATAGTTTTAAAAGAAATGTCTTTCATAATTTACACTTCATTTCTTTCAATGCCATGTGGAAAAACAGTATATGACTTTTAAAGGGCAAACAATTGAAATGATCAGGAGTTACAGTGTGCTGGAAATACTTTTGGTGAAAAATCTGATTATTCCATGACAGAGTAAAAAGATAAGACAGATGGATGACACATTTAAGCTGCCAGTGTAAATTCCCTAACAACATTTATTAGTGATTTTAGGCCTACTCAATTCATGCATACATTTTTACAGGTATTGAAAGGGAGGAATCTTAAAAAGGGCAAATTTTATCTAACATTTATTGTTTCTCCCCAATTCAGACAACTAACATTAACTTTAAAACTCATGAGCCACAACAAACATAAAGGCAGCTTTATAATTTTAGATACAATAACCAAAATGATGTTCAATGATACCAGAATTCAAACTTGGCTCTTTGCATAATATTTAAACAAAAGTGGCAAGATATGGCAACTTGATGCAGAGCCTATAACCTTCAGTTTTCACCAATTAATTAATTAAAACAGTTTATCTGGTTACCATTGCACAGATTGCTCTGAAACTTCAGTCCTAGAGTCAAGAATCAGATTTTGTGTCAGATATAAGAGCAGAGGAAAAACTCAAGTTCAACTGAGGGCATCTTAGAGTATAAAAACAAACCATTTATCAAGAAAGTCAGTGCATCAAGCTCTGCTGTTAAGCCTTAATTTGGATCGCTCTAAAATACGAGAAGATCTGATAGAGTATGCAGGTAAATCCTCCTCCTGTATTTCTAGAAAACATGGACAGGAGTGTCAGCTGTAAAGATGTGTTCTAGTTTAAGGCAAACTTTTGAGACGAGTGGTCAAAGGACTTCAGTACAGCAATGAGAAAATGTGGTTATTATTCTGAGCTATATCACTTAAACTTATAAAGTGTGAACAAAAGAAAGCTCACATGACTGAACTTACTCTGTAACAGCTATTGTCTGTACCATGATGCTAATGGACCACCTATGGGCAGAACAGTTACAGTTTGTGTGTCTCCAGCAGTCACATGAAACTCCAGGTGATGAAGCTGTAGCTTGCTTACACGTACCTCCTACTTGTGTGGGAGAGAAAGGGAGAGATGTGTGAATGTATGCACTGCAGCTCTAACATAGCGGGAGAAGCTCGCTTTTGTTGTTTTCCTTCAAGCAGCTCTGACTCTGCTTTTGCTCCTATATGCAGCTCCTCGCATGCACAAAATTGCATTTTAAAAGGTTTCAGTATAGCACGCGCTTCTAAGCTGTTAAATTTACCTTCTCCCAACTCTGTGAAAAATAAATAAAAGACAATCTGTGAAAGGGTTCAAACTGATCAGTGCAACAACCTACCTGTGCAAAAGGAAACTTAAATATTTCAGAAACTGCATTATTTTTATTTATTTTTTTTGCTATGACACATACCTAAATAGTGAGACCACATAGTGTTTCTGTTACCACTCGTACCTCTGTGAGTGTCATCTCAACTCTCCGTGGAGAGGTTGTTTGTGGCTTCATCCAGAATGGGCCATGCAGGGATCTGTAACCTAGGTAGGGTGCCCTCCATCAGCCTCTCCATCCAAAGTCCCAGTCTGTCCAGCTTGTGGTGGACCTCTATACTAGTGGCCCTACCAGAGCCCCTCTTCCCTCCAGCACCATCCTCCCTAGAATGGGACCTGGATCTAGAGTGGGAGCTGGACCTGGACCTAGACCTCGATTTTCTCCTGCTGTCAGAGGAGAAGAAACTCTCTGATGAGGAGTCGTTGGGATCGTCCCCTGTGAAGACGGGTCTGAAGAGGCAAAAGTACTTCTTGTGGCCGTTCAGAGCCAGAACATAGCCAGAGTAATCTGAAGACTCCTCATCCTCGTCACAGCCCTGATCCTGCACGGCAGAAGTTGAGTGAAGGAGAGATGGCATCCAGTGGCGGTGTTTATCAGCATTGAGAAAGGAGAAGTGGAGGTTGTGAGTCCTGTAATGATGGAGAAGTTTAAGATCAAGTAGAAATAATGAATGACGGCACAGATTTGAGAAAAATCCTGCTGAGCTGAGACTTACCCGGAGAAAGAGAAAACCTCTTTGGCAAACTTCCTGAGTAAAGTGGTCTTGGAGGCGTTAGTGAGTACCAGAACCACATTGATGTGTCCTGGTCTAAGCTTGACCAAGTTACTGGTGTATGTGAGGTCTGTCAGCTCTGTCACTTCCACAAAATCCTTCTTCGGAGGACGGCTATTTACATCAAAGAGAAAGACAGAATAAACGTTAATGAAATTAAAATGGGTTTTAAATTTAAAAGGATATTTTGGCGTAAAATTAAGTAATCAAACACACCGCAACATCGAGTTATAGACACCCCCACAAGAGAAGAATGTTGTCGACTGCCTGTTTCTCTAGTTATACCAACTTAAGTAACGACCGCACGATAGCAATAATCATTTCTTCATGAAAATGCAATCAGACCGAGACACTAAGGCAGAAGAACTACCACGTCTGCAGTGCAAAATGATTAATATGGTGATTATTATTTCAAGGAAATGATAAAGAAATAATCATAAATGTTTTTCCTTGAGCTGCGTCAACCCACAGCAGTCTGTAATGGACTTGCCTGAGGTCTCGCTACAAACAAGCAGCTGCTGGAAGAGAGAAGGTGAGTTGTGTTTAGTCTCTTTGATAAAGAAATCAGGCAAAGTTAAAAAGATGTTTGTTGGCTAGTGCTGTGGCTGGGACCTTATATGTCCTGTTGATGAAGTTAGGTGCTGATCTGAGCATTATTTGTGACTATAGAGTGGCTTTTTGGTTGAGGTTTGTTTATGGCTCCTCAGACCGCTGTGTATTGCTATCCTGTGGTCGTTACTAAAGTTGGTATAACTAGAGAAGCAAGCAGTCAGCAATGTTCATTTCTTGACAGAGTGTCTAACTCAATGTTACGGTGTGTTTGACCCTAACTTAATATCCCTTTAACTCTTTATTTTTTTTACAGCGTAGTAGCAGTGTAGGAGAGGACTGCTGCTGCAGGGTGGCAGCTTTTTGGAGCATGTTAATTATTACTCTGGGGTTACATTTACATACTTCACATTACTGCTGTGAAGTGAGCACAAATAGGAACCAAACTTTCTCATGTGGCTTTGTGGTTTATTACAAAGCAGAACATACAAAACAGAAACCCATGGGGTTTAAAAACAAGTAAATGACTATTCTAAAACTCATAGAAAGCCAGTGAAGAGCAGCAAGCCTGGCAGCAGCATTTTGAGTCAATAATTATATTATATGTTACGCTTCCTGATTATGCCAGAATAAAGTGCATTATAGTACACCAGGATGGAAGAAACAAATGCATTACTGTTTGTTTGTTTGTCAGAGGGGAAAAGAAAACACTTGATTTTAGTCCAGGACTGCACCTGGGTGTCAAAAGAAAGGCCAGAGTCAGAAATGAGTCCTGGGTTGTGTGTCTCTTGGCGAATACTATTAGGTGTAGCATCAAGACAACCCTGTGTGTGAAACTCGCACATTCTTTGCAGGAAAGGTCCCTTATCTGGTCCCAGGACACAGGATAATATAAATCTTTCCAGACTTGTTTGCACTTTCAGGTTTCCCAACTGACCCGACAGGAGGTTGACCTAAACCTCTGGCTCTTCACGATTGGTCAATTCGGAGAACAGAGACAGAGTTTTTATTACCTTTCAAACTGACTTAATCGCTGACCATCTATATAAACATTAATGCCTCAACCCAGATTTTCCATTTGAGATTTACCGTCTTTAAGTGTGTGAACACATGGGATCTAAGGAAAGGTCTGAGGAGCGGGACACTGACCTCCAGACCTCTGTCGTATGACCCTGCTTGACCATATGCTGATAAAACCTGCATTCCTTCAGAGAAAGAATACAAATGACTGATCATGACTTCTTATGCGTTCAGCAATGTAGTAATCTGTCTAATCATGAAATTTGTGGTAAAATGAGATGTATCCCATTTTCAGATTGATTGATGTGAGATTGATTAATTTAAGATTAACTTAATGTTTGATTTCTGAATTAAACTTTTCTTTTTCTTCATTTTCCCACCATTGAAGGTGGGTGGTGCCCCCTTCAACGAGTGCATAAATGTCTTAATTTAAGATTATTCATCTTCAGATATTTATTATTAATTCAAATTGCTACATAGGTAAGGCACCCAGACTGGAGGACAGATTATGAATGTAGCTAGAACTTTACATTTTGAGTCGTTCAGCTGCAGAGAATTTTTGGACATCCGATTTTTAATTTTAGTCAGACAGGATGTGATGTGAGACATATTAATGGTGCCAGGTTTACGGGGCATAGAGCTTGAGGTCATCTGCATAGCAATGAAAGTCACTACCATGTCTACACAGGCTTTGAGTCAGGGGAAACATGTACACGGAAGATAAACCCCTCATGAAAAAGGGGCCTAAAAGCATTACAACAAAGGAAATTTTTTCCTTTATGTAAAGACCCACTCCGATGAAAATCACGTTTTTCTTGTGTCTACATGGTCATACGGCATTTTTCTGATGCTACAGGACATATCATGTGAAAAATAAGTGCAAAATTGCATTTCTGAGTATTTCTTCATTCAAATCTGTGAACCTCTCACAGACCAAAACTGCAGGCTCAGACACAGTGAGATTTCCTTCATCACAACTGCAAGCTTCGCCCACAAAGCCCCGCTACGCAGGCCAGACTCAGAAAAGTAGAGATGACAATCGCAGAACGTTAGCGTGTACGTTAGCAGATGCTCGTAAGAAAGCTGATTATGATATGAACTTTCATCATGCCCTCAAAGGCATTAGTGTCAGAGAGCTGAATGGCTTCTATGTCACCTGCTACTTCTACTACACCAGCAATGTTAGGCTGAAGCTCACGTGAAGAGGAGCGTGCAGTACACTTTAGGTTAAGGTGACCAAACGTCCCTGATTTCCAGGGACAGTCCCTGTATTGGATGACCTGCCCACGGCTAAAGCTGTCCCGGGAAATGTCCCCGATTTAAGTGTTTTATGAATGAGAACAAAAATGTTGCGAGTAGACTAGAAGAATGGTTACTACGGTAGCCAAGTAGGAAGCACGAGTAAGCATGTTGCGCACAGTCCTGAACAACTGTTTTTACGTGGGGTTATTACGGGGGGCGTTCGCTGCTACTAAGTAGTACCGAGATGTTGTCTGTGATCACGCAACCCATGCCCCCCTCTGTTAGAAAAAACAAGTTTCCTCTTTTAAAGTATATTAAAAAAAAAAAACAAGCAGCCAAGTCCAATTATTGTATCAGTCATAAAAAAATCTAAGCTACGTGTCCTTAATTGGTTATGTCCTCAAGTGACAGTCATTTATCTGGCTGGCTCAGACTGTCACAGAAGAGGGACATATGAAATATAAATAAAGATGCTGCACAGTGGATGTAGCCAGAGACAAGCTGGGATAGTGCCGAAAGCTGCAAAAGCAGTTCGCATAAGCCAGCTGTAAATTAACATTAAGGGTTGGCTATGTGTCTGTTATTTGCATATCCTCCACAGATTTGTTTACTCTCCATAAATCACACCTCAGGTTGGTTTTGGAAGAAAATAACTAATTCATTACCACTATTCTGCTGAGTCATGTTTGATGATCAGGCAGAGGAATACATGTGGGACCGCATGAGGCTGCTTTCTCAACTAAAAAGACATATTTCAGGAAGAACGGACCACAAATCCCTCAAGGTCTTCTCAGTTGTACATAAACAGCCATTCACATAAAAAAGTAGTGACAAAAAATATCATTCACATACACTTACTCAGAGTCATGATCTCTTTTTTGCTGTTTTGTCTCATAATTTAAACAAGTATGCTGCCGCAGGTTTTATTCTGCCCCCATCTGGTGTTCACTTCTCCCTACTACATTACCTTGTGGTAGTAGCTCTGCTTGAAGCGTCATCCTCAGTCTGTGGTGGCTCCTTTGGTTTAGGTTTCCGAGGTTTGCTCTCACCTGGTTCACTAAAAATACATCAAAATAGAAAAATGAAAAAAGCTGATGAAACCTAGGCAGTGCTTGTGTTTGGCTTGGCTGAAGCCAAAACATCACAAAGGAGTGTAATTGGCAACCTTCTCTCACCTGAAGGCCTGAATGATGACTGTGCCGAAAAGAATGAAGAGGGCTGAGAAGATGAGTGACAGGATGGGCATCATTTCTCGCCTTGGGGAGAAGAAAGTTATTAGAGAAACATTTTAGAGAATATGAACGTCAGGCCATATCAGACAGAGACACTCCTCCTTCTTTGCAGCAAATAAATGCTGCAGACTCTTTAGCAGGGTGTAGTCTTACCAGTTTGAGTAGAGAAGGTCATCATAAAGTTGTAGGATGTAGTCGTAGGCAGCATTTATCCACTGAATAATAAATATCTAGAGGGTTTAAATGAAAAGGAAACCAATGACATAAATCCACAATTTGGTCTGTCTGGTATGTTTCAAACACACTCCAAAGAGGTGATGAGTGTGTGTCTGTATAACTTACAGGAGCCATCTCGTTGTTGAGTTCAGGCAGGGTTGTGTCTGAGGTCAGGTAGGTGGGGTCTTTTTGAAGGAGCTCCAGCTGTTCATGAAGACGGTATTTGTCTTCCTCGCTGCCGTTCCAGCCACCGCTCACAGAGCGGAAGAACACCCTCCCAGCCTGGCTCCGCCTCTCCAGAATCACAACCTAAAGGTGGTGTTACAATTCACTTTTACAGTAAGACCAACATTGTGCAGCCAAGAATAGACATATCAGTGGTCTGATGCATATCATATTCTGTATGATTTGGATAGAAAATATTTGCCCACACTGTCCCCACTGTAAGTCTACACATGATGATGGGAAATTCCATAGCTTCTTTGCTTTATGATCTTTTGTGTTTTTGAGTTTGTGTGTTTTACTCCTGCTAACCTGAGGTGAGAGAGTAGCTTGATTGTGGAGCAAAGCCTGACACAGAGGCTGCTGGTGGCGCTGATAGACATACGCAAACCGTAGTACTTCTTTGCTGTTTGCTGATGCAAAGTCCAGGAAGGCCTTATTGCCTGGAAGGAAGGCTTGGTCTTCACCCGTGATCAGCAGCACACAGTACCTGCAAACATTTCACAGTCACTTCACATTTTATAAAGACAAATGGGGCTTACAGGATGGTAATTCAATTCACCAGAGCTCCCTCAGCTCATTTCCTTTCTCTAACAAAAACAGTGGGAGTACAGAAGGAGTGGGGAGGCAAAGAAGATGCATTATCACATTACCCAAAAGTTTCATTTCAGAGAGATGTAAGTAACAGGACCGCAGGCAAGGACTCTGCTTGTAAAATGTCTTACTTCCTTCGACGGTGAAACTGCTTCACAGGACAGAGCTCATCAAAGAGCTGCTGGTTGACCAGCCGTGGGACCTGCAGGAATTTGTTGTTGGAAACAAACTCATCCATAATCTGTCGCTTCATCCCTCTGGCCTGAGAGAGACAAAAAGGAGAAGCTGTGATTTACTGAATATTTCGAAACTGAAACCATTAAATAGTATTTTATCATGATAAAGAAGAATGATGAGCCTGCGTTGGATGTACCTGGATGATGTCCACAGGCTTCTCTGTATCCTCTTTAAACAGCAGCATGGTGGGGGCGTATGTGTTTATGTTGAATTGCTGCAGTATTCGATTGTTCTGGGTGTCACCCTGATCCACGTAACCGAAGCGAACATAGTCTCTGAAGGCAAATGCTGTTAACTGGAGTGAAGGGGGAAAGAGATAAGATAAAGATAAGATGAGATCCTCACTCTTCAACATTTTATACATTTCTACGTTGACTCTTCACTGGACTCACTTAGTAGTTATAAAAAAGACGTGATTGGTCAGAGTTTTACTGAAATGGTTGTCTTTGTGTTGTTAGTCAAATTTTGTTGGAATAAAGGTTGGTCAAAATACATTTCCAGGAATGCAAAACTGTGTAAGAAGGAAAAAATGATTCACTCATTAGCAATCAGGACTGTAACATCTACCTGCACATATTTCCCTCCACTTCTGTTTTAACATTAGGTCTAATTACTGCAAAGCAACTGAGTCTGTAAACACTTCACTTACTTTATACAGTAAGGAGGGGAAGGGGACTTGGTCAAACAAGAGGATGCTGGGCTTATTTCCAGCGTGCCAGTTATCCAGGAAAGCCTGGTAATTGTTGTCAGTCACCTGGAGGAACAGCGGTCATCAGTTGAAACAGTTTTTGTACTTCATTGAATAACAGTATACTTAAAAGCGTAAAAGAGAGCATCAATGACAACTTTCCACATACAAAACTATCAGACCTGAAGGTGATTTTATAAAACATTTGGGGCTTGAATGTTTTTAAAGACAGTACACATGCAGAAGTATTAACCTTTTCCACTAGCTTCTGAGGAAGCAGATCTTCAATGAACTGACGAATGTGCTCCCGGACCACAGCTTGATGGAAGAAGGTCACCCTGCCGTTGACCAGCCCGATGATTGAAGGAGCGCGGTGTGCACCCAGCTGGTTGGCGAGGCGCCGTTCATAACCCAGATCCACTATGCCTATTCCAATACCTGGTGTAAGTGGAAAAAACAGAAGCTGGTATTGTGTCTGGCACTGTAGATCAAGGCACATTAATCTTTTAAAATAAAGGACTCTTGACATAAAATCAGCCATGATATGTCACTAAAGTACCAACGGATGCAGCAGCACCTGCCACTTTTCAATGTCACCATCATATCTGCGCATATAGACAAAACAATATGTTGAATTTGAGTTATATTTGCTGTAGTGTATGTGCACAATGTGCCATGCGTGTAGTTGTATTGATGTAGTCTCATTTTTTCTGGAATTGCTCTTCAGTTTGTTACAATTTGTATAAAAAACAAAAAAACAAAATCGTATTGTTATTGTACAGGTGCGTATATTTCATCACTCATCAGTTCCTGAGGACGAAACTGTCTGCTTGATGAGTCAGAAAATGAGATTTTCAAATACTAAACAAAGCTACTTACTACATCCTTAATGTGTCAGCCCAATTGTGGTCCTATTTTTGCTGTGGTGCTCTGCTCTGAAGTGGCCAAAGTCAGTGATATACTCTATGCTGATATAAGCTAAAGATTGAATACATTACAACTAAGATTTTCTTCAGACATACTCATCTAAACGATAGATAGCAAACGCTATGATACATGCTGCTGACCAGCAATGTTTCACTGGCTATATAAATACACAGGACAGTTTTCAAGGACTTAGTCATAATAGACCAAGCATGAGAGTTAGCCAATAGGGCTCTTGTAATTGCACTTCTATTTTGCAGAATTGACCTGACCACTTTAAATTCATCCCCTGTGTCAGAACTTTGTTACATGATGTTGAATTCCTCCCTTGGCTTTACAGTTTGCTGTGAGAAAACTGAGCCGAATAAATAAACCCTGATGAACAATTAAAGAAACAGCTCTCTGTAAAGCATCCTAATGCAGAGAGTGACATCTAATGGCCTGAAACAAAACCATCCTTAGCCTTATGTTGTGATGCTTTTAAGGAAACCAGTCCTTTCCTCTAATTGTTGTGGTGGGCGTCTAGTGAGAGTAGATTACCTAGCGGCTCCAGCTCCTGCACCGTCTCCTTCCACACAGGCTCGATGTGGATGCATGCAAAGCACCACTCCGAGGTCACTTTGATGAGATAAGGCCTCTTATGGCTCTCTGGGAGGACATCGCTGTTAAACTGTGCGTGGTGAAGCAGGTACTTGCTGTCTGCAAAATCCCTGGACCTGGATGAGGGTTGGAAACAAGACGGTGAATCTTTTTATAGACATCATCTACAGGGTGCTCTGCCTTCAGGCCATGACCTGAGAGAATAGAGTCTGGATCGCTTCATCTGTTCCAAATCTTTGGAGACACAGCTGTGACATTCAGTTTGATAGACAGAAAAAGCATTGGACTGATTTTTCTCCTTAAACTAACTGTGATCTTTTAGTTAAAATAAAGTAAATGGATAACTTGTGGATATCATAGTACATCAAACTTGCAGTAGACAATCTTTTCAAATTATTTCCAGACAAAAATGTTTAACAAAACAAATGCAACCCTTGGCAAAGAGTCTCCAATTAAATGTCTTTAGATTGCTTCTAATGTTTGATATACAGGCAAAAAAAAAAAGATTTACGTAATGTATGAATGTAAAATTATGTACAACCAAAAAAAGGCCAACAGCTCCTGAAACATGAAAGACCAAAAAACCAAATATGTGATAACTGATCAGTTTAAAATCTAATTTCCCCTGCTTTATTAGCTACATAATGAGAGTGATATGCCAATGCTCCAGGAGTATTCTGCATTATTAAATCCTGGGAATACATTCACTGTAAGGGCAATAACCTCTGATACAAGATGGTGGCAGTTATCTTTTATCATTATTTTCTGTGACATGGTGTAATCACAAGGGGGCCAAAAATATACCCCGAACTGGGCACAGTTACAGCCTTGAAACAAACAGTTATGAACAAACTTATGACAACATGGGTACAAGAGAAAGAAGACAGGATTTGGTCACTTCGGAAATCTGATGACCAGAAAAGACTAAACAAAACTGAGCCTGATGTACCTGGGGAAATGGAAAAAAGACTCATCAAAGTAGAAGCTGTTGTGGAACCCATGGAAGCCATGATGCTGAGACTGTCCAAAAGGCTGGTTTTCATCCATCTGCCCATAGCGGTCAAAATTTGACCTCCTCTCTTCATTGGACAGAATCTGTAAAGGCAGAGGACAATGGTGTTATGAATGCAGGGAGACGCAGACAGTAAAACAGGTAGAGTGAGCCATATAGAAAGCAGTCATTAGTTTGAGCAGTGTAAATAAATCATGTGTCATAACAAGTGTCATCTACCTCATATGACTTGGAAATCTTGATGAACATGTCCTCAGCTTTTGGATCCTTGTTCTTGTCTGGATGCCTGGGGGAAAAAAAGCCCACACAGGACATCATAAATTACTGCTGTGTCACAAAGGAATAGAGGATTGTCAGAGTATGACTATTGAGGGGAAAGGGCCCATCTGCTACAGCCAATGTGTGATGGCCTAATGGGAGCACTTGCTGTCAGCCACTCACCATTCTTTAGCCAGAGTCTTGTAAGCCCTTTTGATTTCTGCTTGACTCGCACTCCTGCCGACACCCAGAATTTTATAAGGGTCAGAATCAGACGATGTGCTCACCAGCTGCACACCCAAAGTTAGCCAAAAAATGGCGAGCATAGCTTGACATGTCCGAGGATGTCGGCTGGTTCTCCTAACCCACATCGTTTCTTCCCACTGTGCTCGTCGTTCAGTGTTTATCCGAGAGGCACGGTCTGTTCACGTTACAAAGATATTCTGTAACGGACAAAGCAAGAGGTTACATGCTCAGGTCCATTCACGTCTTATATTTCAGGTTGATTACAAACCACATCCTGGCAGTTTACTACGATGAGGCCATTATTATCACAGCTAACGCTCAACGAATCAAGCCAGTGAGACACACAGGAGGTACGGATCAGCTTCCACTTTTGTATTTCAAAGTAAAACCAGCCCGAAATGTATAAAGGTGTTTTTGGTGCAAAAGGTTTGTGCATCTGTAACATGTAATTTGTAGTTGTGTAAATTGATTGCAACTATGTTTTGCACCAAATATGCTGCAACAATGGGAGCAAAATGTGAGCGTGTCAGAGTTTGAATTTGTGACACAGACTGTATACACTATGGACAACTTGGTTCCACCTTCCGCCAGTATATGGATTTGGTGCCGAAAAGCTAATTCCGTGTTTTCTTTCCACTTCCTGAAACCAACATTGCGCAGTAGCATTGTACGGACTCCACCAACCGCGCAGTAGCATTGTGCAAGTCGTCGAGAGCCGCTGTGATGACGCTCGGCTCAAACAGCGTATCCCCCGAGTGAGCTACGCAATCTTCGTACTCCCACAGGCTGTATCAAGTGTCAATCATAGAAAACATGTAGCCTGGCTGGGCCATCCAGTTGCGTGAATCACAGCAAGTGATTCACGCAACAGGATGGCCCAGCCAAGCTAGGGTTTATGGCCTATACTGCAGCCCGTCACCAGAGGGTGCTGTTCTCAGAGTGGCTTCACCCGGCGAGGAGGCAGATGGCAGACGCTGTCTAGTCTATATACAATCTGTGACTTGTAAAACAGGATTAGTGCACCTGTAATTAAGAATTTGTGAATGTGTAAATGTTGTGTTGTATTTGTGGAAATAAAAAAAATCAACAAGTACACAACTCATAGACTGCAGATTTCACATTTACTAATACACATACACAATCACTGTATACAACTACAATCTACATGTTACAGATGCACAAACCTTTTGCACCAAAAAATACCTTCTCTGTGCTACCTGCCCAGTACGAATGGTCAAGAGGTTAGTGGGAAAAATCATCACAAAAAGCACAAGGCTATAACCTGTAGGATGCTGTCATTGTTAGTCGCGGACAGTTGAGCCTACTGTACTTTGCATAACTGCCTGAAACAGACAAGAGTACTGCAAGTTATATTGTTTCTAAGATCTAAGTTATTTAGGGAGAGAGAAGGTGAGGGAGGGCTGGGGTGGAGAGTGGTGGGGTAGTAGGAATACGGCTCAACTTACCCCACTCCCATGGTTACCCCATACACGGGGTAAGTTGACCATAGGAGACCACTTTTTGTTTGGCATGCTATATTATCAAAACACTTATGTTTACACTCATTCTGTTGGTTTGCAGGGATGCACAACATCTTGAAATATATGCAGATACACTAGTTAGAGACAAAATTATGATTGCCTTGATGTAGTGATTGGAAATGGCTTGTCTTACCCCACTCTCCCAGACTACAGTGTTAAACTACAAATCTGTTCAATATATCAATAGGCTTTTTTTTGTAAAAGAAAGGCTTAAATATTGCAAGGAAAGAAAAATACAGCAAACTGGAAAATGTATTGTAAGCCAGTGCAAAGTATTAAAGGGTTTCAAAAGTACATTGCATTGCAAGGATTTCTTTTGAAAAGAGGGAAACTATATCCGGTTGGGTTTGGATCATGTTGTCTAACTTGCCTATCAAATAGCGCATGCTAGAATCAGCTGCTGTGCTCCTGTCGCTCTTTGGTCTTCCTTTCAAAGGCTCCACACCCCACCCCACCCATGCTTTTTCTTTTTTGAGTATTTATATCCTTTTACTTTCATACTTGAATAAACTGAAATATTCTCAAATCCATGATTTTTTTTATCTGAGTACTGAGAAAATGGCTAAAACATGGGCTGCAAAACTTGTTGCATTTTTTCTGTGAGTTTGATAAACGCGATTCATGGTTTTTCATATTTTTGGTGATTTAAGACACACAAAAAATAATTTTAAAAATAGATGAAAATGTAAACATTTCTTTTCCTCTACGCTTCACTTCACTTCCGTTTCCGCTACGTCACGGCCGCACAAAACTGATGTTGGTTTTTACTGACACAGAAAAGATGAATACATTGACACCTGGTAAAACTCTCTCTGGAGAATAATTTAATTTGCTTATCCCGACCTGCGTGCCCGACTACGCAAAATAAAATCGGGGGTTTTCATCCTTCGTCCACATCGACATGAACAACTTGGACATGTTTGCATTGAGTGGAGTGAGCTTACCAAGTGCGCAGAGGGTCTTATTATCGCGGTAGCTAACGTTAGCCCTTCAAAGCTGCTGTCTGTGGCCCTCTTTGGCTCCATCTCACGCAGGACTGGTGCTTTGAATCAGCTGAGGTAACTTGCAATTATTCTTTGATTTATAAATGAATGCGAAACATTCCATTGCTTGGTTTAGCCATAAAACGGAGTAAGCAGATTATGCTATTACAGGCTGTATGGATGTGAGGGGTGCACAGCGCAGATGTGGTCACTTTGCTAAGTTGCTGGATAGATTTTATGTTGCATGCACAACATGTGGTCTGATCGCAGAGTGCTTCCCTCACAACTTTACTTTGGAAATCAGAAACGGGAAGTGCCAAGACCAATATAAAGCAAAGACCAACACAAAAGGGTGTCTACTGATGCTCATGAATTAATGACTTGCAAATGCAACGGGTGAAATCACTCCTCTCAAGCCTGTATTTACAAGTAACAAAGCTTTTCGTCATACTGATGTGCAAGACAGCAGTAGGGGAGAGTGGGGTAAGATGAGCCATTTTTCATATTTCAGATCACTACATCAAGGCAATCATTATTTTTTCTCTACCTAGTGTATCTGCATATATTTCAAGATGTTGTCCATCCCTGCAAACCAAAAGAAAGAGTGTAAACATAAGTGTCTTGATAACATAGCATGCAAAAAAAGTGGTCTCCTATGGTCAACTCACCCCATACACGGGGTAAGTTGACCATAGGAGCGGGATAAGTTGAGCCGTATCCCTACGACCCCCCACTCTCCACCCCAACCCTCCCTCACCTTCTCTCTCCCTAAATAACAGTCACTTCTTGACATTCATGTGTAATTTTATCTATTATATTCAACTGATACAATAATTCTTTTTATTATTGTTGCATATAACTGCTAAAGAGCTGTTTTGTAAAAAGCCATTTTAACATGAGAATGTCTGTAAGTGATTCAGAACATTCACAGCTGTGTTTTTGAAAAGAAAAAGTAACACATTTCAACAATCTGAACTGAAACTCTGATCCTCTCATCAGACTCCTTTACTTTCTCACTTACCCCAGAACTACTATTATGACTTAACTAGTCCTCTAAGATAAAATGGTGGACTTTTATTCTAGGTTTTTGACCTCTTGTTGTAGCTCATAGATACCACAATTGATGTATAAAACAAATTAAAAATGATCTTTTTTGGTCTGAACACAATTCTAATAAAACTTATGACAGACTAAATTCACTTCCAAGAGTGAAAAATGTTTTTGTGGAAATAAATGTCTAACCCCTTTACCCATGTGCTTCTAAGCATCACAGACTCCATGAATTGATGCCCATCTCCTCAATATTTGGTCACATGATCAATTTCTTTTACCATTTCCAAGCAACAGGGGGTGGATCAACTTACCCTTTGGCTCAACTTACCCCACTCTCCCCTACAGTAAAATTGTGATGGTACCCTTGAGCAAAATACTATGAATATAAACTCTTATAGACTAATGTTAGACGTGATAACTCATTCTAAACATGAAGATCATGTCATAAATGGATTAACAAGAGCCTACTACAATGTGATTTACATATAATGAGAGACACAAAGTTCAAACTTGTCCTTTAGAGTTGAAACTTTCCATCTTTTCCTCTTTTCAGCCATCTTATACAAGTTTCCTGAACATTATCCTGATACATGTTTTTGATTTCTTTTCACAAAGATTCAGCACCATGCATCTCTTACGTCTATTATGCCGCCACAAGACAGCCCTGGTCATCGGCACTGTATGCAGCTTTGCCGTAGTCTTGGTCTTCTTGGCCAAATGTACCTCGGAAACTCTGAAACAGGGTCACCAGGATCCTCCAGGTCTCGCCCCTCGCGCTAATGTGTTGCAGTCGCGCCCAGAGCACCACAATCCTCCTTCTACAACCAAAGACTTGTCAGCTTTTCTGGTGGTCCTCATTACAACTGGACCAAAGTACACAGAGAGGAGGAGTATCATCCGCAGCACCTGGCTGGCCAAACGGGACTCTGATGTTCTGGCGATGTTTGTGGTGGGAACTCAGGGGCTTCCCACTGAGGACCTTCAGAACTTGAACACAGAGCAGGGGAGGCATAAGGACCTACTCTTGCTGCCTGACTTGAGAGATTCTTATGAGAACTTGACACTAAAGCTGCTGCACATGTACTCCTGGCTTGACCAGAATGTGGAGTTTAAGTTTGTCCTCAAAGCAGACGATGATACTTTTGCTCGCTTGGACCTGCTCAAGGAGGAGCTGAAGGCGAAAGAACCCAGCCGGTTGTACTGGGGCTTCTTTTCAGGAAGGGGGCGAGTAAAAACAGCCGGTAAGTGGAGGGAGAGCGCTTGGGAACTCTGTGACTACTACTTACCCTACGCCCTGGGTGGGGGCTACATCCTCTCCGCAGATCTGGTACATTATATTTACATTAATGTAGGATACCTTAAGACTTGGCAGAGCGAGGATGTGTCACTGGGTGCCTGGCTGGCACCAGTGGATGTGAAAAGGACACACGACCCACGTTTTGACACAGAATACAAATCGCGCGGTTGCAACAACAAATACTTGGTGACGCATAAGCAGAGTTTGGAGGACATGTTGGAGAAACACCAGACTCTACAACGTGACGGCAGGCTCTGCAAGGAAGAAGTCAAGCTGCGATTGTCCTATGTGTATGACTGGAGTGTCCCCCCCTCGCAGTGCTGTCAGAGGAAAGATGGCATTCCTTGAATACTGTCCTTCCTGTGAGACTGTATTTGCCTTCTGTTTCATACCTTCCTCATTTGGCAAACTTGATAGACAATGATTGTCAACAAAGTGTCTGTTGGGATAATATTTAAAGTTGTGTATAATGGGTCCCAGGTGTTAGGATAGATGTCATGAAATGAGAAAACTACATTTCAGATTTGTAAAACCATTTTTTGGGATTGTGAAAAAACCCAGTAACTATGCTTTTTTTATGTCAATAAACCAAGCGCAGGCCAAGCTCAAGCTTCTTTTTTTTTTCTACTGTAACCCCTTTAAACTGTTTTATTTTAACTGTTTCTATGGCTGTTTAGAATAGACTGGAAGAAGCTGAGTATAATTTAAGCTAGTGGGCTTCATGAAAGAAAAGCCAATACATCACTTTAACCTAAAAATGTGCTTCAACAGTGTTTAGTGTTCAGTTCAGGTCTGACTTTTTTTTTACCTTATCCTGATCTACTGTGATGTGGACAGAGAACAAGTACCTGAGTGACATTTGTTTCTGTATTAAAGATAATCCAGTTTGTTAAAGCATTAAAGCTTCTGCCATGATGTCCAACCAGTTTTGCAACTTTAAACATAAAAAAATGGTAACTTTGTTGTGTATATGTAAACATTTTTTTAACAAGTGTCCCATACTGCTTTCTGACATTTATAACATTTAGCCCGCCATGAAAATCTGTGTCAAAATGCTCCATAAAGGCATTCATTTGACACCTCCCCCTTTTCAGCATTTTTTGCAATCAAGAATTCCAATATAGAAATGATCTATGTTACAGGGGATGGTCTAATTTTGTTAATCAAGAAAAAAAAAGACATCAGCATGAGTTTCAGTCTAAGTCATAACAAGCCAAAAACTTCTCACAGGAGCTTTAACTGATTAATAAAAACACAGCTCAGCCATTATCCCCTTTGGCCCACTATTTGGAATCATCCTTGTTTAGTACATATAGACCCTCCTCCTTGTACTTGCTACTCCTGCTGTTGTTATATCTAAGCTGCTTTTTTGTTGTTGTTGTTGTTGTTTTTTAACAATTCTGTGAAATATATCAGGGGTATTTCATTGTAAAAAAACAAAACACTATACAGACACCGACACACAGGAGTTTACCCTGCTGTTACCTTTTTTTGTGAAACTCGTCTTTTTTTGTATTCTTATTTATTGTTAATTTATTCTGCTGCAAATTCAATTCACTGGTACTGTTTTGGGACAGAAGCACAGGAACTGTTGACTTTTTCAGTGGCAAACCTTTGTTTACAACTAATTCACAAGTTTCAATTATCCATCAGGCCTTCTAATTCATTATACTGGATTTTATGTGTGGAACTTTACATGACAGAGGTGAAGTTTGAGGTCTGTACATTATTCAAGCCGATGTATCAAGTTTTTTGGTAAAGACTGTTTTCAGTAGGTCACTCATTCAGATGGGAGACTTGCTTTGGTTGGCACTTGGTCACTTTTTAAAGCCGAAAAAGAATATTAAGGTGCATTAATGTTATGATATTTACATTTTTTTACCCATTGACTTGTAACTTTCCCTTGATTTCAATAGCTGTGTCCCAAAATTTGTGAATTGTGTACAGCTCTGATCCAAGGGTGTAACTTACTGCAGCAAAAGAAAAAAAAAAAAGAGAAAAATGTGATTTTTTTTGGTCTTTTTTTTGTGAATACTGTCATCTTTTTAATATGAGCTGATGATGATTTGATACATCCCCATTTTCGGTGTTTGTTTTTCATATATGGTCAGCCTCTGTCAATGTTTTAATAAAAAGTCTAAATGTACTCGTGCTTTAATTACTGTGGATTTTTTCAAACACACACATGCTGTAAAAGAATGAACCATAAGGTACATTTCTGTAGGCCTACTCATGTTAGATCAGCTCAGATTAGTTGTGCTGTTTCCTCGTATTCTGCGGTCCACTCTGTTTCTTCTTTTAAGAGGTACATATCACTTGAATTCACATCTTTAGCTTTACTTCAAAAACTACTAAAACTATTGACTGACTCAGCAAAAATGAGCTTTCTTTCCCTTAGGACAGTTTTTTGAAAGCCACTCTATATTTTGATATCCTACAAAAAAATGTCTGCCTGTGTCAGAAACATTGTACAACACTGTACAGATTTTATCAACATATGCAGCGTCAGAGTTGGGTGGTCTCTACAGCAGCGACATATTAGTACTGGTTTAAGATGTGGGAGTTGAACCTAAATCCACATTGCTTCTGCATCTGGCCAATTAAGATCTCTTCTTCTTTTTAGGAATGTGACCTCTTACAAAAAAGTTAGTTCACCCTATTTTCCCATCAAGTCTAATTGTATTATAACCTCGTATAGATACCTTTGTATTGTCAATTGATTCATCCAAATGAGTTTCAGAATTTGCAACTATATGTAGATCAATTTCAAACATGATTGTACTCAATTGCTTTACCTCGTTTTTTAAGCTACAGGTGTTCAAGTGGGTGCCTTTAAGTCCCGTAGAAATTAGGTTAGGAAAATAAGATGAAAGTACAGATACAAACTCTGTTAAATCTAAAAAATCTTACCTCCTTTAATGGGGATGACACTCTTTTCCTTACATTATGAATTCCTCACTTTTTTATTTTGTGTGAAAAATACCCATGTTTTTCTGACCAAACTCAAAAAGAGGCAAACACTTACTCTAATCAGGTTTTGCATTTACATTTTGTAATAATTTTATACCACCTTTGTCACCCTCACTGTTTTTCCCACCAGGTTTGAAACACCTTTTTGTATAACTTCAGTGAGCTTCGTAATACCACATGGCAAAAGTTCAACATTACCATAGAGGGCCACGTGGAGCTTTCTCATTCATGTTAGCATGGATCAGCAAGTACCTCTGACCTGCTCAGAGACAGCAGGTAGAGAGCTCAGTATTTTCACACCTCCTGTGGCAGAATCACAGCTCTTGATGAAACGCTGTGAGTGGGCATGTGGCCAGACTGGGATTTGGCAGCTCCCCGGCTTTGATGAGGTCACTAACCTCCTGCTGTGGTGCAAGCTTCTAACTGTGATGTTTCTCTGACACACATATATAAACAGACCGAAACACAGTCAGCTATTCTCGGCAGTCTGAAATGCAGTTCACTGTTGTCCACACAGCCCTGATAAAGCTTTGCTTAGTACTAACTGAAAACACAAAGGGAGACTTTAATATTTTTTCCATTCGTTGCATGAAAAGTGAAAGATTCAAACCTCTTTTTTTTTTGTTTTTGATTATTTTTACTTGTAGGTCATGAATGTGAGAAATCCTGTAATTTAAGAATGTTTTTTATTAATCCATTGTAAAGAAGGATTAAAAAAAGTTAAATGTCCAACTCCTAAAACATGTATTAATGTTTGGGTGTCTTTACAATAATATACTGCATCAATGGGGCATGGCAGAGAGCCTATCATCCTTTAGCTGTGTTGAAGAGCTATTGACAGTAGCTACTAGCTGGTCTGTATTTTTAGGTTGCAAGTTTCTCATCTTCCTCTAGATATGTGTTCCTCTGACTCAATCTTATAAACTAAGCTATGACCCTCCGGGACAGAGGCCACCCCAGTAACCTTTTGGATTCACCCCTGTTCTCACAACAGTAAAATTGCAGAAAGTTTTATTTATTTATTTTTTGCTGGAGGCATTATATTAACAACCAACACTGATAGTTTCTCTCATCTGACAGTTTGTTTTTCCATACTTTGCCTTGACAAAAAAAAAAGAAAAAGAGCAACATCAGAAATTGCAGAAACGAAAGAACAGCAGAAACTGATAATCAATATGGAAAATTTGTATAGGTTAATTTTTTATTTCAGAATGAGTACAGGATGATTTGAATAACATATATAGGGATGCAGGGAGGACAATAACAAACCCAAAATGTAAAATAAAAGGTAGGTTGTTAGGGGTTGTACGGGAAAGGGTGTTGAGGTAGCCGTGAAAGCAGGGGGAGGTTAAAAATATATATATATTTATTTTATTATCATTATTATTATTATTTTATTATTATTATTTTTTAATTGTTATCATTATTCTGAAACACCTGAAGGGTAAAAAAAATCCATTGTCAGCGCTAATATTCCGCGACAGACGGTGGCGGTAGTCCTCCTTAATGATGAATGCCAACCGCTGTAAAACTAGAAGAAGACGCCAGTGAAGCCGGAAATGTCAACCGACTGACTGCTAACCCAAATGTTTGCATGAACTAATATCTCCACGTCGTGACCCACGATGGAGTGCTAATACTAAGGACGTAGACTTAATCCAGCATCGTGACAGAGTAAACAGCGAATATGACAAATGGTAGGTTTGCTGTCTTTTAGTTCAACGGCAGGACGTTGGAAGTTACTATGAAGCTAGCTTAGCTGTAGACGTGGCTCCGGGCAGCGCTGTTAGAAACACTTTAACAAATGAGTCCCTAACTTCTTTGACATTAATACAGATTTGGTGCTAAATTTTCTGTCTTTCTTTAAAGAAATTGTCATCAAAACTTTTGGGCTCTTTAGGATTATGTCGGGCTAAGAAATTTCATGCTAACTAGCTTTGATGAACCTCAGTTATTACTTGCTAATGCTCGAAGTATTAAACAGCTTAATATCAGATATAAGGGGAAAAACTCGTGATTATGTGAGGTTTATTTCTAAGAATTTAATTCTATGAGCATTTCTCTATCGCTGTGAATTATTGTTTCTTCAGGCAACATAGGGCAAACCGTCTTCACAGAGTAAATACTACAGACTGATCCCGTATCCTCTCTATGGAAAAAGTGAAATTCTCTACAGGCAAAAGCGTATTTGTTGCAGTCACACCCTCGTTGATTTGTGCAGACACTGTTATATACATTTAAAACTGTTATTCACGTCTGTGTCACTGAGCTTGCTTTCTGAGTACAGATCAGGAGCATGTCAGTGGTTTGCAGGATGTGCAGATTATTGGCTGCACCTTAACAAATATACTTATGTGTGTGGCACTGAGAGAAATAACCCATGCTGTTTTCTTTTGATATTTGCTCCATTAACTAATGTAAGTGGGGGTGCACTTGTTTACATAGTTTGCCCCTTTGTCGTTTCTTCTTACCTAAACTCTTCAAAGTCGCGGATTAAAATTGACTTGCAAGAACCTGGTAACTCCACACTCAGTGACCTTTTTGAAGTATTGATCTGATTGGCAATCTGGGCAGACTTAATTTTTCTTTCACTTGACATGTTGTCATTTCTTTTTTTTTTTTTTACAGTGTACTCTTTCGATGGCATCCTGGTGTTTGGGCTGCTGTTCATCTGCACTTGTGCATACCTCAAAAAAGTCCCTCGCCTCAACAGCTGGCTGCTGTCAGAGAAGAAAGGAGTGTGGGGCGTCTTCTACAAAGGTAGAGCTACACATAGATAGATAGATAGATAGATAGATAGATAGATAGACAGACAGCTGGGAAATTCACATGTTACAGCAGCAAAAAATGACAAAATAAAATTTAATATAAGAAGAAGTAAGTACTGATATACTAAACATCCTAAGAGAAAAGAGAAAAAAGTGAGATATGAAGAACGTGGGCTATTGAAATGAGTAATAAATTTGAAAAGAGTAATAAATATGAAATGCAAAATATACAGATGGGATGATAAATCAACAGACAAATTAAGGTGCTCAGTAATGTGATGTGGTAGGAGTTTTAAAAATGGACTATACAGCAGACAGATGTGAGTCCCTGTCTGACAGATGTGAGTTATTAAACAGTGCTAAACTACATCGTAGAAAACATACTTATGCACCTGCTGAGGAAAACTAAGCTTTACAATCATCGTCAGTGATATCAGCTTGAGGCAAATGGAGATTTTACATCATAAACAACCACACTGTACAACCTTGTTTTATCTTTTGTCATATCTTTGAACCAAGTCATTGTCATGATGACAGTATAATATTGCAGCACAAGTATTTTTAAAACAAATTTTCAACAGTCCAATTTTTAAATGTAGTTTTGTGAAGAAAAAAAACATGCACAACTAAATAAAGTTAATATAAAGAGAGTATTATGTAATTAACACAATAATAAATGTCATCCGTTGCTCTCAAAGATCAGTGGGTCCTATAAATAACTATCTTTTTGACATGTCGTATTAGTTCTGCAGTGGATCACAAGTTTCATGCTTTGGATCAGAACAGTATTTTTACCCACAACTAGGTACAAAACAGTGCAGAACTCATTCTGTGATTAACAAACTTGCTTATTACAGTTAAGGTTGTCCTATGTGGAGGTGATACACACAAAAACTTACAACTGAGAGTCAGACACTAAATCTCAGTCATTGTGTCCTTTGTAATGTCAATAAATGCAGGATAGTCCGCACTGTCTCATGGTCAAGTCTCATGTTTACATTGTTTGCTTTGCTCTTCGTGATCTTCATGTGTTTTTATGACCTGTAATTTTCTTAATTCATCATCAAACTTATCGTTCCTTTTTTCCAGCTGCGATAATTGGGACACGACTTCACTTTGCTGTGGCGATGTCCTGTTTGGCCATGGCTTTCTATATCGTCTTTTTAAAATGATTGAGTGAGACTGGACTGGAGAAGGGTGGATGGCTGCTGGCTGGGGATGGACTCATCTCTGGTCATGTCTCAGTCCTTGTTGTGGGACACCTTCTGGATTTCATGGCTGATGAAACCTCCAAGTCCTCATATGGTGGACCCATGTGAAAGACATGTCAGTGCTGCCCCCCTCTGGTGACTGGGTACATAACTCCTCTCTTAGTGATGTGTGTGCACTACAGACATGAAGGGCATCCTGAGTATACCCCACAGGGAGTCTGCAGGATCACATGATATCATTGTGTTGTACTGTAACATTGTTTGTTGTCTCCATCCACAAACCATGGATATTTATAGTGAAGGATGCAGATGAAAGAGCAGTGTGTGCACAACAAATCCAACCTGTATACAACCTGACACTAGCCTAGCTGTATATAAATGAAAGATGACCAATAGAGATTTCACAGTGGATCAAACTGAAACTGAGAATTTCCGCTTGCTCCCAACTGTGCTGTTTTTTTCCTTGTATCACTTATTCTGTCAAAGGTGGAGGGGAAGATAAACAAAGCTAATATATGAAGATATTCTTGTGTACTTCTTTTTTCCCCTTTGCATGTACTTTTAACAGCTTTTTTTGCATTGTTTTAGGTTTGATGTAGACATTTTGCACAGGTTTATGCCATATTTTCTTTGATATCTAATTCATGGTATCATATTTTATACATCAAAAGTTGTTACAGATTGGACTGAAAATTATTTAGGAGTGAAAGTCTCAACTGTTGAGAACAATTTATAACATGGATAGCTGTATCCAACTTGACAGAACGATTTAAATGCCATGCAAAATGCTTCCTGTGTCATCTCAATTACATTCTGTATTTTTTTGTTTCAATTCTGCCACCTTTTTATTTTAAAAGAAGACAGTGATTTGGGGCAGGGATGCAATGCAATTTAAAGTAAAAGATTAAACTGAAGATTTCTGTGTTTTTGTCTGTAACACAAAGCCATTTACAAAGTGATATTTGTAGCCCAATATTGCACATACACGATATCAGAGTTTTTGTACTTACAGTGGCATACGATCCTAATTCAGTGGGTGGTCTTTTTTGGCAGTATTTAACATAATGTTAAAGAAGCCATTCAAAATGAGGCACATGTGTAAGTTAAATTTGCCTTTCTGTCTTCAATTTAATATCTTGTAATGGGTTTTGAATGTTGCTGATAAACCACAGAGAAGTCCAACTGTATAGGACTACCCACCGTGCATCACAGTTGGCTCAACGAATTTCTTTGTGCAATATTTGACTTTCATTAAACAAAGCTTCCAGACTAGAGACCAAGAACTTTTCCATAGTTCCACAAAGTCATATAAAAGTACCTCTGATACTTTTTACACTCTGTACAAACAGTCAAGTATCATCCAAGTTCAACCATGTTAAACTTGGCAACGACTTGCATTCAGTAACACCTAGGTCACCTTATAAACCCAATGAACCCTGTACCTTCTTAGCACCTGTTATAAGCCTCTTGGTGCTCTGTTCTTCTAATAGCCTTGTCACAAGCACTTTTTCTTTATAAAGACATCCTGATCTGCACTGGCGTGTTGTAATCTGCCATATATTTAGTTTTAAAACCTACCATACTGTACTTTATTTCCTTAGTTTATGGTACTGTATTGTGGGTATCGCTACACTGGTACAGTTTACAGGAGACAACTGGCTTGCTGCTGAAGGAAAAGCACAGATGTTATAGACAAGACTATGTCTGTGTGTGCACAATATCAATATATCAAACATAGAAGAACATGAATCCAGTATTTACTATTGTCACTTGTGTCTACACTGTACATACCTGTATACACAGTACTGCCAGTATGTGTCCTTTTTCATGTTTTTCCCCCCTATAGCTTCGTAAAATCTCCCAATTGGATATAGTGGCATTTCTTCACAATGGAAATTTTCTGTTTGCTAATTGGGCAGCTCGCGGTAAGATTGCTAAAAATGAAAAAAAAAAAAAAAAAAAAAGCTAATTAAATAGATTGAGAAAAGACGAGAAAAAAGATTGACCACTAATCCCTGTGTAGTCGGTTGTTGTATAAAGCATTTATTTTAAATGATGTAAACATCTACTTTACTGTTCAATATCATAAGTCAGTAGGTCAGTTGCTTGGAAATGGTAAAAGAAATTGATCATGTGACCAAATATTTAGGAGATGGGCATCAATTCATGGAGTCTGTGAAGGTTAGAAGCACATGGGTGAAGGGGTTAGACATTTATTTCCAAAAAAAACATTTTTAACTCTTAAAAGTGAATTTAGTCTGTCATACATTTTATTAGAATTGTGTTCAGACCAAAAAAGATCATTTTAAATTTGTTTTATACATCAATTGTGGTATCTATGAACTACAACATGAGGTCAAAAACCTATCATAAAAGTCCATTTTACCTTAGAGGATTAATAAAGTCATCATAGTAGTTCTGGGGTAAGTTGAGCCAGTGGCTCAACTGAGAAAGTAAAGGAGTCTGATGAGAGGATCAGAGTTTCAGTTCAGATTGTTGAAGTGTGTTACTTTTTCTATTAAAAAATACAGCTGTGAATGTTCTGAATCACTTGAAATCCTCATGATTAAATGGCTTTTTACAAAACAGCTTTTTAGCAGTTACATGCAATAATAATAAAAAGAATTATTGTACCAGTTAAATAGTGTATAATAGATAAAAATACACATAAATGTGAAGAAGTGACTGTTATTTAGGGAGAGAGAAGGTGAGGGGGGGCTGGGATAAGTTGACCATAGGAGACCAGCTTTTTTGCATGCTATATTATCAAGACAGTTGGTTTGCAGGGATGCACAACATCTTGAAATATGTGCAGATACCCTAGTCAGAGACAAAACTATGATTGCCTTGATGTAGTGATCTGAAATATGAAAAATGGCTAATTTTACCCCAATCTCCCCTACATACCTTTATACACAGTACTGCCAGTATGTGTCCTTTTTCACGTTTTTCCCCCAACAGCAGTCTCCCAAATGGACATGGTAGCATTTTTTTCAATTTTCTGTTGGCTTCATGGAAAAATGGCCCAAAAAAAAAATAGATTAAGAAAAGATGAGAAAACGAGATTGAACACTAATCCCTGTGCAGTCGGTTGCTGTATAAAGCATTTCTTTTACTTTTCAATATCATAAGTCAGTACATCTTGCCTGAACACTGCAGTATCAACACATTTTAGGTGTTAATGCTGCAGTGTTCAGGCACGCCATTATTAGTTTCCCGTCAGATTGCTTTGGTTTGACACAGGTGCACTCGTGAGCTGCGGCTGACTCATTTAAACAGACCTTTTGTATGTTCGGTGAACTACAGAGGGAGATTCCCACTCATGTCCACAGCAGGGGCGGGATATCCCCTGATTTCTCAACTAACCAGCCACTTCTCGCGATGAACCAACCAATTCCGTAAGCGTCCGATGACGTTGCGGACGTACTCGTTCACGTTTGCGCGCGCCCTAAGCAGAGAACTGAGCGAAAAATTCAACGAAAGCTTTTCCAGAGAGTGTGGGGCTTCCTGACCAAAGGAGGAGGAGGACTGCTTGTTGAGCAAGTTGTCTTCAAGCGGCTCGACGTGCACGGAGAGGTGGGGGTATTTTTGTTGCACAGCTGCACCGACAGGGCTGCTGGAGTTTTCTCTCGACCCGGGACCGCCTTTGGGTTTTGAGTTTTAGCAGGGAGCAGCAGCAGCAGCAGAAACACACCACGCAAGCCACACGGGGAGGAGAGGAGAGAGAGAGGGCAGAAGTTTCCGCTGGCTTGTTTTGTCACTGCGCGCCTGGTAAATCCGCAGGAATGTCGCAGAAGGAGAGACCCACTTTCTATCGGCAGGAGCTCAACAAAACCATGTGGGAGGTCCCGGAGCGGTACCAGAACTTATCGCCTGTTGGCTCCGGTGCTTATGGATCCGTATGGTAAGCAGTTGTTGCAGAGCAATGACGAGAGCGCATAGCTTCGTTGCACAACGACCGAGCGGGTTCCCACCACCCACAGAGGCCCGTCGGAGTTACCTCCCGGCGGGCTGCTTATCAGTCTGTTCAGGCTGCTAGAAGACGACATGAGCGGTGTTAGGCATACCGTGTTGTTTACATTTTCATAGTTTGGCTGTTTTGAAGTCGATGGCACATCGCGCACGCTTCGGCGCCGATCGCCTTTCTTCGGCGGGTGGGGATTATTTTTGTTGTTGTGCACATTTTTTGTTTTGCTGTCTGTGCCTGTGTGTACCGATCGTGTCTCGTAAGCTCTCTGGTGCGTTCAGGGTCAAGTCCATATAGATCCCAGTGTTAGATTATGCAGAAGACCTGCTGTTTTAAAACTGTTTATCAGTATCTCGTGCAGAAGGAACATCAGAGACATGTCTGTGCTTGCATCCTCTGCCAAAGTGGTCCCTGCTCGTGAGACAGGATCACAGCGCACTGAACATCGAGGGTCGACCGACATCTACCATAACAATCGCCTCGCACTAGAAGAGTATTTTCGCACTGCTCGTTGAACCTGGCACCTTACACACCCGCACATTGCATGCACTTTGCATTTTCTAGTTGGGTGCAGCCTGCAGAGTACCAGAAGGTCACGTGGTTTTCAGAAAGTAGGCCCCCCTCTAGTGCATAGGGAGAGCTTTCTATATGAGCCTATCCGAAGAGGATGATGACTCTAGAATGATGTCACCCTTTCTCCCGTTGTAGTACACCCATGACTCACTGTCCCGAGGTTAGGTAGTGGCCTCAGCTGTGACGCTCTCTAAGTCATCACGAAGTCATGGATGGTACCGGCCCATAATCTGAATTTAGCTGTTAGTTTTTCACCCCTCATTCAACTTTATGGTTGGGATGGATTTAAAACCTTTACTAAAATTTACATCAAATAACTACCTTTGCACATACGTCGAGATATTGATACACCCTGTTGATAGGGTTGGGCGATATGGGAAAAAGTTTATCACAATATATTTTGTGATATCGATATATCTGTATCAAGATATAACAAGTGAAATTTAACAGTGCTTATTGGGATGGGTTTAAAACCAGTACAAAAATTTACATCACATAACTACCTTCGCATATACGTCGAGATATTGATACACCCTGTTGATAGGGTTGGCCGATATGGGAAAAAGTTTATCACGATATACTTTGTCATATCAGTTGATATCGATATATCTGTATCAAGATATAACAAGTGAAATTTAACAGTGCTTATTGGTAGCATGTCTTTTGCAATACAATAAGCTAGGGCCCGACCGATTTATCGGCAAGCCGATTAAATTGGCTAATTTTAGCCCGTTTGAGACTAATCGGTAATCGTCCAAAATTCGCTGATTATCCCAGATATATTCAGAAATAAAATGTGGAGAATAAGGAATAAAGTTGCTACGGACCATCTTTTCAAATGTTCCGCCATTTGAAAAGATCCCACGGCTCATCCTGTAGATGGCGCAGCGACCTCATGACAACCTTCATCCACTAACTACCTCACAGCACAGCACAGTGATGGATCTGAGGCAGGCAGCTCAGGGACGCACAGAGGAGAGTGGTCCGCCTTAATGGTAAATAAACCAGTTTGTAAAATATACAATTAGCCAACAAGTTTCAGTTCAACCCACTTTACGATGTCCCCTGCTGTGCTGGTCTCGGTCACGCAGAGTTAACGGTGAAGCACCATGTAACATGCAAGCTAAAGTTAGAGTTAGCCATCTGCTATTAGCCTTGCTACACTGTTAGCCGTGCCAGTAACAGTAGAATAAACAACAGTACACGTTACGTGATTGAGCTACTTCTCTTACTGAGGCAGCTGCATGTCTCCAGATGAGACCAGACTGGAAATGAGTAACATGAGTTAAGATGCAGAAAAATTTAAAAAATCGGCCGATTAATCGGTAATTGGATCCCCCCCCCAATAATCGGTATCGACATCGGCCCCAAAAATTCCATATCGGTTGGGCCCTACAATAAGCTAATGCATTTGTGAGGTCTTTGAGTCGCTTCTTCAGAGGCCTCAAGGTCAGTGACACAACAACACAGTTTAGACATTTTTAGACTAACCATAATCCTATGTTTTATCAAAACTATCTCTTCTGCCTTTTCCTAATGTATTAACTTTTCTTATGATTGCTGAAAAACTTTTTTCTTTTAATATTGGTTTAACACCAGAATACTAAATTATGTCTCTCAAACATGTGGCCATGTCTTCTTCTGGCATTAAATTCTTTTCGTATTATTGTTTGAAGCAGTTTTTGATTGTACGTTAAATGTACTGTTGTTCACCCAGTTTACGCAATTCAAGTAGGGAACTGGTTGCTGGAACTTACTAACAGTTCAATGTAGGGCTGGGCGATATGGGAAAAAGTTAATTTTGATATATTTTTTTCATATCAGTCGATATCGATATCACGATATAAAAAAAATCACTTGTCAATGTTACATGTTTCCTGTTACTCTTAAATGAAATGTAACAGTGCTGATTGGTAGCATGTTTTTTGCAATACAGTAAGCTCCTGCATCTGTGAGGTCCTTGTGTCTCTTCGATGTTTTGTCGTAAGGCGTTGTGCTAGAGAAAGCGGACTGAAAGGTCGGTTCAGTGCAGCGCAGACCCGGAGCAGCTCCCTTTTCTTTGGCCATTTGTACAGTCTACCAAAACATGGCAGAATGCCGGCTATGCACATTGACTGAATTAATTTTTGATATATTTCATTATTGTTTTATCGCCCAGCCTTACCTGTCGATATTCGTCTGTGCTGAGTATTTGTAGGTAGATAATGTTATGCAGGTCTTGTGGGCCAAAAGAGTGCTGAAAACATAAAAAGTGCTGCTATGCTTGAAAAAAAAACTCCATGACGTTTTTCACTCTTTGCAGTGAAGATTGGGTAAACCAATTAAAAAAAAATGTTGGTATTTATTGGTTGTTGATAACGTATTACAGGGAACATAACAGCATGAACATGATGGCAGCTTTTGTAGATGTAGATCCTCTGCTAGGAGTTTCAATAATGAGCTTGGGTCAACAGAGTTCAACCTGAAAGAACAGCATCATCCTGCACATGACTTTCCCTTCCTCAATTTTCTATTCCCCCTCACAGTGTGTATTTGTAATACCTTGAAAAAACAGCTTTTCTACTATTCCATGGATTGATTTTAATAACATTTGATAACATAATTTTTGAGTACTTTACAAGAGTCATTTTAGAATTAGCATTATTTGAAAAAATTGAAAAGTTGTTACGGACCATTTGCCATATTGGCAGTAAAAGCTTTGTTTTAGTTTTTCTATTTAGAGTTTTATTTTTTACTTGAACTCGGCACAGTCTCCACTAAACAGAATGAGATTATTTTGTGACCTGGTTACATCCAGACTTCTGCATTTTGCAGAATTATCCAATCTACTGCAATCATAACTTAGAGTAAGGTGATCAGTGTGATGGGGAGCATTTGGCTGAATTTCCTCCCCTGAATTAAAATTTTTGACTCGACTTTACTTATCAGTATTGCAATTAAAATACTAAGTGAAGCACTAAAAATCCCAATGACTACTGTCACTTTATAGGGAAAAAAGTAATCCAAGGCTTTATTTTTCCTTGTGTGCTGTTTCAAAAGGACAAAAAATGGTGCAGGAAACAGAGTACAGACTTCAGTGCACTTGTGGTTGGGTTAACTCAGTCAAATCTGATTCTGCAGTTTGAAGTCTGTGCACACTCTAGCGTTGACTCGAGACTCTTCTGAAAACTCAAATTTTAGTTTGTGCTCTCCCTCAAAAACTTCGGTTCTTTTGTTTTACTTCTTTGTTATTTTCTTTTGACCTTACTCCACAGTACACATCTAATGATATCTACTGAAAGACGTCAGCAATTTGCACAGTCATCCTTTGTAATCCTGCGCTGTACACCCCTCTGTAATCTTCATACACCTAAAAGTTTAAACAGTAAACATTGTAACTAAAGAAATGCTGTGTAGTTTGCTCAGACTTAACTAAGTGATATAGAGTACAAACACCTCTCAATGATGCAGCCCTTCCTTAACATTCAATTCAGAGTCCGGTGTTAAATCACAGCAAATTGTTGAATAGGTAAAGAACTGTAGGATTCCCCCAGATTCTCACCACCATCAAAAGAAAGGCTAAATGCATCCAAGTACATTGTTCTTTCAGTCTGCAGCTACCCTGTGTTTGTCTTTTGAGGAAATTCCTCAGTGTTTTATCTGTAAATGATAGAATAACCTACCAGAGCGAGGAGATATCAGCCTGTCATTGAATCAGCAGACAGTCACACAGCCCTTTGAATACTTCAATAAATTCTGCAGGCAAAGTGTGTCAAACAGCAGGGTGCCATTAAACCCCTTCAGAAGGTATTTGAAAAGTATAAATAACCTCAAAGTACTTTCTCTAGCATCGCATGGCTGTCGGTCAGCTGGACAAATTCTCAGTTGCTTAGCTGACATAGTCTTTGTTGTTGCTGCCATAAAATTTGTTAGGCTTTCTGCTTGAATTCTTCCCAGATTCTTAATATACAAAACATTTACCATGTGGGATTTTTAAATACTTTTCCACACCAACCGCCCTCTGAACTTTGGGACTTCTTAGAAAACAAGAAAAAAAAAAACATCACAACTTCCCCCAAATTTTCTGACCTTGTTTCTGTTTTCAAATGTCAGACTTGGAGGAGGTCCAGGGCTAATGTGGAAAATGGGGTTTTATAGTGAATACTGCTGACGGGGATTACAGTATGGACTGTGTGCTGCTGAGAGCCTCGTGTTATTCCGTCTGTTTCCCACTGGAGCAGAAACCACCACCTAACAGATTCAGACCCACAGGGCGTGCATGCTTATTAAATCAGCGGCTCATGCTGGAAAATAATTTATGGTGGGGGTATGGGGTAAAATCATGAAAATGCATTTGTTTTCTGGAATTAAATAAAAAACACTTTTGACATTGAAAGTTTTTTTGTGCAGACAGTGCATTTTGAACATTGCGTTTGTGTTTAAACTCAAATGATCCATGAAAGTGAACTTATTCCTTTCTCTGTAGGGTTGCTGTTTTTAGTCTGCCTAGCCTCCTCTCTCTGCTGGTGTCAGCATCCAGCAGCACATGCATTTGTTCATCCGTTTACCTAAGTCCTTTACATGATGTCAGACATTTATGTCCCATCATCTGTCCTTTCTTTTGTCCGCACTGGTAATATGTAGCAACAGGTATTTTGCTGATTAAGAGGGGATTATAAAGCAGGCTAAGGTGCTCAGAGCATGTAATATTGTGGCCAGCTCTAGCTGACGCACTTGGTTTCAACCCAGCAGACATGTGCACGGACTTGTCACCTCTCCAAACAAACAGCCAACTTACATTTAAAACCAGCAATTTAGCTCCAGCATTCAGACATGTACCTCAAGTGACCTCGAACATCTGTGTTGTGAGAAGGGCCAAACCGTTAATTTTGGTTCAAGTGTTTGAGAATGAGCTGCACACAGACATCCTCGGTGTGGAGGCACCAAAAGAGGCGTCTTTTTGCACTTAAATTAGTTAGATTCAGTATTTTAGGTTGTATCAAATGAAGAAAACAAGTAAAATGAACTATGCTGTCTTTAAAATTTTCTGTAATTCTCTATTTTGCGGTAGGAAAACTCATTAAATGCTTTAATACTTTAGATATTTGTTCTTAGGAGCTATCACATGACAGTGGTATATGCCTCCAGGAGTAACTGAACTTTCCAGGCATTCCAGCGTAGGCAGTGATTAGTGAGTAATGACTTCTGGCACACGCTTCCTTCTTTGTTTTTGGCATTGTTAACAGTCCAGTTAGCAACCTGAAAAGTGACTGTGTGTTCAGATCAAAACCAAAAATGAAATTTGATCTTCCACATACTGTATGCATGTACAATAAACACTGTCATATCTAGTTTCAGTACATCTCCTGGATCAGTCGGTTTCTTGTGAGTCTCAGTTTCTCTGTAAACACCCAGTAACACTGAGGCTTCACTCTGGCTAACTGGAACAGTGCAAATCAGAAAAGAAATGGTTTCCTTGTCATTAACTTGGAATTCATGGGTGTGAAGACTTTCCTACATACGTGGAAGTCTGCCAATATGTGGTTGGTCAATACCACTTAACCTGCAAACGTAGTACAAATGGAAACAGAACACTTCCAACGCCAAAACCCAGTTCTCTTAGTACTGTAAATAGAGATTACAGTGAGATTACACTTTCCTTTGTATTCTTTAGGGCCATGTTCCGACAAAAATAGTTGAATAGTTTGCATGATATAACTATGACCTTACACTCTGTACATTGTCAGACACATAGGTTAAAAGGAGAGAGACTCCTTCATTAGTAGGTAGTGATTTAAAGACTAACAGCTGAGTCCAAACATTAATAAAGGAGAAATTAAAGGAGAATAAAGTGAAGCATGTATGACTTGTTGATCTTGATTCTCCAACTTGCAAGAAGAATATCTGAGACCACAAAGGCCTGAAAACCAGTTTATCTGGGAAGATGAAGAGAGGATAGTCTAGTTGTTCACCTATACCATCAGCAGAGTACTGAGGAAAATCACTGTTTGTCTGCCCCGGGATAATTTAATTAAAGCTGGATGATGGATACAAGACAAGATAATTGCTCCTGCCATGTGAACTTGTTAAATCTGGTTATCTTCCTTTCACTGAGGTCATAATCACAGACAATGTGCTGGTTTTGAAACATATCTGAATCAAAAGATTATTATGCTCAAATGTAAGTAAAACAAACATCTAAAAAAGCAGCATGATACAAACAGACTTCTTCTGACCATCTAAAGTACAGTGATCACACACTTCTCCCCTACAGTTACATTTGCCTGTAACTTCACTATGTTCCAGCTGACTGTGTTATCTCTGCTGCGCGTTCCTGTCATAACCATAAAAACATTAAAAAACAAGTCTTAATAACCATATGCTTTTATTACTTCCTTCATTACTGAAAAAGCATTTTTATGGATGTTTCATCATCAAGCGGGGTTTAAAGGGAGCACAGATCTATGCATCCATATAACAAAAACTAATTTCAGACTTTATGATTAAATCAGCAATGATTGACCTGGGGAAAGTGCTGAAGTAATTCTTCGATGTTTACATAAAACTGCTTTGTTATCTTGTTTCTTTTAGATTATTCGGGCTGGGTGGCACAGAGCTACATTGGACTGTTATGTTAACTAAAGCAGATGGGAGGGGATGACATTGTCTCCGTTCTTCCTGACTTGTGTATGGGTGAAAAGTCTGAGCAGTTTAATGCTTGTCAAACAGGTCAGGGTTTTGTTCATCTCATTATTAACCTCTGAAGCATACTTAAGTTCTCCCACGGAGAGCTGGTTTTCTAAACCTGATTTGATATTTTAGGTGTTGAGATGTCCAGGCTTTTATGTGTCAAATAACATTATAAATGACTGAGATAAACAGCTGTACTGTCTTTTTACATTATGACTCTAAATTCAGGTTATCCTTCATGAAACATCCGTATTTAGATCATATGTTAGTCAGCGTAAATGTGCTCACATGTCAGGCTGTGACAAAGATTGGATTTACTCATTACTATTTGTGCATTGGCTGTCAAAGGCTGCTAAAGAAATGCACGTCAGCGTTGGCCATTATGAGGTTGAGGTTTATTTTTAGGGAGTCAGTTATTGATAAAAACTTTGTATGACCTAATAATGTCTTGGAAAGAGCACCATCTGTCCAATCCCTGTTGACATTCTGCAGTGGCACCATCATCCTTCACAAACTGGTTTTGCAGTTACTTAAAGTAGTTGGTTACCTTATCGAGGGGGTGAGTGAGTGGTGATGGAAACCGGGAAGACATCTTAACAAGCTGTTTGCCCACATGCTCCCTTTTTGTCTGTGAGTGGACATATTGCTGATGATCCCTCCCTCTCAGAGATCTTGGTCTCATTATGCTGCTCCTTTTTACAGCCCACATTTTATGGTCACCTCTTATTGCACTGCCATTTATTACCCACTAATTGGATGGTGTATGCTTTGGCCTGTCCTGTTTGTCCTGCAGATTAGCAGTAGTTTAGAAGACAGTATGCATGTGACTTTGTTTTCACATTTGGCTTTGGTGAGCTCTTTACTGACTGAGCTTGGGTTTTCCCTCACAAGTGACACATTTACACGTTGTTCTGCATGCCTGGGACGCGGAGTTCAGATTATCTCTCACTTACTGGAACAAACACACTTCTTATCTTCATAGTTTCTTTATAATGGATAATTAGGACCATAACTTTGTTTTGAGTGTGGAATATGACCAATACTTGCATTAAAAAAGAAATCTATGGATGTATGGTAATGCTTGATTTACAGTCCTGCTGTGGAGAGGTTGAAAGTTTGAGTCAGACAGTTAGTGAGTGAAATCTGAAAGAGGAACTGACACCCCTCTTCTCTTAAAAAACTTCATTTTCAGCTAAGATGCCACATTGCACATTGTGCACTTGTGTGTTTTTAATTACTTTGCCACTGGCTCTTCAGCTTCATGAAAAAATATTGCATCCATCCGCCAAGTTTTAACCACAATAAGAGGAAACCGTACTTACCATCTATTTTTTTTTCAGTTCTTGTTTTGCAATCATGTTACAGCTTAAGTGAGTGACCTGGAAGGAATGTGGTTTATTGTAAGTGGGTTGTTTTCTCACAGATGCAGGAAATGCAGAAATGTCACAAATCTGTTGGGGGCCAGGCCCATCTGCTTCTCTATCTGCCCACCCTCACACTGTCTGTCTTTATACCTTCCTCAATTTTTTTTTATAGTTTATGCAGATTTGAACCATTCAATTTCCCAATAGGAGAATGTCTGATTTATATATATAAATATATTCTGTAATATGTTCTACTTCCATGACTATTGAATCATCAGATGAGAATGCAAATTTTGCTCCCGGCTTTTGTATTACGCTGTCTTTGTTTTGTCACATTCCCGTAGCCACACCTATTTGGGTTCCTCTTTTTGTGTTTTTCTCTCGAGCTCGTCATTGACAATGATGTATCCTGTTACACCCTTACAATGAAATGAGAAAATAATGAATGAAAGGATGACTTATGACCTAACAGTAGTGTACCTGCAGAAGTTTAAAGTTAGTTTCTGTTCGCTGAAATTCGCTGTTGTTCAGAGTTGCTTCTGCTTAAGAGACAAATTGGGTCACATACTGAAGTTGATTATTTGACACTTTTTTTTCTGTTTGTGTCATTCCTTTGTTCCTGTTTTGTAACACCTCAGTTAGCATTTATTCATGCTGTGACATAAAGTCCGAATTACTCCAATAATGCTTTTATGGATCAATTCTGTAATTTCACATGCTAAAACCAACTGTTCATTTTTTGCACAGGATTGTCGTAAAAAAAAAAGAGCTGTAATTGTAGGTTATCAGAGGCCATTGTTAGAACATTATGTACTGAACATAATATGGAGATAATGTTTGGCTATGGCGTTGTACCATACCTGGAATATGTCAACATCCGTCCTCATGAAGAAATTTGCCAAAGTTTGCCAAACGCTGCTTTTGTAAGCAGATACTCTTTGACCAGCTTGATGTTCAATGTGTAAGTCAAAGCGGGGATTTTTTTTTCATGCTCTGTGTGTCTTTGACAATGCTTAAGGTGCAGTCATATTCTGCAAACAGCCTGTGGCTGCAGAGTATAACAAGAAGTAAAACCAAGATGTCTTTCTTGTGCAATTATGTTTTTTTTTTGAGCTGGTACACCCACGCAGTCTAGAGAAACATCGCTTTTCCAGTTAGATAAAGAAATTACCTCTATTTGAATACAACCATTCTCAATGCTGTACTGCTATCTTTGTAAACAAACAAGGTCTGACTGTCTTCAACCCCCTGTGTGTTTTCAGTTCAGCGTATGACGTGAAGACAGGCCTGAAGGTAGCAGTGAAGAAGTTGTCCAGACCCTTCCAGTCAATCATCCATGCAAAGAGAACCTACAGAGAACTGCGGCTGCTCAAACACATGAAGCACGAGAATGTAAGTCACCTGCAAACAACCCCAGACAAACACACCCTCCACCCCCCTCTACCTCCTGTGTATAATATCTGCATTGTTGGTGGTTTTAGCTCCTAAGAAAGGACTGCATGTTTGCGGACATTAAGTCGGCACTGCTTACATGTTGTGCTGTGTGAATCCTTTATGAAGCAAACTCTGCCCCGCCTCTTAGGAATGTAGCTGAGTGTCTGGAGATCACGGTGACACAAGAGCCGATAGGAAGCTTATACTTGATAATGAAACTGGTTTAGACCTGAAAAAGAAGTCGGAGGTTAAGATGCATGATGGTTCATATCAGGCTTTGAAATACCTGCCAAATTCTTTGCACAAAGTTGACTGCAATCCAAAGCCTCGCCGGCCTCTATGTAATGATCCACGTGCACAGGCGTTCATCAATAAGGTCATGAAAGTTTAGAGCAAAGCTGCCCTCTTGCTAATGCAGCAGTAGACGTGAAACTGAAAAGGTACATTTCTGAAATGCCTTCCTCACATGTTCAGAAAATGAAAGTAGTTTTTTTTTTTTTTTTTTTTCTTGAAGTTTCATGTTTAACCATGTGAAGAGTTTACAGATGAACAAACCAGCCCCGAGCAAGGAGGAGAGTGATATTTCGCTGAATATTGTGTGTTCAGAGCATGTTGTTCACTGCTTTTTGACAGCAACTCACCAAACAGGTTTGCAACAGCAGCTGAAACATCCTTTGTAGTGTATTAAGCCTTTTGTGTATTTTCGTGCCCACAGCAAATATTCAACTATTTGATGTCACATATCCTGATTGTGGTAGTTGCTTTGGTTCCCCTCCTGTAATCTCTTCTTAGTTTTTTTAATCTTCCCCGCTCTCATGTGTAAATTGTCAATACTAACCGTATGCAAATCAGAAGTGCAGCTTTTAGTTCCTATGGGCTGCTGCAGTAGTTGGCTAACACTCTGACCAAACAGAGTAGATCCTCTTTTGTTACGCAATCTTAGTGGTTATGATTTCTGAAGCTGAAGAGCAGCTGATGGGAGTCTAAGTGCTGTGTGGGAGCAACTACACTGCTGAATGATGTGTATTAGTCAGTGAGTAAAATGAGATCTTTCTCTTGGTGCTTGAAGTTTGAGCTGTAAGGAATTCACTCTGAAGTTTTTGGTCTGCCACGATGAAGGGAAGAAATGGCATGCTACGCGTGCTGACAGATGATTGGCACAGTGTAAGCATTATCAACCTGCAGGCGCTGTGAAGCACCGGGATTTTTGAGGGCATTCGAACTGTTAAAAATAACTGCAGCTTGAAAAGTAGAAAGCATGTCAGAGGGGCAAAGACCAGCAAAAATAGCAGATCTCCTAGTCAATTTCCTCTGACTATTAGTTCACCCTGTAAAGCTCTTCCGTTATCATATTTCCTGACAGGTTTTTTTTCTAGACGGGCCTTTCTTTGACTTCCTGGACAGATTCAGCCCCTGTGAAGCAGTTGAATGTTGCATGGTGCTTGTGCTGTTGGAAAAATGCATCAGTGCTGCATCTTTGTACCTTGTCTAAATGTAATATGTTGAAGTCTGAAAATGTCCATCAATTGCACAAAAAAAAGTCAAAATAAAAAATGATATTTCTCAATGTGTTTCTGCAGACAGCTTAACTGGAATATAAGCATGATTATTAATGAGCATGTTGTTGCTAGGGTCAGTTTCATCATACCAGGATAAATTGCATAAACCTCTCCTTTTTGTTTTTACTCATCTAAGTGTTTTCACTACCTACTTATTTCTCTCTCAGAGAGAGATTCTGTGTTTTGCTCATGCTGTTGCCAGGAGACTCCCTGGGTTTTGATTTTGGAGAGCCTGTGTGGACCAATCAGCTGTTTGTTGTGGCATCAGTCCACCAATCAGCTATGAGCTGGTGTTCTGTGTAGGCGGGCTGCTTCAGTGTTGATTCTTTTTTTTTTTTTTGCAATATCTACCAAACCTTAGTCTATGCGCTCTGAGGGGCGGGGGCAGGGTGGGCATTCACAGCCTCTGGGCAACTGTCAGCCTGCACCAGTGCACGACTTAGTATACATGCACTATGGATACGCATACAAACAAAAACATACTTGTCATGTGAAAGATTTCTGCTGTGCTCTTTTTATGTTTGCTTTTGCACAGATCAAATCTAAAAACAGCTGCAGCCGTCAGACTTTTTTTTTTAATTTCACAAAAATATTAAAAGAGGCTCAAATATCAAATAATAAGAACATTAATTTGTGTGGCACATTACATTTTAAGTGTTTGTTTGTCTTTTTGTGCACTCAGACACTGTTTTGACACACTTCTGTTGCCTGCCCTGTCAGCCTGATGTTTGAGCTGTTACAGACAATTTTAGCAGCTTCCTCTTAAATCACATCTATTCTGAGTTAAAACTGGGGGAATTTCTGATGTAATTTTCCCTTTTCACTTATGGTGTTTCTCTCTCTTTGCTTCCAGGTTATTGGTTTATTAGACGTTTTCACACCAGCAACAAGCTTAGAGGAGTTCAATGATGTGTAAGTCAACATTTTCATCCTTTTCTTCTTTCTTTAAGGTGAATAATGAAACTGGAGTTACAAAGTAATCCTAATTCTTCTTGTCATAACTTCATGTTGTAACTCATGTTGAGCCAAACATGTAGCAGGTTTTGCCAAGGTGAATGTAGGGTGGACACGTGCGCCAAACACATCACAGCTAGTCTCCATGGTAACAGCCATCTGGCTGTTTCTGGGGGTACAGCGTGTGTGTGCAGAATATTCAATCAGTGTCCTTGATTTCTCAACATGCCGTGACGTCATCAGCATGTTGCACATTTTTGGAAATGTGTTGTGTAGCTTCACAGACACTGATTTGTAAAGGTGCACAAATCTGCACAGTAAAGATAGGATGCATCCATTTGATCACAAGAACATTTTAGAAATAAATCCTTGCAGCAGAAGAGAAGCAGATGTGTGTGCATGATCACAGGTTAGCCAATGACAGGTTTCCTGTGGTATGAGGTCAGATAAAGCAAAATAACCACAAACAGGAGCTACATTTACTCTCAGCTGGTCGGTTCTCTGTAAACACATTCTACTGTTAACATAAAACAATAACACCATCAATCCCTTCCCACTTTATCAGCCTGTTTCTTTCCACTCTGCCATTCTTTAGGTGTCTGAATAATGAACCACCCTAACTTTTTCAGTAAAACAGCAAAGTAACAAAGAGAGGTGATAAAAACCTGCAAAAGAATCAAGTGTGATTTGGTCTTTCTTGTAGGTAGAAATGAAAGGATCTTACCGGATTTTTTTTTTTTTTTACAGAGAAAAAAGACAATAAAAGTGATGACAGAAAACAGAGAAGAGACTCACATTACAATCTCACATCTGATTGGTTGTATTATTTTTTTCATTTGAAGCTACCTGGTGACACACCTGATGGGTGCAGACCTCAATAACATTGTGAAGTGTCAGAAGCTGACTGATGATCATGTCCAGTTCCTCATCTACCAGATCCTCAGAGGCCTAAAGGTCAGTGACACAACAACACAGTTTAGACATGTTTTCAGTTTATGTTTTATCAAAATGATCTTACCTGCCTTTTCTTAATGTATGAACTTTTCTCATGATTGCTGAGGAAACTTTTTTTCTTTTCACATTGGTTTTACACCAGAATACTTCTATATACAGTTTTTGATTGTACGTTAAATGTACTGTCGTTCACCCACTTCAGCCAATTCAAGCAGGGAACTGGTTACAGTTCAATGACTGTATCTGTTCAAGTTTGTCACTCATGGTGATTCAGTGTATTTTCACTGTTAAGGTGCAAATATTTGATAGTAAGACTGACATGTTGTTTGGTTTTCCCCTCACAGTACATCCATTCTGCAGATATCATCCACAGAGTAAGTTCATGTCTCTGTTTACACTTCTTTTGAGAGTGAGTCTCTTGTGTGAATTGCGATTTGTCCCCAGCTCTGTTGATCATGTTGCTCCTTTTAAGGGGGCCAAAATGATGAATTCCACATCATCATATTTTGTGTGTTTTTGTGAGCATAAACGTGCCTCTGTGGTCCCTGCCTTGACTTTACATTCTTCATGTTCATCTCTGCAGGACTTAAAGCCCAGTAATCTGGCTGTGAATGAAGACTGCGAGTTAAAGGTAAGGAAAAGAGGATTGGCATATGTGATTTATATTACAGGCTAGAGGAAAATGTTTTGCTTTTACCTCCCCTACCTCTAAAGTAAAAACCCTTTCATTCTTCAGATCTTGGATTTTGGTTTGGCGCGGCACACAGATGATGAAATGACGGGTTATGTGGCCACACGGTGGTACAGAGCTCCAGAGATCATGCTCAACTGGATGCACTATAACATGACAGGTACAACACACAGAATCAATCACAACTATTACACCTGCAGCTTAATGTAAAGTAACACTTTTTCCTTTTACACAATGAAATTGTACAGAAATAATCTGCTGTCGTCAGTGTGTCAAGGGGTGTTGTGATTCAGAAAGTACCTACAGTACTCCGTCACTGCAGACATATGTAGCTTTTTATTCTGAAGCAGGCTTTGTTAAGAGTTTGTGACATAAGAAATGATTAGCACTATTATCGAGAAACTAGGCCAGCTTTCCAATTTCCTTGTGGATTCAACGTGACGAAAATGTTCAACATGGACCAGAGCACAAAAATAAGTTGTTTAGCACAGCGTTGAGCTGTTGTTGATGTTGAGATTTAATTACTTTCAAACAGCATGTAGTTGCTTTGTAGCACATGCAAAGCACATAACAGGAAGAAGTTTTAGTCTCTTATAGTAAAAAAAATAGAAATCAAAGGTGTGTTTTAGAAGAACCTAGGGAAAAACACTCTGACTGAAAGACTGTGCATGGCTATTGAATACTTAAAAATTGTGCTGAAAGTGACTGAAGTAATTGGTGTAATTAATTGGACTTAAGCATGTTTTTTTTCCTGACATGCATCAGTGGATATCTGGTCAGTGGGCTGCATCATGGCTGAACTACTCACAGGACGGACACTTTTCCCAGGCACAGACCGTATCCTTTTACTGCTATGACTGCAATACAACAAAGAAATGGCTGAACTTGTATCATTGCTGTGGCTTCATATAAATGAAGGAGCAGTTTGAAGGGTGCGTACTGCACTTTCATGTGTATAGATGTGACCAGAATCCTAGATTTCCTGTACGAGGTGTGTTACTCCCCATATTCAAGGCACACTTGCTCGCTCTCGCACACAATTGCACACAATTTTACTCATTTGTGGGCTTTGCTGGGTATTGGTTTTTGTGAGCTGCATGCCAGAATACTAAAGTGTGTGTTTATGTGTGCGCGCATGGGCATAGGATCAGAGTTAGAGTCCCCTGTGGTTGATGACTCAGCTCTGCCCACTTTGGTCTCCGCTGTTTCTCCAAGATACCAACTGCACACCTTCCCGTTTCCCTCCCACAAAGCTTCTCATACACACAACAGCAGAGCAGTGTTCAATACAAAATACACAGGAAGATGCTGCGTGATCAGGAAGCACACTCGCACTCACCTGTAGCCAGTGGTTGGCAGGTACTACAGAGGTCATGGTCCAGTTTAGGATTAAAGGCGGAGGCTTGCTGTGACTTAATGTGTTCAAATCCTGCTAAGAATCAGTCTCACCACTCACTCCATCACTGCAGGCTCTCATTGTGTATGTTCAAATGTGTGCTTCCCACCAAATGTAAAGGTGTATTCTTGTGCTCCTCTTGGATAGTCATAGTTTCTGTGTTTGAAAGCTCGCCTTCAAACATTGGCGTATTCACAGGCTTTTATTTTGGAGAGCCAGGTTTAAAGTTGCCTGACTTTTTAATCAATAGATACTGAAATATTGTTTAAGCTCACATACCTGACTTGTTATAAGGGTTTGCATAGCACATTAATGTCAAATAACTTTGTGAGTCTAGTTCACTCTGTGTGGAATACAACTAGCAGTAAAATTTTGATGAGCAAGAATTAATCACATTTCATTTCCCTGAGTATGGCGTCAAGTCAGCAAGCCAGGCACCAAATATTTCCCAAGTTTTGAGTTTTTCTAACTTGGGCAACACTTAACATGAAATTTCTAACTTCACAACTTACTTACCAGCATGTATGACACCATTTGAATGCAGGATAAATTATCATGATGTCTCTGATGGAGAGATCCTCTTAGGAAGTGTGGTTAATTTATGATAAGTCTAGAAGTCTCTAATAGTCCATCACATTCAACCTATCATGACACAGTGTGCAGAGGTTGTACACAGATTTTTTTTTGCCTTTAGTGTTATCTAAAGTCCTGCAGTAAATTTTAATGATTGTTGCCACTGTTTTTGTACTGTAGAAGAGCCATATACCTAACTTAGTGTGGTTTAGTTGGATGTAGTAGACCCCAGGTTTAACCAAATCATTGCAGTTCAGTAACTCTTTCATGCTTTTTGCATATATTTTTGGTTATCACTGGTTGGTGAAAAAAAGATTGGTGATCACTGATTTGAAAAGGAAAGAATACCTGCCAACCATTTTAAAAAATCAGTTTAACGCTGATTTCCACATTTGTTGGCCTCTTCATCTGTTGTGATGACAGGATGCATCACAACAGATGATGGCATGGCACCGTCACCACTCCTGAGTAGAAGAAAAATATACTGGAGAAGTAAAGTTGTTCTTTTTTTCACTTGGTTGTAAGATTGTTATCAGGGGTCTGTTGAAGTCTACACATGTGATGTCTGTACTTTGGTTGACTTTTTCTGTTGGACTGAATCATCCATTATTTTCAGATGCTGATTTGAGCTTCGACTGTTGTACCCCCCCACCCCCACCCCCTTCTCCTCCATCATCCTCCATCCCTCCCTGTTTTCCTTTATGTGAGTGTGGTAGACATTGATCAGTTGAAGCGTATAATGCTGCTCGTCGGGACCCCAGGGGCTGAGCTCTTGATGAAAATCTCTTCGGAGTCTGTGAGTGTCAAATACCATCCTGCCAAGCTCTGCACTACCCCTTCTGCCTGTTGTTTGTGCTGCCTTTGTGTTGGCAAGAGTGGGATGGTCTACTTACTACTCTTTCTTGGCACTACTTTTTTCAATGCTGCACTTATTTATGCCCTGAACTGGTGTGTTTCTGGAGGCTATTTGCTCCGCAGGACAAAACATTGATTCTTACCTCTTTCTAGCTTGTGCTTGAGCGAATCTCTTAACTTGACAGTCAAGGCAAAGTTACAAAGTCGATAAATATCTATAAATACTTTGACTTTACCTTACAGGTAGGCAAGTGTGCCTTGTTTTCTTGCCCAGGCTTCCTCTGTGTTACATCCTTTCCCTAGTGTGTGATCCCCTTCATCCCATCCCCCCGTCAAATTCCCCCTAACCCCCCATGCTCTTTGACATGCTGATCTCCATGTTGCGATGCCCCTTGACTCAAAAGCCATAGATATAAACCAGCTGCAGCAGATAATGCGCCTGACCGGGACACCCCCAGCCTCCCTCATAAGCAGGATGCCCAGCCATGAGGTGAGACACGTGTCCTCCGCCTACCCACGTGCCCTGGCTCTCCCCCTGCAGATGGAATCAGGGCACCAGCTGAGATACCCACAGTCCTGTTTACAAAGAAAAACAGTTAGACCTCATGTGTTGTTTTTTTTTTTTAGTCAGCAGCCTCTGCTCTCACTCCCCATTTCCTCTCTGACTCACTGTGCTTGTCTCAGCAAGGCTTCCCAGAGTGCTTTGCAAGTGTTTTCTGATGAGCTGTCTGTGGTGACACATGGGTTCTGAAAACTAGGGCACTAAGCTGGGAAAATGTGGAAGATTTGGGTTCTGATTGAAATGCCTGAAGCATGCCTTACTGGAAAGAAGGACTGTAATACTTAAAGCACCAGGCCCCGTTTTTAAGCCACGTCTTTTCAAAAGTTTCATAGTTTGATGTGCAGCTAGACCAAATGCAACCTCTTACCCTCATAAAAACATAAGACCTTCACAGTTTTTGCTTTTGTTCGTATTCTGTTTACAGGCAAGGAACTACATAAACTCACTTCCCCACATGCCCAAGAGGAACTTTGCTGATGTGTTTATTGGTGCCAACCCTCTTGGTAAGTTCCTGTTTCAACATCAAGCTGCGGTCGACACTCCTGATTCACTGAGTCCCCCTACTGGTTTCATCAGGTCACTGTTGACGTTTGATCAGAGGTGGTTCACGATAAATGATCCACCCTGAAAAGTTCTGTAGTGTTTTAATAAATGAAGTTTCAACACCTTTTTATTAATATTAAATTAAAGCTGATGGTTCCCTCTTGACCACATACTCATCTGTTTTTTATTTTGCTGTGTTCAAGCTGTGGACTTGCTGGAAAAAATGCTCGTACTGGACACAGACAAGCGGATCACAGCGTCTGAGGCTCTGGCCCATCCGTACTTCGCCCAGTATCACGATCCAGATGATGAGCCTGAAGCAGAGCCCTACGACCAGAGCTTTGAAAGCCGGGAGCTGGAAATCGAGGAGTGGAAGAGTAAGTTGGCACATTGTCAGTGTAGGCGGTTTGGTATGATCTGCTGGGGAGAGGATAGAGAAGGTGCAGGTGACCTCTTTGGCAATATGAGTAACTTCAAGAACTATTTTTGTCATCACTCAGGGTTAACCTATGAGGAGGTCCTGAGCTTTGTGCCACCGTCGTTCGACAGTGACGAGATGGAATCGTGAGGAGGAAGCACTTTTATTCTTCCGTCTTTTGTTTTCCAAGAAACACTCTCTACGGACTATCAGTCTCATTTGACTATCCACCACTTTTCTCACACACACGCACACAACCATGACATTCAAGTGCCTGCCATTATTCATCTCCAGGGGATGCTGAGATATCAGGGATTAAATCTGGCATCCTGTTTCTCCCCAAACTTTGATTCTTTACTTTTGTTTATCTCAAATATTTGTTGCTCATATTGATCCCCTCTTTGATAAAAAAATTAACTTGTTAGTATCTTAGAGAAAATTTGAGATGCAAAACTAGACATGTTTTAATTTATAAAGGTATGCTTCTTAGCAGTAACTCTTGTAGGACACTTGTATTGAACATTTAAAAATTGCAGTGTGTCTGAACTTTCTCTTTTCTTCACACTTTAAAAACGAAATGTAAATATGGAAAACAGTATTTGTACATATGTACTTCAGTCAAACTAGTAACATTAACTGTGTAATAGTCACAAATGTTGAGTCACACCTCAGCAGACCCCTTTGGCAGTATGGATTATATCTCTAGAGCTTAGTTTAAATGGTTTAAAGATACAGTATGTAAATTAATGGAAGTGTGTAAAGGATAGGACGATTACCAATGTTTGTAAAATATTCACTTTAAAATGAAGAAATCAAGGCTTAGACTGTCACTATTTTGAATTGATATTAATTTGGAGAATAAGGAAGCTTTTCTTATGTTACCACTTTCCCCTCCAGACATTTCTATAGATTCTCCTCCTTACCTCCATATCAAATATTTTTTGTACTGATCTGTTTTGTTGTTTTGGAAGAATGTTTCAGACACCATTATCTCCACCCACAGTACTGCTTCTGCATGATCAAGCCAGATCTGGCTTATTGGTTTCTTAAACTATCTTTCCTGCCACATCACCAACTGACAATGTACTTAAGTCATACTGCATTTATAAAACACAGTACTATTAATGTTTATTGAATGTTTGGGTGCCTCTCTGCCTCGTATTTATGATCTTTTGTTAGGATGTTTGTATATCAATGTAAAAGAGAATATTATTTGTCTGAATCTTAGGTTCTTTTTTTATTATTTATGAAGAGCTTACTGTATCACAAACCTGTTGTACTGTTAGTGATCTCTAACATTAGAATAAGCCGTGGTGACTGCAGCTACAGCTTGTGAATCAGAACCAACGATTTTAAGATTCTGCAGACAACCTTGTAATTTTAATCAGATTGATAAAAGTTTTAAAAAGTCCATAGGCATTTATTTATCTTGCTTTGTCCCCAAGGTACTGCCCTCTAAAAGTTTCCAAAACCTTTCAAAAGGAAATATTTGAAAAAACACTGGAAAATGTGTCCAGACAGTATGTTCGCATTTGTATGGACATACAAACCACTAACCAGACTTGACTAGTTCTAAAGTTTACCACAGACATTTAAGGACAATATGATTTTTCAGTGAAATTACATCCACATGTGACATACAAGCTTTATCCACAGTCCCTCTCACTAATATCAGTCTCAATTAAACAATAAGAAGTATCTTTACTCTTTCATTTTACATCTGCCTGTTTTCATGTAGTGCTTTTTATGATGCATTATTTAATTCTTTGAGTTTTGAATCAAGTTATGATGTTCCTCTGTGATTCATGTACTATTGATTGTTTTTTTAAACTATATTTGTCATACATTTGAATGATTTAGCAGGGCACATGTTTGTGGGAAAGAGTGTACGTTTACTCACTGGATGCTGAAGGGCAAAGCTGAAGCCTGACTCTGTGTAGTTTTTAAGCAACTGCATCATATTACATTATTTAACTTATCCATTTCCCAATGTCAGTAGTTAATTTGGTCATACTTTCTTTGCCTGAGATGTGTTCATATCATTTTACAATGTTCTTTACCACATGTACCAAGGCAGCACGCCACCTGTAAATACTACCATTAGAAAATAAAGGCTACTATTTTTCAATCTGTAACAGGTTGTAGTGTGTTGTGGTGGGTGTCCCAAGAAACTGTCTCACCAGTGGGTGGCAGCACAGTGCAAGTTAAGAAAATCTCTGCCAACAAGTATGACTGATCAAATTCATCACTGAGCTCCTTATTGCAGTGAAAACTCATCAGCCAAGGAGACAGATTATTATTTTTTTTAAATAAATACAAGACCAAGTACACATACATGTGTACACACAGACGCAGAATCCCAGTCTTGAATGTGAATACTTCATGAACATAGTAACCAAATTGAGGATACCACATATAGCGAAAACTCAAATTTAAATAAGTGTATTATTCTCCATGATGAAAACATTACAGCCACACAAATCTGACAAGTATATACATAAATGGTATTTTAAGATATCTCCCAAACAACTTAATTGATTTTAATGGATAAAACGTCTGCCAATGTAGCAAGCACAGTTTGCTTGATAAGTTTCTTGAAATTTATGAGGAACATTTTCTTTCTGTGCAGGCATTTGCTTTTACGAATGAGTTATGTGATGTTAATCAAATCAGAATTCCAAGGAGACTCTCTCATATCATTGGTGTTTGCATCATGATGCTTTGTTTTTGTGCACTCAAGGCCCTTATAAATTCTCTACTTCAAGAGTTTTGGTTTTAAGAACTTCAGTTAAGAAAAAAAATCCTCACTCCATTTTTATCATCTATTACTACTTGTATTTTAATTCACAGGCAATTCTTGGCCATAGCAGTCAGTTCAGAGACTCTCTTGACTTTCTTGTGTAACCATTATATTTCCCATGTACTTTTGACTCGTACGAAGTTCTCCACTTGCTGCAAAGTCACCAATCTCCATAAGACAATGCTTTCATTATAATATGGGACTGAATTGAATGAAGCTATGCCTTTTCCAGTTAAGTACCGCCTTTCATTAAATCTCCACTGGCACATTTACATTCTCTGTGGGAAATAAGACCATTTTAAGTTGTGGATCTGTTTTGCAGCATTAAAATAGGCTGTTAATTGACTGTGGAGGGGTTGCATTGTTGGGAATACCTAAATTTATGCTCGCATTTAATTAACACGAAACAATCACGTACTACAATTTTAAAGTTATTATACAGGAGTTCTGGTCGTACTGCAGGTCTGTTTGATTGACTCTATGATAACGAGAAAATACACAGTTCAATTCAATGTCTGCGTTGACTTTAGGTAAATCCGGTCCATCAGTTTTTTTGTATTACGCTGCCGTTAAAAATGGTAAATATGAACAAACTGTTGTAACCGTAAAGATTTTTTTTAAATAGCGCTACTTTCTGTAAAGTAAGTACTTTTCTGTACTTTCTGCTACTTTCTCCGCCCTCTACATCCCTCCTCAGCTGGTTCATTTTCGCGCACAACAGAGTTTCGACATTTCCAGCTGCTCCTGAACGCAGCACATCTCCTCCTGCCTGGTTATCAGCATGGAAAGAAAGGGTAACGTTGTTACTACTCCTCTTTTTTTTTTCAACACACCTGCTACTCGAAACACTTTGGATTTTCCTCGGGATATTTGTCTCTTATATTAATTCTCGCGTTTGTTTCTAAGGACTGTGACGAGCCACGTAACAGTTGAAAAGTAAAAGCAGACCATGCGCTCTGCTCTCCCTCTGTGTGTGTATGTGTGTTAACTGCATGCTAGCTTTAGCCATCAGACTAGCATCTGGTGTTGGGCGAGTATGCGCCAAAACTTTTGGCTTAGCTTGAGAAAAATATTAAAAAATACCCCTAACGTTTTTATTTGAAATGATATGAGTGTTTGGTATACTAAATATAAGTGCTACTCGCAGTGAAAAGCACAATGTAAATGATAGCAGCTAACTAGAAATGCTTCTCAAAGGAGTAACCGCCAAGGCCGGTTTACTCACTGCTGTTATAGAAAGACATTTTCCTCAACTTTGAAACCTGCTCGCAGGTACTGATAATACCTCCAACTATGAGATTTTACACCTGCGGCTCGGGTTTCACTGTGCTTCCTCTTAGAAACAGTCTGTATAAAAAGCAACACAACTGCGGGGTTCAGGGGATTCGGTTCTCATCCACACTTAAAATTTCTCTCTCTCCTTTTTCTAGTCCTCGCAATGCAAGCAAGGAAGAAGAGGACAAAACCCAGAAAACCTGCCAAAAAGTAAGTCAAGCATCCTCTGTTGTTTTTAATTTTTAAGTTCATTGTGCAGGATAACTGAGGAGTACCGTTTGTTTGCATTTTGTGGACGTAGATGTTGCAGCCCATTTGTTTACTGTCGTAAAATAATATTGTACGCAGTTGTTCAAGTTACAGGATGTTATGTTGTGTTATGTTAATGTTAAACGAATGTATAATTTTGCATCTTTGGGAAGATGCAGCCGCACTGTTTATCTTCGCGTTTTTCAATGAAACTCCCTTTATTTTATGGTTTCATAATGATAAAATAAAAACACAAAAGTGCTTTGACAGTTAAATTCATGTATGAGTCTTTGTTTTGTAGCACAATAGCTTATCTGAAGTTGACTTTTACAGCATATAGGATTGTACATTTCCTGTAGACTATATTTCTCAAGTCTTTAAATAGACACAAATGATTTTATGACTTTCACTGGAAATTCAGACACTTTAAAAGTTAATAAATGGCACAAATGACCTTTTCCCACTATGTTTATTAATCAGACAGTTCATTTAGGAATGTCTGTAAAATGGTTGATGTAATAAATCATCACTATATAGTTGGCTGATATTCGTAGGTGACAAATATAGCCTCGCTATCAAATCATATTTATCATATATATTACCAGTTGCTTGTAGTGATGCACCGATCTGCATTTTTCACCTCCAATACCGATACCGATATCTACAGTTTAGTATTGGCCGATAACGATCCAATTCCAATACAGAAAAGCCACGCTGAATTATCTTTTGTTGAAACCTGAAGTTCTACCACTGCCCCTCAGAACGTTTACTGCGCAGGTATTGCAAGTGGCCATCAACATTGTAGGTTGAGGTATTGTGGTATAGTTTAAGATAGCAAAACCCTTTGCTTGCTTCATTTTGAAAACAATGTGGGCTCAGCGTGTTTACTTGTGGATGCCACTCAAGGCACATAGCATGGAGTTAGACTGAATAGATAGGCCCCTATGCATTGGGCCCATTGTCACAATACCCGATCTAGAATTTTTTTCAGTATCGGGACCAATACCGATATCAAATATCTGATCAGTGCATCCCTAGTTGCTTGAACATCTTAGAAATCACATGAATGTGAAACACAGATTCTGTTTACTCGAGTCATGCATTTTGCAGGGTTGTTTTTAAGAAATGTTAGAAATGTCCCTCCCTCTTTTTCACTTGCAAGGGTTAAAAATCCAGCTAGGTGGTCAAGTTTTTTTTTTTTCCTGTAACAGTTTAAGTTTAATTCAGTTGACATTTTCACAGTTTTCTCTGATTTGCTGATTTTATTTCAGCAATGAGAAAGCACATGGTCATTAAGACATAGTGCTTTGTTTTGAAGCTCTGTGTATCATTGTTTTTACTTGTGTTTAAATATTACCCTTGTCTATGGTTAGAAATATTCACATGGGCCAGTCAGTGTTGACATTTGCTTGCTCAATGTCAGACTGAAAGAAAGAGCAGGTAAAAAGTTTACTCCATTCCATATGAACAGACGTCATTTAAAAGTAGATTGTTTTAGAGAAGGATAAACTGTATAGGTGCAATTAGTTCTCAAGCACTGACACCGCTGACTGAAATGGTCAGGCATTTTCTGCTCTGAGATTGTCAAACTTAGATTTGCACAGACTAACTAAAATCCTCTTTTGCTGGAAAGTTTGCAAAATTTTCTGTGGATAGGTTTAGTAAAACAGTTCATTTTTCCTCGCTGTTTTTGGTTAGATCATCAAAATAGATGTTCCTTTCTGTCAACATTGTATTCCTCCTTTTCTGAGGGTCCAGGTCTGGGGTTAAGCTTTTTTTTGTTAAAGTAAAAAGAACTCCAGCAAAAAGAGGGAAGAGCTTGGTTTATAAATCAAAAGCCCGTCTTCTTGAGATTTGGATGAAGTAGCCACCCTTTGCTCTTAATGACAGAAGTTTGCAGCACTATCAAAAAAGCAAAGGGTGGCTACTTTGAGGAATCTAAAATATAAAACATGTTTTCAGTTATTTCACACTTTTTTCTTAAGCACATGATTCCACATGTGTTCATTCATAGTGTTGATGCCTTCACTGGGAATCTACAATTGAAATAGTAATGAGAATAAAGAAAATGCATTGAATGAGGAGGTGTGTCCAAACTTTTGGCCTGTACTGTATGTCTGTCATCAGTAACACTAAACCAGTCGATTCAATTTAAACTGTATATGTGTGTGTGCGTATGTTTATGTTTATTTATTTAGGCCTCACTGTTGCTGTAGTCACTCATCAATTTAGACAGTGTTTCCTGCTCAATTCAAATAACTTAGACTTGCTAAAATTCACACAAATGACAATAAAATGTAAATTTTTACATCCAGAAATTCAAATTAAACTCTATATATGTATGGCACTTTGTGTTCACGAATGCAGTTCAAAGTAGATCACAGAGGCTAAAAACAACAATAAAACCCAACCCTCCTGCCACCCACACATACACCCATAAACCCATAAACCCACACACATACAGACACACACACACACACACACACACACACACACACACACACACACAAAGTGCACACTGAGATATATTGCTAAAGAGACATGGCTTGACACTGGGTCTGAAAATACCCAGGTCAATTAACTAAAGTTTATGAGGTTCATAAGACAGCAGCAGCATCACAACTGAAATTAATACTGAGAGCAGGAGGACTAATCTGCCCAGCTGTTACTGGGCCAAATCTGCTGTCAGGTTTCTAATATTCTGCTCTGTGGTCTATTTGCCCATGGATAATAAGATGATTATCACTGGATTTAGAAACTTAATAGGAGTTATAAAAGAATATTTCTCAGTGGATTTGTGGACAAATTTAAAAAGGAAATGAGAGAAAATGAAATAACTGAGGAATAAAAGGTAAATAGAAGCAGAAAGCTTTAAAGCAAATAAGCACAGTCTATGCTACTGCACACCAAAACCCCAACGCCTTAGGCCAATCACTAATGACTTGTTTTTTGTTGTTCTTCGATTATTAGGCACAAAATCCTCTAGACATCCCATCCAAGCCTGAAGAAACACAGCCTCACAGTTTCAACATCAAGTCTCAACACAGAATATTAGAGGAATAATATATAATAAAAATAATAAAGAGAGGGAACAAATATAGAGGCTTAAACAAGAAAGGGACAAGCAGTAACATATGGGTGAAAGCAACAGGGTGAGATACATATGTGCCAAACAGCAATCGCAAAACTAATGAGGATGAAGAGAGTTAAACACAATTAGAAGAAATAAAAGTTAAAAAAATGAAAGCAATGAAATAAATAAAAAGGCCATTCAAATAAATAAAAGCAGTTAAAGCAGTAATAAGAAAGTTAAGGATAACATGGGAATAAGACAGTTGGAAAAAATTGGAAAACATCAACAACATGATAAAGGACGATAAAAGTAGTTTTAAGTATTGAGAAGTGATTTAAAAGACAGCACTGATTCTGCATGCCTGTGCAACAGTTCTCAGTGTATATATATATATATATATATGTGTGTCTGTGTGTGTGTGTGTGTGTGTGTGTGTGTGTGTGTGTATATATATTTATTTATATGTGTATATATGTATATGTCTTGTCTGATACTATTAAGCAAGTAGCAGTCATGCTTGCATAAATCCGCTCTTTCCTCTCTCTCTCTCTCTGTCTCTCTCTCTCTCTCTCTCTCCCTCTCTCTCTCGTCCTCGTCCGTTTTCTCTCTCTTGCCCTCGTACCCATCGCACTCCCTCCCACTCGTTTGTGTCAGTCGCTCTGTTGTGGCTGCTGCGCTGAGAGAACTCAGCAGTCACCGTTCAGTCCAAGAGCCAAGGGGAGACAGGAGCGGACCGACACCAAGGTGTTATAAACTGGTGTAAAATAGCTGTAGCTGAGTGTCTTCTGGGTCATGTGGCTCCTGGACTGGATCTTCTCCATCAATACAGCTGTGGTGAAGCTGGCCAGCGGTCTCACATGCAAGTGAGTAGTGGGAGGGTCATGTGTTTGTATTTAGAGGAGAGAGACGAAGAAGTCAGACGTCACTCATGTCTGTAGAGCTTGTTGAATCTGTGATAGTTGGAGGTGTGTGCGGCATAGTAGTGTTTTGAAAGCGTGAGTGTTCACAGAGTTGGGCTGGCTTGTTGATGGGCTGGTCCAATGCTGACTGTTGTTGCTCTCTGAGGTGCCTGACTACCTGCTTATACTCTATTTTTCAAGCGAGCAAGAACAGTGCTGATGATTTCCCCAGGGCATTTGTGCTGCCAGCCTTTGAAAGAGCTCCCTAAATTTCTTTGTTATTTCTACAAGACAATATTATATTTTTTATTATGTAATTTTTAAAATTGTAAACCCCTTTTTGCTCTGTGCCTAAGAAATAAAAATTTGAACATGTGCACTCAGGTGACTGAACAAAAATAGGCATCATTCAGCTCTGAACTCTCCATTGTATTTTGCTTTTATCTGCTCCTCTTCCTCTCCCGGCCGTAGCTGCAGCTCATTACATAACCTATCAAATCTTTTACCATCTGCAGCCCCACCACGGCTCTGTGTCCCTCTGTTTCTCCCAAATGCCCTACATCTTTCCAGGTTATCCACAGGTTAACTTTTACCATTCTCCCCCACGATCCTCTCTGTGACATAAGTATATCATAAAATTTGTGTGTCAACTGTGAAAAAGAGAAAGGCTCCTGCAGGCAATTAAGATGAAGGAAGACTTGTTTTTATGACCTAAGAAACCCTGCTGTGGTTTAACTTGTGCTCTACTTCACAAAGCTGTAGTGTCCTCTCCCTCATTCTACTTACCTCTCTTTTCCTGTCTCATAACATAGTTTGCAGTTTCTACGCAGATGCCAATTTTACACATAAATCAGCGTAACAAGCATTGAAATGAGTGTTCAGAGTTTTACAATGTGAAAGTAAAGTATTTCTTACAAGTCTAGGGAAATAAAAAAGCATGGTTCCTTGCCTGAGGTGCATCTTTCTGCAGGTGTTTGCATGCTGCAGCACATTCATTTACACTTTGTGTGCATTGCACCTTCAGTACAGTAACCTAGAGCTGCTGGCTGATTCTGCTGCCACTGCACTTGGCATTGATTTTTTTTTTTTCTGGAGGAAGGGGAGGAGGTTGTTGACATTTTGGCCATGCTCCATCCCAAAGAGCTTTTTTTCCCCCTTCTGTGCCCTTGTTTATTTTGCCCCAGAGATCTGATAGAGCCAGATGGGTGGAAACAACACAGCCAGGAGAAAGTGGGAGACTCTGACACAGTCTGTCATGTCAGATATGTGTAAAGGAGTGATGGAGATGTCAACTGGTTGTGTTTCTGTATGACTATTCCAATCACTTTCTCTTGGGGAAGTGTAGCACAGCTCAATCTGAAATGTGCGACTGAGACTGCTCTTTACTGTTATCAGAGATACTTTTCCACCAAAGATATTTGTAATGATGCTTCAGTAAAAGCTCAGGTCTTACTTATTACATCAACAACTATTATGAAATGTCACAAGTAGCAGAGCTCTTGGATTTGTGCACTGTTATTGAATGGAGTTGTTATTTTATTCATAATAATGTATGTTTTTAAATCTGTACGGTTTAATTAAAAAAAGGTGATCTGCTTAAACATACTTTCTCTACATCCTTTGGCAACAGAAAAGCCTCATGACAGGTTCAAAATCACCTGAAATTAATGTTAAAATATAGTTCTCCAACATTCCCAGGTGCACTGAATTGATGTGCTGTATGCTCACAGTGTAAGTACAGTGTACTCCTCAGCATCAGTAAGTAACTAAATGTCTTTCATAGCACATCAGTTAATGAAATTCGGTATCCTCTATGTTATGGTGTAGCTATTTACAGTACAATTAAATGTTATCGGCACCAGAGTTATGTGATAGCATACAATGTGTCTAAGCCGCCATCCACAACCTAAGACTGAGCTCTGCTTAATTGTTACTATCATAAACCAATAAGGCTTTACTATCTGTATGTAAACAAGCACAGAAGTAGGACAGTCTCTTGTAACCCCACAAGAAGTTGTGCAGGTTGTGTCTAGTTAAGCTGGCACAAAACCACTTGATGAGCAATATGCAACCAGCACAGCCATGTGGATGTTTACCTGCAATTGGGGACTGAAGGCTAGGCTAGTAAATTTTGGTATCGGTAAATTTTCGGTTTATCGGCCAGCCCTAGTTTAAATAGAGTGGTAGTAGTAGTAGTAGTAGTAGTAGTTTATTTGTCCCATAGGGAAATTGAGTTGCAGCAGATCACACATTTGGCATTTCATCAAGAACAGTACAGATAACAATAAATAAATAAAAAAAAACTTATAATAAAACAGCATGTAGACAACTTTCACACGTAATTAACAGTAAAAATAAGTAACATCATTATAATCACACATCCTAAGTCCCAACTTTAACCTGATTAGACCAGCTGAGCAGGCTATAGGTGACTAACAATGGCTATTTGGTATTTAGGCATTTAATGGCCTGCGGCACAAAGGAAAATTTGGTTTCAGACAGTACCATGATGAAGCTGCCTCAGATGAATCCTTAAAGCTGTATCAATGCTAGGTAACAGCATGTAGGCTGGTGGATGGACTAGTCTGTAACCATAACCACCTAGCCACGAAAAATCAGCTGTATTATTCCAAAAACTGGTGTCCTCTGCATCAATAAATAACACTGGAGAAAAATGAAGAGACCAACACTAAATATATTTCCCATTGGTTTAAATACTCACAGATTTGTTTTGGGGAAAAAGTAAGTGATTTTGTTTTATTGCGTTCAACATCTCCCCAAACCTCCAAATAAAATACTCTCACCTGTTTTTCATTTGTAGAAAATGACCACTGCTCAGAGTAATAAATAGATCAGTATTTTCAGACCATGATGGATGAAAAAAAAAGGGTGGGTATGGGTTGAAATTCAACAGATGCTGAAATACAGCAGCTTGGATGCAGATAAAGACAGAGTAAAGAAAAAAAAAAGTGTTTGTCTCTTTATTCTATTCTAAAGTCTGAATACTAAGAAACAATTACAGTTTGAGGTTTTTATTATCTTTCTATTTAAAGTTAAAACAACTAAAAGGTGTTAACAGACCCCAAATAAAGTGTTTCAGTTGGATACCAGGATTATAATAGTATTTTTTTTTCATTGCACTGGTTCTAGAGGGACTTGGTATCCGCCAACAATGAGGGTCACATTATTGAAATATGCATTGGAGCAGATTGAAAACAAACATCTAAGTTTCGCTGTTGTTAGTGATCAGAATATTGATAGAATAAAAGGTCTTCAGGCTCATTGTTAAGAACAGTAAAAGTCTAATTGGTTAAATCTAGCATTTGAACATGAAAAGCAGACCCCTGCAGAGGCTGGAGAATAAAGCGTAAAGGGTCTGAGTGAAAGCATAAGTAAAACATTGTTTGAATGGCAGAAGGCCAGATGAGGCTGATGTTGATAGACAGCAGAGGAGGAGGGAGAGAAATTGTGTTGTTCTGGTAAGACAGAGGAGGGGAGGGGGGACTGATGTCGTCTCTCACCTGCAATGCAGTGCTCGTCTGCATCACCCAATCATCTCCCAGCTGTCAGTGAAGGGGGTGGGGCCAGGGGCTGACGACAGCCAAGGAGAGTTCTCGGTCAGACAGACAGAAAGAGAGAGAGAGTGAGTGAGAGAGAAAAAATGAGAGAGAGTGAGAGTCAGTGAGTGTGCAGTGGTGCTTTGCACTCAGGGTCTCAGCCTGCAGCAGACCTTCTTCATTTCTCCTCTTTTTTCTCTTCTTCCTCTCAACTCTTCACTTTTCTTGCAGGCTTACAGTTCCCCTCTAGCCTCTGTCTTTTTCTTTACCCTTCGTCTTTCTGTTTCCCAACCCTTTCCTGCGTAATCTCTGCTTTGCACTTATCAGTACCGACTGCTCTCCTCTCGACTTTTTCGCTCTACATCTCCTTCCCGGCTCTTTTTCTTTCTCGGATGGAGTGAGACTTTTTTAACACCTGCACACACTCCTCTGTCCTCTCCTTCTTCCATCACGTCCCATGGGCATCCGTGCTTCTTGCAGGTAAGAGCTAAATGTATGTGTGTGCATGAGTGTGGGCAGTTAGAGAGCTTCTTAAGATGGGTCCAGGTGATCTGAGAAGAGAAGTCCTTGAGGTATCCTGGTTTTTGTTCGTGCTGTCATGCCCTCTCAGAGGGCATAAAACTGCCCCTGTCCAACTGTCGATGCACTGCAGTCGGAAGAAAATTTGCATGAAAGGCACACTCATCTGCTGTCCTTTGTCTTTTTTTATGTGGTTATTCCCTTTTTGGCATATAGTAACTGAATTCATGCCTAACATTTAGGATGTTTTTTTTTTTTCTGTACTTCTGTATTTCTGCATTTGTATAGTCAAACTCCATCATTTGCTCCCACAATACTGATTATGCCCCCTACTTAATAAAGAAGTCTTCATTTCATCAGCTATATTTAGATGGAGCTGCCTTTGGGGGATCGAGGGTCCTTGTGTTGGTTTTGCAAGCCTGTGCTATGTTTTTTTTTCTCTCACACTCGCCAGTTTGAATCAAATATATCATGTAAACAGTGTGTCATTGGTGGGCAGCAGATAAGTGGGAGTCTAGGTGCAAACCGGGATACAGAAAGCAGCCAAAATATTCAATCGGTAGAAACAGCAGATTCACATTTAGACTAAGCTACCTGGCTTTTTTTCTGATGTGCACTTCATTTCTACAGCTTTTGTTTCCCAGATAAACACAACACTACTCTAAACCACTTTTTTAATGCTTGTTTGGAGTTATAGTTTCTCCAAATCTTGTGTGGGTTATGTTTTTTGAGACGTAGGAGCAGTTGAGTAAATTGGGAAAAGTCTGAAGCAGAAAGAATAAGGGATGGTGTGAGATATATGTAGGTTGTATACACACAAGTAAACAAAGGTGGTGTGTAGACTGTCAAAGCTCCTGCAAGTAAGTACCAAAGTTACCAGAGCCACAGTCACAGTCGAGGCCAGAGAGAAGCTTGAGACAGAGTATTTGTCTTAATATAACTGAAGCAAAATAAAGAAACGTGAGTGAGCATGTTCCAACAACACCTTTTCTGTTGACTACTTGAGAGGAAAGTCACACAGCAGATGGGCGAGTCTGTAGAAACACCTTCACAAAATGAATGATAGTTAATAAAAAAAAAAAACCTTATCACCAGGGGTTTCAGTAAGACGTGTGCAGACCAGTGTTAATGTGGGATGTTTAGGTGATCACAGAAACTGTAGAAGTGTTTGTGCTGATTTGTTTCAGTGTTAGTCTTTGGTTTCTGACTTCAGCATCATTATCCGATATCTTCCCCCTAAGGAGTGCTGACAAACCGTCGAGTTTTGCAGGCGGCTGAGCATGACACAGCTTTGTAAGCATGATTTGCTAAGATGCCTCTAAAGTGGTCCTTCTGCTCAGAGTTAAGCCAATGAACTGATTATTCAGTCATGCTAATCCAAGTGACTTCAACATTTTTAGGCAGATCGCATCAGAACATCCTCAGTCATAGCAAGCAGGCCGTTGCCTCGACTTACAACTGACACTTTAGGATCTACCATTTATGATATAAACCGTTTTATTTGAAATGCCGGAGAAAATGTCTAAAGCTAGAAGCTGCAGTCTTCTAGCTTGGAAGATCATACAGTGTGTGACTCTCTTTAGTTAGCTCCAAATCCTCCTCAGCAGCAGGATTAGCTGCTTGAGTCAGTAATTTGAGCTGCAGCACACAAGAACAAATGTGATGGAAGGTTGCTATCGCTAAAAGACTCTGGAAACAGAGACAGGTTTAGGATGTGTGTTTATTTGAGAGGGGAGTAAAAAAAAAAAAGATTAAATTGTGAGGGAAACATCTGTCTTTGTTAAGCATGCAGAGAGCAGTATGACGCTGGAAGCTTTTAGCACACTGATCACCCAGCTCTCTGTGCTGCTAACACACTGCAAGTCTAAAGAGTTATTAGTTTCTCCTAGGAATTAGGGCTGGGCGATATGGGAAAAAGTTTGTCACAATATATTTTTTTCATATCAGTCGATATAAAAAATGAAATTTAACAGTAGCATGTCTTTTGCAATACAATAAGCTACTGCATCTGTGAGGACTTTGTGTCTCTTCAACATTTTGTTAAAACGTGAGGCTAGAGAAAGCGGACTGAATGGTTTCGGCTGCTTAGGCGCCATGGGCTCATTGCTCTGCTCAGGGTTTGTAACCGTTTGCATTGCGCATGCTCTGCCCTGTGACACTGCTTCAGGTGGTGAAAAAGATTTAAGGTATACCCCAATTTTGTGAGAACATGTACTCAACATAATTTGCAGTGCACATTACCCTGCTTCATGTCCGACCTCAAAAACCCCCAACTCCACACCACCGACATTATCGTGCCAGTGTTGTTGACGATGTCATCATCTGTTGAGCCTTCATCTGCATTTCTGCTGTAGGTATCACTCATTTTCTTCTTTTCTCACTGACTGTGCTGCCGGCTTCACCTGTTAAAAGCGCTATGGTTGCGTTTAGCTGCAGCCTGCTACTACGAAGTTGTTTGCCACTTGGTTCTAATTCAACACATGATTGGCTCAGTGTAAGATGGACCCGGAGCAACTCTCCCTTTTCACCGTTTTTTCACACTATAAGGCGCACTTAAAATCCTTTTGGCTGGTCAGAGCACTGCAGCTACTGTAGCCTTGCGGAGTTATTGAATGAGTGAAATAAAGTTTGACTTATCTGACTGTTTTGTTTGGCTTAATGCGTTTTATAATCCGGTGCGCCATATTACCCGGTGTGCCTTATGTATGAAAATAGACGCGAATAGACGCGTTTGTTGATGTTGTGCCTTATAATCAGGTACGCCTTATAGTGCGAAAAATACGGTACTGGCTATTCGTATAGTCCACCAAAACATGGCAGAATGCAGACTATTGAAAAGCATATTGACCATGTTTTATATTGATATTGAGGGAAATTAATTTTCGATATTTATCATTGTTGTTTTATCGCCCAGCCCTACTAGGATTGAAAAATGCAAAGATGATGTGATTACACAATCCTGGGTTGTTTTAAAAACATTTGCTCAGGTTTGCAGTCTAATGTATTTATTCTGTGATCTTTGCTCGCACCAACTGTTGCTGCAGATTTTGGTGGTGTCTTTTTCTTAAATATTCTCAAATTGGACTGACTGACTTACGCTGAGCACCAGCGAGTTTCTGTAGCTGTTTCTGATCGGTGGAAGGGTACAAATGTTTTTCACTGTGGGTAAAAAAAATGTCTCAGCAGTTTGGATGCATTGAATGAGACAGTGCAGACTGTTCTTTCAGAACCATGGACAGATCAGATCATCTAGATCCAAGTAATAAACTTAATAAACGACAAAACACAAAGTGATGTTGATCATTGAAAGTAATCCGACTTTGTGTGCATAGCTTCTTCCTGGTATGCCGGAGTCACTCACACAGAGTATGTTGTGATACCAGTTAACAATTTGAGTAACTACAGGTTTCCTTGTGAAGGACTGATGGTGGTTTTCACGCTGCACTGCCACCATCTGTCGGGGCCTCTTGTTTTGCTTGTTTTGTTTCTGTCTTGAACACTTTTGAGAATCTTTTCACAGAAACAAACATGCTCTCTGTTACTCTACGACAGGTTTTCTCTCTCAGAACAACTGAAGGACTTGTTTTAATAATTTATCCCAACACTTCACACAACACAGTGTGCACATTTAAGCCCCATTAAATCACCATCAGTTATTCAACAATACAATGAATGTTTAATGACGTTAGGTCTTGGTTGAAGGAGCCTTGTTGTTTAATACTGTTTGATTAAGCACCATTGCTTCAGATGTAGTAGGTGGCCCTGAAGATGGATAAATCTTGCATCTCTTTCCCATCACCTTGTTATATTTGAATTTTCACTTCTCTAAAGAAAAAGATCACTATGATTTTCTGAATGGATGCTCTGATATTGAAGTTAAGTTATTCACGGCTAATAATACTTCAAAGCAAAAGGACCACAAGCTAGGCTTAAGCTCATACATATAAGAGGATTTATAAAGACAGGTGGAAAAGTTAATATTTCATTACCTGAATTTCAACTCTCAACTGGAAACACTGCTGCTACTCTTTTTACTCTGTACAAACGTCTTATCATTGAAGACATTTTCGTCTTAGGCGGCTGGTGAACCTTTTTTAAATATCTGCATTCAAATCAGCTCCTGTTAAGAATAATGTGAAGATGAAGAATGGTAAAGGAACCTAAACCTACTAAACCTACAATCAAGAGGAGCGCCTCGAGACACACTGTGATGACTCTTTTGTTTGATGTGCTGCATCAAATGAAGAGTTTCATACTGATGCAAATGATGCAAATGATCAACATATAACCGATTCATTCAGAACTCTTTGGATTTGCAATCCCCTTTTCCTCTAGCTGTTTTTACTGTTGTTCACCGTCTTTTCATTGTGAGTGAAATGAACTGAAATTAGATCTTCTCTTCTTGAAAACACTATCTTATGATCCACCATAGTACGCTCAAGGTGGCAGTAAAGATCTGAACCCTCTTGATTAAAAGCTGCTTAGTGAAACTGCTGAAATGATTTTGGATTTCCTCGTGAAGACAGGAGGAAAAGTGAAAACCCCCAACTGGGTTGAAAAAGTCCCAGCTCTGCTGCAGCTCTCAAACCAGGACACTCATCTGGTCTGATCCACTTTGGTGCTGCAGTGTGTCCATGCCCTTCACAGGCGACTGGTGTCTCTGTCCTGGGCTTCCTGAGAGTGCTTTGCATCGTGCATGGGTCTGTCAGTGTTTTCCCTCTCCACAAAAACATTGATTGTTTCATGGAAATGGCTTTTAGTTTTGGCATGTTAATGGTCATGTAGTGGTGACTGAGAGTCTTTTATCAGTTTATGAGTACGGTCACACCCTGCGGCACTAAATGTTTTATTTTTCTGTTGTGTATCATTGGTTTGTCATACAATGACATGTTTTATTTCACTCTGTGATGATGGCTGCCCTCATCTTTGTCTGCTTAAACCCTTGATGAAATGGGGATTTGTCTTAATCCACATTGCTTATGAGTTGATAAATTTTCCTATCATGGTTTTGTTAAAATGCCTTCCAACTCAAAACGCATTTATCTCACTGTGACATTTCCTGTGTCTATCCCTGAGCTAATCTGACGTCTCTTAAAGTTATACCATTGTCACACTTCCTCCTTTCTGCTTCCTTCCTTGGCTTCTCGGCCCCTGTCTGTCTTTACCAATTACTTCTTCTCTCCACCACCCATCTCTCTCTGTCTGTCTTCCTCACTCAGATCAGAGCCTCATGGTCGCGGAGGAGGCTCCCAGCCAGGCCAGGCAGACTCTCCGCTCCCGGAGCAGGACGAAGAGATCCTTGGCTCTGATGACGATGAGCAGGAGGATCCTAATGACTACTGCAGGGGTAGGATTTGCTAGAAATTGGACAAGACAACCCTGGAGTGTTTATTCAACTTCCACATGAATTAACTCTAACATACTCAAACCCCAAATGTCTTAAGCTAAACAGCATTAGTCATGCGCATGTATTTGTCTTTGCACAGGTGGATATCACCATGTCAAGATTGGAGATCTGTTCAATGGGAGATACCATGTGATACGTAAACTGGGTTGGGGGCACTTCTCCACTGTGTGGCTGGCCTGGGACATTCAGTACGTCGACGTCTGAACTTAACTGTGTGACATTCAGTCAGTGATGCACAGATTTACAGGTTTTGCAAAGCCATAGCTGCTGTTACGTGCCAGTGAAGCATGATTCTTAATGCTGTGATCCCTCTAAAAAAGAAGGTTCAGGATCTTTGACTGTAGCAAAGCAAATTCTGAGGATAAATGCCCTCAAATATTTGATGATAATGTGACAATTATTTAGGGGGAAAAAAATCAAAGGCAATTCCTCCCCTCTCTGTTGAGTTAATCCACAGTTTTTCTGTAAATCTCGTTTTTAGGGAGAAGCGTTTTGTGGCCATGAAGGTTGTGAAGAGCGCTGAACATTACACAGAGACAGCTCTAGATGAGATCAAGCTGCTCAAATCTGTAAGACACCATTCTTCATGACACATGCTTTCATATCCGCTCAAGCTCAAGATAAGACAGTGCTTGCCTCTGTCATAACCCTGCTTACGTGTTTTTGGTTGTGTTTTTCTTTGTGTGTATGTTCCAGGTGAGAAACACAGATCCCAACGACCCAAACAGAGAGAGAGTGGTGCAGCTTCTAGATGACTTCAAAATTTCTGGCATGAATGGCACTCGTATCCTTTGTTCAGAAAAAAAAAAGACTTTTTCTCTATTTTTTATTTGTATTTTTTTAACATTTTACAGAATTTCTCAAATGAACAGCAGCAATCGTCTTTGAAATTATGCATCCTGACCGGTATTTGATATCGCCAAATGAAAGTAAAATTGTAAATTGTTCCCTGGAGCTGCCTCAGTGAGAGAAGGAAAGGACACAATGCAGCAGCAGCAGCAACAACAACGACAAAAATGCTTGGATTCTTTCCATTTTCTCTCCACTGCTGTTGCTTTCTCGTTGTGATGGCTTTGACGTGCTGCTTTCATTCATTCTTGGCCAAATAGCTACTTTAGTGTTGAATGTCAGAGGGTTAGACTGTGTTGCCCAAGGCATGACATTAATCAAGATCATCCTTATTATTGTGCTTCAAGGCCACATTGTGTTCATGAACACAAATCTACTACCATTACTAGTCTGAATGTAAACAACATTAACAAGATACAATGTACCAGCCATTTGGCAGTCTCAAGTCACTTTATTTTACCTCCAAATTCACACCCACAACTGCTCTTAGTGGTTCATATGTAATTTTTTAAATGTTTTCCTCGCTGCTGATTCAGGCACATTTTGAAGTGTCGCAGTCCCAGACTATCCACTTCGGTGCTGCATGTTTTGAAAACATGCCCAGACTTCCTCGAGTGAATCAAGTTAACTTTGTGAGCTTTATTGCCAGACTGTTCACAGTGATGAGAGTACATTTTTAGGACTGCCGAGATGTCCAAGGTAGTTGTGAAATCCAAGTGGTATGAGGTGTAAAAAGTCTAAATGTGTTTATTTTGTTTCTTTCTGACAGTTTCTGTAAGTGTCAAACTCGACTGCAGTGGAACAAAGGAATATTTCTCAATTGTCAAAGCTGAGACTTTTTTTTTAAGTTTTATATCAGCTGTGGAAACAACCTTCGTGTACATTCCCCCACAGCAAAGATTCACAGTGACTGTTAAAAGATGGCAGGTTAAGATTTTTCATAAAAAAATGTCTCACATGTGTACAAAACATGTTTGACAAAAGTGATGAGGGATGATGTTTGGTGGACTGGGGGTGTTCAAATCAACACAAATAGAAGCAGCTTTGTTTGGTGACATTGTACTCTCTGAAATATTCAAGTCAATAAGATGTCGTCTTTTGTTAGTCCTTGACCCTGTCTGCCTGCAGATGTTTGCATGGTATTCGAGGTGCTGGGATATCACCTCCTAAAGTGGATCATCAAGTCAAATTATCAAGGCCTGCCTCTACCCTGTGTCAAAAGCATCATACAACAGGTACTTCAAATGATTTCTCTTTAAACGTCACTGTTAATGTGGTACTTACTATTTACACACTGTGATTTATACAGTGGACAAATAGCAGGGTGGCCTTTGACTTGAAATTTTCTGCACCACAGGTCCTCCAGGGTTTAGACTACCTCCACACCAAATGCAAGATCATCCACACAGACATCAAACCCGAGAACATTCTGCTGACCGTCAACGAGCCCTACATCAAGAAAATGGCTGTAGAAGCGACTCAGTGGCAGAAGTCTGGTACTGCTCCTCCCTCAGGCTCTGCAGGTCACTACCTTTCCTTCCCTCAGCACTACGCTCAGCATCTTGTACTGATTGATTGACATGTTGCTCACATCAGTTTAGCCCACGCGTTCAGTGTTGTTCTTAAATGTCCCCAGTTGTTGGTTCACAATATAAATGAGATGATATCAGTAAATGCTGTGATTAACACCACCAAATGATTTCACTTCATGTTTTTAACTAAGGATCGACCAATATTCGGCATGGCAGATAATGTTGGCTGATATTCAGCATTTTTACAATAATCGGCATTGGCCTTTTTTCCACAGATAGCCGATAAAATATGTTTATTTTAAAAAGCGCTCACTCGGCTCTTACACAGCTGCCTCTCTCTGTCTGAAGTCACCACTCTTGGCTGTGTAAAAATGTCGCGCCTACAGTCCCCATTGATTGGCTACACAGACAGCCAATCAATACTCAAGCTTCTAGGTGCAGCTCCACAGTGAGTGAGAGAGAGAGAGAGAGGAGAGTCCTACATGAAGCAGCGGTATCCTGTTCCTTTCACTGATGTGTATTAACACCGTAGAACTAAAAGCTCGATAAACAAAATAAAAGCCGACATCAACTGTTGTAATCATTACAGAAATAGCATTTGATAGCACTGAAGCCAATACAGATTATTTTAGCCTGCTTCCCTGCCAATGGCAGTCATTCCAGAGAGGCGATCTTTACAGTTAAATATAAGATCTTTCAACTTTCAACTTACACTCCCGCAGTTATAACTAACACCATGAAACATGGAGAAATTAAACAAAAGAAACATACTAGCAGGTAACACCACCGCCAGTGCTGCTCCCCGGTCTCTGTAAAGCATAGACTGTATATAGAGTGGACACCGTCTGCCTCCTCGCTGGGTGAAGCCACTCCAAGAACAGCACCCTCTGGTGACGGGCTGCAGTATAGGTCATAAATCCCGCCTCTGCCAGCAAAGCTTATGGGGCTGTGGACAAACTTTAGAAATTTATTACACAGAATATAAAATTTTCTCCCCCCCTGCTTGTGCTTCTGTGAAGCTCCGCTTTTAAAAAGTTATTAGGGGGTTCATGTTTTCTATGATTTGATACAGCCTATTGGCGTTCAGGGATTGCGTAGCTCACCCGGGGGATACGCTGTTTGAGCTGAGCGTCATCACAGCGACTCTCGGCGACTCTCCCGCTGAATGTGCACAACGCTACTGCGCAATGCTGGTTTCAGGAAATGAAGAAAAATCGTGGAAATACCGAGAGCTTTTTGGCTTCAAATCCGTATACAGGCGGGAGGCGGAACCAAGTTGTCCGTAGTATATACAGTCTGTGCTGTAAAGTGTACGGAGCTAGCCTGCGCTACTTACAATTCTTTTCTCATTTCAAAGTAAAAGCATGTGTTTCAAATTAAGACCAAAATATACACTTTTACTGCAAATAAATATCAGTTCAAAAAATCAGTTGGTGGTTTCCTTGATTACTAACAATTGGTATTGGCCCAAAAAAGCTATTTTTTAAAATTGTGATATTGAGAGGCACAAACCACCCTTAGATCAGGAATTTATACATTTTCAAGATCTACAATCACATTTACACATTTTCCATATTTTCTAGTACTGCAGCTATAATCCCTGTGCGTGTGATGGTAGCCTTCTGAGATTTAAGGGGTTTGACTTCGAAGCACGTGAAGGTTTCTGAAAAAAGAGGAGCACTTAGCTTGTGCCAGTATGAGCCACTTCTGTATTGGTTATGGAAATTACTATCAAGCTCAAAGGAGTGTGTGACCCCTGCCGCGCTGAGTGCTGCAGCAGAGACGGTCTATTAGTGCAGCTTGCATTGGATCAACCTTAGCACCCTCTCAGAATACTAATTAGAGAAGCAAAGCATATGCCACACATGCTGTCTGTTAATTGAATCCTCTGATTTTTTCTGTTTATTTTTTTTTACAGTGAGCACAGCCCCACAGCCCAAACCAGTAAGTTGTTTTTTAAAAGTAGATCAAGCCATGTGAAGACACTGTGCAGAAATATTTAGAGTAAAGTTTGACAACAACAGACGATACAAATCAACGGTCTTTTCTCTTCCCTTGTTTTAACTATGAAGATGGCCAAAATGTCGAAAAACAAGAAGAAGAAGATGAAGAAGAAGCAAAAGAAGCAAGCAGAGATGCTTGAGAAGAGGATACAGGAGATAGAGGGAGGGGCAGCACCTGAAGGAGAAGAGGAGGATGAAGAGGAGACAACGACAACAGAAACGACCGAAGATACCACGTCAACAGCCACCATTACGATGTCGGCCACGCTGCAAGACATCGCCAGCCATACGATTACAGGTGAAAGATCAGTCTGATCATTTATTGACCGGAAGGACTATTGATACCTGCTCAAGACAAAACCTAAAAAGATCCAGTCTGTCTGAATATAGGCCACAGAATAATTCGAGTTTAACTGTACATAAATACAAGCACAATGTTGAAGAACAGGTATGAGGTACAGATACCAAATCAGTGTCTCCAATATGTCAACTCTATTTTAGTTTGCCATGCTACAGTGAATTTTTCTAGCTTAACTTATACCTGCTAGCATAAAAAAGTCCTATATATCTGAAGTGCAATAAACAGAGTTGAAGAACCTACAGTCTGCTTCTCCACAGACTCACCTCCTGATGAGCAGCCCCTGCAGATAACCGAGCTGAATGAAAATACAGAAACCGTGGTTGAGGAGAATAAGATGGAGGTGAATTGCAACGGCTGCTCCTCCACACCTGAGAGTGAAACAAGTCCAGAGGAACCAGAGACCAAGCAGTCAACAGAGGAGCAGGAGGACCAACAGAATGCCAACCAACCTGACACTACTACCACAGATACCCAGCACACATTAAGTAACCCAGACGAGCATCCAACCTGTAACGGTGCACCAGAGAGCCCTGACACCAACCTGCAGCAGCTACCGGAGTCTCTTTGCCCTGAATCTGTCAGTATAGAGCTGAAAGAGGGAGACAAGGAGGAGAAGAAGGAGGAGGAGATGGACACACAAGGGGAGACCAAAAAAGAGGATGAAGAAGAAGATGGTAAGTTCAAGATGAGCTGAAATCATGCAGTGTTTCCAACCAATACCAACGTGTGCTGCCAAAACATATCTGCCAACAGTTCTTAATTTTTCAGTGTTCACGAGTCACACCAGATTAGTATTTTAGGTGATCACTTGTTGCCCTCCTCCTTTTGCTTCTGATCACATGCAGCACCTGACACATGCTCTGCCAAAGCACAGAGATCGTAGAACTGTCTGTAGTGCGCATTGTATCCCTAACGTGTCTGAATAAATTTCTTGCCCTCTCAAATCAAAATTTAAAAAGTTAAGAGAAGACCTTAAATTTAGCACCTGACACATGCTCCGCAGGTGATCAGAGAAACTCTTTTACTCCTTTTAATGCAGTTGTTTTGGTGTGATTGCTTTGGTGCATTTTTCATCAGGTGATACATTTTTTAATTTCATACTCTTGCAACAATCTGGTTGCCAGCATAAGGTGAATGATAGCATCTGGGAACAAACAATCTAGTCTGAACTGGAGTTAGATTTAGGATGTACGATTAGGGGCGTGCGATCTGATGAACTTAGATCGTGAAGAATTAAAAAGTGATGATGATCTGCCAAAGCACAGAGATCGTAGAACTGTCTGTAGTGTGCATTGTATCCCTAACGTGTCTAAATAAATTTCTTGCCCTCTTAAATCAAAATTTTAAACGTTAAGAGAGCACATTTTAATTTACCCACAGAATTAATGTGTTACACGTTAATAAAGTAACTGCAGTAGCTGAAAAAGCCGCAGAAAAAAGGACAAAATACAGAATCCGCTGTCCCTCTGCTCTGCGTGTGAATTATCACAGACTCACTCACTCAAACACACCCCTCCCCCTCGGTCCTCAGTAAACATCCAATCACTAGCCAGACTATGGTGCCAGGTTTCAGCACAGAATGGTAAGATTAAAAAGAGGCAGCAGAGCTTTGCCAAATTTGTCTTAGTGACTTGTGAGATAATCAATAATAAACAAAAACAAGTAATGTTAAATATAACAGTAGAGTGGAGAGGAAAAGAGAGAGGGATGAGCGGAATAAGAGAGGAGTGGAGAGTGAGGTGATTTTTGAGCTGTTTAGTTTTGACCAAAAACAAAAGAACCAGCCGAAAAAGAGAGAAAAAGAAAATCGTGATAAATTCATGATCATGATTTTACAAAAAAAAAAAAATCTCTTATGAAAATGTTTTCCATATTGCCCACCCCTATGCACAACAATGCAACTTGCATTTAAGTCAGAAAATACAGCTGTTGCATTTGAAAGAGAAGTATGGGCTGTACTGGAGTCATGAACATGAGGTAGTGAGCTGGCTATCAGAAAAAAGATCATCTATACAGATCATTGCGCCATACTACAAACAACCTCAACTGAACAGATACCTACAGGTGTCTCTGGACTGCATCATATTATAGACCTATCACTGCAGGACTCCTTTCTATCATTCAGGAATTTTAGATATTGGATGTTATCCTGGGAATGTAATGCTGCCTCTCAGGAGAAGCTACAGCTGTCATGAGTTCTCTGTGATTTTACATGTTCTTTCCTCTCAGATATCTTGCTGTAGTTCTTCCCTCTGCTCTTCTCCCTTAAACTCTTCTCCTCTCCTTTCATTATCAGGAGCAGCAGGCAGTTTGTTAGTAAACCCCCTGGAGCCTATCAACGCCGACAAGCTGCAGGTGAAGATCGCTGACCTTGGAAATGCCTGCTGGGTGGTGAGTGCACATCGACTTTTGCATTTTTTGGTATTTCAATGAAGGGATCCTGCTGGGACCTTGAAAGTTTAGTCCTGTATTTTTAAATCAGACATCTCTTTGAAACCTCCCTTCTGGCTGTGACGCATCTTTCTCTCTATTTTCTTTTTTTTTTTACAGCACAAACATTTCACAGATGACATCCAGACCCGGCAGTATAGATCTCTAGAGGTGCTGATGGGAGCCGGCTACAGCACACCAGCAGATATCTGGAGCACAGCCTGCATGGTAAAACAAACACACAGCCACTGTAACTAAGAGTCTCTGTACAGCATACATGAAAATTGTGGATGTAAATAAAGAAATGCTGTCATTAACACTGTGAAAGTATTCAAACAACTGAAGTAAATCTGTCAAGTTTTATCGTTGATTTGTGACACCATGAAACATTTGCAAAACCCATCAGAGGGGATTTCGCTGGCAAACTTTATCCTTTGGTTGATCTCCTTTGGTAGAACTGCAGGATCTGACATGAAATATATAAAACATTTTTAAAGTAAAGTCTTTTGTTCTCTAAACTAAACCTCACTGGTTGTACCGGTATTGTCATTAATTAATCTAATCCATATTACTGAGTGTTTTTTTTTTTTTTTTCTCAGGCTTTTGAGCTGGCTACTGGAGATTATCTGTTTGAACCCCACTCTGGAGAAGACTACTCCAGAGATGAAGGTCAGTCCCTGCTTCCTCCAGGATATCTGTACCCAAACATCAGACTTGAGGCTTTGACTGGGGGGTTCAACTGAAAGAGTGGACACACATTAGTCTTTTACTACTGAAAGTCCCACGCCAATCTTTTTTTTTTTTTACTACTTGAAGTGTTCTCAGTGGTCTTTAAATTGTGATTATGAAGTTTTTACCAAAAATCACGTTACCTGTCATTTTCAAGGGCTTTTCTTCTGCAGAGCTCCGGTAGATCATTAGTAATTTGCCTCTAAGTCGTGGATTGAGACAGCGCTGCTCTGCACACTCATCTACACGAGTTATAACTATACAGCCTAACGTTGCCGGTGTAGTAGAAGTATTTCTGTATTTCTCCTCTATATGCAGAGTGTGGCCTGCATAGTCGGGCTCTGGGGGCGGAGCTTGGATTTGTGACATAGGAAATCTCACTGTTTCTGAACCTGCCATTTGGGTCGGTCAGAGATTCACAACGATTTGAATGACGAAATGCTCAGAAAATCAATCTCGCATTTAGTTTTCTCATGATATGTCCAGTAGCATCAGAAAAATGCCATATGAACATATAAAAAACGAGAAAAACGTGATTTTCATTGGAGTGGGTCTTTAAGTGTATTCAATGACTGTGCTTTTTTCCTCCCTGTAGATCACATAGCGCTGATCATAGAGCTGCTGGGTAAAGTCCCTCGGAAGCTGATCTTGGCGGGCAAATACTCCAAGGAGTTTTTCACCAAGAAAGGTAAACAGCCCTCCATCAGCTGCATGGTGTAGTTTCATCCAGTTCAGTCTTATAATACATTCTGGTGCTAAAGTAAATATTCCAGACTGAGCACCAGGAGGCTCCAGGGAACGGCCATCTGCTTCATTTGAGGACAGCACTTTTTAATTTAATGAAGCTATTTACAGTTCACAGCCGTGGTGCAGTAAATGAATTGTAATTTGTTAACTACAACATTTGTAAACGAGCTTTAAAAAAATGCAGCTTTATGTATCATTATTATTTTATCTTCATTAAAACACACCAATGTAAAATGAAATCTAACATTATCTACCAGGCGACCTGCGTCACATCACCAAGCTGAAGCCGTGGGGTTTGTTTGACGTGTTGATGGAAAAATACGAGTGGTCCAAAGATGAGGCGCACAACTTCAGTACCTTCCTGCTTCCCATGCTGGACCTGGTGCCTGAGAGGAGGGCCACTGCGGCCCAGTGCCTCTCCCATCCGTGGCTCACGTCCTAGAAGCCAAAAACATCTCTGCCTCCTCTGTGAAAGCCTCCACTCTTACATTGTGAAAGGATATTTAAGTCTCAAAGATCCCTGGCTTCAAGACATCCTGTACACAAACATTCATGTCTGCAAGACCCTAAGACTGCATTGTGCACTGTGCCTGCACCCTTTTGTCATGGCCCTTAGAGGCTACCTACACACACATTTTCATGAACATAATACAAAGTTGTTTGGATTACACTGGTGATAAGAGGAACTCTTGGGCTCCTTCCTGTATTTATGAATTTATTTTTACCGGCTGCTTAGGTCTTACTTACTGACTCTTTTGCTTTTCTGCCTCTAGGTCTTTCTCTTAAGTACGATCATTTTTTTGTTACACATACAAGGGAATTGCACTTTGCTGCAAATGCAGAAGGCAGGATGTTGAGCAGGAGTTAAAGATTGCCATCAAACCAATTCATTTTAAGTGTAGGTCATGAATGTGCTAACCTGTCTCTGTTGCTGTTCAAGCGAGATGATTTCTGCCTTTTGCTGTCAAATATGTGCACACTGCTCAGAATTGATAGCTGCATAATGCTAATGGGCATGATGAGCGACTATTAATGGTTTTAGCACTATTAGCCTAGCTTAACCTAAAAATAAAAACCTTTATACATTTGTACACAGCCAAACCTCATGATTACAATTTATAAATGCCACTTGAAGGGAAATCACAAAAACCCTGTTCTTCAGAGTCATATGTTTTTAAGTTCCAGCATTTCTTGATATCAACTTCAAAAAGCACTTGCCACAATAAGTTGTGTAAAAAAAACTTGTGCTGAATTTTGGGATGCAGCAGGAGATACCTGTGTGCTGTTTCTTAACTGGGTTGCATTTTCCCCACTATTGTCATTTTCTACTTTTATCTAAAATTCCAAAGGAAAGTTCAGTGTACCAAGAGTTTGCCTTTAGTGCCCCTAACCCATCTAGAGAGAAAACTGTGAGTGTTTTTCTTTACACTTTGAAGATTCAGGAAGAATGTTGAAGGTGGTTCCCATCTGTGTGTGTCTTTGAGCTCTATTTCACTGCACATGGTGGTGTATCTGGAAGTAATAGATTGTACTTTAAAGGAATGCTGTAACAATGCTTCAGAATCCCTGAAAAAAAATCATTTTGCTTAATTTTCTACAGTCTCCTCTTCTCCTGTTCATGTCTCCCCTCTTCATTTGTCATTTTCATAGGCAATAAGAATAAATTTTGTTCAAAACATTGACACTATTTTCATCTTGAGTCACCTCTAGTGTTTCAGTTCCGCACACATATGAATCTGTGCTTATAAAAATGATTTTTGTTATGTCTAATAATGAACCCCTGTTTTTTTCTTTTTTATAAAGACAAAAAATACTGTTGGTTAAAAACATCTTTATTTACACATCTTATTTCAAAAACATCAGGAACAAACTGCTCTGTATTGATTCTTTCTAATAACTGTCATCACTGGCAGTTCATTCACTCTTTTCGGTCCAAAATGCAGATGCAGTTATCTAATCAAGGACTCTTGAGTTTGAGATGGCAGTTCAAAGCAGCTCTATGTGTTTTAAAGTCTGCTGAAGCATTACAATCTCCGAGAGACTGAATGAGCCTCTTTTGGAAGGTTATTTTTAGATTGCAATTAACCAGCTCGAAGTATTTGAAGCACCTAAGTCAGTGGTATTCCTGGTGAGGTCTTGTCAGTTCAGTCCTCTCCTATCCACAGGGAGCCTAAGCGTTATCTGTAGGAATAGGAAAAAATAAACAAGTATAATTATTAGTTAAGAGCATCTTTTCTACAAAAGTCTGTGGTGCTTTGTTGTCTGCAAACATACACGCAGTGAAAGAATGATGTTGTATAGAGGTAATGCTTATTTTGGCATTTGGTGCAACTGTTAGTATTGGAAAAATCTAATTATTGGCTTGGTGCAAAGGTCATGGGTAATTGTATGAAATGTCATAGCCCGGCTGCTCAAAAGGTTTCACTTGAATGGGAATGAACCATATTTGGAAAACCCCTTTTTTTCACTAGGATCAGCTAATTCATTTTACTCTTATCCTGTAATTTCAAAGGTAACCTAAGCTAGATGCAGACTTGATAAGATGATGTAATTCAAATGACCAATGCTCTTAATGGGATTTATTGTACAAACTCTGTCCTAATGGGGTGCCAAGAGTAGCTTTCAAATGAGTATTTATTTTTCAAACAGTTTTTGCTGAAGTTTTGTATTTCATCACAACCTTTAAGTCTCCCTTATCTACTATCTCATCAAAGTTTTAAGAAAGGGTCCCAAGTATCCTTATTATTATAAAAATAGTTGTTTTGTTGGACATGCTTCTGATATTTATTACTATTTGTTCATGAACCATCCTACTTTAAAGTTTCATACAATCAAGACAAGTTTTGTTATGTATGAATATGTAAATGAGGCAATATCTAATTAAATATGCACTAATTTGTTACTGGGTTAGGGTTAAAATCACATAAATTTTGACATTTTTCCTATTTTTTTGTACCAATTGACTCCCAATGGTCTGACACATGTTTCTTAAAAGGTCCTGGACAGTAATTTTAACCCCAACCCTTAACCCTAACCAAAATACTACAACATTAGCCCAACGTAACCCTAACACTTGAAAAAAATTGACATTTTTCCTACTTTTTTTATATCAATTGACCCCAAATGGTCAGAAACGTGCTCCTTGAAAGGTCCTGGACAGTGATTTTAACCCTAACCCAATAACAAATGGGTGTATATTTTATTAGATATTGCTTCATTTACATATGCATACATAACATTCGACAAAACTTGTAATACAAAAAATATTTTTCTTGATCTAAGTTATAAACTTGGAAAGTTTCATGGTGATATCTATTAGAGAAAAAATTTACCTTATTCACCTGGGGTGTCTCCCCTGGGCTTCCTACCCATCATGAACGCCATCTTGAAAATGACACCTTTCTAGTGGTCAAACTTTGGTAAACTTTTAGTATGTTATTAAGAACATCTAAAACTATAAAAAACTGCATAGAAACCTTTTGTTAGAATTTTTTTTAGGGTTAGGTGTTTTTTTTTATATATATATATGCACCCGCCTATCTTGAGAGCAAGAATGAATGGCTATCCATATTTCATCTTAAATAACAAATATTGATCCAATTGTGGAACAACTGGGGGGTAAGGATAACAAAATAGATTCCTCCCCTGGAAGCCATGAATATCTGTAAAATATAATTATTTCTTGAAAGTTCATTCAGTATTTGTCTTGATAGTTCAGTCTGGATCAAAGTGGTGGACTGAATCTTTTTATTTTCTCCAGTTAATCCTTTTATTTATTTATTTTCAGATTTTTCTCCTCCCATCCCACCCTATCATTTTTTCCCTCCTTCCTTCCCTCTCTTACCTTTCCCCTCCACCTGGAAGTCCTCAGGTAGCAGCTTGTCTTGCCGGCTGCCCAGACTGAAGGCCAGGAAGGAAAGGATAAGTGAGTCCATGATGCTGATGATGGCCAGGATGTAGGCCCAGCGCACTGTGCAGTTGCCCAGGGTGTATTTGTCAGTCCGCTGGCCGCACATGCGCTTCACCTCGTCTGAGTCCCACCCGTCAGGGTAAATCATACAGCCGATCACCATGCAAGTACCTGACAGAGGGGAAGGGGCTGACTGAGAATTTCAACATGGACAATCTGTGAACTTCATAGATACGTGCTTTTTATACAATGACAGCTGAGGTAATATTAAAAAGTGCTTTGCTGCTCTTGTGGTGCAATATCACAGGCCAGTTCCCTCGCCTTTGCAACTGCAACAATAAACAACGAGATGGAGAAGTCACAAGAGAAATCTAACACATCCTTTCTGCTTTTCAGGTACACACACACACACACACACACGCGCTCAAGGGTTGCTTAGCAACAGCAGAGCATCCAGAAAGATTAACTTATTCATGCATTATTGATTTTAGACAGAAAGCTTCATCAGCATGTGAAGACCTCTGAACTATCAGGTGACCAGAAGAAACATAAGCTTACAGGCTAAGTCACCCACTTTCACTTTCTATGCCTTTATAACCTGCTAACCTTTATATCGTTCTCACTTTCGAGTTGCTTCATTCTTCAAAGAGATTTTTAAACTCCAGCTTCTCTTAATTGCACACCAGGCACTTAAATGTGACATCGCCCAAAAATAGGACTATATTATCAACCCTTCAAAGCTAACATCAACTTTATTTAACTGAGACAGAGTATTTTAACAAAGTGGAGTATTCCCTCTTTAAAAAAGGGTTTTGTTGCTGTAAAGACCTACATTAAAGGGTCCTTTTGAGCTCAGTACTAAACTTGGTGTTGTCGTAAAAAGGGACACAATGGTAATTAAAAGCTTAACATCTGATACCAGGTCTCAGGACTCTTGGAAATACAGATTAAACATGTGAGGCAAAGTAGAGCATTTTGGTGTAACATTTGTAGACGGACAAAGACATCTGTATGGGCCCAAGTTCAAGGATGACTTTCAGTGCCAGTGTTTTCATACCAGCATATCACTTTCCTTTCACACACAAATGAAACCTGAATCTGTTTTGAAACCTGAAGCTGCTTCAGAACAGATGTAGCTGCCAGTGAAAGGATGACGGTGTGCCGTTACACTTTCTCCCCTCATTCCTCATGCCCCTAACACCTTCAGCCAGTGTGTGTGCTTAAATTAATAGTAGGTGTCATTTTGTATTACACACATACAGTCATTGCAGGGCATTGCATCCATCTCAGATGACTTTTTTTTTTAATAAGGAAACTTGATTGTTTTACTAACAGATTTCCACATAGGATTAAAAGCTGATCTGACTGGTTTTACCATTTCAAAACTTACATTTGTTAGAGGCAGGATTTGGCATTGTGATAAAGGTTAGGTGTGGTGTATGATTGCCCCTACATTAAGTTATATATGATGGGTATACATACATGATAATAAGATATAGCATATCCTGACATCTACCTTTAACTTGGGAAAATTTAGTTCATATTAATCTGTTTTGTAGGTAGTCTATTTTGAAATTGCTTTATGGAGTATATGTTAAAGATTCGTAAAATACGTAAAACTGTAGGATTAAGATAAAATAAGATAAGAACTTTATTAATCCCCGAAGGGAAATTCAATTGTCTGTTGTCTCACATAATAATAATCACTTGCACAGCAACAAACTTGTGTCACCCTGAAGCTCACAAGAGGCCAGCTGCATCCAGGCGCAGATCTTGTAGACACTGCCAGCGTTGCAGAAAAAGAAGAGGCTGAAGCAGACGATGCTGCCCACCACCAGCAACATGGAGATCCCGACGAAGAACATAGCCGTCTTGAAAGCCCCTGATGGGATGGAGCCGAAGTCCAGGGCACTACCTTTGCAGGTGAGCTCTGAAGTGAGTGCGTTCCCGATGCAGTAATGAAAGAGGCCGAAGTATCCAGCCTGCGGGGTATGTACACTGTCCCCGATCCAGTAGGGCTGGATGAAGACCACCACAGTAATGACAGCAAATGTGATGGTGAAAACCTGCCACAGCACACCCACAGCCCGGGCGTTACGCACATAGTTGGTGTGGTAGATTTTGGCAGCCTCCTGAGCCGGGAGCATGGTGGGAGAGAGCCTCTAAAATTATCAGCAGGATAAAAAAAAAAAAAAAACTTCTTTTCGATTCTTTCATAAGCAGGTAACAGCTTTAAATTTCCTGGTCCAAAACGTCTGCTGACAAAGAGCAAATTATCCTAAATTTCTTAATCCAAAACTGAAGTCATATTTTTCTTCCTCCAACCCTAACCTGTCCTGTCTGGTTATTTCTGCCCTCTGGATCAGCAGGCAGTGTTTCCTCTCAGGGGAGGCTGAGGTCTCCACATTATAAATGATTAATGGTCAAAAGAGCCAAAACGCCACCAGCATCTTCAGGTGGCAGGCTTGCTTTCCTCTTTTCACTTTCAAGTCTGATCACTTTCATTATATTTCAGGATGTTCTCTATCCTCTCATGTCTCAGAGAGAACAGCATTAATATAGCAACAATGACAGCCCAGACCTTCGGGGTTTAAGCCCAATGTAAATAAATTACAAAGTGAAATTAATGGTACATATTTTCCAAAATGACTTAAGACTTTGAGATAACATTGACAGAGTTTTAGATTCCCCTCACCACCAACAGATTTCATCAAACAGGTCTGATGTGCCACAATTCCATGTGCTTTATACCTGTCGCAAATATCCTCCTGTCACTTTGGATCCAGTCACTTTCTCCTGCCTGCAGACTAGAGCTTAACCCTTCCTCCACAAGAACCCACCACCTGACCTCACTTGTTTCTAAGTAGTGTGGTCAGCCTTGCACCATCCATTCATCCATTTTCTACCACTCATTCCTGTTTCCGGGGACACAGGGGGGCTGGAGCCTATCCCAGCATCCTCAGGCAAAGGCAGGGGACACCCTGGACAAGTCACCAGGTCATCGCAGGGCTGACATATAGAGACGAACAACCATCCACACTCACACGTACGGGCAATTTGAAAGTGTCCAATTAACCTCACCCCACTTCTTGAGGTACTCAATTTGAAGAGGAAACTTGAGTACCTGGAGTAAACTCACGCAGACACAGGGAGAACATGCAAACTCACAGAAATGCCCTGACCCGGATTTGAACCTAGGATCTTCTTGCTGTGAGGCGACAGTGCTAACCACTACATCACTATGCCGCCCCAGCCTTGCACCAACATGACAAATTTACGAATTTCCTCTTTTTTTTTTTTGGTAAATATGCTTTAATGTAATACTGCCCCTTTGGACATCAAAGTTCTTGTATTGTAATGTATTTTTGCGTACAATAACATAGTTTAAATGACATTTTCCACTGTATTGCTAATTTGTGCACATGTACATTAAACCTAGGCCTCTCATTGCAGAGTAAATAATACTGTTCTATGTGGCTCAAGATTTGCTTGCATTTACTGAAACTGAATCAATGACTTAAGTCTGCTTTGTGGAGCATGAACCTGAGCCTTAGAGAATGTAGACGCTCTCTCTAGGACTGACTCACGTTCTTGCATGTGCTACAGATTAACACTAGATGGAGCTACTGAGCTGCTACATCAGATACACCAACTTATCTCAGTTAACTTCACTTGTCTGTAGTTTTATTTAAATGAGAAAAAATCTTCAGGCTTAAAGAAGTTGTGGTGATCTCTTACTGATTTCATTCTGGTTGTTTTCCAGCAACAAACTGAACCTCTTTCTATCTCTGTTATCAAAGTGTTTACACATTATTGGATTATTAGTGCTGCTGATTCATGTGTTAGCATTCTCTTGCAGCTGGCTGTGGGCGAATCATATCTGTAATGTTATGAGTTATGTCTTTGAAGGTGAGATTTTGATCTGCTTTACTGCTCAAATAAACGTAGATAACAAAACACGGTTTATACCCTTTGAGGTTCAGTGGCCTGTAAACCCATAAACTAGTGTATCATAGTTTTGGTTTCCTTCTCTTCTGTTGCTGTAGATAACCTTAATTTTCATTCAGTGTGGGTCTGGTGTCCTCTTTATGAGCTTCAGCAGCAGTTATTAAAAACAGCACATTATCTCTCATGCACCACACTTATCTCAGCAACATTAAATGATAATATTACAGAAAGTGCTGTGTGATTTGCATGTTTATGGGACTGTGTTTCAGTCACGTACATATGCTGCTGTTAAACTTGCAACAAAAGCTAAGTTGCAGAACAAAATCCATGTAAATACAATACAATCAATGAATTAATGTGCTGCAGGTCCTACAGCATTTAAAAATGTGTTTACAGTGCTGGCCCTCATGCTAATTTGTTGTTGCAAAGCGTGGATACGTGGCTTTAAAGAGGCCCATTCTCATGCTTAATGCAGAAATACTTGACCTTTCAGAAGCTTTAAGATCCTAACAGACCAACCATTTAACACACACTGCTCTGAGCTGTCTGCAGAAAGCTTTCTTAGGATCTGATTTTTAGTCTGGAGGTCAGACTGTTCCCTGAGACATACCTGTTTTTTTTATTAAATCTTTGTTTGGCCTTGTCTAGTTTTTTTTTTTTTTTAAAAACTGTTGTTCTGGTGCGTGTAATTGGTTGCTTTATAGATCTGCTGTAGTGTGTGTGCATGTATCTATGTGTCGTTGTGTGTCTATAAGTGTGGGCGGCGGCATGTCCATGCACTTAGCTTTATTAAGTGATACCGCCCCAGAGTGAGAGGGAGGCTGGTTATAATCAAGTTATTTATGAGAAGCAATCCAATTTTCCTCACAGAGAATGGAGTGATATTTCGCATGTGTGTGTGTGTGTTTGTTTATGATAGAGTGTGATAGTGTTTGTGAAAAGCCGATGAATTAGGACAAAGGTTGGAAGTTTATACTCTGCTTGTGCATGGGGGGGTTCTTTATAGGAGGTGTTTCGCTGTGTTTGTGTGTGGGAATGCCTAACTTACATGTAAATACTGAAAATGCATCACTTTGTCAAACATATTAGTCACAGCTTAAGGAGTAGGTACATTATGAAAATAAACTCTTTGGCTGAGATTAGTATGTTCACATACTGTGTATCAGTTTTAACCTCACTTTAGGTTTTTTCTACTCTGAGAGCCTCTCAGGGCACAAAGAAGCTTTTCTGCCATTTCAGCATCTCTTCCTGTCTTTTTTTGTCTGCCTCCTTTAGAGGCTGTTTCCATAGAAACGGGGCAGCAGATGAGACGGCTAGGTGACGGGGTAATCACACCAAAATAGAGACATTAAGGAATAAGCCAATTACCCAAATTTCATGCCAGTATGTTGGTAATATGAGTCAGTGAAAACTCGCATGCAGGCTCACTTGGATTGAACCATTCAAATCAAACTTTTTTTTAAAGCAGACGACCTTAATGAAGATGTAAAGAACGGCTTTTTTCTTCCCTAAATTAAAACATTTAAAAAGAGAAATTGTTCATTTTCACACTGCCAAATTGAAATGGGCAATATAAATAATAAGAATAATGTGTGCATGTATAAAAACAGATAAGAAACATTTGAATATTGAAAGTAGAGGACAGGGGTTAGGGTGAGGGGATCACCTTTCACAGATGGCCTCAATTAGGCTTTTGGAAGTGTGTGAATAAATGCATGCGATGGGGTTGGGGCCGGGGGCTGAGGAACAAGTATGCCTTGTTATCCCCCATCTCCTTCATCTCACTCACATATGCGCACACACACACACACACACACACACACACACACACACACACACACACACACACACACACACACACACACACACAAACACACACAAACACAGTCTGAAACTCATGTCCTGTGATGGAGCAGTAAATCAGTCAGAGTGTCACTACCTCTCTGAAACACCCTGAGGCTACAGCAGCAACGACGAGCCACCAGCCTCCAACCTCCGTCCCAGCCTCTGCACGGTCACAGCTCAGCAGGATGCATCAGAGCCCGGGTAGAGACGGAGCAAAGTGTGGGTCAGCCTGTGCCCCCGGGGTGAAAGCTGGAATGTAGGTCTGCTAAAGAGGGGATCATGATCATTTCTGCATTACTGATAACTCACTGCAATTCTGTCCTTTTGTGACTGATGATTTGTAGATTGATAAATAAACAATATACACACTCACAGACTCACTTGGTCCTTTAGTACAGTTTATTTCCTTCCCTAAATATTAAACTTCTGAGGCATAGAGGGATGATCATCTGGAAGATATATCAATGCAAAGACTCTTAATCTTCTCAAATTGCAGTAAAACTTATCGATACAGTGAGAAACTTTTGGTTCATGTCAATTTTGGCACAAAGAAGTCTTTGCTTTTCTTGTGCTGTACATGCTTGGGTAATGATTTTTGACATTTAACCTCATTCTGCTGATTTGTTACAGACAAATGTGTCGTCCATTGTAATTTTTTAAAACAAGGCTATTTCTTCAGCTACCCCGCTGACACCTACCCCCTCCCATCAAGCAACTAAATATTAGGACATAAAAATCTTCAATATTGTCACTGATGTTTTTTTTTTAATTATGAAAAGACATCAATATTATTTTTTATTCTATTTTATAAACATAAAAAAATCCTCAAAGGAGCTTTAAATATTTATTTTTCATTGTGTCAATTTTTGACTTTAGTATTTTAGTTGTAGTAAAGAATCGTTAATATATTTTCTACAGACCCTGTTCCATAAAAGTTGGAATGCTGTGTAAAAATGTGTAAAATGTTGAGTAAGCATAATCTGGAGGTTGGAAAAGTATTTAAACCCCAAATTAGATTGAAAATAGGGCAACAGCAACAAATCAAGTGTTGAAATATGTTACCTTTTTTGTAACTTGAGAAACATTTGAAAACATGGGTAGGTTATCCACAGGAGCACTGATTCCACTCCTTTTATGTCAATGAGGGAGGTAAAATTCAATATCAACACAAGACCTACACTACATCAGTGCAAAAACTTGGTTAGGCCAAGAGACGCTGTACAATATAAGCAAGGAAGCCCAGCTCTAGGACTGATGGACAAAGCGGCATCCTATAGGGAGTCGAGTAATGCCAAGAACTGGCAAGGACCAGTTTTATCCCGCTATGGCTGACACATAAATCCAAGCCTCATAAGTAGCTCATATGTCACACACATGCACACATAAAACATATACCACCAACCGTCTGCGCCATCACTCAGCAGCCACAGCCATGTATTCCTATAGCGTAGGAAATGGATTGAAACAACTGTACATAATTCAACTCTCTGATGTTTCATTTCTGTGTTGCACCCCTCTCTATGTTAAACGGTGAGTCTTTAAATATGTGTCGGCTTAATCCTGGCCAATTCAAACACTTTTGTTACGGTAAAGAATGGAGGATTACTTTATGGAGCTTCAAAGCTGAATATAGAAAACGCTTGTGAGGGATTATGGACACATCAAAGAATGAGGATGGAGAATACATTAGATTGCAGTCTCATCTTCAATCTCCACTTTTTCACTAAAATGAGCTGCCCAATGCATAGTGATGAACATCCACCGGTATTAAGTACATCTCACTTTCTGCTTGATGTAAAGGTCCGTTTGCGAATTTGTAGTGAAATCGTGGCAGCACGCCGTGTTTCACAGAGGATTATATTTGTTTCCTCATATTATTAGTTGCTCTAACACTATTTTCCACTGTGTATGGCAGTACAATATGTCTCATATCAAAATTAAATAACGGTATTTGAAAAATAGCTACAGACGGATCATGGTGAATTAAAGTCATGAGTCATTTTCTGTTTTCTCTTTTTAGGTCAGGATATAATCACATCTTGAAGGAACAGATGAGAAGAGGGACCATAAAGTATGATTCATGAAGCGTGTGTTTGTGTTAGCGTGTGTGTGTTGGAGAAAAAAAAAGCCAAATCCAAGCAGCAGAATTAATTTCTGACTTCACCATGACTGACGGAAGAGCCTGAGGGCAGCTGAAGTGATTGTATTTGAACTGCTCTTACGTAATTAGGCTGCTTTTTTGACTACATGCAGCCCTAAATAGATAGATAAAACTATTGCAATATTAAGATATTTTAAAGGTCTTAAAACCCACACAGTATGATTATGAAATGTGCCTTTCACATTTAAATTCTCTAAGGAGGAGGTAGCATACAGGGAAAGAACACAGAGAGGATTAAAAAGTGTAAACAGGCCTGGAGAGGAATGAAAAGGACTTAACACATGCTTAGGAAAACAGTGCTGCCTCATTATGTAACTGTGTGAGTTTGTTTTTAAGGCCACATAAAAGGTTAGCGTGTGTTTGGGTGTGCACCGCTTCTGTTTGTGTGTTTTGTTGTCCTACTTGGGGAAGCTGGTGGCTGGTTCCCAACAGATCTAGCAGGATTGTGGCTTTATCCTCATATTTGGATGTTAATCTTGTGTAGACTTCAGTGCTGCTGCCGGGGAACACAGTCTATGGCACTGACATCACCACCTGGCCCTCAGGACACCAACACATGCACACAAACACACATGGTTCAAATCATAAGCTCCTCTGTGCACGTAGAATGGGTTTATAGTTCATGCAGCGGGTGGCGGACTATGATTCATTACATAAAAGTGATTGTCTGCAGTGGGCAGGGACTATTTTCTTCATTCAGTGCAGTATTACTTTTGCTAACATTACACAGGTGATAGTGTCTGATAAGGTCACAGAAAATATCCAAAAAGCTACACGCACGAATATTCATATGTTACTGGAGAGTGAACTGGTTTGAACTAGAGTTTAAAGGGATATTCCGGCGTAAAATTTAATTTAGGGTCAAACACACCATAACACCAAGTTAGACACCCTCTCAAGAGATGAATGTTGCCGACTGCTTGCTTCTCTAGTTATATCTACTTTAGTAATGACCACACGATAGCAATACACAGCGGTCTGAAGAGCCATCAACAAACCTCAACCAAAAAGCCACTCTATAGCCACAAATAATGCTCAGAACAGCACCTGACTTCATCAACAGTACATATAGGGTGTCTTACTCAGTGTTACGGTGTGTTTGACCCTAAATTAATTTCATGCTGGAATATCCCTTTACAGCTGGGAAATGAATGCATCAAATTATGGGAAAAAAAACTTGCTGCAGTTCAGAAGTGATGTGACTGTCACTGGCAAACTGTTAATTTTGATCTCTTCGCATCATGAGTCATAGATGAGGAGAGGAGGATTTGGAGAAATTGGAGTTTTCCCCTCAAGTGTAGATTTGAATCCTGCCAGCTGAAACTCTGCCATGGACACTGAGCTGTAGAGACTCTCAACACTTTGCATATATCATTTATAGCAGCCAAACAGAACCCTGGGTTTATCAGCAGCTGTCAGAGGAAAACAAACTGGAGGGGAATTGAGGTCAAGATCCAGCATGACTGACAAGAAGACAATATGGACAACATAAAGAAAACCAAAACAAAAAATTGGTAAAAAGTGTCATGTCCGTTGAACTAAGTAAAAGGATCTTAATTTCCTCTTTTAAAGAATTGTGACTCAGTGAGAGAAGGAAGTGAGCAGAGTGTAACTTCCCATCCAAACCACAGCACGTCGTAACTTTATCTCCTGCCAGATCATAACTGTTTGCTCTATGAGTTTCGACCTTTGACCTCGAGGTGTTCACAGTAGTGTCCCCCCCCCTCCGTCATGGGAACTGGCCTCTTCTATTCATGGCGGTTTAACGTACTTCAGATGTGGCCGCGGGCTGTCGGTGTGTGTGCAACAGCAGCAGGTCTATAAACCTTGCAGTCGGCTGTAGGTGTGGCGTTAGGCGGGGCCATTAAGGCTCATTGTTCCCGTTGATTGGTTGTTGATGTTCAATGAGGGCGGGGTCAATTCAGCAGTTGGTCGAATCGCAAATCAATCAAATGCGATTATGGTGCATTCACGGACTACTGGTATTTTGTAAAATTGGCCCACAAAAATAAATAAATAAATAAATAAAAAAGCAGTAATGTTAGTAATAAGACGTTTTCTCTCAGGTTTATCTGTCAAAACTGTGGTGTGGTTAAGTGTACAAACAGTCGCTCAACTACTGAATTTCAAGCACACAAACAGTTGAAGGGTTCACTTTAGACCCACTCTATCTCTTACTATTCACCTAACTTAGCTGCCATTCTTTTTATTAGGCATTTTTACCCTTAATTTTGACAGTTAATTGATTTTTAAATAAATATTAAGATTTGTTGGCCATTATCTATGTTCTATTAATATTTTGATTCAAATAAGGGAAATCCATTCTAATTATATACTTGCATTAGCTTTAACTTAGAGGTTTTGAAAGTTTTGGCAAACTGTCCCTTGTGGACAAAACAGTCTTTTGTTATTTTTCCTATAAATGCCTCAGTTGTCAGTTGTCAATAGAGCTGAATCTACTAACTTTTGACTATCAAGGGTTTAATTTATGGAAAAAAATAAAAAATAAAAAAGGTGTAAAAAATATCAAATTGGGGCTGTCCAGCCGACACATACCCTCCATACCAGTTTCATACATTGTCCCCCTATTAAAATAATGGCCTAAGTCATTTTTTTAAATGAAAATTAGTTTTTGGCCTAAACCGTCTCTAAATCATCTCAAGAGATGATTTAGGCCAAAACCTCGTTTAAAAAAAAAAAAGATTTAGGCCATTATTTTAGTAGGGTGATGACATGAAAAAATTAGGGTAAAAAATCCCCCACCATGTTGCTGGTGGTCTTGTTTATATTTTGGATACCATCAAAATGCATCAAATGAATTTCAATCTATTTCACTGATGTTAAAAAAAAGAAAAGAAATGAAAAGAAAACTCTTTACAGGAGCTTTATCAATCTACAATTTTTATATCATGCAACTTCTGCGACAAAGTTCACATTATTCATTATACAGCTTGTTTCTTTTTTTCCCAGTCCAAATTTTCTGTGATCCATTAACCCGTAAATATCTTAGATTTCTTTATTGATTGGTTAGTTGATTGATTGATCGAAGAAGTTGTGCAGGTGCAATTGTTGAGTGTGGGGATACATGTTTTTATTTTTAGTAATTTTTATAAACTTATTCTTATTTGCCAGTGTACCTTACTACCACAACCCACTGTAGTACACCCAAGAAATTTGTTATTTTTCTGCGACACCAGCCCTTCCTATCGCCTTTCAATCAATAATTTCAAAATTTCCGACAGCCCCCGAATGCAGCACTACCCCTTGAGTTTACGGTCTCAGCGCCGCTCCAACGTGATCGCGTCTCCCTTAGAGAAGCGGAGTGGTTTGTGAGGAGCGCTCATATGCTTTACCCACACTTTCTTTTCACAGGATGTAGTGACAGAGACCGAGCGCGGACAGACAGACTGAAAAAAGCGGCTCAAACTCTGCGATGTGACAGACCCTGGTGGGCCAGAGATGACCGCCACAGCGGAGGAGAAGCAGAAAGGAGGAGTCCGGATGAGGCAGCTCACCGCGGGCAGGTCTTGACGGCTGCTCCCGCTGACCCGAGACTCCCTTCGCTGCTGCAGCACCCCACGGTTTACACAGTGAAGAACTCAACAAAGCCGTGATACGCTACTGCCCGTCTGTGAACCTTGAGAGAGATAATGGCGAGCCAGGGCGACTGCTGCGTGAAGGTTGCGTTGAGGTAAGCCTTGGGCGTCTGTCTGCTGGAAATCCGCCGACCTTAGCAGACCACATTGTGTCTGTGCCTGCTGGCAGTCAGTTACACGCACCCTTCACACCTATAGTCATATATACCTCATTATTATTGTCCCCACTCGCGTGCACTATCTATCTATATCCCTACAGAGCATACTATTACACCTTGTTTTGTAATACATGGGTGTTGCTCTGAGTAGTATTGATAAGGAAAAGCATGTGCCAGCACCACACTATCTCCATATGGTTGTTTGCATTTACGAGCGGGATAAGTTCTCCACAGCATGAGTCCTCTATATATGTAGGTTGTATTCAGAAGGCTCCTAAACGTGGGGTGAAATGACAAGGACAGCTGCAGCCAGGTGCAGGGAAGAGAATGGGCGTTTCTCCCAAACCATCTTTGTATTATTATTCTCACATGCAGCTTCATGCAGTCCCACCTTAACCTAATAGTCTGCAGTAAACGCATTTGAAATGCATGGTTACATTTTTTATATAACAGGGTTCAGAAATAAGATGTTGTGCATTTTTTTGTCCTGTTTCTGCAAAAAAAAAATGGGCACAAAGACATGCTCTCCTTCAGAGCTGTGTCATTCACTGCCTTTGTTGGAAATGCACCCAAAAGCTCAGGCAGCAGAACAGAAGCTTTTGGATCCACATCACATGGATATTTGCAGCCCATCGATTATGTGCGTCAAGACTGAAAGCTGATTTAAAGAGATCATGTAAATGTGCATTTTGCTGGCTCTGGATGTCTCAGCACTGAAAGACACGACTGTGGTGTGAGTGCGATTGGGGCTGCGCCTGTTATCATGCTCATTTAGCAGATTAAGGAGCTGAAGCAGTGGTCTGATAGACTCACTATTCTTCAACTCAGACCCTCCCATATTCTGCCACATGAGCTGGTTCCACTTGCACACATTGGGGGTCCTTGAAGAGCATATGTTGTCATGAACACCCATTGTACAGATGGAAACTCAAAACTGGCATCCTCACATCCTCTTTTATGTGTAAATGTAAAGCATGTGTAGCAAAACAGAGTGAAATTTAACTACTCTTCTCTCAAGCTCACATTGTTTCAACTTAGTGGGGGTTGAGGTTGGGGTTGGCCCTGTATGGCAGCAGCTTTTTAAGATGAACCTAACAACTGATGGCCACATTTCCCTTGGGTCGATTTTAAGAGTCACTTGTCAATTAGCTGCTGAGTGGATCTCCTTTGTGCTTGTTCACAGCAGCAACTGTAACAGGAAGTGGGGTGGGTGGCGCTGACAGAAAAAGCAAAGAGAAAGGTGAAAAGAGAAGCCTCAGAGACAGCTGGTGCTTGCTGCTCAGCTGAAGTTATTGATTAAAGTCTGTGAAGCCACAGACAGGCTTGTTGATGGAGAGTAAGTAAATGAGTGAAGATTACGCGCATGTCGCGACAAACATACACATGTGGCAGCTTGTTCAGTTGTATGCATCTCATTTGGTGATGCAATGCTGGCATTATAAACAGTGTGTTTAAACACATTTTTCATAGCTATTAACCTAATTATCTCTGCGGAAGACGGCTATCCATTAATGACTTTGATTTTGCCCAAGGTTTCTACCTGTTTAGATGCAAACTTTTCTTTGTTACTGTTGCAAAATGCTTGATTTTGTTGGACTAAAGTTGGGTGTTTGTAACAATATAAGAAACAATATAGACCTGAAAACACCCCAAAAAGATTGAAGCCATGGCTGCCTATTTGGTTCTGCTTGGGGTTTCTGCCTGTTTTATCAGAGGTTTTCCTTGTAACTCATGCATTTATGCTCGGTCTTTGTAAACAACATTACAAAAGATGTGATGTAGACCCAAACATAAACAAAAACATCGATTTAAATCATTGCAGTCCACAGATGACTTAGGTTCTGCTTGAGGTTTCTGCCTGCTGTAGTATAACAGCCCTCGGTTAAGGTTGAGAGTACTTGCCCATGGTGGATTGAGGATGTATCACTGTAAATAAGATTATGTTTAGTGTAGCCTGGCAATAAAAAAGGTTCAATATTTTTTTTTGGCTTTCAACCACTGAGTTTGGTTCTGCTTGAGGTTTCTGCCTGTTTTAATAGAGGTTTTCCTTGTAACTCATGCATTTATTTACACACTTTGTAAATAACTTTATACCCTGTGTAAACAACATTACAAAAGATGTGATGTAGACCCAAACAGCAACAAAAACATAGATTTAAAACATTGCAGTCCACAGATGACTTAGGTTCTGCTTGAGGTTTCTGCCTGCTGTAGTATAACAGCCCTCGGTTACTGTTGAGAGTCCTAGCCCATGGTGGATTGATGATATATCACTGTAAAGAAGATTATGTTTAGTGTAGCCTGACAATAAAAAAGGTTCAATATTTTTTTTTGGCTTTCAACCACTGAGTTTGGTTCTGCTTGAGGTTTCTGCCTGTTTTAATAGAGGTTTTCCTTGTAACTCATGCATTTATTTACACACTTTGTAAATAACTTTATACCCTGTGTAAACAACATTACAAAAGATGTGATGTAGACCCAAACAGCAACAAAAACATAGATTTAAAACATTGCGGTCCACAGATGACTTAGGTTCTGCTTGAGGTTTCTGCCTGCTGTAGTATAACAGCCCTCGGTTACTGTTGAGAGTCCTAGCCCATGGTGGATTGATGATATATCACTGTAAAGAAGATTATGTTGGGTAGAGCCTGACACTAAAAAAGGTTAAAAATAAAAATTTGGCTTTCCACCACTGAGTTTGGTTCTGCTTGAGGTGTCTTCCTGACACTGTTTTTTATGCTCAAGTTGCAAAGTAAATTTTCCTAAACTTTCATTTAGTCATTATTAATTGGCTCTTTGGTATAGACCTAAAAAGGTAATGGTATGATAATATCTACACATAGAGCATTTTGTTGATATTGGCAACACATGATCATTTTGATTGGACAGAACTGCCCTTTACTTTGGGAGGGGTGTGTTTATTACACATCCACACTAACCAGTGAGTGTTTTCAGTTTGTGTGATCTGTGTGTGTATTTACTTGCCCTCTGAGTGCTACCAAGGATGTCTGTGATTTTGACAGGAAATGGGAAGCCCATAAATAAACACACTGAGAAGGATAACTTCCTGCTGTAGAAGTGACGGTTTTCCCAATGACCCCTTATCGTCTTTTTTTCCCCCTTTCTTCTCTGAGAAAGTCGGCCGATGATAAGAGAGGAGGGTGTGGAATTGCTCCCATGTTGTGTAGCCCCTCAGGCGGACCCTATGCAGTGTTTGTGTGTGCTTGTGTGAGTGTGTATTTGGAGGGCAATGGGGTTATTGTAAGGGCCGACGAACGCACAGACACGCACACAAACCCAAATACACACATGCAGTCTCAGTCGCCGGCATCCATTTCCTGAATGTCTGCACAGCCTTCCCTAAACAATGTCCATATAACCAGTGACATGACCTACAAGCCTGCTTTCAGACCAGGGGAAACACACACACACACACACACACACACACACACACACACACACACACACACTGCAATGCAGTCATGTCAAATGGGACAAGATGCATGAAAAGTCACTGATTGCTAAGTGGCTGTCATTAAATTGCATCTGGCTCAGCTGTTTTGTTTTGTTACTGCTGCACTTGCTTACAAGATAAGCTCAGTCTAATGCCAATGAGCTATGTAAAGATGAAGACTCCCACATTTTCCTTGTCTCACTCACTAGAACCCCTACGCAGAAAATCGCAGACAACCATATTCACGGAAAGACAAACGTGCAGTTTCACTTCCTCCCCCTCCTCCCGTTGATCTTATGTTGAGAGGGGCATTTGGCTCAGATTGAAAGCTTTATGTTAGGGCTACCTCTTAGCCTTCAAGTGGTTCCGCCAAGGCCTCTAACTAAGCTTTTTTTGTGTGTGCATGTGTGTGCATTAACAAGGTGTAACCTGGCATGTGAGTTACATGTTTCCATTTGCATGTATTGATGTCTCTTGTGCTGTTTCTCTGTAGATTTGTTGCTTACTCATTTCAGACCAACCAGCCGCTCTCTTCTTCCATCAAAGTACTAAGTCAGCCTCTAGCTGAGTATAAATAGACACAATGGTGGATTTTTTAAGCACTGCTGAGTCCTTTCAACTTGTGACCGCTGGCTGATGTCTTACCTAACCTATTCTCATCCTCGAGGCTTCCCCTCCATCTGATTAGATCTGTTTTTCCCAAAGAATCAGCTGAGGAATCCCCAAGTAATGACTCCTCAGTCCTGTGCATTTCATGCCTCTGTGGTTCAGGGTCATGACAGCGGTGTGGGTGATCGTGTGCGAACAGAGCACAAATTAATCTGTGTTCCTTATGTCCCGATGTGGGGATGACTGCTGTGTTTTGGATGGTTATGACGCAGAGTGTTTTGGCTGAAAGGCAAATGGGTTATCTTTAATCTCATCACTAACGTGGTGATCAAGGAGTCAAAAATAGCACTGTCAGCAAACAGCAAAGTATTTCATAATTCCATAAAAGTGCTGCAGACTTTTGCAGCCTCATGACCAAAACACTTCAAAACAAACCAGGGGCAGCAGAATATGACTGCAGAAGGGGGCCCCTCACAGCTGATACACAAAGGCTTTATATGGGAGGTTTTCAATAAAAGGTGGTGTTTTGTTGTTGGTCCTGTGTCCTGTGTCGGCTACCAGTCTCGCCTGTTTCCTGTAACAGTTTGCCACACAGGCTCTGTCTAGGTTGCACACCTCCCCAGGGGGCTGCCTTTAAAAATGGTTGGTGGGAAATTGTGTTCGTGTTTGAGGGGTTTTTGTGTGTGAGACCGTGCAGCCATCGGTACTAGTCACAGGTTAGTGCTGCATTTAATCTCCCCATGAGTGCATTCTTACACTTGGTCTCTACATTCATCCCTCTGGCTGGGGGAAAAAAAGTGAAAGCTGTTTCACTTTGCTGATTAGACCCACTGCTTATGTTGCTTCCAGTCAGTGATTTTTGCCTCAGTCAAGGGAAGAGGAGCAGGAAACATGACCAAGCACCCGCCCAAGTTGCCCGTCCACAGTCTACACATCGCTTCCTCTTCATGCTAGCTGGCAAGCTTGTCACATGCTTTTTTGTTTTTGTTCTTCAAACCCCTCTGACCTAACAGTTCTGTGTTAATGCCCTTTATGGCAGGACTGCTAAAGAGACAATCTGTTCAGAATTGCTTGGGGAAGGTCTTTGAACTGAATGAAATATTGATGTGCAGAGGGCAAGAGCTTTCAGGATGGTTTTGCTTTACAGAAAGAGACTCAGTGTTTAGTTCAGGGCCTGTTGGTACCTGTTGCATAATAGGACTTACAAGCAGATTGTGGTCTGGAGGTGAAAAGGTCCTCTGCACAAAGAAGTGAGTTAGGTTGCCGTGCTACACTTCTTAATCCTGGTTATCCAAACATCAACACAACTTCTCTGAATGACACGACTGCTGTTTATTCAGCAAAGCTTTTGACATCAGAAGAGTGATGTGTCTTTTGTTTAGTGTGCAGAAAAGTAATGTCCCAGAGCGACTAACTTTCCAGTAGCTCAAACAGGGATTTAAGATCAAGCTTACAGATTAGTCAAGAGAAAGCACATTGAAACAAGACAAAATTCAACAGAATCTAACACAGATGAATACAGATGTCAAGGGTCTACAGGTAAACAGACAAATTGGTTTACTCAGTGTGGCTAGCAGAGCTAGTACCACCAGCCTTACCTGTCAAAGTCCACACACCAATGGTGGTTACCTGAGTGGTTTTATGCCAGTCTCAACAGACACTGCCTCCATAAGACTTTATTTCCATTTTCAAGATCAAAATCCTTCCAGACTTAGCAGCCCTGAGATGCCATCTGTCACTGTATCTTTCTAACATCCACGCGAGCATTGTAGCATAACTGCAGTAGCCCATAACTAGTACTTGTAGGTGGCAAGTTGATGGACAAGTGAGATATGAATAGTCATTTTGACCAACTAGTTATCAGTAACATCTAGTTATAAACTAGCTAATTTGGTTGTAGACCAGCAAGAATTTAACCATTAGTTTAACTAGGCCTGGACGATATAGAAAAAAATCATATCGATAAAAAATAAATCATATTGATCGATATCGATAATTATCGATATAATTATTATAATTATTTAACATATATTTTAATTGCAGCCCTGGATGTTTTATGCTATTGCTTAATGACCTACTTTTAATAAAGAACACACAAGCACTGAATTCAAATTCAAACTTTTATTCAACCACCTTTTTTATTTTACCACAACTGAAAGTTTTTTAAAAAAAAACTAAAAAAAAAAGAAATCAACTTAAGTGGCCTGAGTGACGTCAGTAAATACTGACAAACATAAAGACTTAAGTGACCAGAAAATCTGATAAATAAATATTTAAATAGTCTTTTGATGAAAATAAACAAAACAAACAAATATATAAATAAACAGAATAGCTTTAGGTGGGAATAGCATACTACCAGTTTTAACTGTGTGGGAAACTGCCCACAGCCTGGTGTCTGAACACTGAAATATTTCTCCCGGGGTCGGGAGATTTATTTTTTTTAATTATCATGTGATTGACTTAATACACAAACTAAGCACGAGAAGCAGGACTTATCCACGCCGGTGTTGTGTCGTAGAATGCACCCCTGCCGAATGCACCCCCTGCTAGTAGCCATGATCCAAATACTCGCGTCTTTGTAAAATATGAGCTCATTTTCTTCCACTTTAAGAAGCGAATGAGTGGACGGGATGCAGGGGTGCATCCTACGGCAAACACCGGAACGTATTTCCTCCGCACCCTTCTCACCTTTCAACCCCTGACCCGTTTTCATGCCTGAAGCGCTGTGTTTGAGAAACACTTGCGGCCGGGCACTTCATATCGCGGGTCGAGAGTGGCTAGAAGCTGGTCGAAAACCCGGCTTTTCAACGGTAGTTATTAGCAGTATGTCCCTCGCTATGGAGCATGTTACTGCATGGGTGATGTCCTTATGCTGCTCGGACGCTTTGTCGTATTTTGGCAAGAAACGAAGTCCAGTTCGGTCTGCTTCACATGCTTTGTGCTGGTGCTGGCAGCGGTTCCAGAGGATTCCTCCTCCGACGACGTGGAGCCGCGGCGCGGCCGACACAGCTCGTACTCCTGCGGGTGCGATCGGTTTAGATGGTAGAACAAGTTGGTTGTGTTACCAGACTTGGTTTTTACTAATTCTCTGCAAATTTTGCAAACGACCGCTGTTCGCTTTTTGTCAGACTTCTAAAAACCAAAACACTGCCATGCTGGTGAACTACTGAAACCTTTTTTCGGGACAATGTCCTCCGCTTCTCCTTGCTGTATCATTTTTTCTAATACACGTGCTGTCTGTTGTGGTTTGATAGGGGCTGGGCTTGGTGCCGTAGCGTACCTGGGTCTGCGTTTGTGATTGGTTGGGAGGAAGCAATGACTGTAGTAAAAGCTACATGATAGGCTATGATGAAAAAGAAAGGGAAACTGTGTTTTTCTATCGAACTTTTTATCGACCCGTTTTTTTTCTATCGCACCACACGTCTATCGATCGATATATATTGTTATCGAATTATCGTCCAGCACTAAGTTTAACCATTGGTGTCTAATGGTTAAACTTCCTGTAAGGGACTCTTGTTTCTCTTGTTTCTGCTGATGTCTCCCTGTCACCTGCAACAGCAAATGAGCCCATCTGTGTGAAGATAAGCTTTTTCTTAAGAGTAAAAACGAGGAAAACTGGAGCCGGTGGTCGGGTTGGGACTCAGACCAGAGACAACACGTGCGTTTTTTTCTCTTTATTTTGCACTGAAAATGTGCATATTACTGTCACTACACAAATGGTGACAGCGTCTTGCAGCAGGAGACTCCTGCAGGCAGCGTGTCATGCTACAGCTGCAGCCACTGAGACAGACAGGCAGAGCAACTCTGTGTCACTAACCTCGGTAGTCCTGCTGCTCCACATCTGTCTCGCACTCCACGTTGGGTTGACCCAGACTCGCTTCCTATTTTAAATACATTTACAAAGTAAGTTGCCTCAAACTGCTCACAAAAAAGTCAGTTTCCTGAGCCCTGACGTGTGTGCCAGATAAGTGTCTTTACGACAATACGCGCTGAAACATTACCGCTTTTGTCCATAGTGGCTGCCAAAATGAACAGATAATGAAAACTCCCTCCAGCTGCTTTAAGTTGACTATACCTTTGAATGAAGATGCTATTAAGGATGTGTGTGTTTAGCCCATAGACAATACAAAACACAAAAGAAGTCTTGGTTACCTCACATGGTGGTTTCTGAAGGAGTTTTCAAGCCAAGTGTTGGCAGTCACCAGACTGGGAATGCTAACTAGCTCAACCTAGCTTTTGGTGCTTTTTGGTTGAACTGACTAATTGATAAACCAAAGTCAATCTTTCTAGTTGGCACCAGAATAACTAGTTGGTGAAACTGTTTACTTATATTTTTTTCCACTGAAGTCTGCCACACTTGGAAAACTAATTTAAACTAATTTCACTTGTTTACCCACAGACTGTGATTCTGTATCTAGTTTATAAGGTGGGGTGGGAGAAAAAATTGATTCACATAAATATCACAATTTTTTGTTTTACAATTTTTAAATTGATTTTTTTGTTCACTAATCCTTTTTTTCTTCAAATTTAAGACTAAGTCTTCAAAACTGACTTACATGTGATGTGTATTTTTTTGGGCAGATATGGTTCCTGGAAAAGTCAGTAGACAAGCATAATAATTCAACTGATTCGCTGGTGTTAAAAATTCAGACTAAAGATCAAGAAAATCAACAATATCGTAGAATCACAATTTAAATTGAATCGGCATCCAAAAAATCGTAGAAGAATCGGATTGGGAGAAAAGCATATTGTCCCAGCCCTAAAATAAATGGTGCTTAGTTTTAAATGTTTTTTAGGTGTTTTCTAACTTTTAGGCCAGTTGATCTTTTAGAATTAAATTCCTATTAAATGACTTGTGAATAAGTCGCTCCAGCCTCAAATCCTCTAGTGAGGCAGTTTACAACCGTTTTTATTTTTGTCACAATGTCATTTAGCTGATGCTTTTTTATCCAAAGTGACGTACATTCATAAACAACTAGGGCATTGGATGTGTTTTAGCATTGAAATATATTGTGCAACTGCTCTGCTGATGAACTTCTCCCTATTAAGTGCTAAAACCTCCCAAATGGTGTTGCTGCTGTTGCAGAATGACTTCCTGTGAGGCTGCTGCTGGACTATCCGCACGTTCTGGTTACTTCCTGCTTTGAGAGCTGCTGACACGATTCTGTTAAACTGAAACATCGGGGAGATGAAAAACTGAAAGAAAATGCTCGGAGTTCAGTCAGGGGCCATTTATTTTGTGAACCCTCTGAATTGAAACCTTCTTAAAATGTGTTTTTTTCTTCTGTGTTTCTGTGGTGAAAAAGGCAACGTTTTTCTCCCAGAATATCGACACACTAGTTGATCCTGTGTTAGCTAACTGATGATGCATTATCTCATACTTCCCTCTAAATATGTGTGCCATCACTTTATTCTTCTTGCTTAAGCTTGGCTGCATGTGAGCAAAATAAAGCGTGAAACTGTGACCAAAATGCTGGAATTTCACCAGCTTTCTCTCCCCCCTCGGCTCCTTCCTCTTCTACTCGCCCACTCCTGCACGTGCACACATGTATGCACACAGATGCAGACTCACAAATCTCTAATTATTTGCATTCATCTATGTGAATTCTGCAAGAAATGAAAGCCTCTTCAGTTTGACATTTGCATTTATTTAGCTGAAGCTGCCTTATAAAAGGTCCTTTTTGATGATTATTCACACTGCTGAGAGATGAAGAAAGTCTTTTGTCCCACTCATGAAACATCTTCATTGGCCAAGCTTTTGAGATTTTTTTACAGGTGAGGGTTAAATACATCTAAAGGTCTACATATTTTCATGAACCACATCGCCTGGTCGTTAGTTTGAACATTGTTGTGGTCACTTGGAATCACAGAGAGTCTATGAGGGAGGGGGAATGAGGCCCTTTAAACAGAGCACCTCTCGGCTGAGCGTAGACAGAGGACACACTGTGAATGAGTCTGATGTCACTGCAGGTCTTTGTGCTCTGTGCTGAGTTTGCACTCACACACACACAGATAAAGACACACTGAGCAAGGGCAGAGAATTGCAGGGTAAACGGGGCGATGAAGAAAAGGCGATATTTTCAGGGAGTAGGGTCGACAGTGTGAGGGAGAGGTTTGGAGAGTCCATTTCTGACAATGTCTTTGTTTTATAAACTGCTCCCCGACTTCAGAGAGGAGCAATGCTTCCTGCAATTCAACACAATAAAAACAAAGTCAAATCAGAGAGGAAAGAGGCAGAGGGGGGTTTGGGTGCAGTGGGGGAAACTGGGGGTGACCGAGGGTGGAGTGGAAAAAAGGAGCAAGTGTGTCTTCTGTTGTCAAAGGGCCACTGTAGCGTGCAAATATGAGCTCCTAGCCAAACATGCAGCGACCGTGTGCGTGTGTGTGTGTGTGTGCGTGCCTGTGTGCGTCCATGTGTGAGTACAGGCCTGTGTGTTGGTTGTACGTCTGAGCATCGCGTGTATGAATAATTCGGGCACAGCTGCCCGTGGCAGCCGTATTCCCGCGAAGGGAAGACGATTCAGAGACAGAGGCCCTCAGGTGTTGTGTCTAGACTTTATAGAGTCAATATACCTCTATGATTGGATGTAGATTCCTCTTTCTGAACAATATAAAATGAAATTGTCTTCTGCTTTTGAATGCATTAACTAGACATAAAACACAACCTGCTGGTAAAGGAGTGACAAGAGTGGGAAATTAAAGGGCTCCCTTTCCTTCTCCTCTGTTTTATTCATCACTTTATCTCTTTGGTTCCTCTTAAGACTCACATCTTTCTCTGGCCTTTTAAATGTCCTCCAGAGGACTGAACACTGTAAGAAGGTCAACGTTTCAGTGGCGGAGCTTTACCGTGCTCTTTCTGTTTCTTAAGTGTCCGTCTGAAATGGATTTATTCATATTTTAGATGTTTTCCTTGTGAATTCATATAAGGGATTTTATTTAGTTTTACGTACCCCTGAGGCTTTCAAAATTGGATTTCATTTCAACAGGAAGTGAAGACATTATGGGCAGGACAAAAGATGGAGAGGATTAGTGTATAAGTTTGTATGCCCCAGTAGAGCTGTTGCCAGTGTCTACTGTGTAGATATGAGAGGGTTGGCTTTGTGTGTGAGACCAGCTGGCCCATAATAACCATCAGTGCTAAGTCGCTTAATCACTGCTGGAGTTTGTTCTGTTTTGTCTTATTGAGGGATGAAAAAAAAAGATGTAAAACAAATGAGTTCAGCACAAAAACAACATGATCAACTGAAATTCACAAAATTGTGGGCCTGTATTTCACTGTATTTCACTAAACCTTGGTTAATCTAGCATAGACATACACAGACGTATACACATTGTGGCTTGCTGCTTTAGCACTCATACTGAGCGCTGTCTGAAAGAGTGGGAGGCTGGGCTGGTGGTAATACTAACCAACCCTCCAGGGAGGCAGACAGACGAGCAGAGTCATGGCAGCAGTCTGCAGCGCAGCAGCAAATGTGAGAAAAAAAAGGAGTGTTTTTATTTGACTGGTAACCTTTATGTTGTTTGAATCATGCAACTTGACATTAAAATATCATCCATGTGATCCGGTAACGTGGTGTTGGAATTGTTTTAAACATGAGTCATTTTAGGTATAATCGCCTGAACTTTCATGGAACATAAATAATTTACATTTAGGCTCAGGTTATGTCTAAAATGTTTACCATGTGCAATTTAAAAATGTAAAATTATGAATCTATGTTATAATAATAATAATAATAATAATAATAATAATAATAATAATAATAAAATGTTATTCATAATGCGATTTTACAGGTGCTCAAAGACCCTTTACAAAAAAACACAATTTGAAATACAGAAAATTTGGAGTAAGAAGACCAACAATGTAAAAGGTTAAAAAAGACACAATATGAAAAGACAATAAAAGAACAGTTCACAGGTTAAAGGCCAATTTAAAAAGGTGTGTTTTTAGGAGTGATTTGAAAGTATGGGGGTCTGTATGGTCTCGGATGGGTTTGGAGAGTGAATTCTTATCACATGTTGACCACATTGACTGGCAACAAATTCATTTATACATGTACACATGGTTTGATTTTATAAAATCATTGTATTACATGTGACATGGGGTTTTCAGATCTTTGAAAAATGTGTTTTTAAAATTTCTACATGTAGCAACCACAAGCATCACACGCCACATGTGAAAACTTTATTTCTCATGGATTTTCTAAGGGTACCAAACCCTAGATAATTAAGAGCAAATGTGAACACCAGCATATTTTTGTCTCTGGAGGAACTGCTTCTTGTTACCAATTTCCTTTTGATCTTTTATGAAGTCTAAACTGCGTCTCCATACGCCACTGCCACTAATTGAGTGTCACACCAGACCTGTGTTGCAACATGCTTTGTGGTCTGCCGATCCAGTTTATCAGTAATGTTTGTCAGATAATAGGTGTTTGTGTTGCTTACACTCAAATTCTACACAGTCATGTTCCCAACAAGCTCATCGGCTAAATGCATCCATTTAAAGTAGATGCCGTCCTAATGAATAGTTCCTGTCATAGTTCATTGAAGTAAATAAAAAACACTGACACCCCCTGACCTTGACAAGACCGTCTGTCATGTCAGAAGGAGGCTAATTTGATTCTTTCGCGTGCCTCCACCTCCCCCCATGTTGCCGCAGACAGAGCAGACAGAGCAGATGAGGGGGTAGGGAGGGGGACATGAAGGGATGTGGGGTGTGGATTGACCCAGAATCAGCTCTGATGATGCGAACTGATGTGCCCTTATAACAATGAGAGACGCTCATCTGAAACTAAATGATTATTAGTCGTCTTCAGCAGTTATGAGAGCCTGGATTTTAAGATATTATGAAATGTATTCTTTTACCAGCACTGCCCCGACATGATTTAACCTAGATTTCAATTTCCTGAATGACTCATAATGAACTTGTAACCATTATCAGAATTAATTTCTGTGTCATTTTGTAGGTAAATATGATATTTTTTTGATATGGTGAAGGGTGTTTTTTTTAATATATCTCACATTATTTACTGAGATTGCAAAATGAAGTTTTAAACCTCTTTTGGCTAAATCAGTTTAAATCAGTTCTGGGCGTTTTCCTGCCTGCCCCCCATAATAAGTCTTTGTGAAGTCAGGCTGTACCAACAGCAGGGGAAAATTAGGGGTGTCCCGATACAACTTTTCTACTCTCGATACAATACAGATATTGTAGCCTTTAGTATTGGCTGATACCGATATTGATCTGACTTTGGCACAGACTTGTGCATGAAAAGTTTTTCACTCTTCCGCAACACCTTTTTTTTTGGAATTGGACGAAAAACACTGCCACATGACCGACATCACTCCTACTCCTTGCTTCTTTGTTAGTACCTTAGGACACACTCTTGTTTTGGATACTTGGTATCTGCATGCTGGATCTGGGCGCTGCTAGATAGAGGTGCCGGACCGGATTCTGGAATGTACTGCTTGTATCTGAGTGCTGATATCGGAGATTTTAGATGCAGGCCGTTATAATCAGATATCAGTTTTTTACTGATATCGGACCGATATCCAGTATCTTCACCATGACTGAAGACCCCTCCTTCAGTATGCTTTACCTGCGAGTCCCTAACCTTAATCAGAGTATTTCAATCTGTAGGTGTGTTTCTGATATGTGTGGAGATCAATTCTTGAAATGTCCAAATGTCTTTGAACGTCCAGAAAGTGTCTGAAAAAAAAAAATTATGTATTAGAGGAACTTCAGATGGTTCAAAGCAAAAGCAAAAGATGACATGTCTCACAGCTGTTATGTGTTAAATTTTGTGTTGTATTTAAACATCATGTGTTGCCTGTCAAGTTCCCACAGTGCCCTGAACCTTTACCTGATATCATTAGCTTTGAAATGTGAAGTTTAAGATCATGGAGTGTCCTACAGATTCGACTTTGAGGTCCGGGCCTGGCTTCTCCTCATTTAGATGACCTGGTTTGTCATATGCATTGTTTCTTCATTTAAAGAGCAACCACACAAAACAGGAAAACAGCAATAAGGCCACAGTTGTGTTTGTAGACGGACCATAAACTTAAGCTGACACTTTTATTTCTTCCAGACTAAATCTCTGATGGAGACTACAAGAGTTTGCAGCTCAGTCAGTTGATCTTTCTTGAAAAGTTGACCTGGCCCTTTATAGACAATGTAGGACAGTTCCGTCCTTACAGTCTGGCTCGGTTAAGAAAACGCTCATGTCAACATGGATGAACTAGTTCGCTCATTTGTGCTCCAGCTCATGCTAGCACACCCAGTCAAACCAATGATCACAATGTATGTAAACCTGACTCTGGCTAAGCACTGGTTACCAATCGACAGCAGCGCCTCAGGCTGCAGGGCTGCCAGTCTGTGAGGTTCATTTGATAGATAAGGTTCATACAAAGGTTATGAAGAGTACTTTGCATGTATTGTATGTTGCATTCAATAAATGTCTGGGCATTGGTGGTGAATAGAAGACTAGCCCAGCACCTGATGAGTGTGTGGAAATGTTTTTCAGCTAAATGTATGAAGCAGACAGCCTCTACTGCTTAACAGCTTGTGCCGTCTGTCATAGAAGGTGAAAGAGACCACCAGCACAATATCAGTCAGTGCTTCATTAAAATTTCTTCATTTCCATGGCAACAAGGCAAAACAATCTGATGCAAAATTATCAAATCAGATATGATTCCATAAAGACTTCAGCTGCATTACCTCAGAAGTCAGATGTCGGAGCTGGGAATGATGTTATACCCGAGTTGATGGCGTTCTGGTAAACAAGTCAGAAAACCAAAATAGACACCTACAGTTAGCTGTGAACTGTTGTTAGCTGTTTTAAGCTATTGTTAGCTATACCAGTTGCAAACGACGCATAACACAGTATTTTACACATACAAACACGATATTCCCACGTCCACAGCAAGACGTTGGACAGTACTATGTATACCACTTGTTAAATTTCACAATAACAAAACAGAAGTGCCAATAAATAAAACATTATGAGAGCTTTCACTGTTGCCGTTTACTGTTGATGCATGATGCTGCCATCTTGAATTATGGTGTTGTGGTCAAGTAGAGGTTGGTGAGGGTGATTGGATTTCCTAGTCAGAAATCCGATTTCAGCACGGTACTCCAGATGAATTCTGACCGGGAACTTGGAAATTCAGACTTTCTAGTGCAACTGGAACATAGCAGTAAAAATACTGGAAAATCCTGCACTTGGAAAATGATTGATCACTGTAGTTTGACTTTTTGATTGACTTTTTGGTTTCAGCTCTAGCTTTAGTTTACATTAAGATACTACATGTAATAAGACTAGGAATACGTGGATGTCATCATGGCACTCTGGGAGAATCAGCACATGTTCATCAGTGCGGTGACACAGACGCCCACCTGGGCAAGCCAGCTGTCCACACCCAGCGCCATGCTGCCTCTTGCAAATGCTGCCCCACTACTTATGAATATTGTCATGAATTTTCCTGCTTACAATATTCAATGTCCCCCCCTGACTTTCAGGTTTACATATTCAGAGTAAGCTCCCCTCTCCAGTTACCTCATGCATCACTGCCTTTGTTTGTTTTTTTTCTCATTAATGTTTCTTCTTCTGATGCTCCCCCCTACAAGAGAGGTCAAGGCTGGTTAAAGCAATTTCTGAATGCATTTACCGCTGTATTATTTAATTCATGGCTTACACAGCCTTCTCTGCCATGGACACAACACAGCCAGGTGCCCTTTGCTTGCCAACACCTAAGAGAGAGCTGGACCTGAATTTGAACTCCTGTGTGTGTGTGTGTACTTTGTTTATGTGTGTGTGTTTGGCTAACAGCCATTACCCTGCTGTGATGTTGGGCCCATGTAGAGGATTGGAGGCCTAAGTGAGAGACAGATTTTGTAGTGAATGGCCTCCTTCCACATCCCATTATAACAGCGTGTGTTGTTATTTCAGTACACACACTGATTACTGTAAGAGCACACCATAGACAGAAGTGGTGCGGTTCTGTCAGTGGATCGGGATGGATAGATAGAGATGAGAAAGTCTGTTGGAGGTAGAGAGACAGTTGTTTTTTTATGAGCAGAATCACTGCAGACAACTCATTCAGAAAAATCAATGTGAGCACTGATTAAATGGGCAGCAGGACAGAAATGTCTGCTGTGGCTCAATAATCAAAGATAGAGCCTTTCAGCTGCACCGCGTATGTGTTTGAGTGCTACAGTTACTTATCGATGAATATGTTTGAATTAGTGTTAAACATGATCTCGAGAACATTAGCTTAAAAGTTTTTACTGCCATTAGTTGTTAATGTAAAAATGTTTTGAGAACATTTATTCAGTTTTGCTTTTACATGATACACAAAACTTCTTCTTATGGTACAAAAGCTCTTGACTTATTTAGATTCAGCCATGGCATCAGGAAGGAGACCTGCTCTCACTCCACCTTCGTACTTTCACTCTAAACTTTGAAATGCTGAAAAAATTGTGTCCCTCTGTGTGTGAATTGACTTTGCATCATATATTCGCGTAAGTACAAGAAGCACAATGTTCATACTGACAGAGAGAGTGCTAAATATACACACAGTCTGATGCAAAAACACAGTACTGTTTTGTCCCGCAGCTCTAGACTTTGACAGTGTCCTCTTACAACTTTAAGATCCAAACTTAAATACCATTTTAACGAAGCCTATTTGGGTTTGTTTCAGTGAGTTCCATACATAGACAAAATAACCCTCCAGATAGTTTTGAAAGATAAAAACAGAGCAAAAAAAAAATGCCATCAATAAAATCTGGTCACTTCCTTCATTCCCTATGCCATGCCAGAACATTTAGCCCCCACTTTCTTCTTGTTTAGTGGAGATTAGACATTTACCATCTTAAATTAGATCAACATCTCAGTTTACTCATGACGCATAATTTCCATCAGTCTTTATTATATAATGGTGTCTCCATGTATTATTATTTAATTATATGAAGGATTGATTCTGTATGTAATGGTGTCAACATTAAGTTTTAAAAAAACAACTTTTTTGTCTTTTTGACAATGCATTGCAGCGCATTTGATTTGAAATGACATGCAGGAAACTCACAAATTAGTAGATAATTTAATTTCCATTCATTTTCATATGAAGGTGACTTGAAAGTGTCATGTGTAAGAATAAGGGCCCATTAACCACCCACTTTGGTTTCTCCTAGCACCCAACAACATTGTTTACTGCTGCTAGCTTGTCCCACAGCACTTTCACTCTTATAAGTATCGGTGCTAAAGTCTAGTTGAATATGCTCCATGTTTTCTTTCATTTAGAGGTATTTTACTAATAAAATGTAAAGAAACAGCTGATTTAAATTGTGTTGTGTCATTAGCAGCTCTAGACCTGGAAATTGTACCCTTGAAAAAGTAAGTGTGGCTTGTTAGTTTCTCCTTCTTGTAGGACTAAATTCCCACCCCTATGCTGGAGAGATAACCCCAGTGAGTGGAATAGTTGTCCAAAAGTTAAACTACCATTTTTCAACTAAGAGTCCTGTGATTTATCATATGGTTTTTCTTCTAGTTTTTACATCAGTTACTAATGTGCCCGCCCTCCTTCCACCGCTGCACCTCTGGGCATCTCTGATTTCATCCTACAGTCACTAATATACCCAGGGCTCCTAACCCAAAATAGGCTGAGCCAATTTCCTGAGTTCTCAGGGCTTTTCATGTCAAATGTGACAATCTTCATGAATCGCCAAGGGCAAATCCCCCTCTTGTTCTCATTTTCCCTTCCTTTTTGTTCCCACTGTCTTTGTCTTTTGTTTGACTCTTTTAAGTGGAAGTTGTCGAGGGAGAGCAACAAGGAGATAAAAGGTTGTTAATGGGCTCCACCTCGAAGCCTCTGTAGAAGTGTTGTATCAAATGTACAGTGTGAACAGGGTACAGTGTGACAAAGGCTGCGATCACCTTTCACTGATCGTGAGTGTTTAGAGACACTCACATACTGGACTTTTCACTGAGGAAATCAATCCTACTAAAGGAGACCAATAAGTCAGGGTTGAACCATAAATGATATCAAAAGGTTGCAAATGCTGTCAAATGATTTATTTTATTTATTTATTATTTAATTTTATATTACATATATTTTTTTTTCTTTTCTGACTTCCTGTCTGTAACTTTCTTGTTTTAAATTAAATGTTATTTTTGTTAGTTGATTATGAAAAAGCAAAATGAATGACTGTATTCATTTTTGTTATCCTAAGGCCTGTAATTTTCCCTTGGCTGGAAACTGTCTTTTTATCAGTTTCTGCTGAGTTATCTTGTCCCAGTTGCTATGGGAACAAGACCTGGAGGTGCTCACATGGACAGTGTCAAACTGGGAAAAACAGCACATTAGTAGACTTGTTTTAATCCTTGAAATTGAAGAATTTTCTGTATGTTTTTTTGTTATCCAACTTTTTAACGCTTTTATGGAATTTAAAATTTTCATACCATCTTTTTATGAACGCCATTTTTGGCTGAATATTGTTGTCATAACATGATAGAGTAAAAATAAGAAAAAAGCTGAATATTGTTGCAAATCTCTGTCCATATTGTGCACAAACACACATAAATACACACTACATCACACACAAATTGCTGCGTCAGCTTTCTTAATCCTAATCTGAACTCCGACAATGACAAAGCGCTAATCGAGACATGGTACAAGCAAACAACAGATGCCGATGGAGATACTGTCCTCCTGTTTACGTAATCTCTGTTCGTGATGTGGCTGTAATCTCCATCAAATAGAAAAAAGACAGTTCTGTCTAGTAACACTACTGTGCTTTAGTTGTGCTGTAAGTTTATCAGATGTATGCATCTGATCGGCACACATCCTCTCAGGAAAAAACAGTAAATAAGACAAACTTTGAGGCTTTTCTCATAAAAATGATGATTATCACTCTGCTTGCAGTTATAGTGGCTTTTATTACATCAGGGCATCTGTATCCTGCACACTTATAAATATACAGAGCTTTGACTTTGGCAGCATTTCAAGAAATACTGTTTATTCCTTTTCATTTTAAGATTAATCTAGAGTGACTTGCTTGATAAATGGAGGCCCTGCTGTATATGTTTGTGCATTATTTCACTGCAAAATACCATTAGGGTTTACGAGAAATGGAGGCTGTGGTGTGTATGTGGAGTCCACACCCCAGCGGCTGACAGTGTGACAGGGCTGTGGTGCAAAGAAGTCAGGAGGGATGCATCCTGAAGCAGTTTGGAAACCACAGAGCTACCACAGACAGGCACAGACAAGCATGGAATTAAAGGGCAACACGTTTTAGCTCAGAATAATTAAGGATGGATTGGACTTGTTATGGATTGCAGCAGTATTTACTTTTAAAGGTGTCTCTAGGAATGTGTTTGTTCTCCATATACTGTGGAAACAGAGAACCAGGCATCCAATAAATAATAATAGATTTATAAAATGTTGATTCTTTCCCACTGAAGCTGTGCTGTGCACCGATAGTGAGTCATTTGACAACAAAACGTAATAAACACTGTTGGTTCTCTTCAAAGACGGTCTCCATTGAATGAAACCTTAGGTAATGAGGTTTGGGAAAGAAGCCAAATAGAGAAAGGATGTGTTGACATGTTTTACAGTTGTCTCTCTGCTGAGTGGTTATTAATGAGCGGTATCAGGTCACACCACCTTTTGTTCTGTCTGCCCTTGTGGTGTAGAGAGGCAGGAGCATGGGACAGGGTTCGGTCTTGTGATGCAGGCACAGTGTATCTATTCATTTTGACTTTAAAGTGTCGCTTTTATAAACACATTTTTTTTTTTTTTTCATAATTGTTGACTAAGCTGCTTTTTGCAAAATATTTGAAGTGAAGTCCGGGAATGTGTTTTCTAATTTGCAAATTCAGATACCAAGGAGTATTTTCTTTTCTTTTTGGTCTTACAAACTTATTTTAGGTGTTTTGTTTTTTTAGCTTCATTTTGATCTCCACCAACTTCTGGGGAAACTATTTTTACTAGGACCGTCAAATGATACATTATCTGACGACCGGATATATCAGATATACTGAAATAACTGGTCACTCATCAATGTCCAGGGATCTTTGGATAACATCATTATTTATTTATTTTCATTTTCGATGCTTTCTCTGTTTCAGTTCTTTAATGAATTCTGCTTTTATTTCCCAGAGGCAGTAAGGTAGCGCTGGGCCATAAACCGAAAATTTGCCGATAGTGAAATTTACGACAATAACTGACGTCATTTCGCTCTTGTCAATATATTTGGTGTAAAAAATAAATAATAAAAGTTGGTTTTGGATGTGTGTAGGGAGACTAAGGTTTCATGTCCCTTTTAAGCTGCTGTTGGAGATGTGACTCCACCCCATCCAGTTTATAACAAGAGGGAAAGACAGGTGAGGAGATGGTGGACGGTTCAAAAGTTGTAGTGGCTGAAGTAGACGAAGTTAATGTGGGATGGGGTGAGCAGCTTGTGGAGTAGTTATTGTCCATTTATCGATATTGAGGTGAATTGTTTAATATATCGTGATATTGATTTGAGGCCATATCGCCCAGCCCTACAGTAAGGCATAGTTGGTCACATTGGCCATCTTGAATACATTGGCTTTTTTAATGTGGTTGCCCGATGGCATCAGTTTGGTTAGCCATCCATGAGTCAAAGTTGACGTTCTTTGTTTTACATTTTAAAGTGATTTTTAAGGGCATATTAATGATGTAAAGCAGTTATTGCCAGTGTCTTGATTCACTATTCACGGTTCTTGATTTGTGTGGTCAAAACACTTTGATAAGTAAAGCATGGAACGAGTGGAAGGAAATAAAAAGATGTAGCTCAGGAGGTAGAGCGATCAGCCAATAACTGGAAGGTTGGCAGTACAAACCCTTCCCGTAAGCCTAGTCTGCCCGTTGTGTCCTTGGGCAAGACACTAAACCCACCTTGCTCCCAGTGTGTGTGTCCTCCACTGGTGAATGATTGTGAATGATGTGTGGTGGTGGTTGGAGAGGCCGTAGGCGCAAACTGGCAGCCACGTTTCCATCAGTCTGTCCCAGGGCAGCTGTGACTACTAAGGTAGTTTACCACCACCAAGGTGTGACTTTGTGAGCGAATGAATGATGTATCCAGTGTAAAGCGCTTTGAGGTCACTGACAAAAAGCGCTGTAAAAATCTGATGGATTATTATTATTATTTGTGTAGATTTGGAAGGAGATTGGTGGATTTGCGCAATCATCCAAGATCAGCATAGCTCCTGCGTTGTTAACCTTGATCTGTGAAACACAAAATCAATTTTAATAGCCTCGCTGTGCAGACTGTGCAGTGTAAACACAACTTTTCCACTGTTACCGCTCATAGTTCATACATTACAGCGCAGCTTTTACTTGACGGCGGACTGATTGTTGAGCTTTCAGTCAACATCTATTAGATCCTGTGTGATGGGGGGGGTCTGTGTGTGTTTACATATACAGCAGTTGTTAGGGAGCAGATTCAGTGATTGATGTGTCATTTTTCCATTATGAAGGTGATATGTGATCGTTACAAAGAAAGAGAAGCTGACAGTAAGGAAGTGAGACAACGAGGAAAAGTCCATATCAGTGATTGGTCTCTGCTGCTATCAGGGGAAAAAGGAAATGGTACGCAGGGACACTGGGCTGCTTCTGCCATTGAGGCTTTTGTCCTGGCTATCTGTTTGCACTGGCAACAAAGTGAGGGACAAAAACAGGCCAAGGTGTGAGAACAGGGGCAAGAGCATGAGAAGACAAGAAGAGAAGAGAAGGGTCTTGTTTTCCTGCAGAAAAATGAAAACAAAAACCGTGAAAAACAGGGAGAGGGAGATTTGGAGTATTCTCTGATTGAGAAAGTAGATAATGGGTCGAGTGTTGCAGGAAGCAGCTCCTTCCATTGGCTCTATGCCAGAGGAAAAACAACGGAGAACCCTAACACCCACAGCTCAAGAGAATATGATTAACTCTTCCTTTACGTGTGTGTGTGTGTGTGTGCGCACTGTCTTAACTCAAGTGTTTACATTAGGGAAATGAGCTCTTTGGCTACCACTGCCCTGTTCTTTGAAGGTTGAGTGAGCATGAACACAAACACACACACACACACACACTAAAGCATTACTGGCAGTTGCTGTCACTGGCGGCGATTTCAGCGGGCTGATTTTATTGGTGCTCTGTGCTCTGTTGGTAACAGACTTGGCTCTTGGTCCAGCCTGTTTCCTAGATTTTGATTGGGTAGCATGTCAGTGGTTGAGGTTCAGGTGAGGGGTAGATTGTAATAATGGGGCGTTATTAGGTAAGAGCATTTTGTAATTTGCAATTTTAACACCCCTCGAAACGTATTAAACTGGAATAGTGTTAAACCCTAACAGATGCTCACACACATTCGGTCGCTGCACATTAGAAGTCCCAGAGCAGTGTGTGCTGTTCCCAAGGAAACAGACCCTCCTCAAATGAGCCAACAGAAGAAAAAAAAAATTGGAAACCAAACTGAGGCCGTCTATTTTTGTTAGCATTCATAGTGTCTCAGTGTGTGTCCACAGTGAAAATATTGTGGGAGCCTACCCATGACAATATTTCACAGAATGATTATACCGCCATAAATATAAGACCCAGTTCAGGATCATAGTCTGTTAACCTGTTCTGTTTCTAAGACATAAACGTTTAGTTACTTTTTCTCTTTCAACACCTATTTTGTTTTTGAAATGTTATTTTTTCTTTTCTTTTCGCTTTTTGTATTATGACTATGCTGTACTTAAAAAATGATTGCAAATTGGACTAAAAAGGACAAAAGATCTAATAACAGAGAGAGAAGGTAAAGTAGAAAGAGTAACTGCAACAGGAACAAGCAAAAGACAAAAAAAAAACAAATACAAGCATTACAAAGATAATGAATTGATTAAAAAGATCCAACCCACTTTATTTATACAGGACATTTAAAAAACAATTAAGTTTAACAAAGTGTTGCACAGTGCAATAAAATAAGTTAGAAATACACAGAGCATGAAATGTTAAAATAAAAGAATCATAATAAAAACCACAGAAAAACACTTTAAAATTAAACAATGAAGAAATAAAATAAAATAAAAACACTGTTAGAGCAAAAAACAAACAAACAAAAACAAAACAAAAGAACAGACAGAGACAGATCACACAACTCCCATGCTGGGTTAAAAGCCAAGGAGTAAAAATATGTTTTCATGCGGGATTTAAAAATCGTTAAAGTTGGGGACAATCTAACATGAAGGGGGAGCTTGTTCCATAAATTAGAGGCCAGATGAAGATAAATATGTGATATGAAGATGAAAAGTCAGCATCACATGAATAAACAGTCTAAAAAATGGGCTTTAAGAAGTGATTCAAATGATCAATGTCATTGATCCCATGAGTCTTATTGTCCCAAACCTTAACATGCTTTAAAAGTAATCAATTAAATCAGTTCTTTGTCAAACTGGGAGCCAGTGAAGCCAAAACTGGGTTGATGTCATAAAATATAAGAAAAATTCCAATAAAAACCAGAGAGAAGTCTTGTTTTCAGACTGGCAGAAGAGGACAGACTGCTTTTTCCATTTTTGCCAAAGAGGAAAACAGCAGTTAAGTTGTAATGAGTTTGAATACATGATACTTTATAAAAGTTTACTGAAACTTTGAATGTATTTTTTGAAACCTTTTTGCTTTTGAAATCAGATACTTCACAAAGTAAACTCAAATAAGACCTCCTCAAAAAAGAATTTTTGAAAACTTCAAATCCTTCTTTTGTAACTCCAGAACCCCTGTTTTGAGCTTAATTAACATGTGCAATAAACTCCCTAAAAATTGTAGAAATGTCAGTGATCAGCTGCATGTGTGAATGCAAACAACAGATTTTTTTTCCCTAACTCCATCCATAACCTTCTTGCCAGTGCTGCAGTGAAATATCTAGAAGAAGTCAGGATGAGCTAGAGTGGGAACGTAGCAGATAGATGTCAGAAAAATTCACCACAAGCAGAGGTTCTGCTAGTCAAGAGGCAAGACAGGCAACTGCCCAGGCCAAAAGGGGCCCCTCAGTGGCTGACAAACTTTAAACAACAGCAACAGCTCAAAATGTGCCAAGTTTGCAAGGACAGTAGGAAACCTTCTTACCAAAGTGGGCCCCATATGGCAGCCCTGACTTTCACTGTGCTGTAAAGAGTTTTTGCTGTGCAAAAATGACAACAAGTAAAATGGTGATCAGGAATGACGTTATCTTATGCAACTAGGGCACGAGTGGTGTGATTAGGACTGGGTGATTTGGCAAAAAAAATGATCTTGATATATTTTGTCATATAGTCCGATCTCGATTATTATCACGATTTTTTTTTTTTGTGTAATTTTTTAAACTGCCAGTTTTAAATCATCCGTACTGAAAACTAAAGAAACTAGAAATTATTTCAACATTTTATTAACATACAAAGTAAATAACAGAGCAAATTGAGTAAGTTAAACTAAGAAAAATATAAAAAACATTGTTATTCAACAGATAAATACTAAATAATACAGTGAACTAGTTTACAGTCCTGAGTGTGTCTGCAGATACGCAAGACCCAAAATAAACAAATCGCCCCATCAGGGATAATGACGACCCACTCAAACGTCACTTTGGAGATACCGGAACCACCGCCATAAAACCGGCATTGAATAACTTTAGGAGCATCTTTGGAGGATGACTCAAATTCGTGTCTGACATCTATTTTGCTGCCCTCAGCTCCGCGTTTAGCTCCACATTCGGTCATCCTGTTTACTTTCCCTGTTTACTTCTCCGGCAACTTACAGAAGTGAGCAGGAAAAGCTCGACTCTGATTGGCTGTTGTGACCCACAGTTCTACTACGCTTGATCGAGTAAATATGCTCACAGCTCATCACCGTGATCGGACTTTGGAAGCTTTCATAAAGTTTAGCTCAGTCAATTACCTAAAATGAATTTGAATACCTGGCTGAGACATCCAAGGCCATGAAAACACTAAGTCTAAGTTGACGTCACCGAGCTTCTACTTATCCAGCCTGTTTTTTTCTCCCGTGTCATAACCATCACCTTTGCTCAAAGCACAATAATTCAACCCCATTCAGACATGATATGGCACTCCTGCAGGTACAAATGTCTCATTCTGCTCAATGAAGGCAGCGGAATTCATGTCCATGTGTATGTAATGTGAGGTGAGGTAAGTGATTAATCACTTCTCTGCATCTTGTTTCAGTTGTACGACTCCCGGCCAACTGTTTGCATGTTCCCTAAATGGGCTGCAGTGCTGTAACTTTTTTCCATGCCAATTTGTAAATCAATCTACGCAAATAGAAACGATTAAGTTTGTTGCAATGTAAAACAAACCGCGAGTCAATGACTTTTGCTGCTTTCATGCTTCAATTTAGCAATAACTGCGAGTGTGTGTGTGTGTGCATTCTTGTGTGCGTATTTGGATGTCTGTGTTTCTTCCTCCAAAGCTAATTAGCACTACTTTACTAATAAGTAAATTCCCTCAGAGGTACTTGATAATGAGCTTCAGACTTTGTGTGAGTTTGTGTGTGTGTGTGTGTGTGTGTGTGTGTGTGTGTGTGTGTGTCTGGAAGAGCAAGATTTAGGTCCCCTGACAAAGGACCGTGTGAATAGTTGTAGATGATTTTTTGCGTCCACACATTTATGTGAGAACAGTGCAGGGAATATAAAGAATTACCTGTGTGTCTTAGTTTGTGAGTGTGTTGCCTTTTTCAGGGGTTGTGTAGTCCTTAGGGCATTTGAACCATTTTCCTCTTAGTCTGCAAAGATGAGGCGAGATAGACATCCTAATTTTCTGCATCAGGGCTCCACAATCTGCCTCCCAGTATTTCTTCTTTCCTCTGTTGTGTACAGACATTTAATCGGGTGCTTTTGTCTATTTTTAGCTGCTAAATGTGTTTTAGTAAGTCTGTAGTCTGAGTCTGGTGATTTGTGTGTGAGAAAGAGAGAGAGACAGGTAGTTGACATTAGGGTTAATGTTATGGATCACCTCTTTAGTAGGTGCAGCTGGCTTAAATGTTCATTTAACTGTTGTAACTGATGTGTGTGTGAGTGTGTGTGTGTATTTATTATTTATAGCTGTTCCATTTCTTCTTCCTATGTTTCCCTGACAGGCTGTCATTGTTTGTAGTCTCTCTGTGTTTGTTTGTGTGTCCTGATTTGATGCAGGGGTTTGTCAAGTCTTTCCTGAATTCTGTCGTACTTGTCATGGGAATGTTTAACTTTTCTAGGATGGGATAGAGAGCCCCTGAAGAAGTATGTAGGGCATGAAATGTAGACACACACATGTACTGTATATACTGTATATATTCATGTAGTATGTGGGGCAGAAGCCCAGAGATAATTTTCAGTCTGTCTTTAAATGAACGATTTATTGTTTAATGGATGAAAAGTCATAAAACCCTCCATGAGGCCTTCATTTATCTTTAATCATCTGACCTTGAAGTGTGAAAACATTGATTTGGCCTGATATTGAATAGAGAGAAGCAGGAAATCCCACATTTAACAAGCTTTAAAGAATAAATGAACTTCTTTAATAATCAAGTAATGATCACATGTTGTGGCATTTTTCTCTCAATTTACTTATTTCATGAATTAACTCAGGCCTGCATGGAAATGACGTGTCTTTCTTTGTAGTTAAAAGGCATTTTTTTGTGAAGTGCCTCAAGCTCTTGAGATAAACAGACCCAGAAGTGCCCCTCCATGAAACAGCGAACAGCTTTACTGATTGAAAAAGTTTGTATTTCTGTATTTAAACATTATCAAGTCACTGATGATTAAGTCTGTTAAGGGTTACGAATTGGCAATAAACGGAGAGGCCAGAACAACATTAATGGATAAAATAATCTAGAAACTGTCTGTAAAGACCCTGAAAAAAAATCAAAAACATTTCTGTGAGAAACTCTGACAAACTTTTAGAAAAGGTTTCAAAACTTATAAAGTTACCGAAAACGTCTAAACACTTTCTTCTTCTTCTTCTTTTTCTTCTTCTTCTTCTTCTTCTTCATTTTTGATTCATTTTAAGTATTTCTTTTTCCTTCCTTACATGTTTCCTCCTTTTTCTATATTTTTTCCATAATTTCCTTTTTTTATCCTTCATTGTCTCATTTTTCTTTCCCCTTTCAGTGCCTTATTTGTCCTTTTTTTCCTGCCTCCTTTGTTATTTTATTGTCGTATGTTAAACGCTACATGCTACACCTCAGACCTATAAATATCACACAGAAAAGACGGACAGGGTCGAGTACACACTGAGAAAGGAGGAGTGAGGCATCACCTCCAACCCTTTAATTGCACAGCGGCAGCACGCTCACAGCTACAAACACACTCTTCTAATGAGTCCATTTTGCTGAACACGGGACACTCCTTTTCCTCCACATCCACTTCACGTTAATAATTGGCTAAAACAGCACACATATGGGATCTGTGGTTTTAGATACATTACCCTCGGTGTCAAGGTCAGCTCCAGTAATTAAAGTGTCTCATCTGTCTGCAGGCTGCTGTCTGTATCTCTGACTGTCTGAGCGTCATAAAAAGTGGCAGGGCAAGCACACTGCTGCTGAATTGGTGTGTTTTACAACCCTTAATCACTTCCTGGAAGACCCTCCTCTCTAAAAACTGCTCTTGTGAGCTGAGTGTGCGAGAGTTTGTGTGCCTGCGTTAGTAACGGTGTGTGGTATGGGGATTATTGTGCGTTTTCATGGTGGGTGCGGTTCTTAAATGCATGCTTGAGAAGAACCATGTGCAAACTGAAGATATCGTGGGTTGTGTGGAGCTGAGTGTGTGTGTGCGTGTGTGGGTGGGTGTGTGTGTGTGTTCAGTATTTGCCTCTGGAGTCACCGTGTGTGTGTCTTTGTGATTTGTCCTCTTCAGCAGCTGCATGTGGTCAGGGGTTTCTCTGTACACTGAGTATGTGTGTGTGTCTTTGTTTTAAGCATCCCATGGGGAGTTTGTGGTGCTGTCTCAGTGTGTGGCAGAGTTGATTTGCATCCCCGGAAGATTGACTTGGAGTGGGTTTAGCAGGACCAAGAGCTCCGATACTGCTTGCTCATGGCTTTTTCTGCAGCTTAAAGTGATTACTTCTCCTATGTGTCCATATTGTACCTCTGAAAGCCCAAGATTAACGCAGGGCTGTGTCACAGATTTCCTGTTTTTGTGTACATTGAATTATGTGGGAGCAACAGTGTACCCTGAGTTTACTCACTTTTTATCAGCGCTGCAACACAAGCATATAAAAAAAAAGTCGCTGACTGCTTTAAGTGGCTCTCCACTTATCAGTTGTGCCCAAGAGACTTTTTGCAAGCAAACAACTTGAAGTGACACTAAATTTAAATACTTGGCCCTCATTCTGTCTGTCACCGAGCTAAAAGATGTCCAATATGCTTCGCCTTTGGACTCATCTAATCAAGGATTATTTTACGACTCGGATGTCAGGTGAAAGCAATTAACTGCAGTGAACTACCTGTCAGGACACAGAACTGTGAGTTCCCAGCTGCAGGATTAACAGCTGATGTAATAATGAGTTATCAGCCAAAGTCAGCCTTATCATCACCAGTGGCCCTCTGTGCTCTAGTTTCTGTCAGAACTTTGCGTTTTCTGCCTCATTACTAATTTTCCACACGTCCACTGTCTTTCTATATCAGCAGAGCACACAAGTATGTTGGCATTGATGTGTTTGTATCCTCGGGCTTTTTTTTCTGTTTGACATTTCTGTTTAGTTCCACTCTTGCATAAATATCTTGTTTGTTTTTCCAAGTGTCAGACTGCAGATTTAACGAAGTTTACTCATCTTTCCTCTTGCAGTTGATTGGAAAGTTTAGAGACTGATTGAGAGAAGTAAAAATGGGTAAACACGTCATATGGCCAAGGTTAGATACCTTTCTTTAACTTCTGGGGTTTGAAATGAAGGGGTCGAACAGACTTTTGCAATAAATATCTCAGATTACTCAGTCCGTCTCTTCAGCCTAAACAAACACTTTTTAAACTGATCATTGACTGTTAACAAAGATCGATGAGGTGTCTTTACATCCCCCACTGTACGAAAGCGATACCAAAATGCTACTGTGATGGGTGCTGACATATTTCCCTAGTGGTGCTGCTCTCTCTGTAACCCAAACCGCTGTAACAACTGCACTATAGCAATACACAGCAGTCTAAGGAGCCACGCACAAACCTCAACCAGAAAGCCACTCTACAGCCACAAATAATGCTCAGAACAGCACCTAACTTCATCAACAGTACATATCGGGTCCCAGCCACAGCACTAGCCACCAAACATCTTTTTAGCCCTGCCTAATTTCTTTAGCAAAGAGACTAAACACAACTTACCCACCATATCAATCATTTTGCACTGCAGACGTGGTAGTTCTTCTGCCTTAGCGTCTCGGTCTAATTGCATTTCCATGAAGATATTATCATAAATGTTCTTCCTTGAGCTGCATAACCCCGCTGCAGTCGGTGATGGACTCCTCTGACTCCTTGAGTGATGATGTTTGAGTGAGTGTTGGCCCGGTTGAAGTACTTCAAGACTGGAAAACAAACAAACAAATAAATAAAGAAAGGGGTGTGACGTTAAGAAAAAGTGAGCAGACCTCTGTATTCTTGCCAAAGAGGTCTGTCGCTTCAGTAACTGTTATTAAAAAGCCCTAAATCTGAATTCAAATGGAAAGTATGATGGTTAATTGATGTAGAGTTAGATTTAATAAAGGGGATAATATCTCAGGTCCTGCCATATCAGTCTCTGAATCCTCTCTAAAAAGGTCAATGGTGAGATGGTAAATGGTTGGAAATAAATGGATGAAGTCCTAAATGTCAGTGTAATTTGGGTTTACTGCTGTACCGTGGATTAGCAGTGATTCTAATGCGTGAACAGTAACAATGAAGGTAAGCAGGAGTATTTAACCAACACTGGATATGCGTAGTGAGGTTTCATTCACAACAACAAAAGTCCTTTCCCTGTCATTAACCAGAGCCCTGAAAAGACTAAATAAACAGACATAACTCATGTATATGTCTTTCATCATCGCGTCATTATTTGCACTCATTTTCTCACAGTTTCTTGTTCAGACTGAAAATAACCCAGAGATCATTGCAGAGCATATGTGCTGTGTGTGGATCAGATTGTCATGCTTCATCTGCACAGCACAGTGAAACATTTCACAGCCTTGTTACTGGGAGGTCATTGTTCAGTGCCTGACCCGTTTACATTCTTGGTGTATGGTAAATTAATCCTTTATGCTTGACACATTGTTCTCCTTTGTCCTCTTTTCTCAGGATTCGTCCTCAGATGGCCAAGGAGAAGATCGAGGGCTGTCACGTGTGCACGCTGGTCACACCTGGAGAACCACAAGTCCTGCTGGGGAAGGACAAAGCCTTCACGTACGACTTCGTGTTTGACCTTAACTCTGAGCAGCACCAGATCTACCAGGCTTGTGTGTTTAAGCTCATCGAGGGCTGCTTTGAGGGATACAACGCCACCGTATTTGCTTATGGGCAGGTACGACATTCACGCTTGGAATTTTATATTAGGGATAAATAATTCACAATGTTTTCTGTCCCAGGGTGTTGGTTATTCATCTTTTTTTTACACCAACCTAATTTTTTCATCCATTAAATGTGCTGTGCCAGAAAGTTTGGGGCTGTTTCTTAGCTTTTTTCTTTATGAAAGTCCTCAAGTGGACTCTTCATCAGCCCAATATTAGAAGAAAAAAAAAGAAAAGACCGTGAAGCACCAAACATAGACTGCTCCCGTAAGTCGGATAAGAAATACAAGAGGTACCATAACAGTACTTGATAGGTTTTGATGGTATGGCAGTAATGTGCAACGCAAAAGAGCCATATCATTGGTGTTTATTCCAAGGAGACCTCCGGAGCTATCTTAAAAAAAAGAAAAAGCTCACGTTTTCTCAGATTCTGAGTAGTTTGTGTCTTAATGTTAAGCATAAAGCTTCAGGTGAAAGTTTTATTAACCAAATACTGACATTTGTGATTATTAAATGTACTATTGAAGTTTAACGCGTGTAAAGGAACATTACAAAGTAAAATGTAAAATATTGTTTGGTTATTTTAAGTAAAACTTTCTGATGTTTCTGTTGTTGGATGGATCCTTTACAGCCTGGAGATAATTACCACTTTATGGTCTGTTAATTAGCCCTTTTAAAGCTCCTGTTGGGGGGGGTGTAAGTCTGAATGTTACAGACTGAAATGAATACTTCTTGATGTTTCCTAGCTCCCTGTGAAAGAAAAAGCGTCCATCAGCTTAAAGTCGAACAATTTCTATGCAGTAGCATTTAATACCTGTGGAGAAATTGTCAGACAAAGTGGTAAAACAGATTGCTGCACATTTTCCACAGCAGATATTTGCAGTGAGTAATGTGCTTTGCTGGTTAATTAAAGGAAGAAGGACGAGTTTCTGTTCAAATAAAACCACTTTGTATGTACATGACAAAGAAAAAGTAGAAATATAAGTGGCACTGCTGCAAGAGATGTCAGAGTCAACAAATGTACCCACAGGGACTTTAGAGGTGTTTTTAACTTGTTGAGAAAACAGTCTCAAACTGATTTCTCTTTATGTCCTTCAAAAGCAAATAAGACCACCAGGAACATGTAAAGTATTGTTTCTGTAGACTCCTTCAATGCTTAAAACCACTGGGAGGGCATAGGTTTCAGACGAAATGATTGACAGCCTCTTTGACTTTTCACACAGCAAATACTCAGAGTGGTACAGTAATTTACATTGTTGTGAAAGACGTTTTTCACTGAAAATACAACTTTGACATTCAGATAAGAGGTATCTCATGGAACACCAAAATCAACACAGACCAAGAGTTTCTCACAGCAGCTTTAAAGGGATATTCCATCGTTAAATTAATTTAGGGTCAAATACACTGTAACACCGAGTTAGACACCCCCTCGAGAGATGAATGTTGCCGACCGCTTGCTTCTCTAGTTATACCAACTTTAGTAACGACCGCACAATAGCAATACACAGCAGTCTGAGGAGCCATAAACAAACCTCAACCAAAAAGCCACTTTATAGCCACAAATAATGCTCAGAACAGCACCTAACTTCATCAACAGTACATATAGGGTCCCAGCCATAGTACTAGCCATCAAACAAATTTTTAACTTTGCCTGATTTCTTTAGCAAAGAGACTAAAGACAACTTACCCACTCTCTTCCAGCAGCCAGTGTTTGTAGCGAGACCTCAGGCCAGTCCATTACAGACTACGGGGTGACGCAGCTCAAGGAAGAACATTTATAATCATTTCTTTATCATTTCTTTGAAGTAATAATCATCATATTAATCATTTTGCAGACACATTAGTTCTTCTGTCTTAGCATCTCGGTCTGATTGCATTTCCATGAAGAAATGATCATAAATGTTCTTCCTTGAGCTGCGTCACCCCGTAGTCTGTAATGGACTGGCCTGAGGTCTCGCTACAAACACCGGCTGCTGGAAGAGAGTAGGTGTGAGTTGTGTTTAGTCTCTTTTCTAAAGAAATCAGGCAAAGTTAAAAATATGTTTGGTGGCTAGTGCTATGGCTGGGACCCTATATGTACTGTTGATGAAGTTAGGTGCTGTTCTGAGCATTATTTGTGGCTGTAGAGTGGCGTTTTGGTTAAGCATGTGGCTCCTGAGACCACTATGTATTGCTGTTGGGTGGTCGTTACTAAAGTTGCTATAACTAAAGAAGCAAGTGGTCGGCAATGTGAATCACTCGAGGGGGTGTCGAACTCGGTGTTGCGGTGTGTTTGACCCTAAATTAATCTTATGCTGGAATATCCCTTTATTACAAAAATGGACAAGAAAGAATAATAAGAGTCCTGGAAAGAGATTTTTTTTGAATATTTTAAAAACAACCGTGTCCAAAGCAAGTTTTGGCAAAGATTTAGTTAGCTGAAGAAAATGAGACAAATGTAAATAAAATGAGGGTGTTAAACATTTGTCGTGATGGTCTGTAGTATATCTGTGCTTCAAAATAAAACAACTGGATAAACAAAGTATAGTATGTGAGCTGTTGAAAGGACAGTCACTGACACCTGATGTTTTGTGTTTCAGACCGGATCGGGGAAGACCTACACCATGGGAACGGGCTTTGATGTGAACCTGAGCCAGCAGGAGCAGGGCATCATCCCACGGGCCGTTCACCAGCTGTTTGAAGGGATCCAGAACAGGAGGACGCGTGCCCAGCAAACCGGCAGCCAGCCACCCGAGTTTAAAGTCAGCGCCCAGTTCCTAGAGGTGGGTGTACAGATCTTCATGGGAGCAGAGCACAAGAGCAGCCTCACTCTTAGATTAGCTAATTGATCTAATCTGTTAACAGTGCAGCATTGATGATCTTGCTGCATGTGGGTAGGGGTCCATGTTAACTGTAACCAGATGGGACAAAACATGCAGCCGTGAGGATCAACCCCCTCTCCGACAAACAGGAAGTGACAACCCAATGACAGATGGGCAGGAGTGTGTGCTTTGTTGGTCCTGATTAATGTGTGCCATTACCTCGGACATTATTCCTCATCACTGTGGGGCAGGAGACGGATACGAGCGAGGGATAAGAGGGAAGGCGGGCTGCTTGTGTAGGAGCAGTGAGATAATATGACGAGTCATCATTTCCACTCAAGGTTTCTGGCAGGCACATGTTTGTTTTGTCTTTAGAGGTGAATGATTGAAGATATCACTGCACTCATGATTTGATTACTTTGATATTGTATGAAAAAATAAATAAATACAGAAACATCATTTTTCCTGCCATATATCGTTCTCTTTTTCTGCCCTGCTCTCGGTTGTTAGTCTTTGTTTTGGACCTCTGGGGTCAAAAGGTTATCTGTGTTGATGGTAAACAGATGTGTGTTTGTGTGTGTAATTGTGTTAGCGTGTGTGTTTGGCAGTAGATGGGAACAGCTGAGCTTTCAGCTGACCCTTGGCCCTCGTTTGTTTCCCAGAGGTCATTCTTTCGACCTTTGTGTGAATGAGAAACACAGCTGAGGACCAACAGGGGCACAGACATGAAATAAACAAGTAATTAATGCGAGTACAATGCTCTTAAAAAATAGTGTCAGGTATGTGAAGGTTGTAGTGTGACACCTTTGTGTTCCTGTTTTTTTAATGCAGTTGTACAATGAGGAGATCCTGGACCTGTTTGATGGAACCCGAGATCCAGAGAGTCGCAGCAGGAAGTCCAACATTAAGATCCACGAGGACTCCAGTGGCAGCATCTACACAACAGGAGTCACCTCCAGACTGGTGCACACAGAGGAGGAGGTGAGGACGTGTGTGTGAGTGCGTGAGTGCGTGCGTGCGTGCGTGTGTGTGTGTTGGTGAGCATACCATCTGTCAATATAACTTAAAGCTCCTTTAAGAAACTTTAGGTTGTGCCAATTTTGGCGCCCCCTGTGGACAAAGCAGTCTTTTTTTTTATTTTGTCATGACATCCTGCTGAATTTTGACAGAAAACATGTCAGTTATTGAAAATATTTTGCATAGACGTGGTGAAAACAGGGCTTCCTCTTCAGCTGCTTGGCTGACAAGTACCCCCTGGCACTGGTTCACGACATTAAAAATTATAATACAAAAGTTGTCAGTCTTGTTTCTGATGATCTAGTTTGCTTTTAGATATCATGGAAAACACATCAATACGATATCCAGTAGATTTCATAAACATGAAAAAGCCCCTAGCAGGAGCTTTAAACAAGAAAAATATGTCTTATAAAGTTTTAAGACCTTCTGGGACTAAATTTAAATGATTGCTTGGGTATCAGTATCAGATACCCAATTGCGTAATTGTATTCATGTTAAAAGTTATGGAAGCTTTAGCCTTCGTTCTCCGACTCAGACACGAAATCTACTTTTGCTTTCTGTCTCCAAAGTTCGTCTTGAAATGGGCAAAAGAAGTTTTAGATATACTGCTCCTGCAGACTGGAATCTGCTACAAGAAAAATTGTGTCTTGGAGAGTTAGTCTCTTTAAATCTTTGTAAATGTAGATAAAAGGCCCTAGAAGAAGATGAAGCAGGCTGTAAATGCTTTGACTGAAAATGTTCTGCTCTGCAACTTCGACTTCGCTGGTTGTTATGTTTGTAGCTAATTAATTATAATATTTTCTTCTGCTTTCTGTTTAAAATTTTAGATACTGAATTTAACTTATAGAGATTATGATCATAAAGCAAGCTAAAAAGGGTTTTGAAGCAGTTATAATGTAAAAAAATATGACAGCGCTTGGAAAAGTGTCAAAGCTTCTATGCTTTTCAACAGAGAGAGTAATAAAGGGTTAACTGCAAAGACATGGTGAATGTTGACAGGTTGAGGCAGAGCATGAGAGCTGCGAGAAATCTCCAGCACCCCCACACTCTGACAACAACCATCTGGCGGTCAGTCCTCAAAAACAGCAAACAGGTTGAAAGATGATAAGGGGGACTCTGCTCCAATCTTTTGCCTCTAAGCATTTTAGACTGTACTTTCTGAGAAGCTGCCAGATATAAGAAATGTGAAGCACATCAGCTGTGGCAGTGTGAAAGAGATGGGGTCGAGAGGGCAGGAGGAATGTCTGCCAGTGGAGATATGACAAACCACTCACAAAGAGGTTAAGGGGTGGCAGGTGGGGATTTAAGGGAGGAAGGCTGAGGTCAAAACACTTAGGGATTTATTTAGTGTCCTCTCAAATAGAGTCGAAAGAAAACGTAAGCAGTGATGGACAAAGGAAGGGAAAAAGAGGGTAAATTCAGTGGAGGTCATCGGCCTGTTAAATCCACTAGATTCTGTCACCTGAGAGAAAAGTAGAGACAGATGGGAACTTCTGAAAGAGAGAAAATGTCAGAACAGAGGGAAGAAGAGAGGTGATGGGAAAATGAGCGAGAGAAAAGGAAATGACTTGCTAATGAGGATGAGAAAGTCTTACAGTTGGTAGTGTGTTAATCTGTAGAAATGCAAAAAAAAGCTGATAGCAAGTTTGAAATTAACCAAAATTTACATCTGTGTAAAATCCACTGATACAAGGTTCTGTGCTCAAAGGCTGTTTATCTAGCAATACTCCAGCATAGAGTGAACAGAGCTGGTAATAATAATCAAACATGTGCTTTTTGTGTTTGTGTTGCAGCTGCTGCAGTGTCTGAAGCTCGGTGCTCTGTCCCGCACCACAGCCAGCACCCAGATGAACGCACAAAGCTCCCGCTCACACGCCATCTTCACCATCCACCTCTGTCAGATGAGGGTGTGCCAGCAGCCTGAAATGGTGAGGCTGCTGTTCGGCTTTTTCGATTTTAATCAACAATAATAAATCGTATGTTGAAAAGATGTTGAAATACTTTCAGGAGAACATCAAAAAAGATCAGATGATGAAAGTAATTTCAATAAATGAACAAAAACAAAAGAACTTTATTTAGTTTCCTAGCCAAGGTAGTGTTGCAGGTGATGAAATAATTGTTGTTTTAAAGTAAGAAATTCCTGCTGATGAACTTCTCTTTGATTGTTTATGTCTACCCCCGCTTGCAGAACGGAGGAGGGGAGAACGGGGAGTTGAACGGTGTAGATTCAGGACCCATCGCACAACCGGAGTTTGAGACCCTGATGGCAAAGTTTCACTTTGTCGACCTGGCCGGCTCTGAGAGGCTGAAACGCACCGGAGCGACAGGAGACAGAGCCCGAGAGGGAATCTCCATTAACTGTGGACTGGTGAGTGTGTTCACCCAATCACACAGGGTTCCTAAACAAGTATGAAAAGTATGGAAATAAATTTGATTAATTTCCAGGTCTTAAAAAGTATGGAAAATGAAAAACAAAGTGTGGAAAAATATTCATGTTTCTAGACTCTTATCAAAGTTCTCAAATGCTGTTTTCTAAAATACAAAAGAAGGTATTTCCAACAAGAATTCTAAAAATTGGGGTATGGAAAAGTCTGGGAATTCCAACTGTGTAGGAACCCTGATCACACGTTTGTACTATTTCAGGACAATTTGTGTTTTTTGATGCAGCAAAAGCAAAATAATTTTTGATCAGGTCTTGTATATGTGTGTATGCCTATGTGTGTTTGTTCAAATGTGTGTATATGTATGTGTTTTTTTTTAAGTTGGCCCTGGGAAATGTGATCAGCGCTCTAGGAGATCAGAGTAAGAAGGGGGGACATGTCCCATACAGAGACTCTAAACTCACCCGTCTACTACAGGACTCACTGGGAGGCAACAGGTATGAACACACACACACTTGAAAACATATTTTACACACAGGCAAATTATTCATATGCACAAAAAAACAAATACATCCCTTAGTTTAAAATTTTTGGTGTATTTTTGCCCAGATCTGTACAGCTCATGGAAAAAATTGAGTGAAAGCACTGCTCACATTCAAGCTGTTTCGATGCAATTACACAGCCAGACACAGGTCAAAGCACATTAAAAGGATCCACATTTCTTTGGCTCTTGAAGCTGATTGAATAAACAAGACAGTTATATAAGTGATGATGGACTCTAGGAAATTATACAGAGCATCCTTACCTGAATATACTTTTTCACTCTTATAAAAAGACCACAAACTTTACAGATGCATGACCAAATGTGCAGATTTTTTCTAAACAGTAAGTTTCGAAGTCTTTGTTTTGTCTAAACCCTTCACCTTTTCCTCCTCAGTCGCACAGTGATGATTGCCTGCGTCAGTCCATCAGACCGGGACTTTATGGAGACGCTGAACACACTGAAGTATGCCAACCGAGCGCGCAACATCAAGAACAAGGTGGTAGTGAACCAAGACAAGACCAGCCAGCAGATCAGCGCCCTACGTGCAGAAATAGCCCGCCTTCAGCTGGAGCTGATGGAGTATAAAGCGGTGAGAGATAGAGGGATGGATGGATAGATGTGTGATAAAGGAAACAGAAGGGGATGAAGAAAAGATTTAAGGATAATAAAGACAAGGAGGAGCTAGGAGAAAGAGATTAGAGAGGATGAAGAATGGAAAGTGGCAGGTGGAAGAAGAGGGACAACATGGGCTGTCAGTGTGTCTGATGCAATGATGCAGTAAGAGAGAGAGAGAGAGAGAGAGAGAGAGAGAGAGAGAGAGAGAGAGCTGTTATGATGGATGAAATTTGGAAGAGGAGCTGAGCAGAAGTAGAAAAAAGAAAACACTAATGGGAGTAAAAGAAGATCATTTTGGAGGGCGAGTACCAAGAACAGAGGCTGAGCTTGCTGTTGCAGCTGATTAATGTATCAAATTAAAGATCTTTACTGGAACACACACATCCATTAAAGCCTCCACCATACAGCGAGGTCTGGGCATGAGGATTAATTAGTGCAGTGTCAGCATTTTTACAGTGTAATGCAGAGATAAAATTGATCATTGGGCATGTGGCGTTGAATGTGCTTGTGTTTTGAATCTGTAAGTAACCTTTTACAGAAAGAAACTTTCAAGTCTGCAAAGAATGTCTTTCATCAGCTTTGATATCAGGGCCTCCAAACTGTCATTTAACAGATTTGTTGGTCTATTAAGTGATTTGAGTGGGTTACCATGTAGGGCTGGGCGATAAAACGATAACGATATATGTCAAAAATTAATTTCCCTCAATATCAATATAAAACATGATCAATATGCTTCTCGATAGTGTGCTTTCTGCTATGTTTTGGTAGACTATATGTTGCTACGGGTCTGCTTCGCGCTAAACCAATCACATGCTGAAGTGGAACTAAGCAGCAAACAACTGCGTAGTAGCAGGCTGCAGCTACATGCAACAATAGCACTTTAACGTGTTAAGCCGCCAGCACTGTCGGCGAGAAAAAAAGAAAATGAGTGTTACCCCGGCAGAAATGCAGATGAAGTCTGAACAGATGACCATGATGATGAGACTGGCATGATAACTTCCTTGGTGTGGAGGTATTTTGGTTTTTTGAGGTCAGACATGAAGCGCGCAGAGAGTCAGAGCGTGCAATGCAAAAGGTTAAAAGCCCCGAGCAGAGCAAGGAGCCCACGGCACCTGTGCAGCCGAAACAGTCGACCTATGACAAAATGTTGAAGAGACACAAAGACCTCACAGATGCAGTAGCTTATTGTACTGCAAACGACATGCTACCAATAAGCACTGTCACATTTCATTTTTTATATCATGATATATATCGACATCGACTGATCTGAAAAAATATATCATGATAAACTTTTCCCATATTGCCCAGCCCTACAGGATCACTAGGGGGAGGTGAGCATGTGAGTAGGACAAAGGATAGCAAACTGACCTAAATGTGGTAATAAGGGATGCAGTGTGACCAGAGTCTGGAAGTAATGGAGTGTTGGATTGGTGGAGGTAATGATGTCTATGAGCCGTGGCTGGATTAGATAGTGACTCTCTGTTTAAGCTTATGCAACAGGATGTTTGCTGCGTTAATCATTCAAAATTCGACAATAGTTACTTGAAGAGACATACACTGAACAGAGCGTTCAAAATGACAGCAATGTGGACGGGCTGCGTGCAACTTTAAGCATATCTGACAGAGTGGGTTTAGTTTTGCTGGTCTTCTGGTCCTTTTCTTTGCTTGTAGAGTTTAGGGATATGTTAATCATTCTAACGTCTCTGTGCAGGGGAAGCGTGTGGCTTGTGAGGACGGTTCAGAAGGGTACAGCGACCTGTATCAGGAGAATGCCATGCTGCAGAGAGAGAATGACACTCTGCGCCTTAGAGTGAAGGCCATGCAGGAAACAATCGATCACCTCAATACCCGAGTCACACACCTGTTAGCTAATGAGATCAGCGCTCTGCTGACCAAGTCAAGTAAGTTCACTGTCCAGCATGTCACTTTTTTAATCTTATTGATGACTTTTGGTTCTAAGAGTGGCTGTAGGAAACTCCACCAACAGGTTTTTTCTTAAATGAAATACATTGTACCATAACATTTTCTAACTCTTCACCTGTGTAATTCAAATTCCTAACTTTGTGTTCATATGAGGCCTTCACCAATTCATTTTACTGTTCCTTTGTTGTCTTTATTATTCATAAATGTTCGGTACATCTTGTGACATGTACCTCTTTCCTGCTTTGACCTGCAGGTGAGGGCAATGAGGAGATTGGAGCTTTAATTCAAAACTACATCAGAGAGGTTGAAGAGCTGAGGTACGAGCTCAAAATCCTTTTAAAAGCCTGTTTTTACTGTTTCTAACTGCAGGAAGTTGAATGTGTAGCTGCAGCTTGTAGCCAGATAGTTTAGCCTAGCATACTGGTTAAAACAATAAGGATCACAAACTTTCTCTTAAAAACAGAGGAAACAAATCATAGATTTTGTTTCTTCTGAGATACGCTAGGCTATGCAAAAAAAGGTCTGTCTACAGTTTCTATATTTTCTAGATTTTTTTTTAGCAAATTCTGAATTTTAATGTAGTCAGTCTAAAGCGTGTGCAACAGCAGCTTATTTGACCACAAGAGACAGTTCCTGGATATTATTAGGCGGCTAATGTAGAAGAGTAGAGTCAAAGTGCTAAAAGTAGCTCAGCAGAAATTGTTGACGTTAGCTAGCCATACAACTTCTCATACGAGACCAAGCCTGGATAAAACACAGTGGATGATCTAATTTCTCATTTTAGGCTCTTGATTTAAAGTTTCTTATTTATAGCAGAAAGCATGTGTGAGAATTTCCTTTAAAGTAGTTTGAGTTGTAACAGCTTTGGTTAGCCTGCCTTCAGCTAGCTTGCATGGAAGTCCCAATTGTTTCTTGCACTTTTAAAAAAGAGCTGAGGTATGAGCTCCAAATCCTTTTAAAAGCCTGTTTTTTACTGTTTCTAACTACAGGAAGTTAAATGTGTAGCTGCAGCTTGTAGCCATTTAGCTTAGCCTAGCATATTGGCTAAAACAATGAGGATCAGAAACTTTCTCTTAAAAACAGAGAAAACAAATAATAGATTTTGTTTCACTGAGATAAGCTAGGCTATGCTAAAACAGAGACTGTTCGCAGTTTTTCTTATTTTCTTCCTTTTGTAGCAACACCTGAGTCGAAGTGCTAAAAAAAGGCAGCTCAGCAGTGTTGGTAGCATTTCTTGCGGTTAAGTTTGCTGACGTTTGCCAGAAAGACAACTTGTCATACGAGACCAAGCCTGGATAAAACACAGTGAATGATCTAATGTCTCATTTTAGGCTCTTTAATTAAAGTTTCTCATTTAAAGCAGAAAGCATGTGTGAGAACTTCCTTTTAAAGTTGTATGAGTTGTAACAGCTTTAGTTAGCCTGCCTTTAGTTGGCTTGCGTGGAGTTCCTTTTGTTTCTTGCACTTTAAAAAGAAAGAAATTCTGAATCAATTATGTCTTTTTTGTAAATCTGGCTCATTTATATATTTTTTTATGTCTTGGTCCGTCATCAGAACCAAGCTGCTGGAGAGCGAGGCCATGAACGAGTCATTGCGACGGCAGATGACCCGGCTTTCTTCACGTGCCCTGTTCCCTCCCACCAGCCTCAGCCCCGTCCCGGGCCACCCGCTCGGCTCCTCCCCTGTTTCCATGTCTATGGAGGCTGAAATGACGGATGTGTTGCGCCGGGCTAAGCTGGACATCGAGAGACTGAAGAAGAAGGAGAGAAGACAGAGGAGGATGAGGTGAGACAAGTCCAACCAGTATTTCCATTTCAGTTTAAAAACTTTAAAATTACAAAGAAGAAAAGTCAGGACTAAAAGTCAGACAAGTTTGCAGGTGTCCACAAAGCTCTAATTTCTCCAATTATCTAAACATCTTCAGTTAATGAAAATTTAATTTCTCTTGTCTCCCTTTATGCCCTTTTCAATTAACCTGTTAATGTTTGTAGTGCCTGGAGAGCCTGATGAGTACATTAGTGTTCATGCCTTTACACTATTCCCTGCTCATTGCTTCTCTCCTCCAGCTTAAGAGGCACATCACAAGTCGATTAGAGTTTTGGGACAGCCAGCTTTGAATGGACTTGGTACTCGGCCAGCTCTGGATAGTAACGCTGGCTTGGACATAGAGAGGTCTAATTCAGTCGGCCAGTGGGTCATGAGAGAGAAGAGCACACAGCCTAACAGCCTAAATGAGGTTTAATGGCATAGACGTGGAGGAATATGGGAATTTGAAGATAAGATGAGGGATAAGCAGGGTGGTAGTAAAAGAGGGAGCAAAGGGGAGATAAAATTGGCAATAAAATCTAAAGAGCTAGAAAGGTAAGAGGGTAGATGAGCTGAGAAGACTTTGCTAATGACTTCAGATGTCTGAAATTGATGTTAGCATATGACTTGGCAGTGCTCCAGAAGCCTTAATGGAGGTTGCTGCAGTGTTCGGCATCTAACTTAGATAGTGAGTGTTCTTAATACATGTTTATGTGAACAAAACATCATGAAGTTAAAACAGAGAGGCTAAAGAACAAGTGAAAATCTGAGAGGAATTTCATAACGCGTCTTGGAGACCGTATTGACATTTGCCTTTATTCATATCTTATTCTGTATTCCAGCTCACAATTATTGATTTTTTCCACTTCTATAGCCCAGAGTTGGAGAAGGGCCTGAAGAAGCGTGTGAAACTGCACACTCATGAGAACGGAGAAAACGGCCAGAGTCGTGAAAATGGTCAAAACGGAGAGATCGATTCTGACGACAATTACGCTGAGGTAAACTAAACGTGTGTCAGCATTTAGAAGATGCAAGAGCCCAAACACACCGAGCAAAGTATGATGCCTTTATGTGTTTCTGTGTTGCACAGGACATCATGTCTCCCCTGCAGGAGGAGAGTGGTTGTGATGAAGATGAAGGGGAGGACGAGGAGGAGGGCAGGGAGGAGGAAGATGGGTTTGACAGTGATGAGAGCTTGGTGGATTCAGACTCAGACTCTGAAGAGAAAGGTGTGTTTTTAACCCTTTTCACTTTTTGAATCCGGTATCTGTGCATAACTATTCTGGAGATGAAAGCATCTCAGCAACTAATCTGTTTTTTTCTCTAGTGACATCAATCAGTCAAAGCTTTCACTTCACAAGGTGCAATGTCTCTGATTTTAACAGATAAAATAAAATAAATGAAGCAGGGCCTAAAAACATCTCTGGATACAACCATCAAATCTAGATTTAAATACTCTATGGAGGACTACGGCCTCATCGGTATTTTGTTTTCAATGACATGTCGCAAATTTTTAAAAGGTTGTAATGCCAATCTCAGGTGGTACAAGTGAAATTCTATGACATGTTAGCCTGGTGTTTGTGAGTACATTCGTCAACTCCTTTCCCTTCATGCATACACTGCATACATCTCCTGTTGTCTTGAAGAGCTTTGTGCAGGTTGTGGGATAGCTGGCAGAAAAGACAGAAGAAGACATTTATGCTTTCAATCTTAATTCAAGTCATCAGTTTGATCGACAGGTTCTTTTATAAGTAACAACAACCTGTACGTCAACCAATACCTTAGTTGTCGGTTCGAGTAATACAAACATGTTTTCTGAAGTGATGAACACATAAAGCCTTAAACTAAGAGTGCAGTAGCACAGATTTAGGTATGTCATTATACTGAAAACTTGTGGAATAATATTGTAACTCTTTTTTTCAAGCAGCCAACTTCCAGGCAGACTTGGCTGATCTGACTTGTGAGATCGAGATCAAACAGAAGCTGATAGATGAGCTCGAGAACAGCCAGCGGAGGCTGCTGATGCTGAAGCTGCAGTACGAGGAGAAGCTCATCCTGCTGCAGAACAAGATCCGGGACACTCAGCTAGAGAGAGACAGAGTCCTGCAAAACCTTAGTGAGTTAATGCATCATGGTATTTGTGGTTAATACACAAATTGGCGTGTTGACAAACAGAAACGTGTTGTTAAAAGTAGCATCAGATTATGAAGTTTATTTCATGCCCACACAGTGTCGATGGAGAACTACACAGAGGAGAAGGCCAATCGAATCAAACAAGAGTATGAGAAACGTCTCAAGGAGATGAACCGGGACCTCCTGAAGCTGCAAGCAGCTCAGAAAGAGCATGCACGCCTCCTTAAAAACCAGGGGAGGTACGAACGAGAGCTGAAGAAACTCCAGGGAGAGGTCAATGAGATGAAGAAAGCAAAGGTAAGGAGAAGGAAAGAAGAATGATTTTGGAGGGGCAAGAGCATGGATGATCAAGATTGTTTTAGCCTTTGAGGAAGTCTCACCAGTTGACTGATTCCAGGTTGCACTAATGAAGCAGATGAAGGAGGAGCAGCAGAGGAGGAGGATGGTGGAGGCAAAGAGGAATCGTGAGATTGCTCAGCTCAAGAAGGAGCAAAGACGACAAGAGGTCAGTGTATATCTGCTCCTGTGTGTTTAGGACACAGATCTGCTCGTCAGGGGTTGCAGAGATAGTTCAAACAGCATATATGAAAGCCTGTTAGATCTATGTTACATCTGTTTTCAATGTGGCCCAAATTCATATTCTCCCACTGTAATTAGATGAATGATTTATACAGAGAAGTAGGTGTGGATACTAACATGCATGTGTTGATATGCTCTCAGGCCCCCCGTCTGTTTGGCAGCCTGGCACATCAAAAGATTGATTTATGTCTTTTGTGCATATTTCACACAGATTTGCGGTCTAGCTTTAAATCTTTGAGGATTAGTTTGTACGTGTGTTTTTTTCCATATCTGATGTTTTCCCTGTAGTAGGAGGCTGAATAAGCATTGGACTTTTAATGCTGTTAAACCTTGGGCCTCATTTCTAATCCTGTTATGTAGAGTTTTATCTGAAGTCTTAACATGCTCTTATGATCAACACTTTGTAAGCCTATTGTTAAAAAACAATTCTGTAATCTAATCAAGGAATATTAAAAATAGCCAAAAGCTGAGTTACAAATTAAAAACATTTTCTCCACCTCCTGTCCATTAGTACCAGATAAGAGCACTGGAGTCCCAGAAGCGGCAGCAGGAGCTGGTGCTGCGCAGGAAGACACAGGAGGTGACTGCCCTGCGGCGGCTGGCAAAGCCCATGTCAGACCGGGTGGCCGGGCGAGTGGCCCGCTGGAACCAGACCCCCTCAGTTACAGACTCTGGAGCCGAGTTATCAGCCAGCACGACAGCAAGCAGTTCTGAACCTGAGACGGCGAGGACTGTGAGCGGGCTGGTGAGGCAGTGGAACAACAAGAACAACGGGTTCGGGTACCTCGGAGAGAGTGAGGGGAGCATGGATGGAACCAGGGTCATTGGGTAAGATGTGTGGGCGTGTTTACACTGTCAGTAAAGAAACCCTGTTTGATATACTTCTTAAATAACAATGTATGAAAGGCAAATAAGGTTGTATTTAGTGATCAGCCTGGATACAATTTTCTCAAGCTTAGTTACTGTTGTTGCAGCAGGAAGCTGTTTCCAGTAAAATTATCTAATCATCCCTAGAAAGAGCTTAAAAGTAAGTAAAGGACCAACCTGAGAGCGGATTACATGACAATGTTGTATACTGCTGCCCCCATGTGGCCAAAAACTGAAAAAAAGGTCAGAAGGAACTTTAAATTATGTAAAATATGTGTTAAAAAGAAGTCAAGATTGACTCACATTTAAATTACATGTACACACACATAATGATGCGTTAGGAACACATTTAAAGAGCGTTTGATAAAAGCCTAGTACTTCAGTGCTTTCATATTGATGGCAGGTTGGCCCCTTTTCTCCAATCTTATCAATCAATTGGTTAAATGAAGTGTGTCTTGATTTCCGAGGTATCATTCACATTTTAAATGTCTCTTTCCTCTCCTCTCCTATTTCTTTGTCACCTGACAGAAGTAGGAAGAAGCTGCAGCGTAAACCAGCAGGTCTGGGCAGCATTGCAGCAGCAGGCAGGGTCAGCAGTTTCTCCAAATCTGCCCGCCAGAAGTGGCAAACCCTCGAGCGCCGCATCATGGACATCGTCATGCAGAGAATGACGATCTCTAATGTGGAAGCAGATATGGATCGCCTTATCAAGGTAGAGATCAGGGTTTGGATCTAGATTAAGAAGTGTTGTCAGAGGGAGAGCCCTTTGGTTTGGTGGCTGGTCAGTCAAATGGTATCACTATGATCACATGACTTTGACTTGAAGATCATAATTTGTGTGTGAAGACAGAAATTTAGGGGTTTTGTGATGATGCACGGCTGGATAAGCAGATGTGTTAGAGGTGATTAAATTAAACCTTAAGGATTTAATCTGAACATGTATGGCAGCATCAGATGCAAACCAGTCTCTGAAGTCACTTTATTTTCCTTAGCTCTTCTTGCGAAATCTATTTTCTTTTTTCCAAATATAGGAATAATCCTCTGTTTTATTATCTTTAACTATTTTTGCCCCTATGCCTGACTTTCTTTTTTCTTGTGTTTGTCTGTGTGTGTCTGCACTTTGTTTGTTACGAGTCAGAAGCGAGAGGAGCTGACGGCCCAGCAGGAGGCACTCTCACACAAGAGGGAGGTATTAATGGCGGATGGGGAAGGGCCAGAGGCAGAGGACCGCCTCCTTCTGGAAATAAACGAAGAGATCGAGGTGCTGAACGCCAACATAGACTACATCAATGACAGCCTGTCTGACTGTCAGGCCACAATAGTACAGATTGAAGAGACTAAGGTATTAACTCATTCACACGCACACATAGAAAATGCTTGCCCCCCAGTCGTCTGAGTTGGGTGTCCGGTAAAAACTCAGGGTCATTGATTGTGTTTTCCCAGGATGAGCTGGACTCAGTAGACACCTCAGTGGTGATCAGCTCCTGCTCTCTGGCTGAAGCTCGCAACCTGCTGGACCACTTTTTGAAGGCCTCCATTGAAAAAGTGAGTCATCACACTGTTGAGATATTTCAACATCAGATGAAAGAAAGTGAAGTCAGAAATCATCAGTGTTTAAATTATCTATTATCTAAAATGGCACTTTTAGAAAACAAAACCATCTGAGTGTGGGATTAATTAAATTGTTTTAAAATGTTCTGAACATGCAGGTAAAATTAGTAGTCGTTGAGTGCCATCTAGTGGCAATTTGTTGAACTGCATCATCAGCTTTGGGTAGTTTTTGTATAAAAGACAATTAATATCCTGTTGAAAATGAAGCCCCTATACACACTCAGAAGTCAGATTTTCCGACTAAAATAATCCCTCTGTAGTGCATTTTTATGTGAATGTATCACCATTTCTGACTGTTCTGGTTGTTGTGTCTGTGTAGAGTTTGCAGGTTGCTCACAAAGAGAATCAGATCCGACTACTGGAGGGTCAGCTGAGACAGACTGACATGATTGGCTCATCTCATAACCACATAATCCTAGATGCCCTCAGAGAAAAGGCAGAATACATTCCTGAACTCCAGGCTCTTATCCACAATGTACAGCAGGGTGAGTGACCATTACTGTTAGCGTCTGTTAGAGAGTGTGTGTGAAACCCTCTCAGCCTACTCTGACCTTTTAGTCTGATTTAGCTCATGTAGACCTTTTTTTGAACACTTCTGCCTCACTATTGGATAAAACCTTAGCGTACACACACATACAGGATTGTGACTCTGCTCAACACAAGTAACCAAGTAGTAAACATTTTAGGACAGCATCAGATGAAGTTAAGTTGAGGCTTTATTCCCAAGTATTCAGCATTAGCACAGACTCTCCAGCGGTAGCTAACAAGCCTACGATTTGTCTTACTTACAGCATCCTATCCTGGAAAACACAGATAAAGATAATAAAAGATAAGAAGTGCTAGTGCTGTAGATTGTCTGAGTTGTGCTGGTATCTGACAAGTTGTATGTTTTGTGCGCTTTCAGAAAATGGCTATGCTAGCACAGACGAGGAGCCCTCTGAGTTCAGCCAAGCTTCTGACAGCAGGTGAGACTGCCGTCTGCACGCCCACACAACATCTTCCACACACAGCATCACACTACACCTTCCTCCCACGGTGACCCCTATTTCCCCTAAAATCCTTACCACAATCTGAGGCCAAATTTTCAATAAACTCTCGGTTATGTAAATATTTTATCTGAGGGAAAAAGTTGGGACAACTACCTTTACTTTCTTGACTCATCTTCTCTCTCTTACTTGCAGTGTTTCTCAAATGAAGGAGTCCAACAGCCAGGATGATTTCAAGATGAAGGTATGGATGGTTTGTGTTACTGAGGTGCACAGTTTTCATCTAGTTCTTTGATACATGAAATATATCTTCCTTTCAGTTTACACAGCAACAATGCACTCTCTCCTGTTTTTCCTCAATGCATTTGTGTAAATTACTTTCACTTATGTCTCTCAGAGTAATTATTTAGGGTGAACATACAACCTCTTTTACCCAGACATGTCCTCTTTTTGGGGGCTGTCCGGCCTGTCCAGCCTGCCTGGGGGGAGTTTATAAAAGCCTTCAAATGTCTGGGGTTTTAAATGGAAGTTTTCAGTTTGTGTAGCGTGGATTAACTGAGTTAGAAGAACGTAAAAAAACCTTGAACCGACCCGAAAAGTGTCCTCTTCTGTGGGATTCAAAATATTGTTAAATTACTATATAAACTGTATGAATGTGCAACAGTTAGTGCTCAAAACAGCAGTTGGTGTTGTTTTTTACAGTACAAAATCCTGCCATGCTCATGCAAACGCACTGATGTCTGCACTGATTCTTTCTATGGGCATGGTGTGGTTGGTTTCAGTGCAGCTGTCATTTATGTAAGCCACCATTGGGGGGCAGTAAAGGCAAACAGTTACATTTTCTCCACATTTCCTAAAGCTCTGTTTGATAATCTGAGGAGGAACCCCTGCTTAGACATCACTCCTTTTAATTATAGCAATGTGCTGTTATCGATTTTGTGATTTTTTTTGCTATTGTTTTGCTCAGTTCAGCCTTTGTTTAGCACCACAAAGGCTGCTTTTCCTATCGAAAACATGTCAGTGTTTCTGTTTTTATATTCTCTTTGCACTTTATTCCCAGCTGAATGATGTTTTCAGGCTGTGTGCTAACATCACCTAACCTCTACTAATGTATTGTTGTCTTTATAGTTCATGGTGATACAAATTATGCACACTTTTTACCCAGATGGAGCCTCGTCTGTCAGGACAAATGAAGGCTGTGTCAGCGGAGTATCTAGGCCCAATCCTGGACCCCTCATCAAGCAGCAAACAACAGCACATCACCAAGTCCCTGGCCTCACTTACAGACATTCAGGAGGATGGCCTGGGCCTTGGGAAAATGAGTCTTAGTTTGGCCCTGAGAGACCCCTACCACAGAGACCGGGCATCCCGGACTATCAGCCTACCAATCAGGGGACACACTTTGTAAGTGAAAAATCACTGAGATGAAGTCAGGGTGAGGCAAATTGGAAGCGAAGTAGTTCATTTCTTTTGCTATTTCAACTATCTACCCACTATCTTTAGCAAGCTATCAGCCATTTAACCACCATCTCTCACGAGCTAACACTTTGCTCACTCATCAATTTAAGCAAAGATTTTTGCTGTTTATTTTTACTGCTGTTACCCCAGAATACATTACAGCAGGGGCCTGTGCCGGTCATCCCCATCGCATAGTGTCCTGATGTGTGTTCTTGTGGCTCCTCTCCTGCTTCCTAGGTTGCCTTGTGACATTTTGGATAAGCTAGTTAACTTATTTGACCACTGGAACCTGAGTTTAATTGATAAACTTACTAATTTCATAACTTAAAGTAACTTTCACCTGACTATTGATAGGCTTTTTGAAATGAGCACTGAAACACTCACTACATTTCTGTAACAGAACCACATCTAGTCACGTATATGGCAAACATTCATTCTGTTGACATGTGTTTCTGAATGCCAATGATGTGAGTTGCACACTTGTGAGTATTAACTGAGACAAACAAACAAGTAGGACAGGAGGTGGGAATAAGATCATAACCCTAAATAAACACCCACCAGTGTTTCACAAATAAATGTACAATAAAAAAAAAACATTTCTTTACTTTTTCAACCTGACAGAGTTGTTTGGATTTTTTTCTTATTCCCATTGCACCAAATGCCGCAGCGAAGAACCACTGGAGACCCGCCAGAGGCCAGAAATTTTTTTAGGTTATAAAACTGCTTAAGGGAAGAAAATAAATGAAAAGGAAACCTAGCTGTGTGTGATTTTATATTTTAAGAAATGCAGCTGCCAGTTGTTTTAGTTTGCTGAAAATGTTTTGACACATGCAGAGAACCCCTGTTGCTAAAGCATCTCCAAAGTTCACATAGTTGTACATCATCCTGTCCACTCCCAAAAGATGTGCTTAGTTTGCTTGTGTGTGTGTTTTGTGTGTGTGTCAGTCCCAGGCAGTCTCGTGGTTATGACACTTCCCCCATAACAAGAAGGAAATCTTACGACCGTGCATACAGGTACATGTTTGTAATGTTCCGATTGCAGCTATTTTGGTGCCTGATCAGTCACAGTTTCTGATGTTTTAGTCTCATTTTTCCAATTTAATTCCTCCTGTTCTGTCCTCCTCACCCTCCTGCATTTATCAGGCCCACTGATGGCTACACTCCCCCCTCCTCCCCTCCTCTGAGGACCAGGAATGACCGTAATGTGTTCTCACGGCTCACCAGCAACCAAACCCAAGGTTCTGCTCTGGACAAGTAAGTACACGCAGTCCACACATTCACAAGTTACTTTTGTCACCAGGTTCCCACCTGATCTGCTGAGTCTCACTTTGATCCTCTCTTTTCTGTTGTTCCTTTCTCCTCCTTGGCCCCTTAGATGGGCTGAATGTCAGGGCTTTTGAGAGTCAAGTGCCTTTGTCTGAAGCATAGATACACCATTTACGAGCGTGCTTTCCCAGCTGTTTAATTTTGGACAGATCCCACTCGCAGACAAAGAGAATTTCTCCTCTAGCGCTGATGTAGTTCTTTGGAGGAAATGTGTGTAAACAAATTGCAGATTTCAGGTGTTAAGCGCACGTAAGAGGCATTGAAGATCTGATCATGAAAACCACAACCACAGGTTGTTTTTAGCAACACCAACAAGAATGTTAAACTACAGTATTTTTAGTCCATAATTGGCAGTCACCAGGTAAAAACGAATAAAAAAAGAGTGGAGAAGCTTATAGTGTGTCATTCTTTAAAGAAAAACAGATGTATTTTGGGTAATGGAAAAAAAGCAAGGTGTTGAATGAAACATTATAATAAGCATAATCGTTTTTTTATTACATGATGAGGTGTTTGTAAGACAGTGATGATTCTGGCACATAAAAATCAGTTTAATCTAATGTGATCTGTATATAAAATATGCTGTTTTTAATGTGTTTTTCATCCTACTTGCAAAGATAAAGTAGAAGGATGTAATGCATACCTCACAAGACTTAAGTCATTAGTCAAGCTACATCAAATGGAGACTCAAAGTGGAGGAGCAGTGCATGTTAAGGTGCAAACGCTGTTAGATGTTCTCCTCCTAAGTTGTTTGTCTGGTTATCTTCAATAATTGGGCACATCCCTCATCTTTATTAACCCCTAATTGTCAGCAACCACATGTGTGAAATGAGTTGTGGTAGTGTGGTAGCTTGTGTTTGTGTGTTGGAGCCTGTGGGTCCTCATTATGTCGAGCAGGGGTAGGTAAATGAGTTGGCTCTTGCCATCTTTTCACGCAGCTGTTGGCATCAGTCGTTGTTTTAAATTGAATCAGAGTGACAGTATAAGAGGATATTAATGTTAAGGGTTCATGTATGTACTTCAGGGTTGACTCCCTTTAGCAGATAATGAAGGAGGATGAAGTGGTGCAAGGTTTTAACTTTCATGTTCTTTTTACTAGGAGCACAAACATAAATATCCTTAAATATTTGTATTATTTTGTTAAAAATGTGAGGATGAACTTGTTATGTTGTTAGCAAACTCTAGTATTTGATGCATTTCATCCAAAGATGTGTTATTTAACTCATCCTTTTGGTTTTAGCGTCCTTACATGATGAACGCTAACCTCACTCTGACCTAACCATGAACTTATTACAAGCACGAACTCAAAACTAAATGAAAATCATAGATTATAAAAGCAATTAGAAACCCAGTGTGAGTTTGAGTGCGAATGTTGTGTGATCGAGTGTTAAATATGGAGCTGTCTGCAAAGAAAAGAAAGAAAAATGTTTTTTAAGACTGCACACGACCCTGTCAAATATGAGAATGTGATCATGACTGACAAATGTGTTTGCATCTGTTTTCTAACTTGCCTTTTTTCCAATCTTGGCCTTCACTTGTTATAATTTTCAAGCTGGCATTTAACAGTTTTAATGTGTGTGATGGATAAAGATGTTTGAATCCAAGATCCCTTTTTAAATCTTAAAATCCTCGTTCACATCCTCAGAATTCGATGAATATAAAGAGAGGGATCTTGTCTTGAGAGCCTGGAAGAAAAGCAGGTATTACTATGCTAATAGCCAGCATGACCAACGATAAGGAGGGAATTTCTATCACTTTTTAACTCTGTTGCTCCCTTAAGACATGCCCAGGACACTTTCACCATTACATACTCATGGCCGTAGAGCACAGGCTCTCATGGTGACAAACTGGAGGCTATCAAATATTTACAATACAATAAAAATTTTATTGCACTGTAGCACAAATATCAGTCTTTTCCTTTGGGCTATTGGAAAGGTGCAATATACATGTGGTCCGGATTTTCAACCCAGACCGCTTTGAGCAGGATCCCTTGCAAGCTTTGATCAAAAACTTGATCCTCCCTCTGTCAACGCTGTTTGTTCCTCTCTTTTGTACTTACTCCCTGAACGCGACTTGATCGAGCTGACATTGCCATCAGCGGTCATGCACAGGGGAAGGTGGGGGATTTATTGTGTTGTTGTTTGACCGCTGTGTATGACTGTTGTGATTGTCAGTGTTTCTTCCTTAACAAATCCCTCTATTGTCCAATGCCTAACCTGTTTCTGCCTTGTTCAAGTGAATAGTTGAACATTTTGGGAAAAAAGATAAGAACACTGATACCACTCTAGTCCATTAGCTTGATGGAGATACAGCTTGTTGTAAAAAACTCACTTGAATTTTACTACATCCAAATAAATCCACCTTCTTACACCTTTGAAGCTATCCTCTTGACAAATACTGTATATCCCTTGCTTAATCATTATCTTCATGAGCTCTTATTTTTTTTCTGAAAGACCCACTCCGATGAAAATCATGTTTTTCTCATTTTTTGTATGTTCATATGGCATTTTTCTGATGCTACAGGACATATCGTGGTAAAATTTGATGCAAAATTGCTTTTCTTAGTATTTCTTCATTCAAATCTCTGAATCTCTGGCAGACACAAACGGCAGGTTCAGAAACAGTGAGAATTCATACGTAACTAATTCAAGCGGAAGAGGAAAAATACAGAGGACGATCGTGAAACAAGTGTGTGCGTTAGCGGATTGCAATGCTCGTAAGAAAGCAAATGAAGATATAAGTTTTCATCATGTCGCTGAAGACATTAGTGTCCGAGGGCTGAACAGCTCCTATATTTCCAGCCGCTTCTACTGTGCAAGCAATGTTGCAAGCAAGCGTGGAGACTAGTGTGCAGAACAGTCTCCGCCCACGACTCGAATTGCTCAGTCATGTGTCTGACAGCGAATTGCTAATGATCTACTGGAGCTCTGCAGAATAAAAGTCCTTGAAAATGACACATGTAACGCGATTTTTGGTAAAAACTTTATAATCACAATTTAAAGACCACTGAGAACACTTTAAGTAGTTGAAAAAACGTTTGGAGTGGGTCTTAAAGATAGGGGTAAGCTAGCTGTTTATCAAGCTATCCAACTTCTAGCTGTAGTCCTTTAGCCTTTTAAGAGCTTCATGCTGAACAAGCACAGAAGGCAGAAGAGTGGTATGAAGTTTAATCAACTTAAAACACTAAAATACCCAAACTGTTGATGTATTTCTTTGAACTATTAACCTTAAATGCCAGCACTAACACCAGGGGAAGACTAGGCTACGCTAAACTAGGTCTTGCTCACTGTGGGTGTGGCCGCAGTAAACAGGCATTATTAAGGACAACATTTGCCGACAATAGTCAAGGAATAAAGCCTGTTAAGTGGTTATCTTTAAAAAAAAATTAAAATTTCACATCAGACTGCCTGATAATCATGACTCAAGCTTTATTTCTTGACTGAGCTTTCTTGCCAGTTTGTTCACTGCTTTATATCTAAAATCCTTCCTCCAGTCACTCCTCCCTTGAACCCTCTACCAGTAACCCGTCTGTCTTTCCTAAGCCTGGTTAACCCTTTCCTCTTCCTGCCCCACCCTCCCCTCTCCTGCTCCTCTTCTGCCTCCAGGTCGGATGACAGCGACTCCTCGCTCTCCGAGGTGCTCAGGTAGAGGAACTGTTGTTTGTCACTCTCTGTTTACCCATCTGCCTGTTTCACTCACCTGGTGTCATGTCATCTCTACCAGTAGTGATAGCCTTGCCTGGCTTACACCTCTTTTTTTTTTCCCCCTCTCCTCTGAGGGTGAGGTAGCTGTGGTGCATGTTTTAACCACATGCGGATTTCTCGAGCTGGCTTTCCCACCCATGTGATGTTGTGTTTCTCTGTGGGGTTTCTAAAAACAACAAATACTATTAGAACGTGCTTTGACAGCAGTGACTATAAGACATTTGATAGATTTGTGCTTAGCCTACTTCATGACCATTAAAGACAGCATTATTGAGGGTAAGTAAAAAAGTACGCAAGAGTTATAAATAATTTTCTCCATCTTTCAAATATGTATCAGGGGTCGGCCTACATGCCCTCAGTCGAATACATCGAAGACTAACATGAGGACTGGCCAAGCATGATTCACCCTGCTGATCTGAGGAAGATCAGGGGACGAACAGTCTATCTCTAAAGCTACTTATTTTACGATTTTATTTGGAAAACTTATTATAAAAAGGGTAATTGGGGTGTTATTGTGACTTATGTGCTTGGTTTTGCCTTGATTGGGTGTAGGAACTCCTTGAGGTCTGATCATAAGCCTTATTTACTGGGAACCTGCCAGGGAAAGCAGATTTTGTTCAGATTAAACATTAGAGAGCCTTGGGAAAGAGCTCTTTAAATCAGCTTCCAGTTTCTTCGCTAATCCAAGCTAATTGGCACTTGTGCAAACATGAAAATAATATCAGTCTTCTAAATGAAGACGTATAGAATATACTAAATAATTACAAAATAAAGATAGGACAGGATTTTTCTCCCTTCCTGCCTACTGATTTATTCACTCGTACAAACAGACGCACACTCATGCACACACAGAAATGGATACAGCCCTCTTCATGGCTCTCCTGCCTGTTTTTCTGTGCACTGCAGAGAGCACACTGTGATCCCCCTCCATGTTTTCATTAGTCTGCTGGTCACACGGTGTTTGGCCCTGCCACATCCATTAGCAGCCCCAACATTGTGTACAACACAGCACACACTATTATATCTTTTGGAGGCACTTATTTTAAGAAACATGGCAGAGGACTGTACGAAAATAGTGTGCGGCATTAAGCAGCATTATTACAGGTACAGCTTTTGTTCTTACTTAGCAAAACAAACAAGGATCTTGGGCGAACCTTCAGCAAATAAGGATTTTCCTAGCAGGTATATGCTGTATATGTAGCTTTGTTTGATGATTGCAATTATAAAAGCGTTTGGAATAATGTTTCACAAGAGGATTTAAACACCAAAACTTAGAGGTTTATGATATAAATCATGGCTACACCTGGATAAAAACTAACAACCAGCTTTTATCCTTTCATCAGTTAAAAAAAATAAAAAGTCATTTGGTCCAAAAAAAGTATGGGACTGATGGCATGTGATACAGCGCTCATGTCCTTTCACAGTCAGGTTTTTGCAGCCGTGCAGAGATGTGAAAGCTAAAAATCTGACTGTGTTACTGACTTGTTACATTTCCATACCTCCCTATAGATCCCACACCCTTTCTTTTGGTCCCTAAAGGCAACTCGCCATCGAGGTGCTGACCTGAGAGTCAGCCCCGCCTTGCATGCGATGATGCGGTGATGATGACATCTGAAGACGCTGTGCTGTGGTTTATTTTTGAGTTGCAGGATGCTGTGGAGTCTGTGATCCACACTGTGGCTTTTCATATCAATTGTTTTGAGCTTATTTTGTGCAAGTGGGTTCACTTTATGTTTCATGAGACGTGGCATGAAATACTTTCACTGGCTGATGACTGACAGCTTTTGATTTTTGTTGGCATTTTTGTGCACCGTAAAGAAAACATCACAAGAAGAGTGGTCAATATTTCAGTTTGATTTGATGTGTTTGTGTTTGTCTTCATGCTGGGACATACCAACTTTCTGGGTATGTGCAGGCACTGAAGGGGAGCATGCTACCATACGTTTTTCTGGTTTGTGCAGACGGACCTGTCCTGAGTTTTGTGTGTTACCACGGATCCCCCTCTGCCTCCTACATCCTCCAGCTCTCCCTCTCTGTATCTCCCTCACTCGTTCTCACTCACATACACACCAACCACTACTGGTGTTATTAGGAAGCTCACCAGGGACCAATTTTCCCACATTCCTCCCTCTTCTTCTCACCCTCTGCCGGTTCTGTCTCAGTCCGCTGACTGCTCTCCAGGCACTTTGGGACTCTGGCCTGTCAGTGGGACATAGATTGTGGAGTGTGTGGGGTGCAGAAATTGAGTGCATATGGAATAGTTGGGGCTGTGTGGGTTTGTACATTTCAGTATATTTTAGTATGCATGTGTGAGAAGGAGGAGGCAAGACGACAAGTTGCATAGAAAAACAACAGCTCTCCCTGTTGTAGTGTCTTAATTGGGCTGGTCCCCAAAAAAAGTAAAAAAAAATAAAAACAGAGGGAAGGAGGGTTTGAGGCAGGCCAGAGATGGAGCAGATGGGCTCAGAAAACCAGCAGTAAGATGTTTGTACATCTTACTACCTATGTGCAAACTCAAGGGAGTACATTTGTTCCCAATAAGGTTTGTATTGATACTTAACAATGAAAGGATATTTGTGTTCTGTTGTGCATGTCTGTTATTAGTCTGAGTTTCACAGTGTAAACAACTGCAGGTATGTTGAGATGGAAAAAACAGCGCTTTCAGTTTTTATTTTTCAGTGACTGACACACTGCATGTGCCTGTGTGATTTTCAGGGGTGTGATCAATCCCATCGGGGGTGTGAAGGGGGGTCGGACAGCACCCCTGCAGAGTGTTTCAGTAGCCGAGGGCCATTCAAAGCCAGTCTTGTGTGTGGATGCCACAGATGAGCTGCTGTTCACTGGATCTAAAGGTACTAAATTTGATTTACTGCTTTTTTTAAAATCAGCACCATAATATTACATGAATGGTTGATTTATCCCCTTTGAATCCATCTTGTTCTTTTTGAAGCAAAATACAAAACTGTTTAAATAACTTTAGCTTTATGACCTGAAACCGTGAAAAACTCATAATTATAATCATAAGCTACGTCAAAAGAGGGGATAGGTTAACTAACTGCTTGCCTACTTACCACTAGGTGATCCTCTTGGTAAAATATTTAAAGAACTAAAGTAAAATCACCTTTTTCATGTTAAGTAAGAATGAATGATTTAAGTTTAGCGTACAGATTAATGTCAGAGGTGCGGAGAGGCGCTTTTGTAGGGAGATTCAGTTGCTTTTTTGATAAAACTAAACATATAATTTTATCCTTTTTCTTATACTAGCTAAGCAAACTAAGCTGGATTTAACCATGTGGCTTATTTTTATCATATTTTTAAGCTAGATCGAGTAATATAAGCATAATTTCAAATTAATTTGAGTGTTTTTTTGAGAATATTTTTCTTTTCTTACTTCTCCTGTTTAGCTTTTTTGCACAAGGCTCAGGTCAAACAATAACTGCTAAGCTGAGGCCTTGACTAACTTTCTAAATATTCTTTTTCTACATATTTCCTTTTATTAAACTTTGCTTCCTTTTTTTCCTCCTCCAGATCGTACTTGTAAGATGTGGAACTTGGTGACAGGACAGGAGATTGTCACTCTCAAAGGCCACCCAAACAATGTGGTGTCTGTCAAATACTGTCCCGCGTCCTGTCTGGTCTTCTCTGTCTCCACCTCCTACATCAAGGTGTGGGACATCCGCGACTCTGCCAAGTGTATCCGCACACTGACGTAAGTTACCTACCTAAAACCAGGAGGATGAAACAGTTGTGAGCAGTACAGCTAAAAAATTCATCTCAGGAGTTGTTCAAGAGGGATGTTCTTCCCCCTGCACAGTGATGTGTTTCGGGCTGCAGCAAATTATGGATAAACTGAGGGAGAATTTGATTTAAAATGCCTCCAGAGAAAATGACAACTAGATTAAACTTACCTCTCTGTCGACTCCTCCTCTTTGGTTTTCCTTCTAATTTCTGTGATTTTTATGCTCTTCACATTATAAAGCCGTTGTTTGATTTCTCTGTTCCCCACAGTTCATCAGGGCAGGTGGTCTCTGGGGATGCGTGCGCTGGCACCACCACCCGCACAATAACCTTTGCACAGGGTGAGTGTCAGATCAACCAGATCGCCCTCAACCCATCAGGATCGGTGCTCTATGCTGCTGCTGGAAACACTGTTCGCATGTGGGACCTCAACAGGTGAGATTTATTCATTAGTTTGTTAATTGAAATACTCATCGAATTTAGAGTTCATTTAAGTCATGCATATATAATTAATTTGCTCAGCTTTTCCTACATTCATTGGCTCATTCATGCACATAGTTTCAGTAAAGCAGGAGCCTAATTCTTTGAGACACAGGTGTGGATCTACAAATATTTATTCAGTTTATGTTATTCAACACAAGAGCTGTCAAAGGAAAAAATGCAGAAACTCAGCCTGATATCAAGGTTGAAGAGGAGCAGGTTTTCCATAAGGCTGTTTCTGATATCTTGTTGAAAAACTGTCTCTTTCAGTTTTTATGCATCCAGAGGGAAATGATCAACAGATTGGAGCAGACAGTTTACGCTGAAGGCCTCAGACCAATTTAATGATGCATAACAACCCCCAGAAATGAAAAATGAATGTATTAAACATTTCTTCAGTATCATCCCAGCCTTTGGCGTTGCTGTGTCGCATCAGTTTTACTCTTGAGACGGAAAATGATTTCATTCAGTGAAACTGGCAACTTGAAAATCGGATTCTTGTAAATAATGAATCTCACAGACCTTTGCGCTGCTTCTGTGTGTGTGTGTGTGTGTGTGTGTGTGTGTGTGTGTGTGTGTGTGTGTGTGTGTGTGTGTGTGTTTAGGATGCAAGCAACGGGAAAGCTGACTGGTCACATTGGCTCAGTCATGTGTCTGACGGTGGGACAGTCTCTGCTGGGCAAAGACCAAGTCATCACTGGCTCTAAAGACCATTATGTGAAGGTAACATGTGCCCACACTAACATGTGAAAACCCCACCTCAGTGTCAGACATGCGGACACATCTTTAACGGTTTTATTTTTTATTTTTTGGACTCTCTGTAGGTGTTTGATGTGGCAGAGGGGACTCTGGGAAATGTAGGTCCAGCTCACAACTTCGAGCCCCCTCATTATGACGGTATCGAGTGTTTGGCTGTAAATGGAGACGTGCTTTTCAGCGGATCAAGAGATAATGGCATCAAAAAATGGGATCTGGAGCAGCAAGAGCTCACACAGGTGTGTGTGTGTGTATGTGTGTGCTTGTGTTTGCTTGAGTGAATGCCGACTGCATGTTAAATGTGAAACTGATAATGAAAAGATATTTTTCTGAAAACCAACATTTTCCATACATTAAAGTACAGACAATTCAAGCCTTTAATAAAGAATAATAATAATAATAATAATGATGATGATAATGATAATGATAAAGCTGCATTTGTCATATGTAGCTACAAATGTGCAAGTTCACACAAGTTAATCCTCAAAGTAAGCTGGCACTAAGTTCAGTTCACACTGATCAAATTGAACTGGTTCACATTCGTACTTAATTTTAGTTTTTTTTTTAACCAAGTTCATGGTCCAAAAAAATAATTTAGTGCACATTCATTTTTTTCCAGCTCCACCCAAGTTCTCTGTCGGTAAACCCTCCTAACTTCAATCCTTAATCCTTAACCAGAGACATTTATTAAACTAAATAAAATATCACATTCTGTTGTAGAAATACAGACAGAGGGGAAGTTTAAAAGCCTAGAAAATTGTATTGGAGTGTGTTTTACTAAATAGAATCAGCATGAAAGATGATGTGGATGAGATGGTTTTCACATCCAATTAACTAAAAAGGCTAAGGGTGATGCAAAATCGTACAAACAAACAAAAAGGGAATCATTCTCCATTAACATAAAGCTACACCGTCCTACAACCATACACAGCTTTATCTTGATGGAATCAGATTTGTTTGTAAAATTCCCTCAAACGTTCACGAGCGCTGGTCTCTCCAGCATCACAAACTACTTCTGAGCTTTGAGAAGCATTGGTGCCTTAAATCAGACTTCTTGCCTGCTGTTACACGCAGTGCTTGGTTATCTCGGCGGCTCTTGATACATCTTGGACCTTACCAAAAAGTGAGCAAATGTTAACTGTCTTCAGAACCTCAGAACTACAATCATGGTTCTGTTCATGAGTTGCAAAATGAGCTGCTCAGTTCACTGTTCACCAAAACATGAGTGTGTCCTATGAACTGAGACACATTGCTTGTCCTTGACTGTTTAAATCTGCACACATGTTCAACAGAGTGCAGAGTTAAGTTGAGTGAGTGCTGTTAAAGCAGTCAGACTCAGCTACCATAAACATTGTGGCCACATGTACTAGAGGTGTATGATACGATACTGATATCGGATATCAGTCCGATATCAACAAGAAATCAAATATCGGATTAAATCGGCCTACATCTAAAATCTCCGATACAAGCAGTCCATTCCAGACTCCGCTCCTGCACCTCTATCTAGCAGCACCGGGATCCAGCATGTAATCACAACAACAGCGTGTACTGTTCATTAAAGTCCCAAAAAGACGTTGCAGCTGAGTGCAAAACTTGTCATGCACAAGTTTGTGCTAATATCGGATCAATATCAATATTGGCCAACATTGAAGGCTACAATATCGGTATCATATCAGAGGTAAAAAAGTTGCATGTGCTGACCCATTTAAGAAGCAGATGTGTCCCATTGTTTACTTTAAGCTCTTGCAGTATATTGTATTTGTGTGAATTACAGTTGGCTACAGATGGTGAGCTTTTGTTTCAGTCATGAACACACTGATGAAACACTTATTAACATTGTCAAAGAGGGTAGACTACATATAGGTCATAGTAGTTATAATCAACTTCTAAACTTTTTTGTTTTTGTTGCACAATGTATGTTAAAGAAAAGAAATCACCCAGCTAGTTTTTTCTTGTGTCGATCAGCTCTCATCAGCTGGTACATTAGGTCAGCAGGGTCACGTTAAAGTCTGAGAAGCAGAGTGATTATGTCTGGTGAATGTAAAGCTCATCTTTTGAAGTTTAGATCTCAGTGTTTGCCTCAGCACTGCTCTTGACATTGTATGCAGAGAGCCTACAGGTGAAACATGCACAGTTCAACATTCTCTGAGGCGTATTATTCCTCACCCTTGACCCTCATCATCTTGTGAGAAAAGCCTTTCTTCTGTATGGCATTGCTGCAGTACACGCTGCATATAGAGTGTCAACATGGTTCAAAAGGGCTCTATTCAGATCATTGTGTGAAATCCTATCTATTGGGTGAGGATGCCACATTTAAATCAGCTACATTACTTCTTTTGTGGAGAAAATTGAAAATATTTCAGCATAACAGTTCAACTGAATAACAGGAAAAGGCATTTAATTTATGAGTGGACATATTCACTGCGAGCTTCTGTCTGCTTGCAGGAGCCAGCTTTTAGGTCTGTACCTCAACTTCACCTCCAATATGCCATTTCACAGACATAATGTGATCCTGCATCCTTTTCATCTTTATCTGCAGAGCAAATGTCCTCTCAGGTGTGATGAAAGGTAGCTTGCTTGTAAAGCTGTACATTGTGCTGTACATTGAGTTAAAAGCTTCTCTATCCCCACATGATCCAAGATCAGTAAAAGAATTCCTCCAAACACACTACATCCATAAAAATCCATGGATTATTTCAAGTTTAGAAATGCCATATGATCAAGTTGTCCATGATCCATCTCAACAAAGGGGGTTTGGATCTGTCCTCTCTCTGAGGTAAACAAGGTAGACAGTTTCAGCTCCTTTTAGTGATCCAGAGTGAACCATCTCAGAGCCTGTGTCCTCCACATTTTCCCCCTGTCCTCCAGCTGTATTCCACTAAAACTTGGTGCAGGTCATCACTCATGTGTCTTGACAATGCAGACATATTTTAAAATGAGCTTTTGTCTCAGACTCTGATCGGCAGTAAAAAGAAAAAAATATATTCTGAATGGCCTGAAGGGGCAATGATGATCCATTGACCTAGCCCTACATAAACCTTAATTGGACACAGACCATTGGACCATGGGTTGTGTTAGACCTTGCAGAAGTTATATCAAGTAATGAGAAGAAGAAGTTTACAGTCTTTGATACCTGAAGCTTAACTTGTACAAGAATGCTGGCAGGCTCCTAATGAGATAGTTAAAGCCTCTGTAGGGAGTTTTTGATAGGTTCTGAAACAGGCTGAAATGAGTAGTGATGCGTTTCCATGATGTATAAAAGCAAATTATTCTGTTTCTGTTTTTGACAACATTGACATTTTCTCTATCCCAATTCTTAATGCCTGTAACTGCTGTGACGGGGGTAGGTACACTGGAGAAACAACCTTTGTTATATTTCCACAGCTAGTATTAAAAGTGATTCATAAATTTCAGGGTGAAATGACAATGGGAGGAGGCTTGTAGAAAACCACCATGACTTTCAAAAAAAATTAGATGAATCTAGCAAAAATCATTTGTCCACTGGGGGCACTAAAAGTAACACAGGCAGAAAGTTTTTCACAGGAGCTTTAACGTCCGTAAAATGGATGACTTAAAGTTTTTATGAATAAAAAAGTACATATTTGATATCAAATATGTTTTTTTTTTTTTTTTTAACCAGGTTGGTTAGTTAGTTACTTAGTTACTCAGTCTTTATGTCTCCCTTGGGAGAAATTCGTCTTGGACAGACCAGAGGCTCCAGGTGCCACAAACAATCATCATAAGGACAAGAAGCCCTTTACCACCGTCACAGGCTCAGCTGTGAACATGAAGCCAGTAAAGCCCTAAGGTATTAGACAGTTCCCCTCATGCCTTCTTTTACCCTTTCTCTGTGCAAAAAGTCAGCAGAGTGTTGTCGTGTGTAATGTGGCTGAAAAGCACTGAGTCAAAACTGAGGCGTTGGAGCCCAAAGGCATCACAGCCATGGGTACTGGAGAGGAGAGTGATCCCGTGTGCATGTGTTGACTCCTATGTATCATCTTTTGCCTGTTTATGCTAATAATGCATTGTAATGCACCTTGTGGGTGGGTGAGCTTTACTCATTTGCATGCTTGGTAATTACAGTGTGCATAAAGCGCCTCTTTTTGAAGTTGTTTGCCTAAGTTCTGTTTAGCCTTTGTGTATCCAAACAGAGAAAATAAGCACATAAGACATTATCATTTTCATTTAAAGGTTGGACTAAATCAACTCTAACTGTGGTCTACCGCATCTGACCTCAGCCTCATTTGTGAACAGCCAACACCGTTCGTTTTACAGCCTCTCTAACTCTGCAGTCTCCGTCTAATTATGTAATAGGATCAAATTGTGGCTTGGGGTGTAATAGAATATATTACAGACTCTGAAACTCCTCCAGAGTTGCTGCTACGAGCCTTTCTGCTCCAGCCCCCTCTGTTAAAATGCATACGTGTGTTTCTTGGGAGAACACTTGAAGCAATTTGTTTATAATTACTCAGCACTGTGGTTAAGGGAGTCCCAGCTGCTTGATAAATATTTCATAGAGCCTCCAAAAAGCAATATCAAGTTTGCACGTTTACTGTTTGTTGGCATGCTTATGCAACAGTTACTGCAGTGTAATGTTGGGGTTATGAGGTGTTGGAAAGCAATAACACTTTTGAAGCGGTGGTGTAAGGTTGTTTAGAGTGAGTAAGGAGGATGTGAACTCTCTTTCTGTTGTGTTATTGCTCAATAATCCTGATCTCTTACTCTTGCAAAGCTTTGCTCCATTTGCTCGAGAAATTCCCCATTTCCTGATCATTTTTCAGTCTAGAAAGCCGGTGTACATGATAGATTTGCGGTGAGCAAATAAATCTAAAGTTTTTAGCGCTAAGAGGCTTCAAATAACCTTAACTCAACCTGTTTCAACCTTTGAGATTGTCATTTGAACAATACCAAAATATGTTGCACAAACAAACAGACAACATGGTTCCATACAAACTGGGAATTGGTTGTTTTGCAAACCACTTAAAGCCAATGTTTAATTGAAAATATGTGAAACAGAAAAACTGTGTTTTGTGAAAAATATTCTCATTTCAAAAAAGGTAGCAGAGACATATTTCTAAATAGTTGTTGCAGTGACATATTTACCTTTGTGTTGCATCACTATAAACATTTTGGACCCAACAAAACAAAAGGTGACTGTTATGGTCTGTCAGCAGGCCAGTCTCACATGCTGCCTCTCATCTACAGCAGAGTCATGCTGCTGTAACAGGTGTGAAATCTAGTTAGGCATCTTCCTGCTATATTATATAAAGTCCCCCCTGAAAAGGTATTATCTAGTTGGCACTTAGCAGCATATGTTATTTCAAAACCTGTTTATTTTTCAGTATTAATGGCGTCTTCCTCAGTGTGGAACCCAGTCCATGGGCACTTATTCATTCCAGTACCATCAGGGGATGTTTGCTTTTGAGCTATGCACTGATAACAAGCTGGGTGCTCCCTCTCCTCTTTAGAGCAGAGGTTACTGTGTCCATAATTTCCAAAAAATAAAGTCCAGTTTTGATTTGTCAGACCAGAATAGTTTCTCCCTTCACTTTAGTCCATCTCAAATAAGCTCGAGTCAAGAGAAGTCCCTGACTTTTTGGATCATGTTTATACAGTGGAGGAAATAATTATTTGACCCCTTGCTGATTTTGTAAGTTTTTCCATTGGCAAAGAAATGAAAAGTCTCAGAACATTATCATTATAATGGTAGGGTTATTTTAACAGGGACAGATTGCACATCAAAAAGAACATTGAGAAAATAACTTTAAATAATAGAAACTGATTTGCATTTCAGCGAGTGAAATAAGAATTTGAAACCCTCTAACAGAAAAGACTCAATACTTTGTGGCAAAACCCTTGTTTGCAAGCACAGAGGTCAAACGTTTCTTGTGACTGATGACCAAGTTTGCGCACATTTTAGGAGGAATTTTGGTCCACTCCTCTTTGCAGATCATCTCTAAATCACTAATGTTACGAGGCTGTCTCGCTTTAGATTTTCTATTGCGTCCGTTTTCCCGTTGATGCGGTGAAGTTGTCCTGTGCCCTTAGCAGAAAAACACCCCTAAAGCAAAATGTTTCCACCTCCATGCTTGACGGTGGGGATGGTGTTTTTGGGGTCATAGGCAGCATTTTTCTTTCTCCAAACACGGCGAGTTTAGTTAATGCCAAAGAGCTCAATTTTGGTCTCATCTGACCACAGCACCTTCTCCCAGTCACTCTCTGAATCATTCAGGTGTTCATTGGCAAACCTCAGACGGGCCTGCACATGTGCCCTCTTGAGCAGGGGGACCTTGCGAGCACTGCAGGATTTTAATCCATTGCGGTGTAATGTGTTTCCAATGGTTTTCTTGGTGACTGTGGCCACTGTATATGATGGTTTCCTCTTTGTGCGTTAAAGTTAATACCCACATTTTTAGCCCCTGTATATACTTTTGAAATATGTCCATTTAAAATTAGCATATACAGTAATTGACATTAAACAATAACATTTTCCCGTTTTAACATTTGTTATCTTTGCATCATTTTCAAATAAACATAGGCTTTAATTGATTTGCAAACCATTCAAATATGTTTTATGAACATTTCATACCACATCCAATCTCCTACTGTGTATGCAAATATAAAATGATATAAATTGGATTGTCTATATGGCATCTTTGTTGTTGCTCACTCTGAAAAGGAGCGTGAATTAACAACTAAAAAGACTAGAAAGAGGTGCAGGTAATGTTTAATTGATGAAACTTGAGAAAAGTAGTCCACTGCATCTAGGCCCACATATAATTTTAATATGTACACATAAATTAATCATCTACACATCCATTTACAACATTGAACGTGGCATACTGTAATCTTCTGCTGGATGTGCTCAGTGATCTTTGATGTTTAAGTCTTAAGACTTTCTTTGTAATCGCAAGGACACTTCTGGCACAATACCAATACATAATGCAGTAAGCTAGTATTAAATTGTATATCTGTGCATGCCTTTGATCAATGTAGCCCTTGATGAACAAAGTTGATCAGACACACCTCAGCATTGGTGTAAAATCATGACTTTATGTCACGGCAGAGTCAGACCTTTAAAGCAAACAGAAACCCCACACACGGAAAAGAAAATGCTGCCATATGATGTACATTTGTACTGGAGTTTTCAAAGCAAAGATGTTGCTGATGCAAATTTGTGGTTGACATTAAACTGTCACCTAATTACTTTTAAGAAAGCGTTAATCTGCTCTACTAAAATTGTAATCGCCAATGCTGATGCTGTAGATCGTGTGCAGGGTGCAGTTGTCTATCCTAACCAAACTTTTTCTCAGGTCTCACAATTAACTGAAATTAAATGAAGTAACTCAAGAATGACGTCTTTTTGCTTTTATACTTGTACCAATGCACCCTGCTCCTCCCCTCTTCTGTGTTTTGCTTATTATTTCTCTTAAGGCAGCTGATATGGGCATGTTTTCAAATCTGTCTGTTAAAATCTGTCTGTTTGGTCTTATCTGGCTCACAAATTCCGGGGCTGGTGGTGATTTTGAATCTTGAGCGGCTCCTCCTCGGTCTGCTGACCAAACATGAGCTCACGGGAGTTTGCTGCATCTGACTCTGTTGACCAGCTTAGTGGAGGCTGGTTTTGGTTTGGTTCTTTGTGAAATTAGAATTACTAGTCCTGGTGGTTTTGACAAACTTCTCCGTCTTGCACAGAGACTTAATCTTACCACTTTTCTTGCCTTTACCTGAATTAGGGAAGAATAATGCTAGTATTTCTGAGACAGAATGATCATCAGCCACTGTGCGTGTTTTAGGGATGCACCAATCCGCTTTTTTTTACCTCCAATACCAGTACAGATATCTACAGTTTAGTATCAGCCGATACGGATCCAATTCTGATACAGAAAATGCACACTGAATTTCCTTTTGTTGAAACCGGAAGTTTCATCACTGCCCCTAGGAACTGCGCAGGTACTGCAAGTGGCTGTCGAACTTGTAGGTCGAGGTATTGTGATAAAGTTCAAGATAGCAGACCCCTTAGGTTGCTCCATTTTGAAAGCAATGCAGGCATCCACTCAGCGTGTTTACTTGTGGATGCCGCTCATGGCGAATAGCATAGAGTTCGGCTGAATAGATTGCCCCCTATGCATTGGGCCCATTGTCAATATACCGATCTAGAATTATTTTCTAGTATCGGAACCGATACCAATATCAAATATTGCTTCGTTGCATCCCTAGTGTGTTTACTGTTTCTCCTGGGATGCTTCTGCACTGATTTGGGCATAACCTCAACCGCTGGGTTGTATTGTTGATCTTACATAAGCTAGTTGTTAGCTTATAGACAAAGAGTAACAAGTAACAACTCCTTTTAGATATCTCTTAATTGTAACAGTGTCAGTGGATTTGTAAAGTAACTGGATACAAAACTAAATATGCAGAATAGGAGAAGTAAAATGTCCTTTAGTTTCCTAAAGGACATTTCCTTTAGTCTCAAAGACCTAAAAAGAAAAACATGTGCATTTATTTGAGATAGTTGGACCTTTGTTTGGATCACATGGAACATGAAAGCTATAGATTTGCATGCAACTGGGAGATAGAAAGATGTTGATTGTGTATAAAAATGTAAAAGGAACAGAAAAGGCAACCTGCTGTGTGGAGATGTGTTTGGAAAGCCCCTCAACCCCAACCCACCCCTTCGAGGAAAAATAATTTTTGTGTGAGGTCCCCTGATGCACATAATAATAGAAATAAAATTGAAGTTAGTGTGTTATTGTAGATGAAAGCTAATCTCAAAATGACAGATTATTATCAAAGAATGGCAGATGCAGTTAAACAGGAAACAACAGGAGAAAGCAGATAAAACCTGTTGGAAATTATCTTCCTGTTCATGGATTTTATTGATTCCTAGAACACTGAATCTGCAGCTCGGCTGGCTGAGAAAATACAACAAACCAAACAAACAAAACTGGTGGCACAAAATATGCTAAATAAAATAAAACCATATGTTCAGTTCAAAGTGCCATTTGTGCAGCTGTTCTTTGTTTTAGAGCAGAACTGAAGTGATTGTGTAAAAAGCTTTAAATCTGCAATTTTATTTGATATAGTATCTTGTTGTCTCTCACATTTCTTTAAAATATGTAAATAAATACGTGCTAAATTTAGGTTCCTGTCAAGGTCAGGAGCATGACGAAATAATTGTGGAGCTGAAAAATGTCCCAGAACTTCGTTTAATACAGAACTTTTCCCAACAAGTGCTTCACGAAAAATTCAAAAAACGCCAAAAAATAAGCAGTAGTATCCATCTGCAGAGATTTTCCTCCTGTTGCTGTGTATGTAGGCAGGTCATGCTATTGTCAGAACCTTTGCTTAATCCATGAATCACGTCAGCAGATAATGCGGCATACTGAACACAGATACATGAGCTAAGAATAACTACAGCATTGAAGCTAAATACAGCATTAGTGAGTCTGAACACCTCACCTTTACTTGCATGTTCAGGGTTCCCCATGCATCCTGGAAAAAAACTAAAAATCCTGGAAAATGGAAGGAAAAGTAAAATGTCCTGGAAAATCATGTATTGTCCTGAAAAATTTTTCTAACGGGACTAGAAAACTGCCCAATCTGGCAACACTGGTCAGGCAGAGAGCTTGATGGGAGGTCAGTGCCTTACAACTTTCCCTACAGGCTGAGAACTCAATTACTGTACTATAGCTAGTAGCCGTGCAAACTCCTGATAGTGAAAAACAAACAAAACAAAAAGAGCAACACAGCTGCACAGAAACTGCACGTTGTACACATCTCTAAACACAATAGACATCGCCACACAATAAGACAGTTAAAACTCTTTTAAACCTTCAAATACAGAGTGCGTGTTGTATATCGGTGCAATTTTTCCAGAGTTTACAGTCACGTTATTGATGACATTATAGCTGGCACTGAATCACTCTTGTCTGTCTTTCTTGCTGACTGAGCTAGGGTCGCACTTTCAAGTCAGTGTTCAGCTATGAGGCCAGCAGAAGTGAGAGTGAAATACATTTACTTCATACATTGGTAAACGGCAGTCGAGAACAGTGTATATAAACTGCAGATCGTAAGAGATAAAACATGCGTTTATGTGCACAATGAATATGACCCAACTGTGTAAATGAAATGGCAGAATAACAGACCACTTTGCTGGATGAATATCCATGATAAATAAAGTATATTTTGAATTGAGTTGAGAAAAATGTGTGGCTATTTTTGCCATTTAGGTCAATTTATGCATTTTAATTCAATGTATCCTCTGATTGTTATTATTATTTATTTATTTATTTATTTCAGTAAGAAAGCTTCCAGATGACTTTGCTGGCTCTTTTGTTTTTTGCTGAGTAAATTTTATATTTTTTGAGAAAAGAGGAAGCTGAGATGTTCTTTGTTACTTGGTTGCACTACTAAAGTGAGGTGCTGTACATCTGTGGTTGCATAAATCTATAATCCATTTGTCATGAAGTATGTGAGAGGTGATTTCTTTGATACCCATAGACTTCACCTCTTTCAATGTAGACTCCCACTGAGAGGAACATATTAGACTATTTAGGAACTAAATTTAGACATACCAGCTTGAACATCACTAAAAATGTCCCGGAAAATGATCTCTGGGAAAGAGTTGGAACCCTGATGTTGCCTAGCAACAATGTGCATTCTCCATTCAAGAATTATGCTGCATTACTGAAGAGGATTTACATCCATTAAAAATGAAGGCTGAACATGTTTTTCTGCTGCTATTTTAAGGCATAATAACCCAGGTGACTCACAGTCATGTAACTGTTAAATAACTGGAACATTTGGATCTAAGATCACTCTATTATCACTGATTTTAGGTTTCTGCTTTGATTCCACAGCAAATCCCAAACGCCCATAAGGACTGGGTGTGCGCTTTGTCGTACGTCCCGGGTCGACCCATGCTGCTGAGCGGCTGTCGGGGTGGTATGCTGAAGGTGTGGAATGTAGACAACTTCACCCCCATAGGAGAGGTCAGAGGTCATGACAGCCCAATTAACGCCATATGTACCAACTCCAGACACATCTTCACTGCATCCAGGTGAGGATTATAAAGTTCTGTGCAATATTTCACCACCGATTTGTCTTCTGTTTTTGCATCTTCAAATTTACCTACCTGTTGTACACTCACCGGCCACTTTATTAGGTACACCATGCTAGTAACGGGTTGGACCCCCTTTTGCCTTCAGAACTGCCTCAATTCTTCGTGGCATAGATTCAACAAGGTGCTGGAAGCATTCCTCAGAGAGCTTGGTCCATATTGACATGATGGCATCACACAGTTGCCGCAGATTTGTCGGCTTCACATCCATGATGCGAATCTCCCATTCCACCACATCCCAAAGATGCTCTATTGGATTGAGATCTGGTGACTGTGGAGGCCATTTGAGTACAGTGAACTCATTGTCATGTTCAAGAAACCAGTCTGAGATGATTCCAGCTTTATGACATGGCGCATTATCCTGCTGAAAGTAGCCATCAGAAGTTGGGTACATTGTGGTCATAAAGGGATGGACATGGCCAGCAACAATACTCAGGTAGGCTGTGGCGTTGCAACGATGCTCAATTGGTACCAAGGGGCCCAAAGAGGGCCAAGAAAATATTCCCCACACCATGACACCACCACCACCAGCCTGAACCGTTGATACAAGGCAGGATGGATCCATGCTTTCATGTTGTTGACGCCAAATTCTGACCCTACCATCCGAATGTCGCAGCAGAAATCAAGACTCATCAGACCAGGCAATGTTTTTCCAATCTTCTATTGTCCAATTTCGATGAGCTTGTGCAAATTGTAGCCTCAGTTTCCTGTTCTTAGCTGAAAGGAGTGGCACCCGGCGTGGTCTTCTGCTGCTGTAGCCCATCTGCCTCAAAGTTCGACGTACTGTGCGTTCAGAGATGCTCTTCTGCCTACCTTGGTTGTAACGGGTGGTTATTTGAGTCACTGTTGCCTTTCTATCAGCTCGAACCAGTCTGGCCATTCTCCTCTGACCTCTGGCATCAACAAGGCATTTCCGCCCACAGAACTGCCGCTCACTGGATATTTTTTCTTTTTCGGACCATTCTCTGTAAACCCTAGAGATGGTTGTGCGTGAAAATCCCAGTAGATCAGCAGTTTCTGAAATACTCAGACCAGCCCTTCTGGCACCAACAACCATGCCACGTTCAAAGTCACTCAAATCACCTTTCTTCCCCATACTGATGCTCGGTTTGAACTGCAGGAGATTGTCTTGACCATGTCTACATGCCTAAATGCCTAAGTTGCCACCATGTGATTGGCTGATTAGAAATTAAGTGTTAACGAGCAGTTGGACAGGTGTACCTAATAAAGTGGCCGGTGAGTGTATATCTGTCTTGCATTTTGTTGGTGTAGTAAAAGGAGTAATAAGGAGAATTCTTCATTTTTCATGGATGAACTTTGTGGAAAGACAAAGTCCAACAATTAAAAATTAACAGGGCTAATAGGCTAATGTTTTGCCTGTCACAGAGCTCAGTTGTCTTTCAAGAAATATTAAAAAGATGTCCATGAAGATCATGTTTTTCATGCTCCTATCTCTTCATTTTGGTAGGCCTCCTGTCACTAAACTTTGAACATTCAGTAGTTCACTTGTTTTACTCTGCTGCTGGAACTAATCACCACACAAGTGCACTGTTCACTACCCTATGAGGAACATTCGCAGAGGACTGTGGAACCAACTGTAAAGGAAGAGAAAGCTTTTCCTCATAATAGAATAATAATAGTAAAACCACATCATATCAATTTTCCAAGATTTAAATCTTTAGAAAGAAGAAATTTCCTCGTAGCTTAGTTAAATACTAACACTTTAAATATTTGACACTCTGACCACATGCTTTTACCATGTTTTTCAAACTGTTACAGAAAGGTAAGAAATGTTCTCCTCTTTCCCTGAATGTTCCTCTGTCTGAGTAAATAAGTGGATCATGATTCATCCCCTCTTTGTCTCGCGTATTCATCTCCAGGTGAGCGTCAGCGTCTTGTCCTTAAGAGAGGGGTTACAAACTGCATCCTGTTTGTTGAGATCTTGGTCGTCAGCTGTTGGTGTTAACATTTTTGTGTTCATGTGTGTGTGTGTGTCCATGTGTCCAAGTGTTATATTGTGGGATCTTTTCTGGCTGTCTACCTTAATTTTTCTGGCTTTGTCTGCACTCTCTGAACTCTCACTGAAGTTAATCAACACTCGACTCCTTCTTACTGTCTGCTCTTGTTTCATCACTTAACTCTCCACTGTCTCTTTCTGTAGTTCTGTTCTTCTGTCATCTTCTCTCTGGTCATATATTTCCTGCTATTTGATCAGTCAAACTCTCCATCTTTAACCTCCCTGCTTCTCCCTCTATTCCCTCCCTCCCCTGTGTTGCGCAGTGACTGCAGGGTGAAGTTGTGGAGCTATGTGCCGGGTTTGACCCCATGTCTTCCTCGACGGGTCCTGGCAATCAAGGGCCGAGCCACCAGCCTCCCATGATTGTCCCTCCTCTGCTCACCAACCCTCCTTCCTTCTGGTACTTTCTTAACAAATCTCAAACTTCCTTACCTCGTCCCTCTTCATTTCCCCAACTTTTCTGTTTTTCCACCAAATTGGTCCCCAAACTTTTCTTTTGGCTTCTCTTCTCTTTCTACTCCTTGTGTTTTTCTCCAATCATTCTTTTTTTAATCCCTTTTCTTCTTTTGCCTTTTCACATGCTTCCAGCTGGCTAAGTTTGACGTCTATTTTTTAATGTGTTATCATGGTTAACACTTCCTTTGCAGACCACTGCCTTCACTGAGACAAACAGCTTTGAACAAATGACTCATAGTTCTGCTTAGAATAACTTTTCTCCTCTTGTCCACAGACCAAATTTATCTGCTTTTCCTGTTTGCACTTTTAATTGGAGGTTTTAACGTTGATGAAATGTACTTATTTACTCTTTTACAAAGAGTCAGACCAGGAGACAATTAAAACTTCTTTGCATCTGCTATCTTAGCAATAGAATGTACATGAATAAAACTATTAGGCTGGTACATCTAGACCTCTTTAATACAGAGACATAACTTTTACACTTCATTTTCTGTCAGGATCAATTGAATGAGTTGATGTTTATCCAGTTAAGATGTTACGGTGCCAGTATTTTTCATTGATGTTGGCATTATTCATTTTACTTGCCCTTATGCTATGCTAGTATTTGTAAGGGATTAATAGTGAGTGGATGGCTCTCCAAATCTGCGTCAGGGTCCTGCTCAACAACCTGCCAGGATTACAATTTGTAAAACTGCCTGCTCACTATAAGCACAAAAAAGATGACAGAAAACACTGATTTGAAAATGATTTTATTGATTGAAAAACTGATATATTAATAAAGCTGAAAACTATTTCCTCTTGTTCGATGGCAGTAGATTATCAGCTAATTTGTGGGGCAGATTAAAGTTTATCTAAACATTTAAATTCAAGTTAAGAAATCTTTTTTTTTTTTTTTGTCATTTTCAAATTTAGCCAATGTGAACTAGACTTATAGTGGAGATGTGCTCACAAGCTCTGCCTAAATTGTAGAGAAGGATCTTGCTTCACTTTTCCCTGTAGCTCCTCAGAGTGTTCCCAAACCTGTGCCCTGAATCTGTCATGATTTTCTGACACTCAAGACCAGCCTGAGACAAAAGCTGTTCTTTTAGTCACAGTGTTCACCAGTTAAATGTGCTAATAGAAACCAACTGTTTTAACAGGCAGTGATCAAACCTGCCACACTTCTCGAGACGATTGATTTGATTGTGATCAGGTTGTTGTTGAGAATTGTTCACAGATGTTTCGGGGTTTGACCAATCAGAATTAAGTATTTCATATAGGCAGGTAAAAAGAAAATTTTGTAGTTAACTTGAGTTTCTTTCTCTTTACTGTTACATCAAAGTTTTTGTGAGTACGAAGCGTCAATACAGTAGTATTAAAATGCTATCAGGGCTCATATCTAACCATGAGTGCATTTCTGACAAAGTCTAACAAGCACTAGAATCAGCATCTCTTTACACTTACCGAAGAGAGCAGATAAGTCATTAAAGTGCCCTTGATAAACATTTGACGCTGCTGTGGTATAGTCTGACGAATAAAGTGGTTTGATTCAAGACAGTAGAAACAAACTTTTATGGCTAAGTGGAAAAAGTTAGAAAGAGAAAATAAAAAGGTTTTTTTTAATTTACTGACACAATGCAGAATAGTCTTCAAATTGTGTGTGTGCGTGAGTGTGTGTGTGTGTCAGAGAGAGAGAGAGAGAGAGAGAGAGAGAGGGAAGTCTACTTTTAAGTCTATCTTTCATGTTGTTTTTGATGTGCAATGGGTTGTTTTGAAAGAGAAAACAGCTTGACTGATGTTCAGTTATTTTCTGTCTCTTGTCGTGTTCTCCTCGCTGTCTTTTGCTTAAAATTCTAACACCCTTTCTGTCATTTTCTCTCTTTCTCTCTCTAGTGACAAGACAGTGAAGATCTGGTCATCAAAGGTTTGGAGGAAGAGGTGACAACAGGAGTGACATCGGTTTTCTTTTTGTCGGCCATCTTGCCTGAGCTGCTCACCTCAAGCAACAAGACACTGAAAACACATTTTCGAAGGCAATCAAGCTGTTTTCCCTCTTTGTCGGGGAGCAAAAAAGCAAAAGTGGATTCAGAACATGTATTCAGAGGCAAAAAAAATCTATTTGCCTTTTAGATTTTTTTTTACTGCCAATTTGAAAGTGCCATTCTGGTTTGATGCTATTCGGACGAGATAAACCCAGTTTTCTCCTGAGTGGATTTCCCAGGCTGAACTTTTTCTTTCTACCACCGCCTGGTGTCAAAGACAAGGAGAAAAAGTATCCTTCTGTTCTTTCAACTACGTACAACACTGAGGAACAGCTGGAGAAGAGTTTGCTGAAAAACATGGAGTCATATGTCTGATGTGTCTGAAAGACAAGATGCAGGAAAGTATAAACCCTCCGAGGATGTTAACATCCAGGATGTCTATTCCTCCTTAAGAGGCTGTTTGCCTCAAAACAGCTGTGACTGGATACTGAACACGCTGATGGGTCTGCGGCCAATCAATTGACAATTGTTGATCGTGGAATCAGTATGACTGGAAAACGACACACAATACTATCAACTTGATACTTTGTTTTTTACTGTGGAGGCTCTTCAATCACTTTAAATCCAACTTCCTCTCAGTTTGACACTGACACTTTACTGTGTTGTACAAGACGTGTTTTTGTATGTCTCCAACTCATTTTTTATTTTTCCCTACCTCAGTTGTTTTGAACTTTGGCATGAGGTGGGTGGGAACATTTTTACGGGTCTCTGTGTTCAAACACCAGGTGCTTGACATTTCAAAGTCTTTATTTGATGCCTGGCTCTTCATCTCTGTGTGGATGTGTCCTCTGTGGCTTCCTAGCTTACAGCCTGTCTAGCTGCTGACCTGGCAAACAGGAAAGCACACATCCAGTAGAACTGCCAAGGTAGTAACACCCCTAAAGGAACCTCACTGGATTGTATTTTTTTTGTTCTCTTATGTGCTAAAACAAAAGTCCAAAAAGGAAACACACAGTGCACACCTACAGAAGACACTCCTGACATGTTTGTGAGTCAGGTACTCCTCTGTGGCCAACTTTAACTGAGCCAATCTACAGTGTGTAGTTCATACCTGCCATTTATCCTCCACACAGATGGTAAAAGGAGTTCTGCCAGTACCCCCACCCTTTTTCTGCTCGCCTTCAGTTTCCCACTGATCTTAAAGGTTAGCAACTGTGTCAGTCTGACCAGCCTTACTGAAGAGCTACTGAACTTCTCTGAAAATCATTTTTAATCAGAGGTCTACCGGCTGCTTTTTAGGCGAGATTACTCGGGTGAAAGTAGGTCATAACTGAGGGGGATTTCTTATTAAAATCCCGGTTTTCTTCCACCCACTTTTTGCTGCTACATCTAAAGGCAGGAGCAAACTTCCTGTGCCTGTGCACTGATGTACAATTCTGTTTATGTGACAAATTATGCTGTACGTATGTGTGGACAAACACACACGCACAGACTTTGGATACACTCACGCACGATTCTTCAGTGGCTGTTTTGGTTATCCATCTTGCCTGATAGGTCTTGGCATCTCTCAGTATGTTGATTTAGTGTCTCTTTAATGAAGCAGATTCAGCGCTGCAGCACTGCACTGAACCACACTTATGCACACACTCACGCCTGCAGGCAACAGGAATAACCCAAGTCTTAAAAGTCCCTTCAATTACGTTTTTGTTGTCTGATGTTTTAGTGACAGACATTAGCAAGCATGCATATCACTCTTAACATAAAAAGCTATTCGGATTGAGTGCACTCTCCCTCGTTAATGAGACAGAAATATTTGTAGCTTAATTTAACAAAACAGATCACAAAACAGCATTGACACGTGCTGGAGCTAGTTTATGCTTTCGACATACTTCTTGCAAATTCTCCCCTTTATAGGAGAGAGTACTTTTGTGCTGCTTATGGCTGATGTTGCCAACATAAGTTCAAAGCTGCTTACAATCTCCAAAAACAATTATATGGGTTTTAGTTCTATGTTTATGGGGTAGGGGGGTTTGTTTAGGTAAACTGTGTAGAAAAGGGGTAACTTGTTAAAGCATTCTTGGTATTTATGTATTGCTTAACTTAGAAACTCAGGTAAGGGTTGGAGGATATTATTTCTCATACTTTAGTAATTACTTAACCCTGTGGATTTAGAAAGCTCTTTGAATCAACCAAATGCCTTTTTTCTGAGATTTTCTTTACTTTAACAGGTACTAACAATGTACCTACCTTTTTTTTTGTAAAGGATCCATTTTCATGTTTTATTTTTGTTTTGATTCCCTTTACCTGCTATTTATGTACTGTGCTTTTTTTGAACAAAATGTTCGCATCTTAAGTGACATCTTCCAAATCTTGTCAAAACTGAAAATCTAGCAACTTTGAAGAGATGTGCACTGATTTTTGACTGAGATTTCTTGTATGAAATGTTGTACTTGTTTGGTAATTCAACAAAAAAAAAATGAAGTGAGCGGTACTCAATGTGGTCAGCAGGAAAACTTTGCTTCGCACTATAATGAGGTCTATACTTTGGCTCTGAGCAAGACCCCACTGGGCCCCTCACTGTTGACTTTGTAGTTATCTGTGCTAATTAGCCAAACTGACCCTGCTCAGCAGCTCCGTGGTAGGTTTTATCGAGATAGCAATGCTAAAGCAGCCTGTCTCGATCATTTTTGTTACTCTCTACTGCTTCTTATCCATCGCGTTCACAGGGGGCATTTTCCTCTGACACCATACTGAGGCTGGGAAGCTTAAATGCTGGGAAATGGGGTTTTAACTCTGCAAATTCTGTAAACAACAACATGATTAATAACTAACGTACTGCGTCTTTATTACAGTCTTGTTTCTTGAAAGACCATGATCAATAAAAAAAAGGGACTCATTAGGCCTGTTTTCAGGAAACAGCCACTTCCAGGCTAACATTAGTGTTTGATGGTACACAATCTGACCCAAGACCCATTAGCTAGCTAGTTAATGTCGATAGCTAGATAAAATATACGCTAGGTGTAACTCGAATGCTTTGGTTGTCAACACAGCTTGCAGCATGAGTTCACAATGTGATTTTAAGTAAAGTCACAACAGCTAACATTTGCATTCAAGCAGTTTTCATTAATCAGCTAACTTAATTATTATTAGCCTTGAAGTTGCACTTTTCATGTAGTTTTAGCTGCGTAGTTGAAACCAATCTCCTGGCTCAAGGCAACTAAGCAGTTATTAAATCTGTATTTCTAATGTCTTTGCAGTAGTTCAACCTTTGTCAACCTTGATAACAGCGGTACAGTATTGTAACAGTGTTTTGGCTTCTCACCCTGACCATGGCTCTAGAGGAAAATTGGCCTCATGTGAATGCTGGCTTGTTAAAGATGATCTTACTGTAGCTTTAGATCCTGTCTTAGACGTTTGTACATTTACTAAAAGATGCAAGATGTTAGTGGTGCTCATCGACTGACTAATTGGATGTCTGAAAACACAGAAATTCAGTTCTCCTGGTACTGTCTATAACACTTGAGTGGGAATGCTGTGAAAATCTCCAAGTTTCTGCCTATTTGCCTGAATTATGAAGCATAAGCATGTTATGTGCTTCGCCAAAGATTCCTGCTGAAAACCTACATTTTCAAGCCAAGCAGATACACTAAATTACGATCTGGCCTCGGATTGGCCACACCCAAAGTTAACCAAAGGACAAAAGGCTTCCATTATGCCAATGCGAGCGCCACTTAATTTATTGGCAGTGTGTAAATACGTGTGTCATACCTTCTTTTAATATTAAATCTGAGGTTACCTGACCATTCTCATCAGCTGACCCTGAGTGAGCTCTGCAAGTTAGGATTAACATGCACTTTGGATGATGAACACTGCTGTGAATACTATGGTAAATGTTTTCAAATATGTATTAAGCCTAGGATTAGACTTAGTTTACAAAGACACAGTTTACGAGTCTGTAGAATGGCTTTGAGCACTGAAATTGTACTTAAAAGGAAACATCTGAGTAGCTCCACGGTAGGTTTAGGGATTAATATTCTTACTGATATGGTATGTTTCTTAACAATGAAGATATAGAGTGAAGCCTGTGCCCAGTATGTTCCTGCCTCTTAAGTCCCCTCTTTAATATGGCTAATGTTTCCTGAAAATGAGGATTTCCTTCATTCTTATTTCCCTGGCTGGCTGCTTGGTATTTTTTTAAATATCACTGACCACAAACAGCTTGTATTACTCCACGACAGATATGAGAAACACAAAATGAGGAGGGTCTAACTTTAATCTTGGAGAGATATGATCTCAATTTTAGAGAGTGGTATTATCAGACTTCCTGTACCACTGAGCATGTGCTGTGTACTGTTTCATCAATATTTCTCTGACACCTTATTGGTGCAGCAGCTGGTGGTCTTGTGAAGTCTTTTGTTGCTTCCTGTTGCCACAAAATTTGAAGTAGAAAGCTGTTCAACCAAAGCTAAATAATACTTGAACAGCTTAAAAACTCAGTCACTCTTTGAAGCCACAGAGTGTGTTGAATTGTATGTTAAAAACTCTGGTTGAGACCTCTCTGTGAAATTAAAAAAATCACAGCTCAGCACACACAGATCTCACTTTGTGACACTTGGTGAACTGAGTGTTAGCAAAGTCTGGCACTTTGTAGCCACAACTGCTAACCTGCCAAGCTTACAGATCTGAAAAAGAAGTGAAGCAGGAAAGGATTTTCTCATATTTCAGGAAAGAGTCAGGGCTTGTTGTGGCGTCGATTCCTTTTAAGGTTACAAGAATATGATTGGGCAGGAACTGCTTTGGAGGGGGCTGATTTTCACTAAAGCAAACCGAGATAATCGATGTATTTTGTCTGTAAACCAGTTTGCCTGGTGTTGTATATTGGGAAAAAAAAGATCAGCGAGTCAAGCTGCCAGTCAGACTGATTGTGTGATTACCACCTTCAGCATTTCCAGCCCAGCCCTTTCAAAACATCTTAGGACAACTCAGAGAGGAAAGCTCAGTAGTCAGCCTCTCAGCTTCAGCCGTGTGCCTCTGCCAACAGGCCGTACTGCCTTACAAGGACAGAATGTGATTGTAGGACATTAACAATCATCTACTCAATATCCTGAATCTGTAATAGTCCCTTTTAAGGGATTATAGATTGTCCTACAGATTGTGCAAGTCAGACATCTTGGCTCACTTTATCAGTGTGGCTTAAAGACTTTGCCCTGGGCTGATGTGGAGAAGAAATGACTTTTAGACACAATCAAGAGGGGCTGCTGATCACGAGAGCACTTAACTGAAAATCGCTCTCTCACACTTTCACACCACGCATGTCTTCTCTGCAGCTTTCAAGTTGTGTTTCTACAGATGTGTGTGGTCATAAGGATCTCAAATATGGTTATACAGCATGTCGCAGTGTATCACCATATGTACTCATCGGACTTAAATGCAGGGTCAAAGGTCATTTGTGCCTTTTATTGCACAGACTATTCCCTCTTAAAGGAGTGTAAATGTTTGTACAGTTTTTTTTTTTATGACAATGTGCATGTGACCAAGCCATGTAAAATATCTGACTGTAAATAATGTAAGTAAGTATTTAATGAACAATCCAACGTTCCCTCAAGACAATAAATAAGTTAAAAACGACATCTTTTGTGTCTCTTGAGCTTGGTTACTTCCAACTTAGTAATTTGACTGGACTGGATGTGCTCCACAAGGCTGGGACTTAAAAAAATAAAAATAAAATGATTTCCCGTCAGGTGTTCCTATAGACTGTATTTACTATGGACAACTTGGTTCCGCCTTCCGCCAGTATACAGATTTGAAGCCAAAAAGCTCTCAGTAATCCGCGTTTTTTCTCCATTTCCTGAAACCGACATCGCACAGTAGCGTTGTACACACTTCACCACTTGTGCAGTAGTATTGTACGCATTCGGCGGGAGAGTCGCTCGGCTCAAACAGCGTATCCCCCGGGTGAGCTACGCAATCCCTGTACGCCCATAGACTGTATCAAGTGTCAATCATAAAAAACATGAACCCCCTAAAAACTTTTAAAAACAGAGCTGTACAGAAAAAAGAGGACTTGAGCACAAACCAGTCTTACAATAACCACATGTCAACATTGCAAGCAGGGGGGAAACATTTTTTTTTTCTGTGTTATAGATGTCTAAAGTTTGTCCACAGCCCCATAAAATTTGCTGGCGGAGGTGGGATTTATGACCTAAACTGCAGCCTATCAACAGAGGGTGCTGTTCTCGGGGTGGCTTCACCCATCGAGGAGGCAGACTCTGTCCATTCTACATACAGTCTATGGGTGTTCTTAATACAGATTAAACTACACCAGGTCTATTTTGTCTAAGCTGGTTGCCCATAATAGAGTAGAAAATGCAGATGGACACCTATTTTAGTGGATGCACTGTGAATAAAATACTTGCAAGTACCTTTGGATGCTTTCACAGCTCGATCATTAAAGAAGTTGTTTCGAAACAGGGATGTTTCCATCTTTGGAAATATGTAAACTCAACAATCACTCTGATGAGAACCAAAACAAGGCAGGTCTCAGCTGGCTTCCAATCAAGCAGTTTGTTTGTAATGAGGACACAATCAGTAGTCTTTACATTGACTGGTTTAAGAACTGATTTAGGTCTTTTTTGGGCCCAGCTCACTAAACCAGAAGAAATTGTCCTTCCATTCATTTGACAAAGAAGTTAATCAGCCCTAGAAATGTCCTTCCCTACTGCTAGTCAACCCAACATGGAAGGTTAAATGGCCAATTTGATCGCCATCTTGGAGCTGGCATCCCTCAGCTTTCTTTTTTTTTGGCAATGCAGAAAGAAGAGGAGGCTGTGCGGTGATGACATAAAGATGAAGCTGTGATGGTGTGTGCTATGGTCCACTTACAATGCTGCAGTGTGAACACAAAAAGACCCAAGGGTAGAACGCAACAATGGATCAATTCATCATCTGAACTAGAACAAACCAAATGCAGTACAAGTGTGAAAGCACCTTGCAACAAATTTGTCCTTTAACCAGAGTAATGGGAGTCTTTACTAAGCTGTCTGCATGTTACACAAGCTCTAGATTTCCTCCTGTCTGGAGATAAAAGCGGAAATGAAATGATCCTTTACCTTGCAGATGGAGAAGGAGTTTGTTGATCATTCAGGGTAAACATACAAAGCAGGTTATAACGGATGATCGTAGACATGGGAAAGGTTTTTCATCCAGATGCATTTCTTTATACTTCAGAGCTGGGGATACAGACTCAGAACTCATACATCTTCATTTCCTTTGCAAACCATGATCATTAACTTGAGTCGAGCTTCACTTGTCCCAGCAGCAACGGGAGACGCAAGTGCTGTGATGTACGACGGCCATTACAGCCCCGGAGGAGGCAGCAACCATTTGAAAATGCTAGTCAGAAAACAGATCAACATCCACACACAAACACTGTCACGTCTCAACAGTATGTGGTCTGTCAGCTCCCCTTCCATTTGATAAACTCCTAATATTTCAATTTGATGTCTCTGTCTGTTCAAGTCACTTCAATGCTCCAGTAAGTCTGTTCTTACTCTCTGATCCATCTATTTCTGCCCCACTTATCAATCATCCTGTGAGAGTAAAAGTCTTTTTGAATTTTTACCAAACACACCAAAAGAATAGTAAATACTGATGTCCATCCTGCAGCCTGACGAGTGAACTCCTATGAATTCCACATGGTTAAAAAGTCAGTTGGATAAGTCAGCAGACTAAAAACAGACATATCTCGACAAACACTGAGCTCATCTTCATGTTTTGTACAGGCATCATGGTCCCCAGTGGGTGTTTTTTGATTTGATGCTTGATTTATGCAGCACCAATATTCAGGTCAAAATTTCAATTTGTCAAATTCTACGGTTTAAAAAACCTGAACACAAATGACAGTCCTATCAGCACGCCCGCCTCACAGACAGTTAACACGGTAATTGTGAGCATGTTGACAATTTGAGCTTGAGTTAGTAATTTTCTTCATTTGTACCTGCCAGCTTAAAGAGCAGTTCCCTTGAAAGTTTGTGACATTAATTGCAGGTAATGGCACCACATTTACTTTTATGATGACAAACAATGTCAATCTCCAATTTGGAGGTGCTCAAGTGATTACTGGCTCCTAAAAATCTCCAACAGGATGGTAATAACACAGTTTTCTCATGTAAGAGATCTAAATCTTTAGTGGCTGATCTAATAATCTTATCTGCCGTCTGCAGAAACTGCTCTTACAACTGTGACTGCTGCTGCTGTGATATGACTGTTACATATCTAATGTTCAATTTTTATTCATCGTTTCTATGTTGTGTCTCTGTACTATCCTATCTTTACAAGAATAGCTGTTATTGTGAATAGTGCTCATTTTTATGAGGTCTTTAATCTCATCTATGTTGTGTTTAACAGGACTTTGTGTTGACTGATTCTGCCTATTAGCACGACTGTGGAAACAAGTTTTGACACATAAAGGGATGGAGTGGGTGCATAGCCAGTGGTTTGGGCATGAAAGCATTTGTAGAAGCTGAAACATAGGAAACATGGCCTCTACAGAATATACCAATCCCTGTAGGTTAACCTTATATCCTACATAATTCTGTAAGAAGAAAAGGACAAAAAGGAGAGACACCATGACATGTAAAAGCCTGGGAAAATGGCTCAATGGGGATTTGTATGCCAGAGGAAGTCATGAAAATCATCAAAATGAAAGTCCCCACTGTTTCACAGATACACACGGCGAGCATCTGCAGGACCAACGAACAAAGCCTGACACCATCATCTGAATAGAGTGGTCTAATCCCATTATGCGCGCTCTCTTTGAGTCCAGTTTCACGCAGCACATAATCACACACACACAGGAAGATTTTCACATCAGAGGGACACCGTCATTCATGAACACGTGGATTATTACAAACACACAAAGGCATTTTGTAATGATTGTTTTTTTTTTTCTTTTTCTTTTTTGTGAGGAGGAGTTTCAGGTTATTCACATAAATGTGTGTATAATATGTTTTGCACTCAATTCATTCAAATATCACTCTCACTCAGGTTGAGTTTGTTATCCATTTAGCAATTCGGTAGAAATTACTCAGTGATCAGTTTAATATCAAATTGATGAAGAACAGTCACTTCTTCTTTCTCTGTTTTCCAGTAACCTCTCAGAGTCCACACAAATCTGCTTTCATTTCAGGATGCAAAATGAAATTCAGAAATGCAAATAAGTTTGACTATCTACCCTTCCTCTCAGTTCCACTCAGTTTAATTTCCATTCCCTTAATTTAGCTTTTGTATCAAATTGCTCTATTTTTTACTGTGTGCCCATATATATAGTTTAGTGTCTATTGTGGGCATGATGGTCAGTGGCATTTGTTTTTAGTTATAAGGATTATAAGGTAAACATCCTTTGGCTGTGTGTGAGTATGCCTCTGTGTGTTTCTGTATGTATTTGAGAGCACACATGATTCAAAGCTAGTTGATGGCTTGACCCTAGTCCCTCTCAGTCTTGAGTATTTGGCCGGTGGAAGGTTTAAGTAAAGCAGGTGTGCGAGGAGCTAGGAATAAGAGATGTATCTTGTTGTGGCTCCAATAATCACTTATTTCACTGTATCAGAAAGAAAATTTTCCTTACAAGTCTCTATATGTAGGTATATAGAATAAAGAGAACCCTCATGCCATCCGAAGACCTCATCAATGCATGTTACAATCTGGGTCATGGGATTCAGACTCTAGACCAGTAAGGTGTGGTCTTTGCCTGACCGCACTTCATAAGAGACAAACAAACTCCCAAGCACTAATGTGGCCGCAAGTTTATTTGCTCTTTATCATGGGTGAAAGTAGGATAAGGTTCTTGCGGGTACTGTACCCACAGACTTTGTACACGAGGAGCACACCCAAGTTTAACAAGGAGCTGACTCTGATGCCACAGTATCATCATCTGCTGTATCTCACTTTCTCTTGAACATAAAATCAATTTTTCTCTGCATTTTGTTTTATTTCTGCATTAAGATTGAAACAACTGTCTCTTTAAAAGTTCCCTCCTTCCGCAAAAGACGGGAGGCAGTCCCCAGCGCCAAGGCAACCAGCGTCCAATCAAAAGTGCGCACTGAGCGTTCTCACGTTCGGATTTCCTTAGTTTGCGGAAGCAAATACGACTCTCTCGCAAGCAGCATGGTCCTATTGGATTACTACGGTTACAATGCAGAGTGCAGACTGACGTGCGGCAACACGGTAAGCAAGTGTAGCATACATACATTACAGGGGTGAAAGTTTGCATACCGCTGTTTACCGGCTGTAAACTGCTGTTTACAGTGGCGGCTGCTGGTCTTTCAAGGAGGGGAAGCTCATTTTTCTGGCCTACATCATAATTGTATTTGTTTATTAGTATGTAACAGAACAGAGTCGCCAAACACAACGGCAGTCGTTTATAACAAAGACAAAAGTCGCTGAGGATCGGTAAAGTCTCTGGAGCAGTTAAGAACAACGGAATGAATGACTTGGAAAATGCTCTGGTAGATGTTTTATTCTTCAAGATCGCTGATTCTCTTGTTTAGCTGTCGATCAAAAAAGGATTTCGCCTCAGACAGCTCATCCAATCATGAATGCAGAAGCTTGGAGTCCGGGAGAAAGTCGGGACCGCCCTCTCGCCATAGAACTCCAGTGAAGCTGGGCTTCCATTGGGCGGGACAAAGCCCAGCATTTATCCAATGAGCGTCTAGTTTCGCTGCTGGAACAACCCACTTTAAGCTTCCACATTGAAGTCAGCAGAAGCCCAGCGTCCGACTGTTTGAAGCGCTGAGGCGCTGCGAGGATGAATGAGAATGAAGTTATGCCGGTTACCTGTGATTATCAGCTTCTTATCACAGTGTCTGAACAAAAGTTGAAGGCTTTCTAGTGCGTATTTAGTTAATGAAATGTACACACAGCCGTACGTATTTCACCACTTTTTCTTTTTTTGGGGGGGTGACATTTTAAGGGAAGCCGAGCTTCCCTTGCAGTCTTAGAGCAATCGCCACTGGCTGTTTATGTCTTCCTGGTACGGCATACCGCTGCAGACCGGCTTACTCTCACCCCTGCTCTTTAAACATAAAAATAACCATTGGATTGGTGGAAAATGACAATACCCTGCTTGGACTGGTTGAAAGAGCCCCCTGTCTTCAAATATGGTCACTTCCGGGTTCATGAAAACCAAGATGGTGCCAGCCAGTATCCTGAGCTCAAGGGTCTAAGAGGAGCGTAACCTTGGTGCCCATTTATCTTTCTTCTACATACTCTTTACTGGAAAACAAATTCTGCCCATCAGACCGTCTAGATCTGTTACACTAGATGATGCCTCTCTGGATATTTGACAATGCCACAAGGAGGTCAGGGGATAAGCACAGACTCTATTAAGGTACTGTGCCTTTTTATGACATGATTGAGCAATACAGGAGGACTGATTGTATCTACATTTACAATATAATCATACAGAAAGCATCACTCATACATGGAAAAAATAAAAAATATTAATTTTCTTTTTTTTTTTGATTGCTCTTCGGGGCCCCCTACTGGCCGTGGGGCCCTAAGCAGGGGCATAGTTTACTTATGCCTTGGGCCGGCTCTGCTCGGTAATATACTGTTTAAAAAAAAAAAGGTGAAGCAATATAGCAAAAAAAATCCTTTAATCTTAAAGTAATTTGCACATGACATTCATATCCTTACATAGTATCTTTTTTCTTCCCACTCTGAGTGTATCTTCATTTCCGTACAGTGTAAAGTCATTATCACTCTGTCTTCTTCCTCTTCGATTCTTCTCCCTTCACAGCTGGTTTTGAACTCCTCCAGGGCAGGAAGTTGTAGGAGACCAGAGCTGTAAGGAGGTACGTAGCCATGCCTGTGTACCCCCCCAGCACCAGACACAGCGGCTGAGCCAACACGAACAGGCAGAACACATTCATGGACGCGTAATCATTCAGCTCCACCAGATCATCCTGAGTTGCTTTCATCACCCCGAAAAAATAAATTAGAGCCACCGCTGGGTAGAAGGCCAGTTCCACCATAATGAGGACCGGATACTGAGACGCAGTTGAAAACCTTCAGATTTAACATGAGCATATGTGTTGGAAGGTAGTTTGTGAGACCCAGTGAAGCACTGAAGCAGATATTTCCAAGACACACTCACCCAGATCAGATTCATGCACACGCTTGGACAGTAATCCCTCTGAAGTGTGAAGGTGGATCTGACAGGAAAGCAGACACAGACCTTTGATCCGTTTTAACAGCTCTGTCAAACATTATCTACCTCATATGCTCTTATCAGAACACTTGACCATTGAGCATTCTTGATTAAAGGTCTGCATGCTAATAAACCCTGTTTTCATAGCACACTAGTGTGGCCTTCAATCTTTGAAAACATTCATGAGTCAGTGTGAAAATTGGCTTTTCAACAATGTTTTCTGTTGGTACACCTTGAATTTAATATTGCTACCTTATCATACGCTTGCATCTGCAGATATAAGAGTTCTTGACAAATGTGAGCAGGAGGCCAGGGAAAGTGATGAAAATCCAGTGTTTGAAAACATAAAACACAAGATTCTAACATGTGTTTTCATTAAAATTCTGTGTTGTGTTTAATATTAATGCTTTTTACTGAAATAATTTGTGTGGACAAAGTCTAGTTTTACAACCCTACAGTATAAAGTGTGTAGTGGAGTGGAGTGTAACCAGTCAACTATTAAATGATTGCAATTCAACAATAAAAGTAAAATATTTGAAAGTATATCATAAAAAAAATGTTTTTTGGCACTGTTTAAAATTAGATTTGATTTTTTTACCCAAATCTGAATGGAGCTTTCTGCAGTGTTCAGGATAAACCTGATTTTCTAGTGTATTTCCAGCCCTACAATCTGAGGTTCTGAACAACACAAACTGAGGGTTTTGTATGGAAAAACTGCCAAAATGGGATTATCTAGCTTCATCAGAACTCACAACCCTTTATTTATTTAGGAAGAAAAAAAAAAGATCTGATCTCAAGTGGTGGCTTTATTCTTCCTGTATTGATTTTTGACAACATGGACACTGGAGACACTTACCCTAGCAGGACAGACAGAAATGTAAGAGAAACAGTCAGGCTCTAAAGTGAGAATTTGCCAATTTGCTCATGATTTAAACATCGTACATTCTGACTGTTTTCCTGATGGAGATGTATCTGGTTCAGAAAGCATGTCAAATTGTCAAATTAAACATTTTATTTTGGGTTGCTATGGAGGGTTAAGATGCCCCTGAGAAATATTTCAGAGATACTGAAAAAGTTTCCCAAAGTTTTGAAAAACTGCAGGATCTTAAAAACGTTTGCATTCAGGTGAATTCCAACTTCACAGATGACTAAAGCACATTGACAGAATCAGCCCTCTTTTCCTCTGTGGTCAGTAATTCAGTGGGAGAACTTTTTACAAAAGTGACATATATTTTCAACTTTACAGAGAGCCTCCTAGAACATGATTTTCATCTGTACAACTTTTCCTTGAAGGTTGAAGACTTGCAGTGACTGAAAAGTACAGGAAGCCACATCTCAAGGGTTCAGGTACCGTCAACAAATTACTTTCTTTCATTGATGAGTTTTTGACCTAAGGAGGTTGCATATATCATGATACATCTGGTATCTGTGACCTGAGGCAGGAATACTCCTGACTAAAAAAAGGTTTACAAAATGTTGCAAAAATTTCCCACAATCTCAGTGAGGTTTTTTTGTTCATGTCACTTATGGAGCTCTGACGAAAGTCACATCTCAAAATGTTCCATCATAAAACTTATTGTACTCTGCCATGTGCTGGCCTTCGTCCAGTCAAAGTGGTTATTGTTTTGACTCCTGCCCAAGACCTTTGACTGCATGTCATCCCCTGATTTCTAAACTCAACTTTTTCCCATCTTTAGCCGTCCTGCCTGATAAAGACAAAATGCCAGAAAAAAAAAAAAAAAAAAAAAAAAAAAAATATATATATATATATATATATATATATATATATATATATATATATGTATATATATATTTCAATATTTTTAATCGCAATCTTTGTTCAAAGGTAGGCTAGCCATTCCCAAGGATTTCATTCCTTGCTTGTTTGCTGCTGCCTTTCATATAGTGTTCACATACACATTAGTAAGTTTCTATGTTCCTGTCTGTTAACAAGATAGAAAACACATATTTTTGCCGAATATGTAAACATTTCAAAAAAGGGAGTAAGTGCTATACCATCATGCACGCTGTAAAAGTTTGTTTTGGGGATCGTAGAAACATGATGCTGATCCAACAAAATATGTACAGTGGTTACTTCTACATGGCTATCATCTGTTTGTATCACATACTCAGTTTGATTTAATCTAAGGATTTGGCCTCAGTCTCTAGGGAGCTTTAACTAAATATAATTAAATGAAGCCAGTGTGTCATGTGCCATCATCCACATCGGTGACATTAAGCAGCCAGTGAACACAGTGCTCACTTTTTAAGTCCCTGATGGAAACTCTGCCTGCAGGGAGCTCTTTGCAAGTCTTGTTAATTTCTCCCCACATTTTCAACATTCAAATTCTGCCACATTACTTATTAGTTAAGAGGTCACCAAACTAAACTCATTGAAAAAAGAGAGAGGAGCAGAACAACCAGGCACTTTCTCTGGGGGGTATTCGCTGCGCACTCTTTTACAGTGCCCTCACATTTTTGCATACAGCTTTGTATCTGATTCCAGACAGCAGGAGTAAGTGATAAAGAAAATACGATCATGATTTAGGACTTGTGTATCAACTACCCATGCAGGACGTGTGTTGTTATCTTTGCAGCTTTAATCCAGAATCCAGGTTTCTGGATCTCCTCTGCTGTAGACTGAGGGAGGGCTGGGCCGTTAGCCAGTCAATCAACCACCCAGGCTGCTGCAGCCGCACATAAACACAGCTTGTATACTGTGTGTCTGTCTGTGGGTCCTTCTGTCTGTCTGTCGATCTCACTGCAATCATTTATTGAAAGGTCTCTCTGTGGTGCTTGTCACCTCAGGAGGGGTTTGATTCTGGATTAGAGCACGGTGCTGCAGAGCTGGATTACACTCTGGGAGGGAACATGTGGCCCCTTTGAGCTGTGGTTTATCAACACCCCCACTGCTGTACATAAATGTGAGCTCCCCGCACTGCAACAAAAGAGCATTTCTGAAATATAAGTAACTTTTTAATGGTTTATCTTCAGTCTACTTTTTCAGTTATATGCTTTATATTCCAGAAGTCTTGATCTATAATGACAGCTGATTTAGACCAGATAAACTAAAACGATGTAAGTACAAGGTTTGAGTATGATTTTGTTGCTAAGCAAAACTATGTACTGACAGAGCTGCAAGATACAAGTGTAAGTCACTGAGAGCTTTGGAATAAAACAGAAAGTTATGGTGTAAACTGTACCTATAGTTTTTTATGTCCCATTGATTGGTACTATGTTTTACTCTGTACAACAGCCCTTTACACCTTTACATGGAGCACACAGTATCAGTGGGCTACAGCTGTTTGAGTCAATGACTGTTAGATGAGTCAACAAGTGAAAGATGTTACACCCAGCCAATAGGTGGCCCATTAAAAGTCACAGTAAACACCTTCAACAGTTCACCATATGATTAATTGTGACAAAAGACAAAGAATTAAATCGAACAAATTAACAAGGCAACTTAACACAAAGAACCAAAACGTAAGGATCCCCTAAATTAGAGGCAGCAGGGCGGCAGTTCCCTTCCTAATGCCTCTCCCTTCTGCAGATAGCTTAACCGTTCAGGACCAGGTGAAGCTGATTGCCAGTTCCTGACTCCACCTGGGCAGAGCTAGGGAGGACAAAGGGGGGAAAGACCAAACAGGAAACATACAGCTGAAACAAAGAGGATATGTCTTAAAGTAAACAATACATTTCTTCCTATGTGAGGAGAAGAGGAGAGAATCATGAACCAGAAAACACAGAGGATTCACTTTAACAGATGTGTCTGTACAACAGTACAATATAATTCTCTTCAAGTGCCTACAGTACATGGTGCTTGAGATCACGTCTGTATCTCAGCTTTTTCTTTTCCCACCAGGATCCATACAAACTGTTATCTACTGTCCTGTACACACATGCCTCAAACAACCTCATCTAAAAAAGACCAAAACCACTCCTTTAAAGACAAAGCTTTGTTTGTGTGCTTCCTTTGTTTCTTGGTTTGTTTTTCTCTCTTTTCTTTGACCTGCCACGTCCAGTCAGTGAGCTCCTATATCGCAAAGGCCCTCTGAAAAACACCTGTTAAATATTTAATCAAAGTTTGAAACATAAACACAAACAGCTTTTACCAATCAACACAGTTTTGAAAGTAGCTAAACCTTATTTTAAAATGTGATGAATAAATGTAAATGGATTTCTTCAGAGTGCAGTGCATAATGTTTGGAATGAGACCACTACTTTTGAACATAACTTCTCAGTTGCCATTAACAGGTAAAGCCTTTGGTATCTGTGACTTTCTGCTTTAAAATTCTACTTTATTTATCATTCTGTTGTTATTTGTGACAGATACTCTGAACACACTTCAGCACCATCTTTGTATGGTTAGTTACGCAGGAGAAAAATAATAATTCAGCCGCTTGGGACTTAATTGAAGGCGTGATATTAAATTCACTCAAGATTTTTCATTGGAAAATGAAATACAACTCAATTTTCAGCAGAAGAAATAACAAGTTAAAAGACACTTTACAACTTCACTGAACAAAGACTAATACACAGAAATGTCCCCAAACACAGCAACAAAATTGAACATGGCATTAGTTGAGGCGTGCTGCAAAGTCAAGCTCAGCCCTCAGTACATCATCAGATCTTAATGTTAGCTCATATCAGCAGACAGCTTTACTGATTACCATCTACACAGCCAACTGGTAAATGTCACAGCAGGGTCTATTTAAACTACTTCAGCCTGGCTACCCTTCCTGCTGCAAAAGGCTTTGCAACCCGTCTCAGCCCTTTCTTTTTATGCCTCATGTTTGTACCGCAGTCATTTCAGTTACCCAACTCAATTAGATCTGCAGGGCAGGGAGATGTTTGAACAGAGACATACAGCCAAGTATAAGGTATTGTATGAAAGTACTAATTCTTTGTGACCTAAGTGGTTCTGACTGAAATACGGAGGGGTTTGTAAAGATACAGACTTCATCACATTTCCAACTGAATTGAAAATTGAAAAAAGAATATTTGCAAACTGGTGAAAAGCCTGTAAATCTAACGTATTACTTTCACCAAAAGCCACAATAAAAAGTTTGTAAAAGACAAACTTAGATGTAGGGCACTGAAACAATAATGATATATGTCGAAAATTAATTTCTCTCAATATCAATATAAAACATGGTCATTATGCTTTTCGATAGTCAGAATTCTGCCGTGTTTTGGTAGACTATACTAATAGCCAATGAAAAGGGGAGTTGCTCCGGGTCCACTTGGCGCTGAACCAATCATGTACTGAATTAGAACCAAGTAGCAAACAACTAACACGTGAAGCTGACAGCATT